TCTGCCTATCTTATTATGCTGACCACCTCTAGAGGCAGTGTCTTACGATAATAGCGGTTGATTCTGTAATAAGAATTAGATATAACTATCCTATAAAAGACCTGCTAAGAATATATCTCTAGATTATACTATAGCCTAGCTAGATAACTACTAGCTATATATTATTATAGAGGCTCTTCTATAGAAAGAGATTGTATAGAAGAATAATAGGCATACTAACCTTAAGCTTAAGATAAGCTAGAGGTATTGATATAAAGTCTAGTAACTATAAGAAGTCCTCTAAAAATTATAATATAGGATTGTTAATATTATTAGATAAGAGATCTATAGAATTAGCTGATAGGTATATCTTAGCTATACTAAGAAACCTCTTTAAAACGTCCCTATTAATCTCTACTACTATAATATTATATACTATAAGAATAGCTCTATCCTAAAATATATTAAAGTCGTCTAACACCTAGGTAAGCAGGCTCTATAGATAGATCTTATCTACTAATACCTCTATAGAGATGTTACATCCTATAATAGATAGTAGCATTACTAAACTATAGTTAGTATTATTATAAGAGAGATCCTATAGCTACTAGATAAATATAATATTCTTAGGGCTAGTAGATCTTATATATATATTCTTAGTTAAGAAGAGCTTATAGAAAGAGGGCTATAATATAGATATCTATAGATAAGCCTATACTACCTATAGATAATTATTACTAAGAACTATAGGTAAGATCTATATAAAATCACTACTAAAGATAATAGGCTTACTGTTAAAGAGGGCTATAGACTTATAGATATCCTATAAGATATGATCTACAGCCTTAAAGTAGTACTTATACTATATAGGGACCTTATTCTAGATAACTAGTAATATATATAGTAGTAGTATAGTAAGATCAGTATTCTTTCTTATATTATAAGTAGACTTCTCTATAATCTTAATAGGTATCTTAAAGTAGGAGTATGTAGTATAGCTACTATCTAATAATAGGGCAGTAATCCTAAAGGATATAATATAGAGGACTATCTTACCTATAGCCTAGTAGTAGGTATAAAAGCTATAATATAGGAATATCTTACCTATACTGCTAGAGCTCTAGATAAAAAAATATATATTAGAAGGACGCTATTATAGTATAGAGGTGATCTTATTAAAGTAACTATATTAGTAGCTATTAAATTAATAGATAATCTTATCTATAATAACCTACTAAGCTATAGAGTTATATATAAGCTTATAGTTAATAAGAATATTATTATTAAATAGATTCTAGTTATAGATATTTATAAGAAGGCTATACACCTATAAATTCTTATTTATATTATAAAGAGCCTAACTGATTAGATAGAGCCTATAGTCTAAGTAAGGCTCTAAAAGATCTATAGGCTAGAAAAGATATAACTACTTAATATAATGCTATAGATTATTATAAAAAGAGATCTTAAAATATAGCTAGATATTACTAGAGTTAGATATCTCTTTAGTAATAAGCACTATAATAAATAGAGACTATAAGGCTGACTCTAACTACTATATAACAGCCTTCTTAAAGTAGGATATCTAGTAAGAGTTATTATCTAATAGGTATAATATAAGGTAGGCCTCTCTAAAAGTAGACTTCTTAGAACTATTAATAGTATAGATATCTTAAAAAGATATAGTACTAGATATATTAATAAAAAGAAGATATAGAAAATAGACCTCTTCTATTACTAACAGTATGTATTATATATAGCTAATAGTATTACTCTTCTACTATAGCTACCAGTACTTTATCCTACTTTTCTATATATATTTATATAGGAAATCAGTATAGAGTATGTTATAGCCAGACTTATATTGCTTATTATATATAAACCAGCCTATTAAAAGGGTTATATAAGCCTCTATATATAATACAAGCTTCTTTATACTAATATCCTTATTAAATATAATATTCTACTTATCCTTAAGATAGATAGGCAGAATGACTATAATGAGTAGCTTATAGTAGATGTAGAACTTAAAGAGGTGTACTATAGCCTCTATAGGGCTAATGTAGTAGGCCTATAAGAACTACTTGATCTTATCTTCTCTATCTATACCTATAATATATATTGTAGCCTGATTAGTACCCTTATATATATACTTATAGATATACTTAATAGCCTTAATAGAGCTGTAAATCTCTATATTAATATAGGCCCTATACTTTCTAGTTAGGTATAGATTATAAGAGATAATATATTAGTTATTAAGATAGACCTCTATATTATTAATCTTCTATATAACTATTATATTATTATTATATTACTAGTAGAGAGAATAATTATTATTAAGGATAGTAGTCTTATCTATAAAGTACTTAAAGAAGTGTTTTAAATAGGCTAGAGGCTAGCTTGATATAGAGGATCTTATATAAGAAGAGCTAGGATTTTCTATACTATAAGAGCTATAGATTATCTATATACCTACTGCTATATATAGGGCGCTATTAAGATTCTCCTTAGATATAGGGATCTCTATATATATAATATAATCAACCTATATAAGACTGTTTCTATAGTATAGGGCGTTATCTATAGAGAGGAAAAGAAGGATATACTTATATAGGAGGCTATATTTCTAGTACTCTATAGTCTAGATAATCCCTATATACTTCCTAAAAAGGCTGTTATAAAGCTTCTTAATAAGTTTAGTACTCTTTATCTTAAATATACAATCTATAATATTAGAGCGGTCTAATATAATCTAGCCTATAAGAAGCTTATAATCTATTTTAAGCTAGCTAGGGTTTATAGTAATTATAATAAAGAGTATAGAGATATTATAGATATATAGGATTACTATTAAGTTCTAATAGTACTACTAGATAAAGCACTATCTCTTAATATAGGTTACTAGTAGGATCTTCTATATACTAATACTATAGAGATCCTTATTACCTATTATAGTAAGGTCTTATATATTATAGTATAGCTCTACCTATAGCTTTATCTAGTTGTAATATATAAAGTTAAGCTTATACTAGTTGATTACTATATAGAGGTCTACTAATAACTATTAAAATAGATGACTATATATAAAAGGCACTAACTTAATATCTATATATAGATATAGGTAGTATTATATAAACTATTAGAACTATATATCTCTAAAGGTATTAAAACTATTGTCTATATATAGTAGAATATATCTATAGTAGCTAAGATCCCTATAAGAGAATATTAAAGGATATATAAGCAGTAGATATATATTATTATAGATAGAGATAATATAAAGATAATTCTATCTATCTATAGACTACTCTATAAGAACCACTTCCCTAAAGAGATCGCTTTATATCTTATAAGATATAATTATCATTATCTTACTTATTATAAGGAGGTTCTACTATTAGATATCTATATCCTCCTCTAAATATAGCTAGAGCTATAGGTTTAGTATTATATATATTGTCTTAGTAATACTATCTATCTACTTCTTAGTTATAAGATAGAGGATAATAAAAGGGTTATTCTTATATAGGTATTAGTCAAGCTCTATAAGTATTAGTAGGTCTAGCCTCTTATTTATTACTAGATAATAGTCTATTAATATCTTAGGGTTATAAAAGTAGAGCTATATATACTATAGAATATATTATAGCATTAGATTAAGATGGTTATTATAATAATATAGGGCTCTCTAGATTATAAAGGCTCTTAAGCTATTATAGCCCTTACTATAGACTATAGAAGGATTGCTAGTAGTATATTAGATATTATTATATTTAACTAATATAAAAGTAAAGTAGCTATTAAACTACTAAATATCTTTATAAAAGGCCTTATAATACCTATTAATATCTATTAAAAGATAATATAGAAGAGGTAGTATAGGTACTAGAGGTTCTAATATAACCTTCTTACTCTAGTAATATATACTATAGATTAGATTACTAACTATAGAAGATTAAAGTAAAATAGTAAATTATATTAATAGACAGCTAGAAATATAAAGAGAAGAGTATCTTTAAGCACTCTATAGGTTAATATAGCATATTATAGAACTAATAGAACTTAATTATTAGTTCTAGGTCTATATAGTCTATCCTTAATATCCTACTATATAATATCTATCTATATAGTATATCAGCCTTTAAGATATTATCTAATAGTAGAGTCTATATAGATATCTATATCTATTATATTTAATATATAATATAAGTATTATTATTAATCTCTTATAGTAGATCATAGATATATATACTATTAATTCCTATATAGTTAGTATAGATTTAGTAGTAGTCACTATTATAATAGATATAAAAGAAAGAGGAAGGATAGCTATATCTATATCTAGTATAGAAGATAAAGAGAGAAGAAGCTAGCTAATAAGATATCTCTATATAGAAGAATATATTAGACATATAGAAAAGGGCTATATAGGCCTATAAGCTATATAAAAGACCGTCAGACATATAGAATAGCTATATAAAAGGGGTCAGATCCCTACTAACAGCCATATATCTTGCAATATTAGTGTATAGGGTTATTTATATGGTAAGCGAGGCGATCCTAAACAGACTGTTAAGGAAATAGCCTCTGCGCCAGCAGATTTAGGTGGCGATGCGCTAGCAAAACAACCGCAAAAAAAGAGCGCAATTTAAAGTCGTTTTCTGGTTATTATAAGAAGTGTCCGAGCGAAGTTGCGAGCTCGGTTTTTGCCGGTTTGTTCAGCGTGCGTGGGGGCTAAAACACCCCAGAGTCAGGCGGCACTAAAGAAGCGGGTGCGGCCCGAGCTTCGAGCTTGGTCTGCCTGGGGCACGACAGTAAGAGTCCTTTGATGATGGTAAAAAAAAGTGTTCAAACAGCTTTCAAAATTCTAACTAGACAGGTACAAATACATCCTCTTTGGTAGGCTTCTCCGAGGAGGCCTCCCTCTGACTACAGAGTCCTGTCAATGCAGGCAATCATACCGTCTTGAACGCAAACCCTTCGCAGTAACCCCAGTGAACGCCTCCCCCATCTAATAAATGGTATATCCCTTCCTTCTATTCGAGTTTCACTCGCCGGCCTCTTTTAACAGTTCCGTGACCGTGACAAACTTGTATCCCCGCCTCGTCGCCTCCGGCAGCACCTTGCGCAGCATGGGCACAGTCCAGCTCCGCCTGTCGTGGATGATGACGATCCCGCCGGGCCTCAGCATGCTCAGGATGTGCCTCGCGTTCAGCCACGGGTACTTGACCTGCGCGTCGTGCGGGTATATGCTCCCCAGCACGAGCCTGTAGCCCAGCTTGTCCAGCAGCGCCCGCATCCTGGCGCTGAAGAACCCGGACCCGGGCCGGAAGTACTTGTACGGCGGCGCCTCCCCCCGGCCGGCGTCCCTGTAGGCATCCGCCAGCGTCTCGTGCACGCGCAGGATCTGGTCCTCGAGCTCGCCGAGCCCGAGCGCCCGCGCCGCCTCGTCGTGCATGCCGTGGTTGCCCAGCTCGTGGCCCCCCGCGACCACGTCCCGCAGCGTCTCCCGCCGCGCCGCGCCCGTGACCTGGCCCCCGATGACGAAGAAGGTCGCGCGCGCGCCGTGCTCGCGCAGCACCTCGAGGATCTCGCGCGTGTGCTCCGAGGGCGCGTCGTCGATCGTCAGGGCCACCGTCCTCTGCGCCGCGGGCAGGCTCACCTGCCAGAGGACGTCGGGCCAGCGCCGCGAGAAGTACGAGATGAGCAGCCGCGGCGGCTTGTAGATGGCGTAGAAGGGCAGGAGGACGAGCAGGGCGAGCGCGGCGAGGGTCGCGAGGGTGGCCATCCTGCGCCGGCGGGCGCGCCGGCGGAGCTTGGAGGGCAGGCGGAACAGGGCCGGGAAGGTGAGCATCACGCCGGGGTTTGGGATTTGGGGGTGGCGTTGGCGTGCACGAGTCTGTTCAGGTTCCTGCTGGGTGCCGGCGGTGCACCATTCGGTCTCGCATTTCAGGGATCCTGTGTCGGTGCACACGGGTGTTTTGTCGAAATGGAAGTCAATGGTGGTGACGTTGCCAGGGAGGACTGGTCAGTTAGGTAGGGGTGGTGGATCCAGCGATCTTCAGATAAACTGTCAGAGGGGGCTCGTGTTAGACCAGATTCTGGTTGGCATATAGATCTGGCTTATCTAAGCAAGTTATGTAAATGTATAACTGAGCAGTATTTCTATAAAATGAGCTTTATACTAGAAATATAAGGTTTAAAGCCATATTAGATCTAATTTAGATTAGATTTCTCTAGATATCTCTTATAACTAGCCTTCTCTAGAAGAAGAGAAGAAAATAAAAGAAGATAGTTTATAATCTAATAATTAAAAGTCTTAATCTAGCTAGCTATTAGTTATTTCTTATTATATCTATTGGATATAAGCTAAGTTATACTATTAATATAATATAATTAAAAGAAATATAATAAATATAATACTTATAGGGAATTACTAGCCGGGCATGACTGTTTTGCTAGCCGGGCATGACCTTAGCCGGGCATGACTTTTTAAGCCCTCTAATTGGCTGCATTCTTATCTGTTAAGGGCCTCAACCCCACTAAATCTTACCAGCTGGCAGCCCTTAAGCCCACGGGGTTAGAGGCCAGCCAGCCCACCAAGGGTCCTGTCAATTGACGAAGCCGTCAAGGCCGGCCACCAGGCCTGATTTAAAGTTGACGGGCCCGATTCAAAGCCGGCCACTAAAGGCCAGTACAGACTGCTAACTGCACAGGCTGCTAAATACACGGGCTTGCTAAATGCACGGGCTTGCTAACTGCACGGGCTGCTGGCCCTGATGGCCCTTGACGGCCGGCTTTGAATCGGGCCTGGTGGTTGACGGCTGTTGATTAAGTGTTTAAGAAGTCTCTAAGTCTGGACATAATATATGTGTGGTTTAATTAATAACCTGATATATCAGAAGGATTAGAAGTTTCTCAGTAGTATTAGTCACAAAACTATTATAACTAATAGCCGCCAATGCGCTGCCTTTCTAATCATGCCAGTGTCACGGCACAAGATTTCTAAAGAGACAGGCCTTTATTGAAATTATTATAGTTTAGAAAAACGAACACAATAAGAAGAGAAAAAGAAGGATTACAATGGCCTGGATCACAGGGCGCGCTTTATGATAGGGCGCACTGGGGACAGTTCAACTGGGGCTCCCGCGCCTGGCTCCACGGGTTAGAGCAGCTAGTCTCAGTGCTCCGCGATTTGCGGCCGCGGCCTGTCCCGCGGCCTGTCCCCGCGGCTGTGTTGTCCCCGTGCTAGGTGTGTAGACTTGATTATCTCCTTGTCAGGCCTGAATTCATAGCAGACCACAGGCCATTGGCTCGGGCATATTGAGTTCCAACTAGCTTGCACTGTATAAGCCTGCTACTGTTCGGAACTTCCTACAAAGAGATGTAGAAGTTGTCGGTATCCAGACTAATCAATTGTAGTAACTAGGCACTGCCCCCAATCCCAATGCACCTGCCTACCGTAGAATCCCTAACAGTACATAAGATCAGTTACTATATCGAGCCACAAGCCAGTTCCAGACTGATTCTGCCATCATGCCATGTTGCAGTTTGCTTTTTGCATCCTGAATGCATTCCTCGTGAGAGTGTTTAGGGCACACTATCAGCTTTGTTTGTACGTTGGCGTGAGACATCCTGTTTCCCAGTTCCACAATATCATCGCGAAAGACCTCGACCTCGCCAGCAAGTATCAAAAGATCTTGCGTGGGGAGCTGTTCCCACCAACTTATACCAGCCCTTAGTGGCTCCGAATACTCATCTCTTAATGGCGAGGGCGCATAAGCTTCACCCCAATCGAGAATGAGTCTGGCGTTGATCAGGTCTCTGTCTGCATTCTCTTGAAATGAAAGCGATTGAGTTGAGAAGCTCACCCAAGGAGATATCAAGAACACTCCTCGGATTGGCTCGTGAAGCTTTACGGTGGGAAGTGACTCAACGGGGTGGTTAACCAGAGAGAGAAGAGCCAGTGCCAAGTTACCACCAGCTGAATCACCCCCAACAATGATCTTGGATGTTCAAACGAAATAAGTCAGCACTCATCCCTCGGCTTTGCAAATCGGGCTCATACTCACATCTGACGGTAGAAATCCTTTGTTCAGAACGTGCTGCAGAGCTGCGAGGGCCTGACTTGGCTGTACAGGGTATCGGCTTTCAGGAGCCAAGCCTATCAAACTGTCAAGATTCCTCAACGTCTCTCAAAGTTGGAGGGTCTCATACCATACTCGAGCATCACCACGCTGACATTATGGCCTTCAACTTCCAGTCTCCTTTGGCACTCGACCACAAATCTTATATGTCCGTGATCCGCAGGTAGGCTGTATCCCCCACCTTTGATTCATTACATATCAGAGTCTTGCAATCATTAGACTGCCACGACAACGGACTCACCGTGAAAGTAGAGAATCAGTTTGTTCGCTTCAAGATTCCCGAACCAGTGCAGTTTGCTTCCCATGCCATCCGGAATGTCTTCTGCATGCCAAAGTACCCCGTCTTTCTTGCATGCTTCTGCCAAAGCATCTTGTGTAGGTTTGAAGAGAGCGCTTAGCAAAATTATTAGCATGGAGCTTCGAATTTTGCAAGTATACCTCACACACCGTAATTGTTTGCTAGATAGCCAAGCACACACTGCATGTGACACTCTATTTCGTAGTTCGTGCGAGTAAGACCTTGTAGATGTAGTGTCGCGAAAGATGACCATTACGGACTCATAGAGCTGGTATGTCGCTGGGAACTTAGGGTTAGCACCCATTCCATCTCACACCTTGAGTAGCGGTAGGCCACAAGACGAAGATGTTTACAGACCTATCAAACAGAAGCTTCCCAGCATCAACACACCATCCCACATGGAGATAGGCGGAGCCATCTTTTGGAGTTGTGGAGGATGGGAAATTCAGGGCTCTGTTCTGGTCACAATTCTGGGCCATCATCAATATGTATCTATGATTATATGAGGTATTTCCTTGATAGGCGCACTATGAGAGGGAGTGTTTCCGGCCTCGGCTTCCCACCTCCTGGGGCCACCTAGCCGAGGTTGGCTTGTTGCCATGACTAACAGTTTGTCTAGTCAATCAGCAAGAATACGATGATCTTTTACAGTCAGGTCACACGGCCTGGGGCTGCTCTCAGCCTTCTGTGTTCCCGCTTATATCAAGCCTTCGTGCATTGCCTCCACTACAGTCACATTAGTAACCTCTCCCTCATGGTGCTGCACAGTTCAAGTTGTATTTGCATTATTTATAGCCATGCATCGCACCTAAAGTTTTGTTGGGGTCCAAGCAAACGTCTTTCCCTTGACAGACCTATCCGAACCTTTCCCAGCCCCGGAGCCCGATTTCAACGCAATATATCAACTTTTTCGATAGACTGCAGCCACTCCAATATTCTAGTAGAACGGGCCTTCAGCGCAATCCCAAGATTATGAAATGCTGCAACCAAACGTTAGCGTTCCGGTATGGGGTGAGCAAGCTGGATCAGTTTTGTCCCATTCAGGACCAGAGTACACTCTGAAGGCTAACTCCAATGCGTTTACAGAGTCGAAGGCAACATGCCGGAACGCGTGGTGGCAGTCAGGATCAAAGAAAATGCGGTAGGTTTGCTCCCAACTCTCACGGCCGTTCAACGCACAACCGGGCCCTTCGCTGTCGAGGCGCAGATCCAGGGCTGTAAGTGTGATGCAGAACCGCGCACAATCTCGACATACCAGCGAATCTTTCACTTCCTTATTATCCAAGTGTAGAAGGAGTTGTTTATTATCAAACATGGCCAGGCTCCAGCCTACCAGGGGTTTCAAGTGCCGTTCAACTCCAGACGCTCCCAAACGGAGCCAGTTTGTGTGCCATCGCCGCAGGGCTGTCCGCGTTGCATTGTAGTTGATAGGGTTCTGCAGTCTTCCTAGCCAAGTTTCTTGATATATTTGGCTGTGATCAAGATATTGAAGGGAGCACATGAGTAAGGTTGGCATCGTCTTCTGGTAATCCCTGGTCTGGTCGTCGGGGAAGGATGGTGGGTAATGGATTGTAGCAGCTCGAAAGCTTCGTTGTACCCTCCAAGGAGTCGTTCTTCTGACTTCGTGTCTCACGACCAAGTGTCCACCTTATATCTGAATAAGAAGCAACCCCTGGTAATCCATCAAGGAATTCATCCATCTCGGGCTCGCTAAACGCGGCAATCCTGGCCAGGCTGCTGAGAATATCTTTAGAAGTTGTAGATCCTGTCAACGCAAGCCCAATGGTACCATTGCCGACATCTGCAGCTGCGGCCTTGCTTTTATCATACGACCCCATGACCTTAGTATCCTGGACAGCCGATGCTGTACGCTGTTCCTCAATTGTGACATCTGGTGTGAAGATATGCGGCTCCTTAAAAGCCTCAACACCGATATGTGACCTGGACTTTTCGCCAAACTGACCAGCAGCAATTCCCTTCTGTTCATAGGTAGCCTGTGCGTGGTTGACGTGGATTGCATGGCGTAGAAGAACATCACGACGACCAAAGCTGCGATTGCATAGGACACATCGAAAAGGTCGTACTTTGTTGTGGGCGGTCTCGTTCTTGCTAGATGATCCCGCCGGCCAAACGTGCGGCCACAAACATGGCATCGGAATATTCGTTGCATGGCTGGGTGTTGAACGGAACACCCGCTACGCCGATATAACAATAGCAAGTGACGAGTGGCTTCATCAGAAGAGATTGAAAGGCAACGTAAAGAGGAGTATTCAAGTAAAGCATTCATTAGCTTGAGGAGGGAATAGTCAACTCCTTCATGGATGTGGGGACATGGTCTTCAGCCACCTCCCTAGACTCCACTCGTCTACTAGCTTGAATCTTTGAATGCTCGTTACCTAACAAAAAGTGTGTCAGTCCCTGATCGTTAACTTGTCTGGTGATGATGGGGCCTGAATTCTTTCGGGCTTATGCCATCTCTCCAATGCTATGATCCTAGACTTCGAGAAGGGGTGCAGATTCTTTCTCAGTAAACTTACAAGGCGGATTCTGGGGGAGAAAGGGGAGAAAAGTCAAAAGTTTGGCCCCAAGACAAAGTATTCGGTGTTGTATAGATCTCTGCTTTGGGCTTCTAAAAACTTAGGCCCACAACTGCCCACATTGAATCGTATCCAATTCCCGCCCACCTCCTCCTTGAAAAATCGATTGCAGATCCTTGGCACCCGAGCAATCCTCTGGCCAAGAGTGCCTTATTTAAATAGGTATGCTTCTCAAGGCCTTCGCTTTCAAACGAACCTGTTTCTTATGTCTAAATCGCGGAGGTTTGAATACAAGGCAAGAGTTTTGTGGATTCTTGTTGTATCCAATAATTCAAAATGGTTTTCAGCGCATCTTCGCGATGGGGTCCCCTGTCCTTCGAGCCTCCCAGCGACATCCCCATATCTCAGTTCATCCTGGAAGACCGATGGGGCCGTCACCCGGTTGAATCGTCACGGCCGATGTACACTTGCGGCCTCTCAGGAATATCGTATTCTGTTGACGATGTTAAACATCGGACCGAAGCTATAGCAGCGTCGCTTGGAGATGTAATGTCCTGGTCGCCGAACAAAGGAAATGAATGGGACAAGGTGGTTGCCATATATTCATACAACTCTGTAAGTCCACGCTCGGGTGCCATCTCACCGAAGTCCTACCCTGGTTACGGTAAATCGCAGCACTCCGGCGCCGCCTCGGATTGGGAGCATGGCATGGGGAAAGCCGCTGTTCTGAATACCAGCTGACATGAACCACCATGAATTGGTGGACCTGACAGATTGATGCTGTGCCTGTCATGTGGGCCACACACCGTCTGTCCGGCATTGTCACACCTGTGAATTCCAACTCAGTCGCCCCCGAATTAGCCAGTCAACTAAGCCAGACTGGTGCGAAAGTCCTTTTCACATGTCTGTCCCTCCTCTCTGTCGCTGTCATCGCTGCCGAGAAGGTCGGTATTCCCACAGATAGAATCTTTCTTCTGGATGTTGGACGAGACACTACTTCTCCAGATAGTGAAATTCCTCAACAATTCAGTACCGTCGAGTCTCTTGTTCAGTGGGGCACTTCCAAGCTGCCACTAGAGCCCCTTTGTTGGAAATTGGGACAGGGCGCTTCGCAAATTGCCTTTGTTTGCTTCTCGAGCGGGACATCTGGAATGCCGGTGAGACTTTTGCAGCCTAGATTATGGTTATGCCGATTGTCAAGCTAACAAATATATTGAAGAAAGGCGTGAAAATAAGCCATCGAAACATCATTGCGAATACTATGCAAATTGCCGCATCTGAGCGAGTACAGCGATTGCCGGATATGACAGAGACAGCACTTGGGGTTCTGCCACAGAGCCACATATATGCACTGGTGGTCATCTGCCACGGCTGTGTTTATCGGGGAGACGAAGTGATTGTGCTGCCGAAATATGATTTGCAAGATATGTTGAGGGCCGTTGTGAAGCATCAGATCCGATCGCTCTTTGTGGTAAGTGATCAAGTCTTGGTGCTCACTTCGAGACTCATCTCACAACTCTTCAGGTCCCCCCTATTCTTCTCGACTGCATTCGGGGCGATGCAAATGTCGGCAAGTATGACCTGAGCTGCGTGGCCAACATCTTGACAGGCGCCGCATCCTTCAGTGCCGGGGCTTGGGCTACAATACAAAAGATATTCCCAAATGGCTTGCTGCGACAGGGTTACGGTACGCGACAGGCTTCAGAGCAAAATCATGCGCACACACACTAACAAGGTTCGGCATAGGGCTTACCGAAGTGGCTGCTGTCGTGAGCACATCGCCGAGGTTCGATATCTTCAACGGCTCGTCTGGCCCGCTCCTCCCAAGCGTAGAATGCAAGGTTATAGACCAAGACGGCAACGAACTTACCGGTCTTGACCAGGCGGGTGAGCTGTGGGTACGATCACCAAGCCTGGCCGCGGGTTACTTGAACAACGAAGAAGCCACAAGAGAGACTTTCGTTGATGGCTGGATGCGAACTGGCGACAAGGGTCTTTTTCGACTGAGCCCAGGAGGGGTCGAGAATGTGTTTGTGATAGACCGAATTAAAGAGCTCATCAAGGTAAAGGTAAGCAGTCGCCCAACCGGGAAAGTCCCCATGGCCAAATAGTCCTGCTAACGTAACATTTAGAGCATGCAGGTTGCGCCAGCGGAGTTGGAGGCTCATGTACTAGAGCACCCGGATGTTGCAGACGCTGCCGTCATAGCAGTCGATGATGAGCGCAATGGCGAAGTTCCTAAGGCTTTCGTCGTAAAACGAGCCCGGTCTTCCATATCCGATGAAGATTTGACTCGACAGATCCACGACAGTTTTCGAGCCCATAAATCCCGCTTCAAGTGGTTGAGAGGGGGCATCGAGATCCTGACCACAATACCGAAAAGTCCCAGTGGAAAAATTCTTCGACGCGCTTTGAAAGATAAGGAGAGGGAGGCAGCGCTCTATCGCACCAGAACTTCGAAAATGTGATAAGAAATTTCAGGATGAGGGTAACAAAATGTTGATACTAAAAGTAATCCCCATAAATCACTAGATAGAGTTCATTGGGTGTTTTAAAATGAAGACAGATCTCATCTGAGCGCAGACTTGGGTGGGTTCAAGACAAACTGACACTTGAGTTTCGTATCCACATAACGGATGACTAAATTGGTGTGAAGCTCGGGAATGGTTTGTGTTATCACGTGCATATCCTTCTTCGACTCTTCAGAGAGCCGGAGTCCACATTAGCCTTGGTACTCCACATTTATGCAGGCGGGGAAACTGCGACTTCACCCCATTCTCCTGCTTCTGAGTACTATCATTTCTCATGGAGCGTTAGAACTATACATAATCTCATCATTAAACTCGGGGTGATAGTTGAAGATATGAGCCACCTTCAGGATGAGAGAGAGAAACGGTATCTGGATTTCCTACCTGCTATCTCCATCCTACCACAGAACTAACCGCCATTCGCAATAGTCGTTCTCGTAACCGCATTTCCCAACAACATTTTCGGGAACGACGGAACAGGCATATCAAAGACCTAGAGGAACGTGTTCAACTTCTGCAGATGGCAGAAGATGAACGTAGTGCGAGACTTGCCCAGGAGAACCAAAGATTGAGGGCTTGCTTGAACAAATTCAGATCACAGTTGACTCATTGCGAGTCTTTAATCGCTGCGCTTAGAGACAGCCTCGAGACGGCAATCAGTGATCCCAGCGATGATAGATGGAGTAGTGGGTGGAGTGAACATAAAGTCATTTGTCTTTCAGTTCAATTATACTGTTGTGTACAGGCTGACTCTGTTTTAGGATTGCATGGCTCGCAATCTCAGCGCTGATGTATCAGCCACGACCCATCCAAACGCAGTAAACGTTTCAAGCGCGAGCATCAACCTGGGCGGCAACGAGATGATTGCAGATATACGCCAGCCAGTACACTGGGGAGTGATGGAGGGGCCGAATTGTTTCGACGCCCGTCCTGTCCATACCGATCTATTGTCTGATGCGAGCCCTTCTGCACTTCACGGCTCAAACGCATGTGAGTTTGCCCTTGATTATTCAGCGCCGCCACAGGCGCCGTGACTTCCACCTGACTACCTTCAGATATGGGCTGTGAGAACTTTGCGAACTCGATCAATGGATCCGATTGTCTTCTATCCTTTGATTCCTTGACGAGCAGCGAGAGCCAGCGGGTCCAATTGGAGTTCTTCGAATCTTCGCTTCGGATTACTTTTGACGGAGGTACTGCTCCTCTTCTGAGAAGACTTTATCTTGTGCTCCACCATCAATTTACCGACGATTCTGGGTGGTCATCATCACTCGCCGAGCGAGTGGATGGGATGGTCACCACTATTTCGGACTTCATCAAGTTGACTGGCACTATCACTAAAGACAATTTGTACGGTTCTATTGACCCCTTCTCTCATGCAACCTTTGGAGACTCTTGTGATACTGAGCTGAAGTTGTTTCCATCTAGGATATCTAAGGCTTGTTTGACGGCGATGTTGTTATTCTCCAAATACTTATCGTCGCTGCCTCCGGCTATGTGGTTCTCTACTTACTGCTATTCACTTGTTGAGAGGGTTCTGCAGTGGCGGCTAGCCCAGAAGTCCCAGAGCTCATCTTCGCATGCTCTGCCTGCATACTTCGAACCGTCTGAATTACAACTCTCCACCCCACATTCCACCATTATTGATTGGGTTGCATTTCCCTCTCTCAGAGATCGCCTTATTCAACACTACAATCGGAGCCCGTCACTTGGTCAAGTGTTTGAAGAACTCCTTGAACATGCCGTCATCGAAGTGGCTGACATCTCAACTATTCTCACGGGCGTGGAGCGAGGCCCTGGGTTCCTGGGAGTTTGCAATTTGTACCGTGCTCTGTCCCACACAACGGCTGAAGGAGGTACCGAGACCATGTATGACGGGAGTGTCCTTGAACTCAGGGATATTACCTTGGACGGGTTGTTTCAGATGTATAGGTTACCTGTCCCAGATACCTTCAAAATCTGCCAGCAAGCCTGTTCTGGTGACGGCATATGGGAACCAGTCCCACTCGCCCAACTACTGTTCTCACCACGGCTGGTCCAACGACTGTATCGCCACCTCAAGGTCTACATGGCTCACGAGAGGTGGCGGCTTGATCCTATATTCTACGACAAACACCCAGAGCTCAAGTGGGATGGGTACGAGGCAACGATTGCACGTGGTTCCAGCTATCGAGTTACCTCGGGATGGGAAGCAGCTACCTATGCATCTCCAAGCTCCTGCCTCGAGCCGACGGCATTGTGAGCATTAGAAGAGTGGCTTTGGGTATAATATATTGCTGTCTCCTCATCGGTCGCTGTGGCCTTGGGAGTTGCAACATAGTTTAAAGTCATCTTCGGGCATGAATGAATGTGTCAATCTATTACGTCTTTACCTGGTCAGCCTCACTTTCCAGCGGGAAAATCTCTGCCAGTAGTGTTAAATTCTCGGATAGAATATCCGCCTGAGGCACACTGGCAAAAGAGAAATCTCCAATACCAGGTGGGTCGTTGTACTCTACAAGTAAGATCCTCTGACATAAATCCTTCCACGGCAAATAGGATGCAGCTTTCCCCACACTTCGCAGCCTATTACATAAGATACTGTTATGTCACCATTGGCCAGACTTCTAGTCACTAGGTTCAAATTACCTAACAAGGCCTTTTGTCAACGATACATTGATACATTGGGAGAGATCTCAAGTCATTTAAGGCTCACCGAGGTCCCTGTATGATAATAATATTGACTATTCGTTATTATTCATTCCAATATTCGCGCACACGAAAACAATCATCTTATCGATCGTTACAATGACGGAGTGGCTGAGTAACAAGACTGTAGTTATTACCGGCGGGAGCTCGGGGATGGGTCACGCCACAGCCCTCAAGTTGTTAGCAGTAGGCGCCACAGTTCATATTATCGACATCCAGCCGCTGGCTTCCGGCCACCAGCCCTATCCACAGTCTGGCAAGTTATATACGCATATCCCCGTGGATATCACTTCCCGCGACCAGGTCCGCAGGGCCTTTCAGGAGATCGACAAGGTCAGTCCAGACATTTACGGGGTGGTCAACGCGGCTGGTGCTGCCCCCGAGGATGACCAGGGCCGATTGATCGAGAGCGACGCAGTATTCCACAAAACGTTTTCTATTAACGCCTTGGGGTGTTACCACGTTACTACCGAGTTCCTCACCAGGGTCAGAGACCGGAATGACCCGGCAGCTCCCGATGCTGCTGTTAAGGAGACCAAATACAACATTGTCACCCTCGGCTCTAGCGCCGCCCTAGTTGGCTTTCCACAATGCTGCACCTACACCGGTGCGAAGCATGCCGTGCTCGGGTTCACCCGAACTTGGTCGCTAGACTGGGCACCTTATGGTGTTCGTTCAAACATGGTGGCACCCGGAGCCACCAACACGCCCCTCGCTCGCGTTCAGATGCCGGATAACAATGAGCAGTCGAAAGACGACGTCTATGGTCAGCAGGATAGGGGTGCAATCATGGACATGGCCCGCCTTAAAGTGCCTCTCAAGCGATGGGGCGAAGCAGACGAGCTTGCTGATGGCATCATTTTCCTCCTCAGTGAGAAATCGTCCTACATAACTGGACAAGTCCTGCCTGTCAATGGCGGCTGGCCTCCATAAGTATGTAATCAAACTTGGGCACTGTCATCAACCAATACAACACCCTGGATTCAAGTCTGCACTCTGTTGGGTCATGTAGTATGGTATCACTAGATCTGCTCCTGAGAGGGAAGCTATATAGGAGAACTAGGACCACGAATCAAAAGATTACCACCCAGTTCAAGGCTTGGAAAGTGCAAATGAGCCACACTAGAAGACTAAACAGTCCCTGGCCATTGTTATGATAAGTTGTTGAATTTTACCTATCCAAATCACACTCTGCAGCAGCCGTAAATATCACATTCCATGTGCAATAAGCTAGAACGTGATCTCATCTGCAAAATGAGCATCTGGAAGGCACTAAGTGTCTGCTGCTATTTTCCTGCCTGGCGGGTTGATGACGGCATTCATAGACTTCACTATAACGGCTTTTAGGTATGGTCTATGATTTGGGCAAGCTAATTCATCTGGGACTAGCAAGAGATCTAAACATATTTAATCAGTGAGCCTTGTAGGTATACACTGATTGTGTGTTGCAAAACGACTTGATGCCGTCGATGCCGAGCTCCGACCCGATACCGCTACTCTTATGGCCGCCGAAGGTCGCGCTCGGGTGAATTGCCATGTGTGAATTAATCCAGATATTGCCAGCTTCAAGTTTCCTCGACATTCGGTCGGCTCTGTCAAGATCATGGGTCCAGATAGACGCTCCTAGGCCCATCTCTGTACCATTGGCTCGCTGAATAACGTCCTCTTCATCTTCCCACTGGAGCACAGGGAATATAGGGCCTATAGCGGAATGTTAACACTTTACTCGCTGTCCACACCTGGAAAGGGCATACCAAAGGGCTCTTCCTGCACTATTTTTGAATCTTCACTGGGGTTGTCGACGATGATGGGGTTGATGAAATAACCCTTGCCAGGAAAATTGATCCCTTCTTCCTCGCCGAGAGCCACTTCATAATTGCCCTCTCGGACTGAGCGAATGAACTCCTGTACACGGTCATACTGTGTCTTGTTCTGTATAGGCCCTGTGAAAGCTGTCTCATTGAAACCATCTGCCACAACCAAAGACTTTGCCGCCTGGACCATGGCGTTTAAGAACTTTCGATAAATGGATGAATGCACATAGACGCGCTTGATGCCAACACAGACCTGCCCGGAGTTGTAGAGAGCAAAGGCAGTGACCTTATTTCGAATTAGTTCACACGACGACAACCTGGGCGGTACACACCGTAGAACACCTACCTGAGGCGCCACTGTTGCAATGTCAACATCGCCACACACAATTGCTGAGTCGTTTCCTCCCCTAAACGGAGTCAGTACCGCGTGGACCTGGGGTAGCGCTGCACGTACAACTCTAAGGTCACTCTCTTCAGCGTCTTTGCACTGCTTTCGAGGATCTTACGGCCAGTTGCGGTTGAGCCGGTGAAACTAATCTTATTGACGCCAGGATGGACAGTGAGCAAAGGCCCAAGTGAGTCATCACCGCTCAGAACCTGCACAACGCCCGGAGGGAAATAGCCCTGAGCAAGCTCAACCAGCTTGATAGCGGAGTACGGGGTAAAGGGCCTGGAGTATTTAGTGTCCGAGTATCTTGACTTTGATGCCGCGTATGGGAACATACGACGGTTTGATGATGATGGGACATCCAGCGACCAGGGCTGGCCCAATTTTGAAAGCGTCTGTCAATCAAGTCAGTGACTTGTCATCATTGATATCCCAACCTATTAGCTGATTTGGATAGGGACAGGTGTTAAACATACACATGAGAATGGGAACTATGTCATTGTTAATATGAGCGCTTCAGAATATGGCAAGTGTCACGTACAATTCCAAGGAATGATACCCACAGCAACACCTTGTCGCAGCCCTTGTCAGTACAAACGCAGCTCACACAAGGTATCAAGACCAACGAACCCATGGGTACATATCGGGTGATTATACGGCGTTCCTCAGTGTCCTCTATCACCTCGTCTTCATAGAAGGGAAGCTGGGCTATGCCCCTTATCGACTTAACAGATTCTTGCAATTCGGTTACAGCGGCAGAAACCTGGAATATTCAAACGAGAACAATGGCGTCAGCTTTGTCAATCTTCAACTGCTCTCTACTCTGGGAAGACCTACAGGTTTGCCCTGTTCCGTAACTAGTTGCTTTGAAAAGCCGTCCATTTGTGCCTCGATCGCATCGGCGTATAGAAGGAGCGCCTTTTGGCGATCAACTAAGGGTGTGCAACGCCAACCTACTGCTGCCTTTTGGGCAGAAACGACGGCCGAGTCAACATCAGCCGGGCCGCTTACTGGGACGTCCTCCAATGGCTCAAGAGTCGAGGGGTTAATGCCATGACGCTTTTGTTTAGTCTCGGAACGGTCACCAGCAATGATGTTAAAGAACCGGTTGAAAGAAAGCGAAGGAGCAGGAGTAGTTATAGGCATCTTCAAGTGAGAAACACAAGCTGTGTATGGTACTAGACTTCGGTTGATCGGTGTATCGATGTTTGGCGTTCCCGACGATCTTGTAGTGCGCCTATCTCCTCTATTACATCCCTCGGTTGCCCGCATCTATGACAGGTATGAGCTTGCCTTGATGATTCTAAAACCCCCCCCCCCCAAAAAAAAAAAAAGAATAGAAAACAACATAATCAAAAGATACACGTCACCCTACTATCAGGTTTGTCAGCTCCATGCTGCGCACGTCTGTGTCTCTATTGTATTTCATTGTACTGTATTGGTCATAAATGTGGGTCAGCCTTTCAAACTCCGAGATCCCTGCAAGGTGTGTCAGTCTTTGGTTACCTAATCGGAGGAATACTCCAACCGTCATGTAAGTTTAGCTCAGTCCTCCGTCCGCGATTTGTGGGTTCCTTCTGAGAACAAGGCGACATCGGAGGTTGATTATGGTCCTATCTCATCCCCAGTCATTAGTCTTGTCTGGCCCTAGCAGTTGTGTACTTTCAAACACCAGGTACGACATCCAACATGGTGACTTGTTGGAATGGTTTGCATCAAAAGCACTCCGTCGCAAAAGAATACCACCCTGCAGTGTACTCTGAGGGCTGGAACTGGAACTAGATTCAGGTCGGTGATGTAAGAAGGGGTCGGGTCAAAACAGGACCCCGACCAACAAGGTCTCCATCCGTTACGCCCGTGTCTCTCCATAACAGAGTGACCAGAATGAGGTTAAGCATTGACACCAAGGGACCAGGTCGCATTGCTAATGGCTCTAGCTGTCGCGAGTAGTGCGTTATTAGCGCACTTGGAGGTTCCCCATGGGGGCTTGGGGTGCGGGGAGACAAAGCCATCCCAGTGATGATCGCTATCTCCGCTCCACTCTCGCGGTGGTGGGCAACCTCGGAAGAATACATGTGTCAACCAAAGTCGGGATCAATCGAATTCTGTTCGTTGAGGTGTCTGATCCTAAGAGACTAAAGGGGTACCTAAATCCCGCAAAGGGGATGCGCCTTCGAGGGGTGTCCGTAAAGGGCGGTGTGTTTAGGCACGAACTGCTCCACCAGCTAATTTGGCCCTGGGGGTTGTTCGTAGAAGACCAGCCCCTTCTGACAACATGCAAAGCAAGCAGGGCCACGAACCATGTGACTTTGCAATCGCCACGGCCGTCCAGTTCACTGGCTTGACACATCCTTTTCATCGCACGATTGCTACCTAGGTTTTCCTAAGAATATCACCACATCTGTCGGGTTGAGATGCCACGCTCACGAAAAAGACCGAGCACTTCCGAGGGAGATCAAGATGTCGAGGCCCGTTCCGAGCTGGATCAAGCCACTAAGAAGTATGCGCACCTCGCCACAGAAGCTTCATAGCTTAGACCAAGGGTAGTCAATGTGTGTGCTAACGAGCGCGGCGCATCTTTCCAGGCGGATGCGAAACCGATTATCCCAAAGGCATTTCCGCGAGCGAAGGTCCATGTACATCAAAGAGTTGGAGGAGCGGTCGAAATTGAATTCGCAGTCGGAGAGCGAACGGAACCGGATTCTGTCACAAGAAGCAGCCCAACTAAGAAAGGAAATGCTCAAGTTACGATCAAAGGTCATCAAGCTGTCCATTTCCCTTAATAGTATCGGGGCAGAAGTTGGAAGACTTCTTGACAAGAATGAACCTGAAGAGTTGGCTCGTGAGGAGCAAGACCACGACGAGAGCACAGCAAACTCTGGCCCTAGCCAAGGTTCCAACTCGCCTGAAGCCTTTGCCGAAACGAGCCCCAAAGAGTCCGCCATAGAAGGCCATACAGAGCAGGCCAACTCGAGACTGGAAGGACCTGATCATGGCTCTCCAGTGCACAGGCACTCTCCATTGTCCCGCCCTTCTCTACAGCCCACAGTTACCAGTGCGCCAGAGAGGAACGACATAGCTCTTCAAAGCCAATTGAGCGACTTCACCACAGGCTGCAACGGGAGGCAAGGTCCTGGTCTTGAGGATGTCCTAGACCCAGATCATGAGTATCAAGGTCATTTTGACTGGCTAGACGAGCCTGCAGACCTGCCGGAGTTGTCTCCCATGAACCTTGGATCAAGCTCCGGCCCTCTACGCCCTGTCGCCTACCACCAGCAGGCTGAACTGGCATCAGAGTTTCCACCACAAAACAGTGCGACCGACTTCAATGCCCACAATCTGTACAGTGCCTCGACTGCTTGCAGCTTACCTTTCGTGGCCTCGAGCCAAGGAATGGAGTTGTACAATTTCAATGAAGAGAGACCCGAGTCCCCAAGAGCCATTCAGGGGGAGGAAGCCACCATGTATGACTGGGAACGGCAGACATCGGTGGCCATCTCAATGGTCCCGCCCCAAGTCGGGATTTCCATACCCCCGGGGCTGCATCCTGTTTCCAGTAGTGAAACACCTGGTGGGTCATTTCTAATGAAGTCCAGGCTCTCTGAGCATATTGAGGTCATGGAGGCATACATTCGTCTTCGACTCACCACCGCACCGGAAAAGATATCCCGTCGACGGTAGGCTCTCAGGTGTACCCGGTCTTTCCTTTCCGCTTCCAGGATACTGACACAAGGAAATAGGCTGCATCGTTTGTGCGCTAGCATCATGAGTCTCACTGCTCACAATGCGTGGCCCCCCATTGTCCCGCTTTGGTTCAGAACACAGGCTCCTGAAATCATCATGCCCGTTCTCACATGGCGCCTTTACCCGTCGCCAGAGACTTACAAGGGTATGCTGCCAGACTGGAGACCAACCGAACTTCAGATCACTGTCCCGCATTCAGCCCTGATCGACTTGGTGCCTTACAGCGCGTTGAGAGACCGGGTGTTGACGTATTACAATGGTGGGGTAGCACTCGACAGGCTGTTCTGTGATCTTCTGAATAGCTACGCTATTGAAGTCAATGATGTTTCCAAAGTTTTACCCTTGGAGCCACCAGGTAAGGCTTACTTTGGGGTTTCAAACGTCTTCAAGGCAATTTATATGCCCCGGCCTGAAGTCGCAGCAGTCGCAGATGTTCCAATGAGCACCGACTTGTTGAACACAGGAAGCAGTTCTTCAGATACGAGTATTCAAGAAGTATTTGACGAAGTAGCCGCGGGGCATGACTGGCAGGAAATTGCGGCCACGGGGAACTTGACACTTCAGAGACGGGAGCGGCGGCAGTCGTTGCTGACCGATAATACGCTCGCAACCAGTCTCACCGAGATTCTTGCAACACCAGAGCTGGCCTTAAGGCTCTCGCATAGTATCCGATTGTATGCTGCAAAGTCCTGGAAACTGGACAGAAGCTTCTTTGAAGCTTGGCCCGAGCTCAAGTTTGACGGACACGAGACTCTGGTTGCACAGGGCAGGTCTTACCGAATATCGACTGAGACTGACGCCCCTGTTGCGCTGACAGAAACAACGATCAAAATGTATCACGACACACTTCAAGCGGTTGTCTAGGATTTATAAGTCAAATAAATAGTAGTGAAAAAAAAAGATAGTTCCACAAGGCAATACTATGTTTCGTTTTCAGAAACGTGACTGTCATAGAGTACCTGGTCTGACGTGACATCTCTTCTATGTTAACGCTACATAGTACATCCACATGGTTCCGTATCGGCATAACCAATTGAAGTGTTACTGACTGGGCTGTTCTTGACAAAGACTCGGATCTTTATGGAAGGGGCCGCCTCACATCGAGTGACGCAACTCTGTTCTTCCCGCTCGGCCCACTGACAAGCTCCAGGGATTGTCCGTCCCCGTAATTCGGCGGTGACCTAATACTTGCATGTGTCATCCGCTAATGGTTTTGTTTGGGCAGTGGAAACCATGCTAACTGAACATGAGAGCCACAAAAGCCGGTCTTATTGCTGGCCCAGGAACCGGGCTTGTAAGCTGTCCCCGACTACTGAAGCATTGAAAGCTTCTTATCAAGTTGATAATTTTCTGCCGCTGCCCATAATGGTCCACCTCGATGGCGGAGGAAGCAATATTGCACAACAGTGTGGATTTACAAGATCGGCTGTGGTGATTATTGGGGCAGGCTTTTCAGGTGAGTCTTTTCACGCACCTGGTTGTGCCAACTCCTGATGAAGGTGAAGATGCTAACGCGAACGAACAATGATAGGAATGTGCATGGCTATCAAATTGCTCGAACAGAAGATAGAAGATTTTGTCATTCTTGAAAAAAGCACTGGGTTCGGCGGAACATGGAAGGATAATGCCTATCCAGGATGCTGCTGCGATAGTAAGTGAAAGCGGGTGTTTGGCGCATGACGGGGGAGAAGAAGAGCTTAAAGCGAAATAGACAGCCCAACTGACACCTAGACACCTGCATTTAGTCCCATCTCGTCTGTATAGTTTCTCGTTCGAGCAAAATTCCCACTGGTCGAAGCTTTTTCCTGAGCAAGAAGAGATTCTTGTGAGTATGCCTTGTGGCCCAGCGGCGTGAGATTAAACAGCAATCGCCCAGGTGTCTGACAATCTGTAGGACTATATGACAAGCATAGCGAGAAAGTATGATCTCTACAGATTTGTGAGATTCGCTTCGCACGTCGATGAAGCAACGTGGGATGAGAGGGCACAACAATGGGACGTCTCTGTTAGGGTGATGTCAGGGAAGGAAGCTGAGGCTTGCCAGCGATACACCCTGAGTACCGATTTCCTTGTTGCTGGCCTTGGTCAACTCAATGAACCGCATCATCCTAAAATACCAGGAGAGGACGAATTTCGGGGCAAAATCATGCACTCTGCACGATGGGACTGGAGTTATGATCTCCGTGGCAAGCGTGTGGGCGTCATTGGCAACGGTTAAAACCTTAAAATGGCCCTCTTTCTGAAAATTCTAGCTGACACGGTACGACAGGTGCGACTGCAGTGCAAGTAGTTCCCGAGCTGGCCAAGGTAGCCTCTCATCTCACTATATTCCAACGCACGCCCAACTGGGTGATTCCAAGAATGAACGAGGTTGTGCGTGAATGGAAGAAGGTTCTTCTTCGAAGATTGCCCTTCGTCATGAACCGATTAAGGGCCGAGACCATGGACAGCAGGGAGGTATACTACCAGGCGTTGATCCAGAGGCATTCCACTGAGTCTTCCGACCTGGCCCAATTCTGTCAAAACTTCATCCAGTCTCAGCTACCAGACCGCCCCGACCTGTGGAAAATCCTTACTCCGAACTATCCTCCTGGCTGCAAGCGTATTCTCATCAGTGATGACTATTATCCGGCCTTACATCTGCCCAATGTCACTCTCGAAACCAGAAATATTCAGCGCATTACACAGACAGGCATTGTTGTTAAAGGCCACGACACTAATGAGCCAGAGGAGCCCATCATCCTTGACCTCATTATTCTGGCTACCGGATTCTCGACCCAGAATTTTATGCACGGTATCAAGGTACACGGAATTGGAAAACGGTCGCTGGACCAGATTTGGAATAAGGGCGCCATGGCGCTCTACGGAGTTACCGTGGAGAGCCTCCCAAACTTTGGCATGCTCTACGGACCAAATACGAACCTAGGTCACAATTCGATCATTCTCATGATCGAAGCCCAAGTTCGGTACCTCATCCCTCTTGTGAAAGAGGTTGTCAGTGCTCGGCATCGCGGCCAAGCACTGTCCTTGATGCCGAGACCAGAGCGGATCAGCGACTGGAATAAGAAGTTGCAGAGCGACCTCGCAACTTCATCCTTTGCCGACCCCAGATGCAGCAGCTGGTACAAAACTGAGGATGGCCTCGTCACAAACAACTGGAGCGGACCAGTAACAGAATACCAGAAGTTGATGTCCACAGTTGATTGGTCCGACTTTGAGTTCAACGGCCAGTCAACCAATGTGCCCAAAGGGGAGCTACGTATCGGCAGGATCGTGGAGGGAACTCTTTTAGGATATCGCTCGCTGATTTCTGGGACAGCGCTATGTGCCTTGGCTGCTGCAGGCTTCATTTCGTATTTTTGGCAGTAGGTAGATTCACCACTTGTTGATCTTGGAGCAGACGGTGGGACGAGCTGAACTCGGCCAGTAACTATGAGGATGTTGGATTATTCATTTCTCAAAACTCTAAGTCATACACGTGAGCGCAGTTGCGGCATTTCAAAGAATAGTTCGTTTGTTCTCGACCCAGACGATTTAAAGTGTACATTTCAATGTTTTATCTGAAGCTTACTACCCCGCGATCAATTATTAAATCCGATGAGATAATCAAGGTTGCACTCGATTTCCTGGCGTGATTTAAGGCTTTGACCTATTTCTTATCTTACAAACTCTGATGCGAGATCCTCAGGCCAATATGGCTTGTCTACTCCATTGGTCCTCGTTCCCACGTTGAAACCAAACTCAACCTCGCCGTCTGGGTACTGCAGAGCAGGCTTGAGTACCTTGATATTGTAGCCTATGCTGGGGCAAGGGCGTTCCTCAAAAAATCCCGGCCGGAATAGGGAGCTGCCGTGACGCTGCATCAGTAGTTTGAGGACAGCTGGGATTGTCTGGGTCATATTTTGATAGTGTCGGAAGACGGGCTGCCCATTTCTCTTCCAGAGCTCCTGCCAGACTTTGGAAGGATATGTTCCGCAGGATCTCACCAGCCATTGTGAATAATAGTTTAGAGAGATCTAGATCAAAGAGTAGAAGTCTCAGCACCATTGTAGAACCTCGAACTCGGATGAACTTACATCGACGCGGTAAGACCCACCATCGCTTGCTCGCTTCAACAGGCTCTGCAGGACTCCGGCAACCCCAATCACTCCAGTACAGTAATCACTATTGGGGAAGACTGGTGTGACAGCTTCATCGTGGCCCATAGCCCTGCCGTAACCAGTTGATACTCCACAGCACTACTGGTGTTTTAGCACGTCCAATCCGCTGGCCAAGTGAAAAGCAATTACTCAACTTACGGCGTCACTGATTTGCTGCCAGCCGCTTCTTCCTGCCCACGGTCCATGCCATCCGTAGCAGTTCTCGCGGACAACTATAATGCCTCGGCTACGGGATTCGCAAAGCTGGATGATCTCGTCGTGGCCGAAGCCAAACTTGTCCAGAACACCTGGTCGATAACCTTGAACGATAACATCGGCTTCGAGTATGAGATTCCTCATTTTCTCTCTTTCTTCATCCAGCTTGAAGTCAAGACTAGAATTCCACTTGCCCCAATTGAGATCCAGATGGAGCGCAGTGTAGTCCGGCAATCGGGGGCATGTAACCCTCATGACGCTGGCACCAAGCTCGGCCAGACCTTTGGAGACGGCTGGTCCTGCAATAACCCGCGTCAAGTCGACGACCTTGAGGCCCGCGAGTGGCCTTTTCGCAGACGTATGGGGTGTCTCAAGCCACCAGCATGGGGCTTGTGCAGCATTAGGGTAGGCTTCGATCTCAAACAAACCGACGCTGGCATTAGCTTTGCCATGTTCGCTCTCAAAATACTCGTCGCTGGTCATGCATATGGTACCGGCTTGGCGATAGTCATCATTTTCAAGCTTGTCCATATCTTCGGCGGTTTTGGTCGAAACTGCCTGAATGTACGGCTTGAGGGCATCGTCGTATGTTGCGGTATCTCGTTGAAGGGGTAGACTCAAGCTTTGAATGGTAGGATCCGGATTCATGCTGCCTATAGAATAGTCAGACTCAAGCCTTCGCTGCAAGGAGTCCTCGTGCGGCAGTCTGGTGGGGATAATGCCTACCATGTAAATGGTAGAAACGGCCATCCTTGGTTTTGTAAATATTCGTGGCAGCAATGCGATGTAGCTTTTCGTGAGCGTCTCCCTTATCCCAGCTGTTTCGACCCTTTAGCCCTCAAGATAGACAAGATCTTGCGTGGGGGTGCTTTTGTACCTTGGAAAGCATTCGTAAAAGTCCTTTCTCCCTTCGGGCGTTGCATTTGACGCTAATGTAATGTGTTTATCATTGGGATCTATGTCATAAAGAAGAGCAGACATGATAAGTAGTGAAGCATGATCACTGTTCCTGGCAATGTAAGTCATACTCAGCTCGCAACTCGTCAGATTGGGCAGAAACTGACGTATTGATGGCGACACAAGGTGGCTCAACTCCATACTTCCTCAACAACAGTACATTCAGGAGTGTCGCCTCAAAGGCCTTGAGCGCCGAGATGCTCTCGGACAGGCGCCAATTTATTGGGATCATGGGCTCCTTGGAGCCACTAAAGTGAATCCTAGCAGCGCATGATGCAGCTTCGGCGGGCAGATCCTTGCTTATGAGAGGATTCTCAAGAATGCCTTTGAAAAATACATTCCTGGCCTCATCAAGCTTAGAGTATGTATCTTGTGATATCATGATGGAGAGTGTGGAGATTGGGGGTTGACGGCTTGGCTGTGGTGAGGTCTTGTCTAAGATTTTGAGATTGGATTAGTGGTCAAATGATGTAAGACCCTTGGAAATGGCGATGGAAACGCTACCCGCGGCTTCAAGTATTTTGAAAAGGGAAGTCAAGAGACGTCCCTATGACTAACTTTATGTTAGTCAACAGCCTGAGGTAACCACACGTTGTTTTTTTTTTGTCATGCTAGCTTAGCTCATGCCCAATTGTCATCGCCCTCGACACAAGCTCGAAACTATTTCATTTACAGATTGTGGGACCTCGCTATATTATAAACTGGAAGTTCCATGAATTCCCTGTCGTACGATTCCCATTATCTTTCTGCATCCGTGGCAAAACCACGCCTCTTTCATCCAGACACGCGGGACACTAGAGCTATTCAAAATGGCAGACTATTCATCCAGGTGGGATAAGCGGGGGCAACGACCGGTCAGGATTGCCAATTGTTCGGGAGCACGCGGTAAATAATAGCACATCGTGGGTGTGAGTGACCATCTCGCTGACGTGCTATGCAGGTGATCCTGGCTATCAAATGCGGCGGCAGGCCGAACTTGGAGACGTCGATTTTATCACTGGTGACTATCTTGCTGGTACGTAAAATCTGCCTATCCTTGCGTCAGAAGCTCACTGTTTTTTCAAGAGATGAACATAGCGGATAATGCGGCCGCCTACCATCAAGGCAAGCATCCAGGATACGACCCAAACGCCCTACAAGGATTCCGAGAGAGCATTGATTTGATCGCCAGAAAAAGGATCAAAGTCATCATCAATGGAGGGTCTCTCAATCCCGCCGGTCTGGCGGAGGAGTGCCGAAAGCTGGTAAGTTCACCTCCTACCAACCTGGGGGCTCTGCCCACTAATAAGTGCGAAGGCTATAGAGCGACAGCTTGACCTCAAAATCGCATTCATCTCAGGGGATGACCTGTATGAGCAGATAAAATCTGACATTGACTCAACCCGAGTAATCCCCGCCCATTTGGACAGTGGGAATCCTCAGGTATCTATTAAGGCAGTGGTTAGGGATTTTGCCCGCGACCCAGCTGCGTCGTCCATCGTGTCCGCAAATGCCTACCTAGGGGCGAGAGGCATCGTCAAAGGCCTTGAGAATGGAGCAGATATCATCATTTGTGGCAGAGTAGCTGACGCCTCGCCAGTCATTGGTGCGGCATGGTTCTGGCACTCTTGGAGTGACCAAGATTATGATAACTTGGCACATGCCCTGATTGCTGGCCACTTGATTGAGTGTTGCTCCTACATCACTGGCGCCAATTACGCTGCTTTTTACGAGGTTGACCCTGAAGTTCTCATAGATCTACCGTTTCCTATTGTTGAAATTGGTAATGACGGAGCCGCTGTAGTGTGCAAGCACGCAAACACAAAGGGACTGATCACAGTGGACACGGTCAAATGCCAATTCTTGTACGAGTTACAAGGCAATCTTTATCTCAATAGTGATGTAACGGCGGTACTGGACAATGTAAGGATTGAATCAATTGGGACTGACAGGTAAGGCGCGCTAAAGTCACATAAACCTTCCTCGCTATACGACTAAAAACTTTGTTGTCTAGGGTTTTAATGACTGGAGTTCGTGGTCAACCACCAAGCCCGACAACTAAACTAGCCATCTTTTTCCAGGGAGGGTTTCAGTCACAGATCTTACTAAACGCCACGGGATATGCAACTGCAGAAAAATGGGCAATCTACGAGAAGCAGATCCGTTTTGGCTTGCAAAAGTCGTGCGTACTTGACGACTTCAGCTGTCTTGAGTTTCAAGTCGTCGGGGTCAATGAGGCAAACCCGAAATCACAGCTGAGAAGCACAACTTATTGTCGTATTTTCGCTCAAGCTGTCTCCGAGAAGCCGCTGAACATGCTGCTGAAGACAATACAAGAATATGGCATGCAACACTTTTCAGGTACGCCACAGTCAACAGCGAAGATGCCGGCTATCATTTCCGTATCTAAGCTAACAGCTAATTCACTTAGGATTTCATCTCTCGTTCGATCTCAGGACCGGGTTTCCGCTTCCTTTTAACCAATATTATCCTGCCCTAGTGGTCCAAACTGAGCTGAAAGAAACTGTCAATTTCCTTGGGAAAGATGGGCAAATTTACTCATCCATTGATGGCGGTCACCCGCCCAGATACCAAAAGCTTGGGCGCCGGGACAGCTACGAGACTGCTTTGGTAGCAGATCTTGAGATTTTCGGACCAACAAAGCGTGCAAGGCTGGGTGATATTGTCCTTGCACGATCTGGAGACAAGGGCGCCAACCTCAACATCGGACTTTTTGTGAGAGATGCGGATACTTGGCCGTGGTTGCAGTCTTTCATGACGTGTGCAAGAATGAAGGCCCTCATCGGCGATGATTGGTGTGAGGAACTCTTTCTAGAAAGGGTTGAGTTCAAGAACCTGCATGCTGTTCATTTTGTGATCTACGGCATACTGGGCACCGGAGTCAGCAGCTCGACTCGTCTGGACTCATTAGGGAAAGGTTTTGCAGATTACATTCGCGACAAGGTTGTTGGCATTCCTATGAAGTTCTTGAAGAGCATAACGGTCACGGCTGTTCATACATAAACGACACTAGCAGTCAGCTTCGCGACGAATTCTCGTTCAGCAACCGTCGATGGTTGGGAAATTGATATGTACAAATGGCCTGTCCAAGTTCTCCACTGTCAGGACTATCACCACACTTAGTCTATGGGCCTATTTAACACATGGCCAATACACTCTCTGGCCTCCTTTCCTGTCTTTTCTTGATCTTACATGTCAGTCAACAAGCAGGGAGTGTAAGCCTATGATGTCCTAGAGGCAGCTGACGCAGCCCAAATATTTCATTGGATCTTTTTGTTAAAGACTCCGAGAACAGGGACCATGTGCGTCACACACTTTCAGCAATGTTGATTTGCGGTAGTCCATTGTCATTAGGGCCAATGCAATCATCTTGCGTACCAATCTCGGCTTTCTGCTTCATCGATCACTTATGCGCATCGCTCACCTATCAAAAAAGGCATAATGTGGCAGTTCAAGACACCTCTCTAATTACGTGTCACATATCGCACCATTGGTGATTGCGTAACACTAGTTGTAGTCACACTCGACGATCTGCCACAAGTGCGTTTACGATTACGGCATGCACTCTTTGCTAACTCATCTTGGCGAACTGCCCATGGGACGTCAAATGACACTCCGTGTAGGCTATTTCCAAGCGAACATGTTACTTTTGAAGAAATTTCAAACTTTTTGTGCTTTTCTCTTTCTTTCTTTTGCCCTCGTGCATACCTTCATTCTAGAGGTTGATCTTGGATCTGACACACGAACAGGTTACTCGCTGGCGTACGCGCATTACGATACAGACCTACCTAGAGTACAAACAACGCCCGTACTGCGTGAAATCTCGAAATGGCTGCAGTAGCTCCCAAAGTACCCTCAAATCACAAGGCCGCGGTTTACGACAAACCAGGTACTATCTCTACCAAAATCATCACAGTAGATACGCCAGAGCCTGGGCCGGGAGAAGTTCTCATTAAACTGTATGGCGAAATATCCCTTACCTTCGCTGGTTTTCAGTTTTCTAGGATGCACCCCATGATTGAACTCATGCTGATGTGTGATAGAACACATTCTGGCGTCTGTCACTCTGATCTGGGAGTCATGACGAACTCTGTATGTCTATTTCACTCTCTCTTCTAATTTTTAAATATTCTTTTCGACTAATGAACCACGTCTTGAAGTGGAGGGTGCTTCCCTACCCAGTACCTGAAGGTCAAGTTGGGGGGCACGAAGGAGTCGGACGCGTCGTGAAGATGGGACCAGGAGTAGATTCTAGCGGGATCAAGATAAATGATCGTGTAGGAGTCAAATGGATCTCTAGCGCATGCGGCAGATGTAGTGAGTGCACCTTTCCCTGTGGCTCTTCCAGACCACCGCGCCATGTTTCACCATCTCTACCTTTCTTCGGTTCTCATTTGTCTATCTTGGCTTTGTTCTTCACCAACCGTCCCTTATGCTGACCCTTTCTTTTCCTGTCAGCACCTTGCCTTAAGCAGCAAGATGGGGTATGTTTCAATGCCAAAATATCTGGCTATTTCACCCCAGGTACCTTCCAGCAATACGTGCTCGGACCAGCCGCCTATGTTACGCCGATTCCAGATGGTCTTGATTCCGCTGAAGCTGCTCCTCTGCTCTGTGCGGGCCTGACAGCGTACTCTGCCTTGTTGCGTAGCAGGGCAAGACCCGGAAACTGGGTCGTCATTTCAGGGGCTGGTGGCGGGCTGGGCCACCTCGCTTGCCAGATCGCATCAAAAGCCATGGGGCTGCGTGTCATTGGAATTGACCAAGGAACCAAGGGTGAAATCATCATGGAGTCGGGAGCTGAACACTTCGTCGATGTCACTCGGTTCAGTCAAGATGATGGAATTTCAAACCACGTCAAGTCACTGGCTGATGGACTTGGTGTTGACGCCGTGATTGTCTGCACCGGCTCAAATCATGCCTATAGACAGTCGACGGGTTTCCTGCGCTTCAGCGGTACTGTGGTCTGTGTCGGAGTTCCGGAGGGCGCATTGATTCCAATTGCTGGTGCTTGCCCATCTGCGTTGGTCGTTCAAAACCAAAGCATTGTTGGATCGGCAGTTGGCAATCAGCGCGAGGCGGCCGAGGTTCTTGACTTTGCTGCTAGAGGAATCTTGAAGGCTCATGTCGAAATCAGAAAGCTCGAAGATTTGACCAAAGCCTTTGAGGACTTGGGAGCTGGCAACTTGCGTGGACGGATTGTGGTGGACCTATCGTGATGGATACACGTTCAGCTCCCGTATTTGTCAATTCCTTGTACCCGTTAAAGAAAACTCCTATGTTCTTATGGGGACGGTTTGGTTGGCCATGACACCTTTCCGCTCTGATAACCCAAAGAAAAGACAGCTATTATGTCTAGAGCAAAGTGTCTCCTGTTACTCACCAATAATTTACTTAAAGCACTTTGAAACAAGAGTGCTGATGATGAGACCGGTGTGATTTACAGCATGAGGCGCGAGCTCCTCCGCCTTATCTCTTCCCTCATCGCAGATCAGTCAATGCTAAAAGTCAGCTTAATGATCGAGCAGACAGGTGTGTGACGGAGAAGTTGACCTGGTCAACAGTTTTAACCTCGTCGCAAATGACATCACCGGGTTGGTGCTTCAAATCCGTCTCCATGGAGTATCAGACTATCACAAGGACGATGAAAACTGTAGAAAGAACGAGGCACAAAATGATCGATACTGCCATACAAGTCACTATCTACATACATCGGTAAATATGGCCTTAAATACAGGTGTACAATATTTAAAGATGTGGTCCGTTTCCTTCTGCCTGGCTGAAGCAACCCGTATTCCAGTCTTCGATTAAGAAGTCCATAACCTCCTCAAACCCGGCAGTTGTGTTCAAATCTTTGCCAAAAGCAGCTATTTCGTAATTCAGTGCCACGTTCCGTCTATTAGCACCTGGAGTGTCATGATGACTGCTGATGTCTTCGATAAGCTTGTCAAGCTCCGTCCATTCACTGATGTCACCATAGGCGGCCCCCTCAAGATTGCCTTCATGATAACGTCTTGGGGCTTCTATGACATCGATTGAACTGGGTGTGCTCTCTCTCAGCCCGTACAAAGGCTTGGATGTCGACGAAGGTGCATTGTCTGTGGTCGCAGCGCTTTCGCAGGCATCTACAATCTTTTTCGACGGTTTCGATATTTCCTAGTCCATCGTGTATAAAGCCCGGTGGTTCCATCGAACGAGGAGAAGAAGATCTGTAAGCGCGCCTTTGATTCCATCTTTGTGAGCGTCTTCTATGCACAGGACGGCCCGGACCGGCTACTCACGTCCAAGAAGGCCTCCTTGCCTTGCCAACAATGACACAGTCCACATTGTCCATAGAGCAATTGCTGCAGGGTTTTCCGAATATTGAGACATCGCATCGAACCTTTCTAGATCGACAGCCGAGGCATGCTTGGGGCACTCTCCTCCTTCCCTTGTTGCTCTTCTTGGCTTGATACATGAAGGGTGAAAGGAGACATTTGTGCCTAAAATTCCGTTTGTAAGAAGGAATGTCTTGCATCTGTAGATTCGAAATCGCCTACAGAGACTTAGGCTTTTTTTTAAGCAACCAATGAACGACAAGAGAGGCTGTAGTGGCTCCAACGTTGCATCTGGGTATTTTGATGACTACAGGAATCGTGACTAATACCTGCATAGTGCCGGCTACTGTTTATCTGTGCATCACCGTCCACCAGCCGCTGCCACCCCCCCGCGACCGCTGCCCATTGCTGAGGCATTTGTCAAAACATGGTGAATATGTTGGGATTGAGAAATTGGGTGGTAGGATACCGCCCTAATCAATACATAGCGAGGGATAGGCTTTCCGTCATTGGAAGACCTGCTCACAGTATTTAGAGTAGCCGGCTAGCGTTCCACACAAGCCTGGCTGCACGATTGCCACTGGGCTTAACTTCTGTCAGGTTACAAACCATGCCCTGTCTGCATCCTTGCACTCCAGGTTGGCTGATCTCAAAGAGATTTAAAGCTCTCGTCGTCAATTAGTGCAGCGAGATATTTGTGCTAACTACTACCTAACTAAGCCTTCCCGGCAGCCTCCAAAAGGATCGAGACAACTGTGTCTGGATTACTCAACATTGGTACATGGTCACCATCCGCTTCGACCAGCTTGAGGCTCCTATTTTGTTTTGCTGCCCTTTCGTACATCCGCTTCTGAACAGCTGGCGGAACTCCGTAGTCGTCGCGGGGAATCAGACACCACGTAGGAATAGTATGCCATCCAGAATAGCTCACAGAGTCCAAGTAGCTTTGGCGAGAGTGGTACCCGATTTTACTCATATAGTAATCCGCATCTTTTTCGGGAAGACAGTTGAGAATCCATTTCCCGCCGCCCTCCTTACTGAGCTCCATGAAATCGCTCTAGCCATAAAAGTAGATTAGCAATTCAGCATCAATGGTAAGCCGTGCTACAAGTAGAAAGCCGCATACTACTAACCTGTGGATTCTTGAGCTGGTCCGGCATACTCTCGCCCAAAAGCGAGGCCACACTCTCGCCGATATCAGGAAGGAAACTAGCCAGGTAGGCGAGCCCTACAACGCCCCCTTTCAGGCCATTTTGTGCCCGCTCTGTCTTGGAATACCCCTTCACAGACTCTGAGCCCGGAAAGCCACCGTACGAGTTCATGCCCAACACCACGTCGTATCCTTTGTCTGCCCATTCCTTGATAGTCTCTCCCAGCATGGCTACATCATCACATAAGGTTGGTACAGGTCGAGTCTCCCGGTCTTGGACACACGTTGGAAGGCTGGTTTCGATGACTTGATGGCCTTTGTTCCGCAGTTGCTCCGATACCTTGTGGAAAAAGAGGGGTGGGGAGAACGAGCCAGGGACAAGGATAAACGCTGTGGGTGCCATGGTTGCAAGGTGATTGCTTGTAGACTTGTAAAATGTCTGGTTCGACAATTTTCCCTTGAAGGGTTATTTGACCACCATAATTTCACGTTCTGCTTGTTCTGGGTGTGTGATGATATAAAGGACGTTAGTCGAGACTAAGGCCGTGTGCGGGGAAATTCATGCTCTGGCACTTGAGCGGAATCACATTTTGAATATGCGACTATTCCCACGTCTAAGTCAATTTGTCAATTCCATGAATCATAGCTGGATGTCTTGACAAACGGGTCAGTTACGTTTTCAACCTCTCCGCTACTACTGGTTTGTTAAGAAAACCTGACATTGGTGGTTAGAAGACGAAGGAAAATCGCCATATCACGTAACGAAACATACAGTCAGTCATTGTGGGGAACACATCTCGAAGTCTGCACTCCAGGCACTCATTGGGGTCATCGTTCGTCAGATGTCCTGGTTTTCCAGCTACATAAGATTGCAATGCCAGTATGCAGTTTGAGATTTAGATTGATGAGACAGCCAATCGCATCAATAGAGCTTTCGCTACACAGACAATAACCAGGACATAACATGTGGGCTCCAACAAAAGCCAGTTCAGCCACCAACGGCGTGAAAAAGTCACTAGCTCCCTACGAGTTTGACCCTTCTGACCCCTACAACTTCTCGCGGCGGGCTGTTGACCAGCTGCGCCCCATGAAGGTCATTGTCCTAGGTGGTGGAATGTCGGGCATCATTACAGGAATCTTCTTTCCTCGAGAAATTGAAAACCTTGAGCTCACGATCTATGACAAAAATCCAGACCTCGGGGGGACCTGGTTTGAATCCAGGTATGTGATTCCCTCCGAATATATTCAACAGCAAGCCGATGCTTACCAGAGGCCCATTCGACAGATACCCCGGTGTGGCATGCGACGTGCCATCTCATGCCTATCAATTTACATTCGAAAGCAACCCCAAGTGGAGCCGGTACTGGGCCAGTGGGCCCGAAATCCAGGAGTATCTCAAATCCGTTGCTAAGAAATACGGCGCGGATAAGTACATGAAATTCAACCATACAGCTGAGAAGGCTGAGTGGGATGAGGCAAAGGGCAAATGGACGGTAACATTTACCAAAACTGACACCAATGAGGTCAGTATGGACCAACCCTCACTAAAGCAACTCGCGTAGGCTGACTCTTTGCCTTCATTCCAGGTCGTTACAGACACCGCCGATGCTGTAGTGCAGGCCGTGGGTGCACTGAACAAGTGGAAGATGCCCGATATTAAAGGACTCGACAAGTTCAAAGGCAAGCTGATGCACTCTGCCCACTACGATACCAGCTTTGATGCGACAGGAAAGAGAGTGGCTTTGATCGGTGGTGGTTCTAGTGGGATCCAGATCCTTCCCCAGCTCCAGGCCGTAGCTGCACGCGTGGACCACTACATGAAAGGGAAAACCTGGATTCCGCCATTCGGCCTTGGGGCGGCTGGTGTACTGAACCGTAATGGAGACCGTAAGCGTCTTAACGCTCTAACATTTGCTTGTTGGCTGAGCTGATGCAGATGAACTTAGCGAATACTCCACAAGAGGAACTCGACCAATGGAGAGATCCCGAGAGGTACCTCGAATACCGACGCAAGATCGAAAGCAGCCTACACGAAGCTTCAGATGTGCTTTGGAAAGACACTCCGAGTGCCATTGGTTTCCAAAAGATGTGCGAGGACCACATGCGTGCCAAGCTAGCCAAGAAACCCGAGATTTTCGAGGCCCTGTGCCCGACATTCGCTCCAGCCTGCCGTCGCCTGACTCCAGGTCCTGGGGTCAGTCTGTTCCAAGTCCGAACTTCTGAGGTTGACTCCTAACTAACACCGATTCTAGTACCTCGAGGCATTGGTCGAGGACAACGTAGAATTCATCCCGACCCAGATACAAGAATTTGTGGAAGATGGAATCATCACTGAGGATGGGAAGAAACGAGAGGTCGATGCGATTATCTGTGCAACTGGCTTTGCTGGGTATGTCCCTCGGTTCTTTCATCAATCCTTACTAGCTTCCGTTACTAATGATGAAATTGACGAACAAGGTATAAGCAACACTTTCCAGTTATCGGAAAGAACGGGATCAATCTCCAAGATCAGTGGGAGAACAACATTCCCGAGTCTTATGTAGGGATTGTGCCAGAGAACATGCCAAATTTCTTCGTCATGCTAGGTCCAAATGGCGGGCCAGGGGTTGGCTCCACGGTACCCTTCTTGGAGAGCGTGGCCAAGTATGCCATTATGTGCATACAAAAGTTACAACGAGAATGGTACAAATCTATGACGGTGAAGTAAGCAATGAAATCCTTTCAGAGAAACATTCGTCATGCTAATTAATTCATAAAGGGCCGCCGTAATCAAGGATTTCGGTGAATATACCGATGAGTACCTTGAACCAACAGTCTTCAACTCAAGTGTAAGCTGGACCATAACTTGCATCAAAGGTTCAATCAAGTCTCTAACGTCGACGCAATTTAGTGCAGGTCCTGGTGGCGACACAAAGGCGACGGGCGCATCCTCGCGCTTTGGCCGGGCAGCGCTCTTCATGGCATCTACGTTTGGTCTCACCCCCGTTGGGAGGACTACGAATATGTTCTGAAGGATGAGCTTAAAGGTAAGTCACTTAATTGGCTCGGCAACGGATTTGTCAGGGCCCAGCTGGAGGGAAGAAATACGACTGAATACCTTGATGACAAAGTACTGGTGGAAAGTGCTGTTGAAAAGGAAAACAGAGCCAGAATAGCTGCGCGTAGTTAGCTGTAAGTAGTTAGATTTCTACAGGGACTACGGTCAAGAACTGTGCATTTAGTATCAATGGAGCAAGTACTTAATATATCATTATTAAACAACTAAAGATTTAAAGAGATATATTAAAAGAGGCTAGTTCTCTAAGAATAACCCTAGAGTAAATTTAATATATAGAGCTATCTCTTATCTAATCATACTGCTCTTTAGGCCCACCCGTAAGGGCTGGCGGCCCCTAGCGGCCTTCCCCTTTTATCCCTTAGAATTCAATGAATAGAATTCAATTGATCCCGCCCTTAGTTGACATAAACTGATGGGACGGGACGGGAAGCTTGTGTGTTCCATGCCAGGCAACCTGCTCACACACACAACCACAACCTGATAAGATCTTGGACAGTCCTCAAAATAAAGAGACCTGGAGTAAATGATTGTTGCCTTGCTGCATGTTTAATAGCGTTTGACTTGTCTCTCTTTTCCCGTAGCATATATCATTACTTACTTACTTTGCTCTGCATATGGGTCTTGTCCTTTTTTTTTTTTATACATATTTGTAGCATCACCTCCATCTTCCTCTTCAATATCGAGGTTGCTGGAATTAAACAAGTACCTAATGTCTTGGCGGTATCTCAAAAATATATCTATTCAATACTCATCGAGGTATTTCCAGGAGACAACCTGTGCTTGCTTATGTGTTTTGACTCTAATTGTTGATACGATGCCCCTTTCACTCCCGTGGGCATAGGAACTTGTCAAAGGCAGCAATGAGAATCTGGATTTCTTCCTCTAACAAGAGTATTAGTATTCATCACAACAAGAGTAGGCATTATGGGAGCTCACCAGTGTTGTAATGGACCATACCGACTCTCACGACACCGGTCTTGCCAAGGCCGAGGAAGTCTTCAACGAGCCGGTTGGAGTAGAAAGAGCCCCATCTGAACCCGAGGTTCGAGTCTTTCTCAACCTGCTCGACAAATGATTGCGAGTCGAATCCCTCGACCGTGAAGCTCACCGTGGCCACTCGCAGCATTGGATCAGAGCTTGTCTCTCCATGCACAACCACACCGCGCCTCGACTTCAGGTAGTCGAGCAGCAAGCCCTGCAGCTTCGCCTCGTGCGCCACGATCGCCTCCTCCTTGCCCTTCATGTACTCGACCACCGCCGGCAGCGACGGGACGAGCTCGTAGCTCGCGGACCCCAGCCCGAGCTTGTCCGCCAGCGACGCGCTCGGGTTGAAGAAGTGGCCCAGCGAGCGCATCGCCGCCTGCGCCCGGCGGCCGGCCCAGAGCATCGACAGGTGCGGCCCGTACACCTTGTACCACGAGAAGGCGTACACGTCGCACCCGAGCGCCTGCACGTCGACGGCCCGGTGCGGCGCGTACGCGACGGCGTCGACGACCACGATGGCCTGCGGCACGACGGCGTGGACCAGCTTGGAGATGCCGCGGACGTCGTGGATGGTGCCGAGGATGTTGCTCGCGTGCGTGAAGGCCACGAGGCGGGTGCGGTCCGACAGGAGGGGACCCACGCCCTCGGCCGTGAGCTTGGGGTTCACGGTCGAGTCCGGCCGCCACCACTTGAGGGTCAGCTGCTGCCGGGCGGCGAGGTCGACCCACGGCGCGATGTTGGCCTCGTGGTCGATGGCGGACACGACGAGCTCGTCGCCCGGGTTGAAGTTCAACGAGTATGACAAGTTGCGGAACAGCTGCGTTGTGGATGGACCAAGCACTTTTTGTTTGACTGCGCGTCAGATTCCACACATGTGCACGTAGGAAGCATCTCTAGGGTAGTAGCATACCGACTTCGTCCACAGGGGCGTTCACATACTTTGCCGCCGCGGCGTACCCGGCCTTGTACTTGTCCGTGGCTGCCTTGCCGACGGCGTAGGTCGCTCCCAGCTGGACGTTGGAAGTGTGCAGCCAGTCGGTGATCCTATCCGGGTATGTTGGTCAGAGGAGCATCAATCAGATAAACATGGGAGTCTGGTGTCTCACGCTTCGGCCACGGTTCCGAGGGTTTGGCTGCCACCGGCATTGTCGAGGAAGATCTGGTCTGTCTTGAGTGCGGGGAAGGCGCCTCTCACCTCGTCCATGTTAAGTGAGGCCGCCATGATGAATGCGATAATATGAACCTTTCGAGTCCTGCCAGTCTGGCGAGTTAAAGAGTAGTGTATTCGCCAAAGTACGGATTTCTCACTTGAGAACCTATATATCTATCGTGTAAGTCTACCTATCTTCAGCTCACTGATAATGGCGGGGCGCACTACGTGGCAGTTCAGGTAGTCCTGGAGGGGCATGTGTCGTGCTGGATACGCTTCTTCCAGGCTAAGTTCAAGTTGAGCGATCGATCGGGCAACTTTGTGTGCTTTGACGGCTCTGACCTATGTGCGCCAAAACACAAATACATACTCTTTCTGGCCGTGAAATTGACATCCAGACAGCTATAGACAATATGCACATGATGAAATTTGTACGGGCTTGGCCTCTCAGTGATTAGGAACTACTTAACATGTTTCCCGAGATTCTGTTAAGCTCTAGGAACGTGGAATTATCCTCAAGCTGTTCGTGATGAATGTTAAAAGAAGGCAGATCGAAAGGAAAGATAATCGAGCTTAAACATGGAGAAATATTATCTGCATGGCATGGAGATTTGAAACATTCAAATGCATACAATGAAGTCTTCGGATCGGAACTGGGCCTTCGGACCAAGGGCCAGTTCCGATCCGACCTCCCGAAAAACCCCGCATCTCATAACTATCCCCAAGCTAATAATTAAGTGATCATAACAATACTTGAGTGGTTATCGGAATGCTTAAGTGCATAAGAATACCTCTTACATGGCCGTATTCTTGCCTTTTGAAGCATCTCGACCCCTACCGCTGCAACAAAACTCATCCCTGTGATTATAAGACCATCTGGTGATCAAAACTAGAGGGTACTTGAACACTTTTTAATTCTATTTTCTCGTTGACTGCCTTCGCGCTCGGAACTGACATTCCGAAACAAGCACAAAAGACGGTATACGAACATAGTCGAAAGTTGGGATTCACAACTTCACTCAACTTGCGTACCATCATCCAAGTACAACATCAAGATGACAAAACCGACCACTGAGATTGCCAGGCTTTACTTGCGCCCAGGATCTAACATGCCAGATCCTGGGTCGGAAGCAAGTGTCATTTGGAAAGAATCTGTCACAACCTTGAGCACCATGGAAGGGTTCCAAGCCTCTCTATTCAGTGTTGACAGCAAGGACAGTGACATCTTTCTACAATTTCTAGGTAAGTTTGACCTTGCTCATGCGCATTTATGTTCCTCGTCATTCATTGTCCAATACAACCTGATTGGATCTCTCTGACATCTTCGACTTGCTTGAATCAGATTGGGATAGTCTCGCAGCCCACGAGGCCGTGATGAACTCGCCCGCGTACGGGCCCTTCCTGGAGCGGGTCGGAGTCATTATGGCACGCTTTCCAGACTTGAACCACGTTCAGTTCTCAGTCTACGGCAAGGATGGCATCGAGCAGTCGGTAGCTCCGTGCACGGCGCTCAAGAACACATACACTGTGGTCGAGAAATTCTACTTCCCAGCAAGTATTGACACGGCCGCGGTGGAGGCAGCGAGGGCTTCCCTGGTGCGAGGAGCAAGTCAGTTGCCAGCGTTCAAGGTTGCCGCCTGCGGGTGGCTTATGGAGGAGGTGGAACACCCTGCTGTGGGGGGACCGGGAAGGGTCCAGCTTCTCGCTATTGGCTTTGATAATGCTCAGAGCGCCGAGTCTTTTCGTCTTAGCCAGGATCGCAGGGAGACACTGCGTGACGTGGGCGCAAAGGCGGATGAGTCTTGGGTTGCGCATTTTCTCGAGCCCGTCCCACCTAGCAAGGGAAAAGCTTAGAGACTGTTGACTGGAGTTAAAGACCGGACTTTTCTTCATATGCAAGGGGAATCTGGAAAGACTATAAAGTATAAAGAAGAATGTCAAACTGCTCTACCGAAGCCACTACATTGCAAACACCGTGAACTCAAGTCAGATTAATCAATGGAAGGAATTCTTCGTGACAGAACAAGAGCGGAAGCAACAAGAAGTTACTCCTTAGATTGGACTTGTACGATCGATAATATAGCAAGCCGAGAGCGGGACTATAGATGAGGTGAATTTTGTTCTCACGCATGCTTGTTTGTGGTAGATCAATGCCCAGAAGGTGACCCCCTGCATCACAGCCGCAAATGGGCGGAGCGAAATAGCCCCCAACACAGCCTTCAGCCTCACTGCAGGCGCCTGAAGCGCTGGTAGGCCGGATGATCACTATTGGGTATCGTTGCATCGGTATCATGTGGCGGATTTCTTGGAAGCTCTGATTCTGCCTTTAATTGTAGCGCGCCTCCTTTCCGCCATGTTTTGAGGCGCTGGTTTTCCCCCCTTCATTGCACAACGATCGCGAAACATGTCCTGAGGAGCAATTGCGACACCTACCCGAGATCACGCGATGGATCCATTCGCTGCCCTCGGCGTCGCCGCGGCGGTCATTCAGTTCATCGATTTTGGGAGCAAAGTCGGGAAACGGATGCTTCTGATGTACGACAAAAGCAGCATCGACCCGCATGAATACTTTGAGCGCACGACCGCCGACCTAGACGATTACCTGAACCTTTTGGAGGAACGCCAGTCTCTATGGCCGTCGCCGGACGCCGAGCTAAAGAGCGGCAACGAAGAAGCGATTGAGCAGCTGATCATTGACTGCCGCAGCGTCGCCCAGTCGCTGAGGGACACCTTTCGAAAGATTACTCATGTATCGCTCAAAACCAACAGAGTCGCTGCAACAGCCACCAGGGGAGCCATCATACCCGTGCTTCTCCAGTCCTTCAAGGCAGTATGGAAGGAATCGGAGATCGAGGCTATGGCCAGCCTTTTGGAGACGTACCGCAGCCAACTCATTCTGCGGACGCTTCTCTCTCTGGACATCAAAGCGGATGCGGCCCTGGCCCAGCAAGGGGGCATAGACAAGAACCTATCTGATATCATCGAAGTACTTGCGGTCTTACAAGAGCGGCAAAAGACGTCGACGGCGGCCCAGACCCAGAGGCTAGTGGACCGCTTGGATGAAAGTGATCATCTTGCGAGGCGCTACCATGAGGAGACAATCACGGCTATCCTCAAGTTCAAGGATGGAAATACTCAGGTTCTCGAGCCCAGAAATGGACAAGGCATCGCGGCCCTAGTTGCGCAGGAATCGACAAGGCAGAGACTGGTGAAGCTGAATGCCGCGCCAATGTCCTCCCTCGCCAAAGCTTCCGTGGACGATCTCGGGCCCCTAGAGGGGCTCGTCCTGAACAGCCTTTACTTTCGACAAATCACTGATAGGATGGAGACTGTGAAGTCGCCTCACGGGAAGACCTATGAGTGGGTGTTCTGCGATCCCTTGGTCACAGGGAAGCCCTGGGATGACTTCACCAAATGGCTCTCTCATGGTTCCGGCTGCTATTGGATCTGTGGCAAGGCCGGGGCCGGCAAGTCGACTTTGATGAAGTATATCTTCCAGGATCCGCGAACCAGCTCTGCTCTTAGAGAATGGGCGCAGGGGAACCACTTGGTGCAGACGGCGTTCTTCTTCTGGGGCCTTGGGAATGCTGTACAAAAGTCGCAGGAAGGACTTCTTCGGTCGCTGCTGTACGACATTCTGAGGAGAGAGCCTCAACTCATATGGGTGGTAATGACGGAGCTGTTGCCAATTGCGACTAATTTGGGACCTGGAGAGAAGCTTGCAGAGCCATCGATGGTGGAACTCATGAGGTGGTTCAAGAGGTTACTACAGCCGAGCCATGGACGACGGTATTTCTTCTTGATCGACGGGCTCGACGAGTACGATGGGGATACATCCACCCTTGTCGACCTTATCTCCTCTCTTTCACATCAAGAGAACGTCAAGTTTGTTCTCTCTAGCCGGCCGATCCCAGTATGCGTTGAGAACTTCTCGTCACTTCCCAAACTGCACCTTCACGACCTGACACGGGACGACATCAGACGTTATGCCGAGGACTGGCTGAGCGACAGGGTGCGCCGAAAAGGCAACGATGCAAGTGTGTTGGTTGAGAAGATTGTGGAAAAGTCTTTCGGAGTCTTTATATGGGTCGAGCTGAGCGTCAAATCTCTTCTACGGGGCCTGGAGAATCGAGACAACATGGCGGAGCTCGAAAGGCGACTGGAGGAGCTACCATCTGATCTCGCCGCTCTATACGCACATATGTTGACGGGAATGTCTCCCATGTACCGGAGGCAGGCGGCCCAGATCTTCCGCACTACTCTGCAAGCCATGCAGACCACGACTTGCCCTCTCCTGACGTTGCAAATGTCCTTTGCAGAGGAAGACCCGACGCACCTGCTCTCGGCTCCAGTAGAGCCCATGTCTAAAGAGGAGGAGCTATCGAGATGTGATGCGATAGATGGCCGCATACGAAGCCGCTGCTGCGGCCTGATCGAGACGCGGCGGCCGACTCCATCGGAGACCAAGCTCTGTGCTCCGCTACGGTTCGACTTCCCGTGCGTCGACTTTCTGCACAGGACCGTGGTGGAGTTTCTCGCCGACTCCGAAGTGTCACGGGACGTTCTTGCACTCAGCGGGCCGTCGTTCGACTCGCTTGCCACACTGTTCCATACGGCCAGCCATATGTGCAAACTCCTTCCTCGGCTCAAGTCAGTCGATGGGGATACGAGCCTGGTGTGGCACCTGATGAGGGATTCTCTGACTTATGCTGGTCTGGCGGAAGAGGCCCAGTCTCCGGTGCCAGCTGTGTATCTGAGGAATCTCGACAACACGATGGCTGTGCATTGGCACACGGCAAAGAAGATGACCAACAACCACATGTCTCGCAAGGCGGTCGATCACTGGGCTGCATCACTGCCCCTCTTGAGAAGCCATGGAAACACAGAGACCAAGATCCTGGCGCTCTTCCTGAGCCCGTGGGACTTTACCAGCCTCGCAATAGCTTTCAACTTGTCTTCCTTCCTTATAGACGAGGTAAACACTCCCTCGACTCCGCTGGCAAAGAGCACTGATGCAAAATCGAGAGCGCTCTACAACGCCACAAAGTACCTGATACAATGGTCCTGGCCAAAAAGCGAGAGCCACCGCCTCCGAGAGCTCAGCACCCTGTCCATATGCGAGCACCTGCTCAAGAACGGCGCCGACCCAAACGCCGTGTACGAGGCTCCGGGGAGCGGCAGCGGCAGCGACGGCTACTCCGCCTGGTCCATGCTGGTCCGGGCCGTCGTCGCCCATAAGAAGGACTCGGCCATCTTCCGCCGGGACTTTGAGCAGAACGGCTTCACGCGGACCCTGGCCAAGCTCGTGGCCTCCTTCGTCGTGTACGGAGCCGACGTCAACGCCCGCGTCTGGTGGCGCGAGAAGCGCTACCGCAACGACGACGCGCCCGTCGTCTTCCACAAGTCGCCCCTGCCGCTGCTGGACGGGGTCTTTGCCGCGCCCAGCAGGCCCGACTTCTCTGCGAGCCTGCTCAGCCAGCTGGGCCCGGAAGAGGAGGGACTCGATGGGGCGTCGCAGGACGGCGACAATGGTCTGCTGGAGAAGTTCCACCAGGGGCTGGTGCAGCTACTCCTGGATAGGGGCGCGGTAGCGCAGGAGTGGCGGAGCGGGCAGTTGGTTGGCGGACAGACGGAGAAGGGGAGGAAAAGTGATGCGGGAAGTCCTTCTACTTCTGACAAACTCGGCGCCTTGGGTGTATCCGATGGAAAGACACGTGTGAGATTTCGGCATAAGTTGAAGACAATATTTGGGAAGGACATATAGAGAGCCATGGATGAAGGACGAGATGCGACTTCGATATCACAGTATTAATCCCCGGCTCGGCTGAATAGCTAGACGCAGTTGACTTCGAATTTCAATGGAATCAACACATATCTCAAATCGTTTTGGTATCATCATCTTATGTTACACTTTGGAATATATAGATCTGGACCCCTACCTTGTCTGTAAGTGACATTGCAAAGTCAAGCCTAAAAGCCCCCCAAGAATCGCTCAGATACATCAACATCCAAATCATCCCACGCTAGACTCCAATCCTGGTGTTCCAAAGCCATGTTGCATCTAGACTGCTCTTCCCATGCACCTCTCTCCTCCTTTTCCTATCATGCAACAGAGCACAGGAGGCCGCTCACAAGCAACGCAACCATCGCTGCTCCCAAAAGCCTCGGCTTATCTCCACCCACGAGGGCGCGCGAAGAGCCAGACTTCTCTACGTTGACGCTGTACACGCCACTCTGGTTCCGGCCTTCGCGCTGAGCGCAGCGGAGGAACTGCCTCAGTGCCCAGTTTTCTTTATCGCTCGTGCCGGAACCCTGAAGATACTTTGAGGGTAGCTGGCACCATATGTAGCAGTTCTGGATGACGTTCACTGCGTAGGGGGCGCAGCACTCTCTGAACGCCGCGTCCGTCAGGTTCCCTGCGCTGACGATATAGTCGATGTCGTCTCTGATGGGCAGCTCATCCGTGGGCGGGACCCTGTGGGAGGTGTTGCTACGGCAGAACGCGGTGTAGTCCTCGTTGAAAACTTTTCTGGACACGATCTTGGGCGTCGCCGACAGGGCCATGGTTGCGCGGTGATGTAGGAGGGGACGATAGCAACGGCGGGTTGTGGTTAGAGTGAGTTGAGCAGGGCAACAAACTGTAGCAGGCCTGCGCGGATTGGTTATGTAGACATGTGCAATTACAACGGCCAGAGACCAATTGGCGCATGTGCCGCATTTTGTACCTGTCCATTTGCCTTCTCAGCTCTCAGTGAGTGATCGACGACTGTTTTTGCCTGTGCATGGCTGAGCCAGATAGTTGTGATGATCAAATCCATTTACGGCCGTCTCCGGGATATGACGTAGCTCATCGCCCATTCGAAGAGAGGGATCATTAGAAACAAGAATTAATTTAGGCTTGAACAGTAACAGAAGCGGGAATTTGCGGGGGTGGTTTATCTTGGCTGAAGCTTGGCAGTCAGCATCAACACCACGGATTCGGTAGAGAATGACGCGACCAACAGCTTGTGCATCCAGGCGCATGCGGCGCAGACGGAACGCCAAGTCATATCAGATTGGCAACCCCGAGACCAGCAGCGGCCTCCTCATCGCAGGGCTCGCTAGGTTGCCAGCCAAGGCGGCACATCGCTAGCCAAGAGTCGATCGCTCTGGCGGCGTAGATGGCGTGCCAGCCCGGCCCGTTGCCCAAGCACAGGCAGCCTGGAGCCATGCCGCGGGCGAGGGGATCAAACAAGCGGCGCTGCGCCGGCGCGTTATGGATCAGGGCGTGCTGGAACCGGGCGAACTGGCAGGAGCCCAACCTCTCCTCGATGTACCGCTCCGCGTCGAGCGGCGACCAGAGCTGGTCACGCGATATGCCCTTGGAGGTAAAGTCCTCGAAGATGCGGTGCTTTAGCAGCTCGGACTTGACGGCGTCGGCGCCCGGGTGGCTGCCGGACATGTAGCCGAGCTTGATAAAGTCCATGCGGACGTCGACCATGGCCACGATGAAGCTCACGTCGCGCAGGGCCTCGGACTCGAGCACCGTGCGCTCGTAGATGTTGCGGAAAGCCGAATCGGGCGGGAGGGTCCAGCTGTTCGTGATGGCGTGCTGGGCTTTGACCTCCTGCAGAGCGTCGTAGCAGTACTCCATGCAGGCCCAGGCCAGCCGGCCAGCCATGGTGTACTTGCCGGCGCCGACGTAGGGGGCGATATCCGGGGGCGGCTCAAAGATCCTGACCGGCTGGGACGGCTCGAACCAAACTCCGTAGTCGAGACGGGGGCTGAGGCGTCCCCCTATAGGCATGGCTTTGTCACGAAGAGCCTGTCGGTCGTCTCCGGATGGCTGTGGGTGGTTTGCGACGAGTCTTACATCCTGCGACTGTGTCCAGGCAGACTCTGAGCTCTCCGGTGTCAATGTGGGCTGGACTTCGGTCTCTGTCTTCTTCCCCGGCGTGCCCTCCCCGGGGCCCGGCTCACACAACTCTTCAGCTCGTTTGACGACTGCCTGCAGTCGTAAAGGGTCTTCGGACTTGGCTGCGCGTACAAACTCTGCGGCAAGATCTTTGAGTTGCGCATTTTCCTCCTTTAGCTTCTGCACAGAAGCCGATTGTCGTTGACGAAAAGCACGCTGGGTAGCCTTTCCACGATCCCGCCGGCGCTGGATAATTTGTCAGCAGTCGTTCTGAATGCTTCGGGAAGAAATGGGCATAGTTGTGTGATGGCTAGAGAATACTCACTCGAAGCTCCGCTTCCGCATTCTCTGAGACCCTATCCTTATCCATTTGTCACTTGATTGCCTTCTGGGATTCGTCCGAGGCGCCGGAGTTGTGTAAGGAGGCTGAGCGGTCCGGGTGAAGTTACGTGATGTGAGTGACATATGAAAGCGGACCGGAAAAGAGTGGGTAGACCGCACCTCCGGACCAATTCCAGCCCGATCACGTAACATCACGTAACATCACGTACAATCACTAACATCAATGACCGAGTGACCACTGTGAGAAATCTCATCCCGACAGATACATACCGGGACTGCCTCAGTTGAAACGGAACTTGGTAGAGGACACACAAAGAGTGATTACAAACGTGTTTGTACTTTGATTGGAAATCTGGCCAGGCCTATAGGATTTGCGAGGCTGGGAGAGCACTTTGGTTTTGTATAAAAGAAGCCATTTCGTTGGATGGATGACAGACAGCTCTTGACAGTAGTACCAGAAAAGCTTCGCCAGTGCAGTGCAAGACCTTAGAACACTCTGGTAACCCTTCACCCAGTTGAACAGCCTCTTAGAGTCTTGAACACAACCCACAGTCTTCCACACCATGGCGATTCCCTGCCCCACCAAGGTCTGGCATAGCGATACTTATCCGGCCATTTCCCCGGAGCAACCCCGACTCTCCAAGGCCGGCAAGTCCGTCTTCATCACCGGCGCCAGCCCCGGCGGCATCGGCTCCGGCATCGCCACTTCGTTCGCGCGCGCCGGCGCCTCCGCAATCGGCCTCTTTGGGCGCAAGCCGGCCAACCTGGCAAAGACCAAGGAGGCCATCGCGGCGATCGCCCCCGAGGCCGCCGTGCACATATACACGGGCGACCTGACCGACGCCGCCTCCGTCCAGCGCGCCGTGTCCGACTTCGCGGCCAAGTCCCCGTCGGGCACCATCGACATCCTCGTCGCAAACGCCGCCTACCTGGCCGACCTGGACACCATCGCCGGCTCGGACCCGGCCGACTGGTGGGCTGGGTTCGAGACCAACATCCTGGGCAACTTCCACCTGGTGAGGGCCTTCTTCCCGCACGCCACGCCCACCAAGGACGGCAAGAGTGCCACCATCGTCCACATCAGCTCGTCTGCCATCTATATCCCGTACATACCGGGATTTAGCTCGTACCGTGGCTCCAAGATTGGCGCACACAAGGTGTTTGAATATGTCGCCCAGGAGCACCCGGACATCCACGTTGTGCAGGTACACCCGGGCCTGATTCTGACGTCGGAGCTCGCGACCAAGTTTTCCAGTGAACTTGAGGACCCGAAATATGCAAATTTAGTTGCAGACACCAGTAAGTATAGAAACCCCTTTTGGTAGGAAACGAAGCTGCTGACGTGTGCCGAAGTGGCGCTATCTGGAGACTTTGTCAACTGGGCGTGCAGCGACGAGGCGAGATTCCTCCGGGATCGCATGATTCACGCCAATTGGGACGTCGAAGAGCTCAAGGCTATGGCGCCTGAGTTGGCCAATGATCCTACCAAGTTCAACTTGGGACTGCTGGGTTTGTTCTAGAGTGGGATTTGAGCTAGCTTTTATGACCTAGATCACATAACACGGTTAGAAGAAATGTAAACATTCCTAGACATTGTTGGATTTGGATTTTTAGATTTCTGGGTATCTCTTATTGTAACTCTCTCTCTCTTAACTATCCCGCCTCGGCAGCGTCAGACTTTTTGTAGTCGGCCTCGCACTAAACTGACTGCCCTGCGAACTCCTGCTCGGGCTGCTCGGACCCTCAGCGACGGGCGTGTCCGCCCTCGCGCCAAACGTAAACCTCCTGTCTCTCCCTACATAGTCCGAGGGTGTCGGCAGCGGAGGCTCGCTACTCGCGGTGCTCATCCTCGTCCGCAAGCTCCGCGTGTACACGGTCTCCGTGTCGGCGTCGAAGCTCCTGCGCTGCTCCTCCATGCGCGATGTTCTTGCCGAGCGGATGCTCTTGCCGGCTGACTTGACTGCCAGGTTCACTGCCAGAAGTGACTTGCGGTACCAGCTGGTCGATCCTTCAAGCTCGTAGGGTCCGCGCTCGGCATCGAGCTCTCCGGTCGGTGCGGCAGAGGTGGCTGCCGGCTCCGTCTCCTCCACCCTGATCACGATGGGTATATGGCGCGGGCGCGCGGCTTTAGTGGGGGTGGCAGTGGCGCCCGTCTCGACCTGGGCGTCGGCGGTCTTTTCCCGCCGGCGAGAGAAACCGGGTATGGGTACTTGGCGGCCCCGCTTGACGCAGATGAAGACCAGACTTCCGATGATGATGGCGTTCGCGATGATGACGCCCAGAGCGATTCCCACTTTGGCGCCCGCCGACATGCCTGGCGCGTCACTGACCGTCTCCGCGCCCGTTGTCGGCCTGCCAGCACCGCTCTTTCCAGTCGTTGTTGAGGGTACCCCTGTCCTGACTGGCAGAGTTGTCGAACTACTTGTCCGTGTTGCTGAGCTCGTGGTGCTGGAGCTGCTTGATGAGGAAGAAGATGAAGAAGAGGAGGACGAAGTAGTTTTACTGTCCGAAGACACAGTTATGGTGGAAAATCCGCCTTGAGACTGTGTCGTCTTCTCACTTGTAGCTGCTGTCAACGTCGTCAGGACGGCAGTGGAAGACTGCGACGACGTGGTAGCACCAGGAGGAGGCGGCGGCGGCGGCGGAGGGGGGAGGGGAGGTGTGGGCAACTCTGCGGCACTCGTGCTCAGTACTGGTGCACTATTCTGAGCCTGGTGTTGCTGGATCCTGTTTGGGAAATCCTGGAATCCTGTCGTCGTGATCACAAAGTCAAAGCTTGATGTGGATGAGACACCTGTGCCTGACGTGGATCCCAGGACAGCCTGGACACTCATAAGAGTGTTCCATGACGCCTCGAACTGTCGGAAGTGAATCTTTAATTTGGCAACAGGAGGCTTTCCCGGCGTTCGTTCTTCTGACACTTCGAGATGTCAATCGATATATCCTCGGGGACTCTGACCCGTGAAAACTGTAAACACACCTTCTAACGTGACCGGCAGACTGGTGTCGTCAGAGTCTGATGGCTCACTGCCCGGTGTCCATGTTCCCAGGACTGTCTTCGCACCCGTCACATCGCCAATGATGCGGATTTGGGTGAAGTCAGATACGGTGTCCGTCCCCGTCAATGTCACCGTTGAATCATCGCTGGAGTCGACACCGGTAGGAAAGATGGGCGGCTTGGGGAAGCCGCTGAAGACGGTCCCACCAGCCTGCGCTGCGACTAGCGAGAAGAAGAGCTGCGGGAAGGCGGCCGCGATGCTACCGAGCGTAAGACATTGGTGCCTCATCGTTGCTTATGTTGACGACGCTTGAGTTCGCCACATGGCCTGGTGTCATTCGCGTAGGCCGGGTCGCAAGAGTAACCATATACAGACACGAGAGGACAGAAGAAAGTCGAATGATCGGCGCAGAGAGTGAGCGACAGGATCGCCAGATGTGAGCGGGCTGGGTGGGATCTTTCATGCCTCGCCCCAGAGGAGCGGGTGGCCTGCCCCGGTTTTGTCTCTGGGCGGGCCACCACTTCCTGGGAGCTTTAGGGTTTCGAAGAAGGTTAAACAAGGGTGCCGTTTCATCGTCCTGGGGGAGTTGAGGAAGGATCTTTGCTGAGGGCGCGACGGAATGGCATCGGCTAGAAGGCGTCTGGCGACGCACCGCGGCGCGTCTGTCGGGCCCGACGAAGCCTCGATGGGGCCCTGGGGTCATCCTTCGGCATCGGCTCTGACCTCCATTGGTCTCATTCCCGGCCTGACAGCCATCGTGCGGCGGCGCAGTTCCCCCGTCTAAGACTTGGTGGTTTCACATGGGTCGCAGCGACGTCGCATGAACTGCAAGGATACCCTTGCAGATGCGTTTCCGCGATAACCCCCATTTTCACCACCCCGCTTCTCGAAAATGTCGTTCCGGGGATCCGTTTACAGTATGACGTACTGGTATATCGAACAAAGACCTGTCCTGGAGATAAGCCGTGATTAGTTTCGGCAGTTGTTTCGCGAGATAATCTTGCGGGAGCGGAGGCCGACAGCGGCATGAGTCCGTCCAGGTTAGCAGCTTGACACCAACCGAAGGATTCTTGAACCCCCCACACTGCACTGCAACTCCTACGGCGGACTGGGATTGGAGAGAAGGATGACCAACAACCAATGCCCAGCTTCTCACTGCCGACTGCCGCGAGATAAGTCCTGCCTTGACTCTAGTCCTCAAGTTCTTCACCTCGTCGGACCAATAGATCTATATGTATGAACCGGAGAGCTTGCCGCACTGCAAATATCATTCTCACAACTTTTGCCATGCTGGCTAGCTGAAATACTTGCCTACTTGTGCCATCTGTCCGATCCCACCGACTGTAAATCCGCATCCGACAACATGAAACTCAGTAGCGCCGCGGCATCCACGGAGACGCATTCTTCTTTACGACAACGCTCAAATCGGTTTCTGTGGATGAGCCGTGCCCCTCACGCCCAGGAACAGTCGGCACTTCTGAGTCGTCTCCCGTTTGAGATCCGCAGCGCTATATACTTGGAACTCTGGAGGGACGCTGGTCTAAAGCAGCACATCCTCTCCCATGAGATGGATGGAGAACGCGGCAGGTTTTGCCCTAGACCGTGCACGACAGAATTCAATGTCACGGATGAACGACAAGTGGCCCTCTAGGCTCTGCTCGACGACCTAGATAGACCGTGGGCTGACTCGGTAGACAATGGACCAATATACGAACAGCATGACCCTCTCAGGAAGTACCTAACAACAGTGTGATCATACTGCGTCGGATTGGTCAATCGGGACCTCACACAAGTCATTCAAGTCGCTTCCGTCAACTTCAGACCCATATAGGAGGCGGTTAGCAGTCGGACTTGGGGGTTTTTCGATCGGGGGAGTGAGTGATCAATCCACAATAATAATTGTCATCCTCATCAGTGGGAGCGGTCATTGTGTCTTTGTAATTCCCACCATCTAGGAGAGCCTAACACATGCAACCATTCAGACTATAACTTGTCAGATGCCCTCCAATCTACCCGCCTCAAGCCCTTTGTGTCACAAGATTTCTTCCTTGCCCAGGAGATAATCCCTCTCCTAGAAAACGCTTCATGACTCTACATGCGTAACATAGATCTGTTCATAGCTGCTGGAAAATAACAGAGGTGGTAATAGGTGGCTGTACGAAAATCCCTCTCCTTAAGAGGCTGAGCGACTGAACTGACCACCACTCCTCATCCAGTATCAGTACTACTTATACCACTTATTTCCTGCAATAGAGTACCCTAGGAAAATTGCATGGGAGAAACGCGCTGGGTATAGGATTGGCAAGATTTTGGTTAATATTGTGCCAGTGAAGGATGACCTGTTGAACAATGACTATAAAGGCTATGATGCTCCACCAGGACATGATGTAGAGGTTTTCCAGATGAAGGTAGAACTAGCTTGATCTATATTATATCATCTCTATAAGCTTTAGGCCGACAGGGCCAGGGCTCTATACGATGATAAAGGCGAGCTGTTTCATCTCTACCTCTATTGCACCATATATATCCTTCACTTTATCCAACTCCTGCTTCGTGAAATCTTCTCTCAAGTCTCCCAGATCCAAGATGAAACACGTTATTGTGTTCATTGTGTCTTTTCAGCTGCGTCTAACTCACAGTGGAACTCGCCTTACATGTAAAAAGTTGACTCAGAAGCAACTTATATGAGTAGATAGAGATGTTTCTCTGCTGTTGTTTGGATTTCAGGTAACTTCAGTCTAGTATAGATGCAGAGCTTGAGTTGTTTTCGCTAAACATGAAAACCAAACATCAATGATAACATCTCTGAATAGAGAATAGGATAAATAAAGCTGAAATAGATGGACGGAAAGGCCCAGATAACGATTGGCTTACTCAAGAGTGACAGCCACGTGCCCAAGTATCTACCTTTCCATTGTAAGTAGGCTCTAAGCCTTTGTATTTGAAACCCCCAACGACCATACTTTTCGAGGAAACTCCCCCGAAGTCTAAGTGAAAAACATCTCACTTCTCGCAGGGCCAGAAAGGGCCACGTTTGCCGGAACCGTCGCTCAGGCGCAGGACAATATCCTTCCAGTTGCCCTTGGGGCAGAACGGAACGTCCCAGTAGCCGGGGAACCGCACGCCCTTGGAGAAGTAGTCCATGGGCTTCTGTTTGCCAATGTCCTTGCCGTCGGCCTTGTAGCCATTGCGCCCCTTCTTCTTGTAGCCCTCGTGCACCGACCGGACGACGTCCTCGACCTTGATCTTGCCCCACTTCTTGCCATCGAGCACGTCGTGCGTGCCGCCGGGCAGGGGCTCGAAGAAGTCCTGCTGCGGGCACATCTCGTCGCCGAGCGGGCGGCAGTTGAAGGGCTGGGCGCTGAGGAGGTACATCCAGACGCCGTCAACGCAGACGCGCGTGCTCTTGGCCGTCTTGTCGGTGAAGGCCTTCTTGGTCATGCCGCGCTTGTCCGAGCCGCACTTCTCGTCCGTCTCGAGCACGACGGGGATGAACGCCTTCTTGGGGCTCATGCGCCAGGCCTGGGGGATCATGCGGCCGTAGACGAGCGTGCGGATCTCGTTGCGGAGGTCCTCGACGTTGACGTTGAGGTTGTTGTTGGGCATGAAGGCGCCGTTCTTGAGCAGGTTGAAGAGCTGCTGCTTGTAGTTGCCTTTTCCGCTGAAGATCTTGTCGGTGTAGTCTGAGAAGGCGTGCATGATCTGTTTGAAGTAGATGTTGGCTTGGTCGGCCATTTTGTTCTGGTTGCCGATCTCGCTCGTGGGGCTGTTCGAGACGGTTAGAAAGCATATCTTGGTAGTTACTTTGGCTACGCAATATTTACCCCTTTAAGTTGTCCTTGTTTGCATTCAGAATGTACGCGATGCCGGCGTTGGCACTGTCCTTCATCAAGCCACGCTGGTCGCTGCTCAGCAATGGCCCGGTAGTGATGAGCCTATTGAAGACATAAGCCGAGCTCATCGAGGCAGCAAATGCGACTGTGTCGATGATGGTCTTGAAGATCTCCAATGCCATGTCGGGCTTCTTCTTTGGGCAGAACGTGTCCATGAAGGGCCCCAATGAAAATTGGAGATCCGACCTCGCGGTATCGGTAGCCGAGTAGGCATTGAACAGGATCTCGTGCAGGGTCGAGATGGAGTTCATCACGAAGTAGATGGCCGGGGTGGAAACTTGGTCGCACTGGACGCCCTCGTTGCACTTCTTGCTGGTGATCTTCTGGCAGTCCCAACCCTCCGGGCCGTGGAACATGTCCGAAATGTACTCCACGTACGGAATTCTCGCGCTCTTCTTATGCGCCTCGTGATAGTTGCCGGCCCAGATAAGGGCGTTATTGGTGTCGAGGGCTTTCCACCGCTTCTCGGAAGGGTCGTTGGCACTGATCACGCCTTTGTCTGTACATTCCTTCTTCGCCCAGGCGGCACCAGGGGGCAGCGGAACCTTGGCTTTGGGCTTCCTGGGAAAGATGACAGCGGGCGAGGTATCGTCCCTCGAAGTGACGCCTGCGGAATGCTCCGCGGGATATGCCAGAGCATCCCCGATGAGGTGAGCGACTAGAAAAGCCCCAAAGACCTTCATGTTGCCAGGTAGATCGTGATGATAGTAATTAACACTGAGGGCTATGCATATGCTTTTGTCTGGGTCGCCATGAAACGAGTAGAAGTCAAAACTTGGACGATGCCTTTATATGTATTGTCGCAAGAGCCGTGACTGATTGACGAATACCATCATCTACCCATGTCGACATAGCTCACCAGGGAAAACCTTTCGTGATCGACGTAGCACTCTTTACCTGGTCCCTGCCTTCACGCCACAAAATGAAGTTGAGTCCCCGGTTCCTGGAAGCATCTATTCTCGGCGTGCGGCAAAGAAAGACTGTGGCCCACAAGATCCCGCCACTGGTCCTGTTCGAGAACATCTTGAACACCGACTGTTCAACTGGCCACGATCCTACATCTCGTAGCGGCTTAGCTAAGCGAAGATGCCCTAGTCCCTCCTCTATTGCATGAGATTTAATTCGCGTTGCGAACTAGTACAGTTGACACTGTTGCAAGGGATCCCGAAGCCTTGTTCGGAGGATCACAGATCGCTGGTTGAAATAAACTTGCTATTTCCACCGTGGCGAAGTCAAGTCGGCGGAAGTGGAAAGTTAGGCTGGTCCACTTGCGCGATCCTCTATCGATCGAGACTCCATTGCCATCCTAGATCAACATCAGGCTTTACCTGGTCGATATTCTTGACCCTGAAGACTGTGCCGCCTCGTGGGTTGATGGCACGAGCTGGTTGGTTCCACAGCTCGGGGTGGCCCCCACAACGATCTGTATCCAACAGCTGAAAGACATTCTAATCCCGAGTCTTTCTAGTACAAGTATGTAAATAAAAATTATCTGGTGATAGGGTAGCATTCGTTCTATGCTTAATCGCTTAGCTCGAAATGCAATCTCGGTGACGAGCTCTGCCAAGACGCACCTGTCGGGCCACCGCCTCGGGCTCAACCGAGAGTCATAGACTTGGCGATCTCTCCCCAGAATACACATCACATTGTTCTTATTTTAACTCGTTTGTTTCAAGGCCGTATTTCACACCGAGTCAGGTGCTGTTCCACCGCCAAGCCGACGAGCAGTGCCTCTTGTGTCTGTTATGCTAGATGATCTAGACTCTTTGCAAGCCGATCAGTAGACATCACGGGATAATTACTTCCCATAAACTACAAGGTGCACCATGAGCACCGATATAAATCACTGTGCCGCATGGCTAGATGCCCATTACCCGCAACCTAAGAGAGATACGCCCCAATCGTGCTGCAGTTAAAATAATACAAGTTCTTTCAGCCTCGGCCAACTGCTCCTGGTATATTGCCTTTTCATATGGACGCTTGCGATGATATCGGAGGCTAACCTGGATTACAATACCTGTTTGGCTCATCATGTGGAGAAGAAGCTGCGTCGAGCCGGTGAGTTTTTCTTCCGTATCAACAGCGTCAGGGGGGCTCGGTTGGAGCCATTCTTATCAGCGGGCATACCCAGGAGGACAATCACCATATCATTGCTGATTTATTACAGACATTTCTGGCTCCAAAGAAATAAAACGGCACTTCCCTGTGTCTTCAGCATTCAGGTTTCTCGGAAGCATATTGAGGGCCAGGGCTAATATTCCAAAGCATACACACATGCTTGTTTTAAAGACTGACACTTTGTCTTGTGACGAGAGTTGCAAATCACTCAAGATATTTTCCATTGAAGCGGCGGAAAAAATGGCATTAATTCTTGTAGGAGCAGTCATGATCTCGTTCACACTAACGAGGGCGACGAATAGTCTCCGGCTCTGTCGGATCGTCTTTGGGTTGTTGTAGAACGCCTGAATGTGGATTGATAAGCTGCATCCCCATAACTTTGCTGTTTATGAGTTCTAATAGGAAGCGACCTGCTGCAGAGAAAATGGCCGTTTAACCAAGGCGGGATTATTCAATCTTGACGGCCATACCCTTATGAAGAAGGGCAACCAAAAAGCCTCCGTTGCGACTTGGTCTCACTGGGGAAGCAAGATTACCATGACCTGGGTGATACAGCACTTTCAACACCATTGCTCATTACGGCAGGGTACCGCCGTGTGTTGAGCTAGTTCATTCATCATAGTTTGAGATTATGACAAGGATCATTACAAGACCTAAGGTGTCACTGATGCGCCTTGAGACCGGCCTATCCATGCCCGACGAAGTCCTGAAGCTGGGGGGCAGATTCTTAGCTGATATTACGCATGCTAATAGTTACTTGAGACTTGTAGGCTGTGCAAGAGCGGTTACCAGGTTTCATGCAAAGCAAAGAAACGACTGGAGATGAAAGCAGTCGCCTAGGCAGACCAAGAGAGCCTCCAGGACTACCTAGAGCTACTGCAGCTGGACGCTCACTCATTGTCGGCAAGGGTTTTCTGGGATAGTCTAGGGGATATCTGACATAGGGGCCGGAGCAACCACTGCACGACGAAGCGGCGCCTATGCAGCCGATGTTCGATCCAGCGCCTACAGAAACCTGGGATTACTGGCTGTCGTTGGCGGATGCTGGCGACATGGATTTGTTCTGGCGGATAACTTGTCTCAAGAGGGAAAGACGGCCATCCATGCAGCTTTGTTGGCAGAAGCGAGATGAAGGCGACGACGAACCATGGCCTCGAGCTTGACGCCATTGCCGCCGTGTTTGACACGCTGACGGCGTTTGTCCACTGGGGACCCAATAGCGCGAGCGGTCTGGCCCAATAACCAAGCCCAACGGCGGCTCATGAACCCGGATTCTGAGGCCCAGACAAGAGGCGTAGGCGCTTCTCGACGGGCGGTCGGCTCCACGGGCCTTTGCATGTCACGATCTTGGATGGTGGCTACCAGAGGTTTATCTTCCACTCGTCGAGCCTACATGAGCGACTCTCTTGTAGGAGCGTTGAGAGCCTCTGGAGGGTGTTAGGCTAGCAAGGATTGAGGGAGCGCTGCCACCGATGTAGCACCTTGCCGCGCGCTGGATGAAGCAAACTGGCCAGAAGCGCCGTAGTAGGGAAATGAGGGGAATGGGAAGCTCGCGAGAAGCTCTCTGGTCCTTGTTGACGGCGTCAACTTGGAGTGCTTGATTATTCGCCTTGCATAACTATATATATGTTGGCACTTTTCATGCTCTCGAGCGGAAATTCCACATCCCAACACCAGCATCCGACCAAGTCTCACAAACGGCTGTGCCGTGCGATCTCTCCTCCGCTTCCCCATCTTCGTCGTGTTCAATCTCAAATATTTCCCGGCCAAGCTCCGCCGCAACGATATTTGTCTCTTGCGGGGAAAATCCAGCCACTGCGCCCGAAACCACACAGATTGCCGCTTTGCGTTGAGACTCGAGGGCGCAGAACACCCCTCTGAAGGTAGGCACGACCGACGCGGCCAATCAGAGGGCGCAGGTCGCCCCTGCCCAAGCCGGCACCTCGGAATGGCGCAAATGGAAGGAAAGAAGGATTGCTAAGAATAAGTTAAGCTCACAGGTACTTTGACGTGACGGACGGCACAGACAACGGGATTGTGCCACAACGGCCAATCAACGCCCAGAAACCCCCCTGTCGGTCACTCCTGGCAGGCGCCTACAGCGACCAACCCGTGGCTTGCTCCTTCCCTCCCACTGTCACTCGGGCTGGGGCCTTTCACACCCTCCCGTGCTTCCCTCGAAGAAAGCGTCGGCCTGGCCTCCATCGTCTCCAGAGACAGCCCTGTTGCAGAGTGCCATCACGATCATTGATTGACCCAGCATCAACCTTTCATTGCATCACCGCGCCCGCAAGGCCGATCAGCTGTCAGCCTCTGACCGGTTCTGCTCTTTTGCCCCTCACCCGCGCATCCCTGCTCATCTCTCTGTGTGATCCGGTATCCGCAGACAGCACATTGGTCTCGTCTTCAGCACCTCCTCCAGGTCAGCACTTACAGCAGCTTCCAGTTGCATTAGCACCGTCAAGAAGTACCCGCCCAGGGACCCCTGCCACTGAGCGGGCCTCGTTAGCGCCAACCATCCAAACCGCCGACCACTCTTCACCTCCTGTCAAGTACCGGGAGCTGCCAACGGCCCCCAGGCACGTAAGTTTGCTTTCCCCTGTCAGCCCAGCCATTTAGCGATAGCCAGAGAGAGGAGCCAGGCAGGCAGGCTGCTGGCGCGAGCACATGGGCCTCTGCGCCTTGAGCATCGGCACTAAAGCATCTCATAGCACACTGCCAGCCGCCTGGCCCAATCGTCACGCACTCGCTTGTCAGAGCTCCTCGTCTTGCCGCCCGTCTGGCTCGTCCCAGTGCTTCTCCATCACAGCAGCACCTTGCCTGTGTGCCCGGAAGCCCGCCGCCTGCACTCCCTCTTGATCTGGTTTGACCACGTCAACCTACCCTCCTCTCCGCTTCTCTGCGCGCGAGCCAAGCTCCCAAGCCTGTCTAGCTGCCCGGACGCTGCCCTCGAGGGTGGGAAGCAAACAAGGAATCAGCTGGGACTGATTCTGTCCAGTGCTTATTCTCGCGAGCTGCGAATCCTCCAACCTGGCACGCCAGCCGACCCCAGTAGGCGAACGGGAACGCTCCGCCCTCTGACACGAACAATCACGACCCCTGTGCCGCGCTGGGCTCCTTCACACATCCCCACCCCCGGCGGCATCTTGTTTCTCTGACACACCCTGGGCGCCTTCTGTCCACTGCTCTGGTACCACCTTTTTTAGAACTTCTGTGACTTCCGGGACTGGGTACCCTTGACCTCGTCTACCCACCATTGAGAGCCCTCTCTCAGACCTCCCCTCGAGGTACCCTCCAGCAATCTACATTTCTCTCACCCTGCACCACACATCATATCTCTTGCCTGGCGTCTACAGCCCATTTTTACCGCCAGGACACTCTCTAGCTATCGCTATCATCCCCGACGTTCATATATTGCTGTCACCCATTCCCATCCCACCAGCGTCCTACCTTCCTCCCTCCCTTCCCCCCGCACTGCCATCTCTTGCTTGCCTTAGTCACCAGGGCAAGCCGACTTGTCAGTCCAACCTGAAGGTATTTCGAGTCATTGATTTGACTTGACGACTATCGATACTTCTAGGACGGCCCTCGTTCTTCTCATCTCCCACCATGCCTTCTCATAAGCCAACCCTCGCTCTGACGACCCCCGTCACGGGCACATTCCCCCCAGATGCTCTCAGGTCGGCCATGTCGAGCAGGACTCCGCTGTCAGCATCTTGGCGCGAACTGCCCTCTGCGGGCCTGCCATCGGCCGGCATCGTCTCGCCGCATCCAGGATTCGTGGCGGTCAAGACGGAGGAGAAGACGCCCATCACCCCGCCTCTGGCCTACATGGACTTCCTCAAGGCCATGTCCGTAGGCAGCCCGGCATTCCCGAGCCCCAGCATGGCCAGCCCACCTTTGACGGGCAAGCACCCGCTGAACCGGACCTCCACTGCCGGGTCTACGTCGAGCAATAAGACGGACACGAGTGCGTCATCGGAAGACTCCAACGAAGAGGAACGCGACGAGAGAGAGATCGAGAGCGGGCCGTCTACGGCGACCAGCGTGTCCACGGACGTATCATGCAATTGTGATCCCATTCCAAAGTCGGCCAAGGCTGCAGTTCCTGCTAGCCCCTTTGCAAACTACCCTCTCTCAGCACCCCTCACGGGACCGGCGGCATTCCCCAGCATGAAGATCCCTCCGTCACCCATCACAAATACCGACTCACCAGTGCGGTCGCCATTTAGTGCGAGGTCAGTCAAGTCGCCCTTCGATTGGGAGGCAGCCCTCAAGGCGAGGAGGTACGCGGACGCCAAGTCAAACCATAGCTGCGGCAAGTCGTCATCATCGAGGACAAGTGTACGGCATATCCGAGAGGTCGTCACGCGGACAGTGACCTACACGCCGAGAATGCAGGCCGCGCCTAAGGGCAAGAGGAGGAAGGTTGAGAAGGAAGCCGAGGCTTAGGCTACACGCCGGGACAAAGATTTTTCGACAATCACGTATCGTCAACAACAACAACAACACCACCACCACCACGTTTCTTTTGTCTATTCACATGCCATACTGCGATGTGTGCGAGGAACGCTTCTCTACCGAAGCTCTCGCTCACTGCCTCGTGCTACCAGAATCTACATGCAAACAGAGCATACGGCTCGGTTCTGTCATGTGCTGGTCGCATTCCAAGAAACCTGCCGGCAGAAAAAAAAATTCGGTACTCTACGACATTCACGCAGCGAGAGGCGCAATGATGGGAAATATCAAAGGCATTTAGCAATGGCAGGCAAGATCTGATTTTGGGTTTACTTTTGTGGGATATGGCACGGTGTTCAACAGGCGTTGCAGGCGGCGTCATTTCCAAATGCGCGATACCAAGGGGGGTTGATCTGGGAAGGATTAAGATGGAATGGAGGGGGAGGGGGGAGGAAAATGGAACTCGTATGCCTCTGGGCATGTACTCGTAACTGTCATGTTTCCTCAGGCTTGAATAAACAAACTCGGACTTATTAACAACTCCTGCACCATGCCTAGCTTGTTTATTGTTTGCGATTTAAAAGTGGAGGGGAAGAAATACACGGCCTACATGGGCCATGTTGGACGGCCGGCCCTGTCGAACGGCTACAACGCGACCTGTCGAGGCGGCCTCACGCTGGAAGGGGTTGGTCATAGGCGTCGGTGTCGCCAGGCCTGCTGCTCCGAGAGCTCTCCGTGACCGCACCTATCATCTCGTCGCGCAGGTGCGCAGAGCATCCCGGGTCCCTTCCAGGCAGCACAGGCTCAACCCACCTTTCTCAGCAGTGTCTGCTGCTGGACCAAGGCAGATCCTGAGCAGGGGGGCGAAGGATGTGTGATGTGCCCTGCAAGCAAGAATGCATCTCTCTCACTCTCTCTCTCTCTCTCTCTACGGAGTACCCTACGGTCTTTTGCCCGCATGCTTCGCCCGCAGGTTTTCCGTCCGCTCTTGCGCACGACCAAATGCTGGTGCCAGCCAATCGCCGCGCCGCACTCCGTCCTCAGTGTGACCCGACACCCCGGCACCCGCATGGTACTTAAGCGCCCGGTGGATGACCAACGGGCCAATCAGCCGTCCGGGTTTGCCTGGCCGGAGACTGGGAACAGGGCGGTAAAAAAGAAAAAAAAGTTTAGTGTGTGGGGGATGGAATGGATGATGGGCGCCCGCTTTTTTTTTGTTCTTGCATTTTGTGGATACACACCACATCCCCGGTCCCGGCGGCCCTATTGGATCGGGGGCTTAAGCGCCCTGCCACAAGGGAGGGAGGTGGGAGGAGGAGAAGGAGAAGAACGGAGAAGGGGAAAAAGGAGGGAAAAGAAAGAGGGTGTGGCAGCGATGGCGGGCAGGGAGCTGTGGGCAGGTGATTTGCTGCGATACTATGCGGTGCATACGATGCGAAGTACATTGGTAGGTTAGGGTCTTTTTGATGTGTGGTGTGGTGGTACGTGGGACTTACGCCCGGTTTGTATGAGGGTGGGGAGAGGAAAATGCGGATGGGGAGAGCCCTCGATGGAGCAGCGTCTGGTGTTTAGTTCTGGCCGCCTCTTCTGATGGATGGTACGGGAGAGAGGGGACAGGATATGGTCGTGGGCCCTAAACGGCTCCCGTTCCATGTCGCTGTGTTTGTGCCCGCGCGGGCGGTGATGATGCCGGGTGTGACGTGCAGAAAAGTAAGGAGGATGGAGGAGGAGGGACGGAGCGGGCCTCTTTTCCTGTACGTGCGTGCGTGCGTGCGTGCGTGCGTGTGTGATTTGCGTTGCGTGAGTTGTCACTTTTTGCAATCTGTTCCCGAGATTGTGACTTCATCTACACGGGCAAAAAAAAAAAGAAGGGGAAAATTAACAGACACCATCGCTCGTTCCGACTTACTGCGGGACGAAAGTGTCGATTGGGGGAAATGAGCCAGATGATGTTTTGGCATGGGAGATTACGACGCGGGGGACAATGGTCGTTCAGCAAACGAGGTGTGCTAAAAATACACATCTTCTAGAAAGTTTCCTGCGCTTGTTCCTCCTGGCCACTTACAGGCTCCCTCTTTTGCTCGGAAACACCTGGTCCCCTGGGACATTTGCCGTACCAACTGGCAGCTTTCCTTGGTAGGCGTTCTCAAAACGGGATACGGAACGAGTGTCGAGGCAAGCTTCTTGAATATTCTTTGCCATGCGAGCCCAGCGAGAAGTCCTGGGTGAAGTTGTGTGAGTACGCTCACACCTCGAAACAACAAGTTCCGAAACCTGCCCTCAGGTGTGTGTGCCTTGCGAATGGGAGAGCACCCGCGGTCTACACCCAGAACAACCCCAACTCTGAAACAACGACGCACAAGGTGTCCCACCGGCATACCCCAGAACGTGCAGGAACGCCCAACATGTTTCACAGTAGAGAACGTAGCTTCTCGTTTCACAGTGTTTATTTTTGTTTCTCAACTCCCTACCTATCTCCTCCGTGGCACCGCCTACCGTGGAGAAAGGGGGTCGGGCTCCTCGAGGGAAACACCCACGAACGAACCGAACCTGCAGCCAGGATCCTGAAACCAGCACACATGTCTGTCTCTACCCCGTAAGTGCTAGTCCAGGACCCTGACCTCCTTGGCAACGGCATTGCACAGCGCGACCCTCACCCCGGCCCCGGTCAGCACGTGTATCCACAGCCTCTGCGTGTCGCTCAGCCGGTCGTTGGCGCTCTTGACCTCGGCGAACATGCACTGGCCACGTGACGACGACGACGACGACGACGACGACGACGACTGGTGCTGCTCGTCGCCCTCACCCACCCCGTCCCCGTCCTCGAGCGTCGTCCGCCACAGCACGAGGTCCGGGATCCCGCCGCCCCGCTGCCCGTACTCCTGCGCCATGACCTTGCACACCGCGGCCAGCGCCTCGCCCCTGAACGCCCCCGCCAGCTCGGCCAGGTCCTCGAGCTCAAAGTCCCAGCTCAGGCCGGCGACGCAGGTCCTGCGCTCGCAGTGCTCGGCGTACACGCGCCTCACGATGTCCGGGGCCGCCCCGTTGGAGATCTCGACGAGGCGGCGGTTGGCCTCGCTGGCGCGCGTCGGGTAGAAGGCGTCGGTGCGCAGGTCGAGCGGGCACGTCTGGTACGCCGTCTGGAAGACGTTGGGCACGTAGACGAAGAGCACGTCGTAGAAGAGCAGCGCGAAGAGCGTGCGGATGATGCCGCCCTCGGCGTGGTAGCCCTTCCACCCCCGGCCGCGGTAGTGGCTGAGGCACATGGCCTCGACCGAGCACTCGCCGCCGCCTTCGGCCTCGTCGACCCAGACCGTCTTGGTCGAGGGCCCGCGGCCGAGCTTGCCAGCGGCGGCGGCGGCGGCGGGCTCGTCCTCGCGCTTGATCTGGATGCCCTCGACCGTGTGCTCCTCGGGCTTGCGCAGTGTGACGTGCCCAAAGTCGTGCTGCAGGCGGCGCGGGATCCTGAGCCGCCGCTCGAGCTTGACGAGCCGCCGCTGCAGGTCGTAATGATATATAAGGTGGCAGTCGCGGTCCTCGAGTGCCTGCTCGCACGTCCGCACGGCGATGCGCCGCCAGTGCTTCTTCTGCTGCTCCGGGTCGGCGTACCCGGGGCTCGGGTCCGCGTCGTACATGTAGTGCTCCTCGAGGAGGGCCTTGCGCTGGTACCACGAGCCCCGGCGGGCCATCTGGAAGAGCCTCTGGTCGAGGAGCTCCGACAGGAGCGCGTGCTCGCGCTGGTACTCGTGCAGCCGGCCGAGGACGTACGCCGCCTTGTGCGCGATCCGCGTGTACGAGTGCGCGGCGTTGAAGCGTCGTAGATAGCCGCCCTCGTTGAACTCGTAGACCTGCCGCTCCTTGCGCTCCTCCTCTCTGAGCAGGGCGCGCCACCGCGAGGCGAGGCTGTCGAAGATCTCGAGGATGCGTCGGAAGCCAGCCTCGCCCGGCGGCCCGTTGAACTCTAGGATCTGGTCGACCTCGAACTCCATCCTCATTGCCTGCTCAAAGTCCAGCAGGTGCTTCCGCGACAGGAAGATGTTCGAGGAGCGGCACACAATGTACTCGGGGAAGTTCCGGCGCGAGATCTTGGCCAGGATGATGGTCGTCAGGGACTTTTCGGTCCATTCGGTCGACCGGTAAAAGACTAGGTGCACGCGCTCAAAGAGCTTGAAGACGGAGGGCGAGATGCGGATGCAGGGTCCTGTGATAGCTATGATCTTCTGCAGAAAATGAAACCTGCGGTTCGAGTCCTGCCCGGTAGTTGGTTCCGGCGTGTCGCCTTCGTCGCGGGTTCCTCTCGAATTTGTCGAGTCGACCGTGCTTGATCGACGCAGGCCCAGAGATAGGAGACCTGCTTGTTGCGAGCTCATCTTGACGAGAGCCCGCTGCAGCTCGGCCTTGTTCTTTCCCTGCACCCTGGCATCCTTTGCCACCACTTTAAGCTCGTCTAGACTTAGAAGACTGACGGCCTCCTCTACCGTAGTGATATGATCTTCAGATGAGTCCGCAAAGGTAAAAGAGTCGCCCAAGTGCCAGTCTTGCAGAGACACACCGGCAAGGGTATCCTCGCTCGACTCGACATCTGACACGGTGTCTGGCAGCTCCCGCCGTTTCTGGAGGGAGAATATAGCCTCTTCAGGACTAGATATGTCAGAATAGTACCCCAACTTCTCGGACCGATGCCATGCAGACGTCTTCCGCAGGAACAATCGGACATAACTGTCAGGTTAGCAAATGTCACTGGACTGGTAAGAGGCTGTGATGATACACTCACAGATACTGGGCCTCATAATCCAACGCTCTCCACTCTTCGAATACGCGCTTTTCCTTTTCGTCAAACAAGTGCGCCTCATCCTCGAGGACAGTGTCGAGCGCAAGGTTGAAGGCATCGACGTAGATCGAGCTCTTGCCCCGCACCCACTTCCTCGAATCGAGGCGCGAAGCGTCGTCGTCCTCTGTGGCACTCGCCTGCGAAGCCCTCATCATCTCGTACTCTTCAATCGCCTCTTTGTCGGTGCGCACCGGTGGCAGTGATGTCTCAAAGGCCGTCTGGTGTTCATCGTCGCCACCGAGGCTCAACATGCTGTCGTCTCCGGACGCAAACTTTTCCGGGTCGTTTCTCTTGGACCGGACCGGCCGCCCGTCCGCGGCCTTGAAATCGCCCTCATCTCCGGACGAAGGCGCGGACTCCTCCGTTCTTGGGCTTTGAATGCCATCTTCCGTCTTCAACCTCTTGTGCGGCCGCCCCTCCATGGGATTTCTCGTGTTGGACACGTCTGCTAGCGGTGTTCTCTGCCCTGGCGCTGACCGAGGCCTACTGCCAGATCGCTCCATTACACACGCAAGATACGCACCGGTGAAGATGGCGCTGAGGTCTCATCGAAAAGAGGTGGAAAGAATGTCCAGTCTCGTGTGGCCGCAGATGAAAGGACTCGCAGTGACGCGCCAGTCCATGTAGGCCTTTCCCGGTCTCTGACGCGTTATCACGGGACTTCGCGGCTCCCGCCTTTAGTGGATTTTAGCGGGGGAGACGTCCGCAGCAAGTCCACCACAGAGCTTGCGGAAGCTTCAATCTGGGACTGGGCAACACCGAATGTCCATTCGGTCCAGTCGCGCGCAAACGTTCAGCATAGCGCCCAATTGAACTCCCATCCACCGTGTGACGACGGCATAGATGGCGATCCAGACACCCGAGCAGGCGGAGCCGACGCCCAGCTCTGCGGCCGCGAACGCGGAGGAGATGGCCGAGAGGAATGGCAGCCAGGCGACCCTCGGCGCTGCCTCCGTAGGTCTCGCTGGCACCGCGGCGGCTGCCATGTCATCACCACTCGGGGCTGCGGCCGGCGAGGCGGCAGATGGAAGTGTCTCTGCGGACGTCACGATGGTGGACGCGGCGGAATCGGCTGCGGTAAGTCGATCTGTCTCGCGCCTTCACTGTGTTTTCGGTTTGATGTTTGAGGGTTCCCACCCATCGAACCTCCCTCCCTCACAATCACTTCAGCATCAGTATGAGTTGAAAGCAAACCTGGCCCAGGCTTGCTTTCTCCCACACACTCTCGCCCCTTCCCTCTCCCCTCCAGGCTTCTCTTCCACCGCAACGCCACCACCATCTACCCATCTCCGCCAAAACCTCAGCAACCACCCCTCACCTCAAAGCATCCTCAGCTAACATTCGTCTCGACTGGTCCGCAGTCCCCAGCACCAGGCGGCCTAGCAAACTCGTCCGCACCCTCACCGCTGCCAGCGCGGACAAGCACGCCGATGCGCAACACAGCCAACAGCGAGCAGCCCGGCGGCGGCACGGGCTCGAGAGCCGCGTCGGCACACCCGCCCGAGCCCGGCTTCACCATGCCTGCCGAGGCGCCGGCGCACGGCGCACCCGTCCGGCAGTACATCAATACCAAGGTCACTGGACCTCTGCTGGAGGGCATGAAGCTCATTGCCAAAGACCAGTAAGTGACCTTGTCTGAGCAGGATGGGGAGTATTGCTCGGAATTCTGACGCGTTTGGCCAGGCCTCAAGATCCTCTTCGCGTCCTTGGAGAGTATCTGATTCAGCGTTCCAAGGAACTCGAGGGAACAAGTTGAACAGCAGCCATTCGGATTATGGTCAACCTGGAGGAGTGTTGGTTCTTACGGAAGGGAAAGCTCGGCAAGGGTATGCCGATTAAAAGTAGCTACGAAAAGTCATGGGGCGTTCTGTCGGCATTATATAACGGTCCACTGTTTTCTTTCCTCAAGATACCACTTGTGTTTAGGGACGGCACGAATTCATCGTTCTTTTGACAGATTTGACGTTAACTACCATGGACGACCCCGGTCGGGCCTTGGGTTGTCTAAATGCAAATTTCCTGTCCCCAACGCCGTGACTTGACATCGACCAGTTATTTTCCCCCGGCTCAATGCCATGCAGTCCAAGCCCAAAACATGCTTCGCAGCAACCAGACCACGCACGCTTATGCGACAATGGTGCTGGCGGTGGCGCTCTCGTACTTCCAGGTGGGGGGGAGAACACCGACGGTCTTGTAGTAGCGGGACAGACGGTGGATGCGGGACTCGATGAGAATGAGGCGGAACTTGGAGTCCTTGTCCTTGCGGTTGCGCTCAAGGTGCTTGCGGACAGCGACAGCCTGGTAACATTGTTAGCGATAATGCACACACATAGACGTTTTCCATTGCCAGCAATAGCTCACCTTCTTGATCAGCATGTACAGGTCCTCCGGGAGCTCGGGGGCAAGGCCTGTTAAAATCTCTCTGTCAGTCTTTGACCAAACAGAGGCAAATGTTGATGTGTGGACATATTCCGGCGTCGAACGCCATTATGACGAAGCGCACGCAAATGGTATCGTTTGGTGGCTCGGAGGGAAAAGGATTGTTCGATCATCGCAAAGCAGGAATTTCAACCCGTACCATTGGACTTCAGGATTCGCAGAATCTTGTTACCTGTATCGCGCACCCATAGTCAGCAAAACAAGCTTGTCAAACCCGGCATCGCTCGCAATGCGACACCAAAACAGAGCCTTCCAACACATACCAGTGACAATCTTGACCTGGGCAATGCCGTGGGAGTCACGCAGGACAACACCGATCTGAGAGGGAGTGGCACCCTTCTTGGCGAGCTTGCAGATCTGGTCGACGACCTGCTCGGGGGTGGTCTTGAGCCACGAGGGGGCGTTGCGAGAGTAGGGGATGGCGGAGGCAGAAATGCCCTTTCCCTTGCTGTGAAGACGACCCATGTTTGCGGCTGGTGGTGATGCTGTCGCAAATGTTGAACTTGGTGGTGGTGATGGGGAGAAGTTTCGGAGTCGGGCTTCACTATCACACACAAAAGAGCTGGCGGCGTGCGAAATTTCCAATTCGTGGTGGGCTGGAAAATTTTCGCTTAATTAGGGTCACGCTTCTTATTGGCCCATCGCGCTCAAGCCCTTCCTTTGTTTCTGGGAAAGCTTCACGTGATATCAGAGTGCTGACTAAGATCGTCATTATCATCCAAAAGGTTCCACATCCGATAAGCCGCTCCATCCTTGAATTTGCTTGAAATTTTATTGCGAGCCCATACTTCTACCATCAATTCTCGTATCTTCCCAGTATGCTCTCCTTGTCTTGCACTTCATCTGCAAAGACAAGCTCGACGGCCGTCGGCGTTGACCTAGTCCATCGGCCGTGCCATTACTGACTCACATTACATCTAGCTGGCTAGATCGGTCATTCCATTTGTCGGTAAGCTCACCCTTTCCATCGTTCTGCACCCATGGAGTTGTACGTGATGATCAACAACCTCTTTTTACTTATTCTGGTACCTCTTATGCTAGAGTTCTTTGAACTCAATGATTGAACTGGACTTCTGACACTCTCCTACCACAATTGATCCTTCTGGCATTTCTCAGTATTTGTAAGAATATGGAAAGCTAACATACGGATCAGAAGGTTAACCCAAAGCCTGCCCTTGTGCCAGTCGGACCTCCTTAGCATATCAGAATACTACAACTGTCTTTGAATTCCATGTGGTTTCTTCATTCTTGCTCATGAGACTCACTGCCTGTTTCTGCCCTCGTGTGATGTTGTACAAAATTACCACCGCCAAACTCTGGAAACCGTGCCTGCTCGACGGCCGATGCTCGGCCAGCTTGCGGCAGCGAAGCGCAGCCATCGATTGGTTTTTACTATCAACCAAGCAGGAACCATTTTGACGACTCGTAACCATCTCTTGTTTTGCTAGAAGAAATTGACATGCCCAGTATCGCTCCTCCACACAACGGTTGCCTACCAAGCTCCGACCTCGAAGTTCTCCTGGACAAGAGGTTGTCGGATTAGCATTCGTCAGACGGGGGTAGTGGAGGATACGCGAATAGCTTACCTCGGGGAAATATGTCGCCACGACGGTTCTGTCGGCGAATTTGCGTCCGGCCAGAGCTCTCAGGGCCTTGGTACACGCATCGGTGGTGTCAAACTTAACAAAGATCTTACCAACACCAGCAGATTGTCGGCTGCCTCCGACGGGCCTCGGGACCTTCAGCTCCAGTATCGTACCGAACTTGGAGCACTCTTCTCTGACGTCGTCGCAAATTTCTATATGGAACCCGTCAGAAGCCATCCAAAAGGCATAGAACAAATCTTTGGTGTTGCTTACCTTCATACTCGTCATTGTCCATCAGCTCGTCGGCCGTGACCATGTTCAGCAGCTGGAGCACGCGGCTAAGCTCAGAATCCGTAGAGGTGGTGCCGGCAAGCATGGACATGGCATTGACGCCCATCTCAACACCCGCCACCTGTGTGATACCGATGCTGGCCTTCTTCACTTTGAGTCTCCTGTCACCAATCTCCATGCCGTTGAGTCCCTGTATCGCGATATCTGTCGACGCCGGGTCTACGTATTCGCAGAATGCAACTCCCTGTGCACTTTGTCAGCAGCCTGCACCTAGTCAACGAAAAGTCATGACAGTGAACTTACCCGAGATTCTTCCGTGCTCCGGTCTTTGGCGAGGGAGAAAGCCTTTAGCTCGCCAAACGACACCAGCAGCTCAGTGACCTGCTCTTCCGTCAGGAATGGCGGAATGCTTGAAATGCTAATCTTATTAGGAGTATCGAGCACCACGCTGGAGACGACTCCTGGCTCGTAGCCACTCTCGTCGGCAACGGCGGGAACGATATAGTCTTTGGGTCGCCGAATGACAAGACCGGCGCCGGCCCCCTCCGCCGTACCGTTGGCACTGTCGTCTGCCTCCATCGTGATACCATCAAAGGCAAGAGCGACGGTAGCGTCAGATGAGCTCCTAAACTCAACGAGCGCGAACGACTTGTCGCCGGAGATCTGGCACATGACGACGGGGTCGGTGCTCTCAACCATATTGAGCCCGCCAAGCTGCAGGTTCAAGAATGACATGAGGCTGTCCTCGGTTGCCGAGGGCGGGAGGTTCGAGACGAGGAGCCGCTTCGCTTGCCGCGAGTTGCCAGGCTTGAGAGCGGCGCTGTTGACGGTGGTGCCTGGCGCGTTGTTCATAAAGGCCTGGAGCTTAGTAGGATCCATGGCCTGCTGGCGGGGGGCGCCGGGCAGCGAGAACATGCCCGAGAGCTTGGCCTGCTCAGCGGTCACATTCTCGTAACCGGGCGGCTTGATGTCCCACTGCGTCAACCTCCTCTTCCGCTCGAGAATGGGGACCACATCGGTCAGGTCGGGGGTCGGCTCGCGCTTCTTGGGCGGAGGGGAGGCGCTGCGTCGCCTCTCGCGCTCCCTGTCATGATCTCTATCCCTGTTATCCCTACGCCCACCTCGTCGGTCGTCCTCCCGGTAGCCGCCTCGTCTGTCGTCGTCGTCACGGCGCGCGTCACGCCGTCCGCCGCGGTCTCGGTCCCAGGGTTCCCTATCCCGTCGGTCCGAACCACGGCCCGAGTAGCGGTCCTCGCGTTCGCGGTCTCTGTGGCTGCGGCTCGAAGAGTACGTGTCGACTTCGCCTCCGCCTCCGCCTCCACCTCCACCTCCGCCGTCACGGCGTGAGCCCCGAGACCCGCGATACTCGGGAGAGCGCGAGCGACGTCGAGGCCGGTCGCCCCGGTCGCCCCGGTCGCGGTCTCGTCGGTCCTCACGATCGCCTCGCGAGCCCTAAAATGGCATGTCAGCCGGGGCTGCATGAGATGGGTTGGGCGTGTGATGGGGATGACAAACCTGATAGTCGCGCGAGGAGCCGCCGTGGCGACCACCGTCTAATAATTCGTGTCAGTACAATTGGGTGCGACTTTGAGAAATCGCAACAGGCAGAAGGCAGTGGCTCACCTCGGGAAGAGTAGCTATCCCCGTTCATTTTTGGTAATATAAAATGATGGAGAAAGCGATATTGACGGGTTCACAGAGCGTGATTGTAATCAACCACTGAAGGCTGAGGTTGGAGAGAGAGATGGACTGGCCAAAATCTGCGCGAGGCTGGAGCTTGGGGAGGTTTAGGCACTAACCGGTCCCAGACTAGCGTCGTGCAGACCCCTGGTCGGTTCGAGAGGAGGCCCACTAAACCCACTAGGTACCTAATATCCAAGAGCTGGGCGTGGCAAAAGAGCTGGAGCCAGCTCCCTTCAGTGCCCTCAAATTGGTACTGCAGCAGACAAGGCATCCCTTAGTTAGATCAAGAGTTGGTTTCGATGGCGTCTTTGAATCAAAACTGTGAGATATGAGCACTGGTGGATTTCAGTCGATACGAGAGACTCGACTGTAAAAATCTAGATATTCTACGCTTTCTCCCTCTGCCATCCCACTGATGGCTGCTGAGTGGCGAAAGCTGCCGCTGGGCCTGGCAGAGCTCTGTATCGATACAGCTCTGCGCTGTGGGCAGTCTTTTAGGTGGAAGCAGATCAATGATGAATGGTAAGTCGTCCGGCCCGGCATTCCAACTCGATTCTGATCCCTTGAATAGGCACTGTTCATTACGAGGCAGGATACTGTCGCTCAAGCAGGATCCCACTCGCCTGTACTACCGGGCAGCGTGGCCTGCAGGGTCTTCGCGAAGCCTCATACGGACACAGACTGAAGAGCCTGGGGACAATGCACCGGTTGACGATACCGAAGACATTGTAAAGAGCTACTTTAATCTGCAGCTCGACCTCCCCACACTGTATGATCAGTGGTCGAGGGACGATGCCAACTTCAGGAAGAAGGCCCCCAAGTTCAACGGCATCCGTATCCTGAACCAGGATGCGTGGGAGGCTCTGATTGCGTTCATCTGCAGCAGCAACAACAACATTTCGAGGATTTCGCAGATGGTGCACAAGCTATGCCTGCACTACGGTCCGTTCATAGGCAAGATTGGCGACGAGGACTTCCACGACTTTCCGACGCCCGAGGCTTTGACAGGATCCAAGGTTGAGGCGCACCTCCGAGAACTCGGTTTCGGGTACCGGGCCAAGTACATTGCGGACACGGCGCGGATTGTTGCCAAGGATAGACCGGCTGGTTGGCTGCAGAGCCTGCGAAACCCAGACAGCCCGGCGCTTGGTTCCGGCGATGCAAAGCAGAACCCGGATGCCACGTACAAACAAGCACACGAAGAGCTGCTCCAGCTCAGCGGCGTCGGGCCCAAGGTCGCCGACTGTGTTTGCCTGATGGGCCTCGGATGGGGCGAGGCCGTTCCCGTCGACACACACGTCTGGCAGATTGCCGTAAGGGACTACAAGTTCGGCAAGGCCAAGACAAAGACCTTTTCCAAAGCCATGTACGACTCGGTCGGGGACCACTTCAGGCAGCTTTGGGGGAGGCACGCCGGCTGGGCGCAGTCCGTACTGTTCACGGCGAATCTCAAGGCTTTCTCTGACCGCCTGGTGGCGAAAGCAGAGGAGGGACCAGCCGTAGAGATAAAAGAGGAGACTAGGGTGACAGATGCGGTAGTCGAGTCCAAGAAGAGGAAGACAGTCATCACAAAAGTGGAAGACGACGACACTGGTACGCGTTTGACGGTGGTAAACACCGTGAGGAGGAGTAAGCGCAGGAAAATATAAGAAGCAGCTGCATGATTACACGAAACAGAGAGTCGCCAGTAAAGGCAGTCTTTGTCCAAGGCTACCTTGGGTGTTGTTTCTCATAGGTAGCCATCATATCTGGTCCGAAAAGAGGAACCAAGGGCTTCCAGCCGTGACAATAGCGCACATTTGCAGATAGATGTCTGAAGCTTGAGGTATTGCGGTATCACTTTTCAGAGGTGCTTGTGTCTCGGGACAATAGATTTCAATGATCAGGATCAACCACAATACTGCGGTGCTGCAAGGACAACTGGATGAAATACACGTATCAAGAGCTTGCCGGCCCGCGATGGTGGATTAATAAATCAGTGAGTCCAGTTTGGTGAGGGTGTTTAGGCAAGTGGGGCAAAAAGCATGCTAACAGGCAGCGCAGCAGGACGTGCAGTAGTACAGAGGCAGCTTTTTCCAGCCTCGCGACCTTGCGGCGAAAATAATTTCAACAACCATCCATCCATCCATGCAAACCCCGTGAATCATCAAGCTTCGCACGCAACGGCGTGTCCATCAAACGGAGGGTGCTTCCACATGACAAATTGACTATTGATGTAGCCGAATCACTCCGCAATCATGTCGGACGCCGATTTCGAGCAGATCAAGAAGCTGCAGCAGGAGCGCAACGCTGCAGCGGCGGCCAAGAAAGGCTCCCGCACCTTTGATCCTGGCAACCAGCGTGCTGACTCGTCGACAAAGGCCAAGCTGAGCGAAGCCTACGACACGGATCTCTACGACCGCGATGCCGGCGACAAGTTCTCCGGCTACCACACGTCGCTCCCCATGGTCGAGGGGGATGATGACGAGGACATGGATGGCGCCGACAGCTCGCGGCGGCTTGTCGGCCAGTATACCGCCACGCGCGCCCAGATTGACGAATTCGCGCGAGGAGACGGCGTCGAGGAGGATGACATTCTGGCTGGCCGCGGCGAGCGCAGCAACAGGATCACCGACCGGGAGACGGACTACCAGAAGAGGCGCTTCGACCGCGTCCTGACACCGACACGGGCCGACGCTTTTGCAGAGAATCGCCAAGCAGGTGCTGCCGACGGCGAGAGCTACAAGGACATCATGGACAGGCGGGAGCTGGAACGTGAGGAGGAGAGGATCCAACGGGCGATTGAGGCCAAGCGGAAGGAGCAGCCAGCCAACGGTGATGTCGTTGAATATCAGGCTACGCTCAAGGACGGAGACAAGGAGAACGACGATGCTGGCTCCACCGAAGCCGTCTCCGCTGGGCGGAAGCGCAGAAAGAGGTGGGATGTCGCGACTACAGACGCTAAGGAGGAGACACCACAGCCCGAAAAGAAGCGATCCCGGTGGGACCAAGCACCTGCTCCTCCAGGCAGTGCCGGCGACGAAGCTCCCAAGAAACGCTCACGCTGGGACCAGGCGCCCGTAGCCTCCACTCCTGTCGGCGGACAGGGGCTCGCGACGCCCATGCACCCATCTCAGATGGCACCCACCGCGGCGGCGCCTGCTTTCGGTAACGACCTGAACGCCCGCAACATGCCCCTGAGCGATGAGGAGCTGGACCTTATGCTCCCTGGTCCCGACGATGGCTACAAGGTCCTCGACCCGCCTCCGGGGTACGAGCCCGTGCGGGCTCCTGCACACAAGATCATGCAGACGCCGGTACCTACGAGTGGTTTCACGATGCAGGACCCCAACAGCTCCCGTATGACCAGCCAGCAGATGCCCAAGGAGATCCCAGGCATTGGTGACCTACAGTTCTTCAAGCCCGAGGACATGACCTACTTCGGCAAGCTCACCGATGGCAGCACAGAAGACAGCCTGAGCGTGGAAGAGTTGAAGGAGAGGAAGATCATGAGGCTTCTCCTCAAGGTCAAGAACGGAACGCCACCCATGAGGAAGACTGCGCTCCGTCAGCTCACTGACAACGCACGCAACTTTGGTGCCGGCGCGCTCTTCAACCAAATCCTCCCGTTGCTGATGGAGAAGACACTCGAAGACCAGGAGCGGCATCTGCTGGTCAAGGTTATCGACCGCATTCTGTACAAGCTCGACGATATGGTTCGGCCATACGTGCACAAGATCCTGGTCGTTATTGAGCCGCTGCTCATTGACCAAGACTACTATGCCCGCGTCGAGGGTCGGGAGATCATTTCCAACCTCAGCAAGGCCGCTGGTCTCGCCACTATGATCAGTACTATGCGGCCCGATATTGACCACGTGGATGAGTACGTGCGAAACACCACCGCCCGAGCCTTTGCCGTCGTCGCGTCGGCGCTCGGCATCCCCGCCCTTCTCCCCTTCTTGCAAGCCGTGTGCCGAAGCAAAAAGTCGTGGCAGGCACGCCACACCGGTGTCAAGATCGTGCAGCAGATTCCCATCTTGATGGGATGCGCAGTCCTTCCGCATCTCAAGCGATTGGTAGACTGCATTGGTCCCAACCTGAACGACGAGCAGACCAAGGTCCGAACTGTCACATCCCTGGCGATCGCCGCACTTGCGGAAGCTGCGAACCCTTATGGTATCGAGAGTTTTGATGATATCCTCAATCCTCTCTGGACCGGCGCCCGCAAGCAAAGGGGCAAGGGCCTGGCTGGCTTCCTCAAGGCTGTCGGCTTCATCATCCCGCTGATGGACGAGGAATATGCCAACTACTACACGAGCCAGATCATGGAGATCCTGCTCCGGGAGTTCTCGTCACCCGACGAGGAGATGAAGAAGGTTGTGCTGAAGGTAGTGTCGCAGTGTGCGGGCACGGAGGGCGTCACCGCGGGCTATCTCAAGGAGCACGTCTTGGACGAGTTCTTCAAGTGCTTCTGGGTTAGGCGGATGGCCCTGGACAAGCGCAACTACCGACAGGTCGTCGAGACCACTGTCGACATTGGCCAGAAGGTCGGCGTCAGCGAGATCCTGGAGAGGATCGTGGCCAACCTGAAAGACGAGAGCGAGGCCTACCGCAAGATGACGGTGGAGACGGTGGAGAAGATTGTTGCGTCGCTGGGTGCGGCGGACATTGATCAGCGGCTAGAGGAACGCCTCATCGATGGCATCCTGTACGCATTCCAAGAGCAGAGTGTCGAGGACATCATCCTGCTCAACGGCTTCGGCTCGGTCGTCAACGCACTCGGGACCAGGTGCAAGAGCTACGTGCCTCAGATCGTCAGCACGGTCCTCTGGCGCCTCAACAACAAGTCGGCCACCGTCCGACAGCAGGCGGCCGATCTCATCTCCCGCATCGCCATGGTCATGCAGCAGTGTGGAGAGGACGCGCTCATGGGCAAGCTTGGTGTGGTTCTCTACGAGTACCTCGGCGAGGAGTACCCCGAGGTTCTGGGGTCCATCCTGGGCGCACTGCGCTCCATCGTCACCGTGGTCGGCATCAGCCAGATGCAGCCGCCCATCAAGGACCTTCTGCCGAGGTTGACGCCCATCCTGCGCAACCGACACGAGAAGGTGCAGGAAAACACGATTGATCTTGTCGGCCGTATCGCCGACCGCGGGCCAGAGAGCGTCAACGCGCGAGAATGGATGCGCATCTGTTTCGAGCTGCTCGACATGCTCAAGGCGCACAAGAAGGGCATCCGCCGTGCCGCCAACAACACGTTTGGTTTCATCGCCAAGGCCATCGGGCCCCAGGATGTCCTCGCGACGCTACTCAACAACTTGAGGGTGCAAGAGCGCCAGTCGCGTGTCAACACGGCCGTTGCTATTGGCATCGTCGCCGAGACCTGTGCGCCTTTCACAGTGCTGCCGGCTCTGATGAACGAATACCGCGTCCCGGAGCTCAACGTCCAAAATGGCGTCCTGAAGTCCCTGTCCTTCCTGTTCGAGTACATTGGCGAGATGGCCAAGGACTACGTCTACGCCGTCACGCCGCTGCTCGAGGATGCCCTCATCGACCGCGACCAGGTCCACCGGCAGACGGCGGCGTCCGTCGTCAAGCATATCGCGCTTGGCGTGGTCGGCCTAGGCTGCGAGGACGCCATGGTCCACCTGCTCAACCTGCTCTACCCCAACCTGTTCGAGACCAGCCCGCACGTCATCGACCGCATCGTCGAGGCTATCGAGGCGGTGCGCATGGCCGTCGGCCCCGGGCTGGTGATGAACTACGTCTGGGCCGGCCTCTTCCACCCTGCGCGAAAGGTGCGCACGCCGTACTGGAGGCTCTACAACGACGCCTACGTGCAGGGCGCGGACGCGATGGTGCCGTACTACCCTAACCTCGAGGAGGATGTGATCGACAGGGGGGAGCTGGGCATTGTTCTATGAGGAGAGGTGATGTATGCTGCAAACGTTAAGGGGATTATGAGACGAGGAGTACTGTGCTAGGCTGAGGCAAAGCCGCATGCATGGCCTTTTTTGGTTTGGAAATGGAATGTACCTATAGTTAGCTGTACTTGAAGCATTACAGGAGTATAATGAGGATTGAGAATAAAAATGGGAATTGTCCAGCATGATGAGCATGAGTGTGTCACTGATGCGAATGATATGGCGTTCTATTCGCCTGCTTGCCTGGCTTGGTGATTCGGGGTGTGACTAGATCGGCCGAGCACTCCGTCACATGTGAACTGGCCCCGCCCCCACACCACCTAACCACCGTCACAAGGAACCAAATAGGGCATTCTCTACTGGTCAGTGATTCTTCCATTCGACTTCACACACCAGTCAGTCATCAAGATTCAGCTCTTATTCCAAACCACGCTCCAAGCAAACCGAGAAACTTGAACCGCACAAGCTCGTCGTGAAGAACAATCCATTCTTATCACATCATCAGTTTGATCTCCAGGCTCCCGGCAACCTCGCCATACCAAACCGAAAACTCACAGACAAACCTTCCGGTCACAAAGAAACCGAAAAGAAACCTCGAGTCACCACAGCACCGCGCAAAAACACCATGAAGTCCAGCGCCAAGTCCAATCAGTACCTCGCCCTCTGCATTGAGCAGGCCGCCCTCTCGCCCCTGCGCTTCCGACACGGCTGCGTCGTCGTCAAGGGCGGCAAGGTCATCGGCCGCGGGCACAACTCGCACGCCGCCGCCGCCCACGGGTCCGCTCGCGCCGCCCGCAACGACGCCCCGCTCAGCCTGCACGCCGAGATGATGGCCGTCGACTCGGCGCTGGGCGCCGCCGGCCCGTCGTCGATCAAACGCGCCGCCGACCTGCCGGCCGATACTAAGTCGAAACGCAGGCGCCGGGCCGGCGCCGTGCAGAGCTACGTCGAGCGCGTGTGCCGCGCCGCGGCGCTGGGGCAGGGGGTTCAACGGCAAGAGGAGGAGGAGGAGCAACCACAACAACAATGTGGCGGTGGCCAACGAGGACTACAACGACAACGACGAGGAACCGCCGGCCTGGCTCAGGTACACGAGTGGCGTTTTGAAGCCGCTGCATCTGGATGCGACGGGTCGGAACCAGAAACAGAATCGGAACGAGAAGAAGAAGAATCTGAAGAAGAGTAAGGGGGGGCAGCAGCATGCAAAGGCACAGATCTCTACTACTAGCTCTCCGCTCGCGACCGATGCGGCAGATACATGCCGTCGAGGTTCCTGCTCGGCGACGGAGGGAGCGTCTAGATCTTCGTCGATGTCTCGCGGCAAGGTATGTTCATGGCACTTCTCGCTACACCCTCCACTAGATTTCAAGAGCTGACATTCGATACAGAGCAAGACCAAGGCCCGGGACGCGGATCTACCACGGATAGAGTACAAGCTCGTGCCGACAGCGGCCCAGCGATCCAGCTACGGCGTCCGAGACCGCATGAAGCATCCCCGGCTCGTCGGCGCAGACCTCTACGTCCTCCGCCTCGGACGGACCACTACTTGCTGCACTTCATCGGCTTCTCCCATAGCTACGGCTACCGCGCCCGATGACAAGTCACCGCCAAGAGCTCCGCCATCGCCCACCCTCTCGTCCGTGTCGACGTGCTCAACGAGGTCGCTGCACGACGAGCTCGTCACCAAGGAGAGCCGCATCGAGACCGCCGCTGCCGATGCCGGGTCCTCATCCGACGAGGGCATCACCGCTCCTTATCCCGTTGCCGAGTCTCGGCCGTGCTACCGCTGCCTCTCGTACATGCACGCCGCCGGCGTCAAGCGCGTGTTCTGGACCAACAGCATGGCGGAGTGGGAGGGCGCGAAAGTGCGCGACCTGATCGACTCGCTCGAGGGAGTCGGCGGCTCGACGGCTCCGGTGAGAGGAGCTGAGGCGGTTGAGAGCGGGGGTGGTAGTGCTGCTCATCATGACAGGGTGTTTGTGACGAAGCATGAGGTGCTGAGGCTTGTGAGGCTTGACAGCGGTTGAATGGGCGATTTTTATCACAAGGGCCGCTGTCTTTATCTTTCTCTGTTTAATATCTCGTTTGCTTTTGGAGCACGGAGGTCTTAGCGAGAAGGGCACGAGGGAAGGAAATCCAGCGGATTAGTAGAGTTAGTAGAGTAATAAAAGAATTGATCGATTACTTCGAGGAGTCCCATCCTGTCGTTCTAGATACCGAGTACATCCCACACTATCTATTCAAACTCCACATGGATCCTCAATGCACGGTATGGCTTTGTGTTTCAGTGCCGTAGTCGTTGCACGTTTCTATAACCAGACATCAGAATCTACAACTAGCTAGACAAAGGCGGAGGTGGCTGTTTCTCTCACAATTTTCTCCATCAGCAACCTCTCCTCCAAACGAAACGACAATCCTCACACTTGCCTCCGTTGATATGATACAGTTCTTCAACTCAGTTCCCAACACAATCTCTCATAGACAGGCATCCATCCACCAACTTCTCAATGCTGCTGAGAAGATCAACACCCAGGGGGAAATCTTTTGGTTCCCTCGTTCAACATATTGAGCAGCTCCACCGCACTGCGCAGAACTCCCAAATCTGACTGAACAGGAATGCCTTGCTCTGTACAAACATACATTGAATGCCTGGCTGAGAAGCCACGGCCGGCGTTTGTCCAATCCGAAGTTCTCCTACTTGATAGCAGCATATCAACTAGATCTGTGGTTAAAAAGCAAAAGACCAGGTCCAACTCGCGGACACCCTGTCTTGGCTCCTTTCACTTTTCCGCAAGTGCTCCATCACAGAAAGCTTGACCCTGCTTGCTGTGATTTCTGCCTCTTGCAGAATTCAAGGAAGACCTTGGGGAATTCTGAGCGGCTGACTGGACTGGGTTCAATACGCGTCAAACTGTGGCCCTGCTGAGAGGGTCCATTGTGGCACAGGCAGTCCCCGATCATGAAATTCATGTCATTGAGGATCACATGCCGGTAGCAATGATAGTGGTACATTGTCCCTAGCGTACCGGAGAGAGTCAGTCCTCAAGGAAAGCCCGGACTTGCGCGCAAGACGCAGCTGGGAATAGCAAGACTAATACACTCACCGCACTTGGCCAGCAGCATGCTACCGCGCGGCGGCGCTCGACACTCTCCGCAGGCGTGGAACATGGCCTTTTGGAAGCCCCCGATGCCCTTCTCGGGCTCGAAGCATTTGTCGCAGAGATACTGCGTGGGCCGCGAAGCCGCCTTGTTAGACCCTTGAGGGGTGGGACGTACGTAGGGGAGGAAGGGAAGCAGCACGAACCCATGGGGAGTCTTCCTGGCGCCATGCCGTACCACGGAGGACCGTTTCGCAAAGCTGGCACTGGAACTGTCTCGGCTCGGCCGCATCCTCGATGTGCTCTACGCGTGGCTTGTCACTGTCTTCCGACTGATCAGATTCATTGGCCAGATCGTGGAAGGGCCATAGGAACGTTTGCCCGTCCTGAGGCTGGATGGGTTGATCGATGGTGACAGGTTGCTTGTCGGGTTGGGGTTCAGCCATCGTTTCCGGTTCACCTAGCTCTCAGCTTCGGAGGGTGGTGAGAGGGTAACGAATGATGAGAGACCTGACTTTAGTATTGAAGCGGGAGAAGAGCGGTTCGCGAATAGGATACTTGGGTGGATGAAAAGATCTTGAAGAGAGACAAATTCACCGTTGCAAGTTTTAATATGGCAAGGCATGAGTGTTAAGGACGAAGTCGAGATAGCAGGGGCAGGACAGGCCTTGTTTTGTACACAGCCAGAAACGAGCTCCAGAGCCGTTCATAACAACAACCAGGTTGTGTCCGGGTTTATCTCGCGCATACAGCCTCGCAAACACGCGCAAACAGACTTCCGGACCAGTTGACTCACCGGCCCCAGGCTGAACCGTGGTGCAGAGGTGAAAAAAAGTCCGGTCCGACGTCGGAGACGGCAAGTCAGGCTTGAAGGCCTTGCAATTTGGGGGCTGGGTGATTAATTCACAGTAACAATTGTGTCCTTATTACGGGGAATCGCCATGGTCTCTCTGGAACCGGGCAGCGGGTTCATTGGGTCTCTCCAACTGTGTCCAATGTCTAGTGTAAGTGAGCCTGTACCTAACAGGTTGACCGAGCAGCAAGCTAGTATTGAATAGATTGCGTCCCCTAAAAGATGTAGCACAGACTGTATTCCGGACCTCAACTAACTATTTACTCCGTATTGCTAGGATATCTGAAGGATGCTTGGTACCGTTGATTTCTTGCATCACTCGAATGGCAAAGGTTTGCTCTACAATAGCATAGAACAAGAAATCACGGCTTCGATGCAAATATCCCGCAAAGCAGAGAGCCAAGAGTAAAGCCAGCCCCAGGAACCCCCTTCATCATCCCAGCGATGGCCCCAGCAGTATCGAAGAGCTTCTGGCAATCCCATGCTGACCCGTTCTCATCCACCGTCTTGATGCTTAGAAGCACATCGGCAAACTCATCCGCCTTCTCCACAGCGTACGTCAGACCAATCTCGTGCGGAGCGTTGTATTGGGGTATGTCGCCGTAATCCCCAACGGGAACTAGGGCAAAGGAGACATGTCAGTAGAGTCTATGACCATGATCGTGAAAAGTGTAACAAGACGAAGAGATCATAGCGGGGGCAATTTACTGGCACAATTGTTATTCATGGGGTTGGGGCAGCTGGACATCTGCGACTGTTGATCCCAGTGCACTGTCTCGACGGTAGCCCACTGTGGATCGCGCAAGACGCCTTCGAGAGCGGCGAGAAGAGGCCCAGGCGTTCCGGGACCGTGTAGTGGAATCGTTGACTGCTTGACCTCGACCACCAGGTTTTTTCTGACGTTTTTCCCCTTGATGACTACCTGAGTATTGATTGTGAGGGGATCAGTCGAGCAATGGCCCTGGACGCACATGTCGTGCAGATGGTTGAGAATGACATCGCCGGGGTTTTGGTCGCCCCAAGAGATACGCTCCTTGCTAGTCATTAGGATCATGTTGCCACCCTCAGGGTTTTCCCAACGAGGAGGAGGACCGTCGCCCAAAGCGACGTGGCCGAAACAGGTAACGGCAAGGAAGACGAGCCCAGACTTGTGAAAAGGCATTATGACTGTGATTGAAGGGGTGTGGAAATACAGGAATAGATAGGGAAAGCAGTTATGTGTGAGGGGGGGTTGATCTTGTCAAGTCGGAAGTGGTTGTCTGACTGTGGACGTTCTGAGGTTAGGGGCAGGTGCTGCCAGAGAACATGAAGGGGGTTTATATGTCCTGAGATGTAGGCACAGGCCTTTAGGACCTCTCCTATGCTCTCCGGTGCGATGTTTCACTCTATTTCTCCCTAAACGCATATCCCCAACCATGAAGTGGTAGCCATGGATGTCATGTCTGTTGAAGCCGAGAACAGAAACGCTAGTTCGTGTGGCCCGTTGAACCGCCCCATTCTCGATATTACTAACGAGTTAGGAATAGAAGTCTCGAAGCGCATTGGCTCATGTCGATGGCTGTTGGTTTGCCACAGGCTAGCATTCTGCACACAGGGATGAGGCTGTTGGATCGAATCCAGGAGTTCTCATGATCCCAACTATACTGCTATTGATTGAGATTCTCGCCTAAATGTCAAAGACAAAACAGGAATTGTGCCTTGGTCTCTTCCACCTATATTGTGCATTGATCAATAGGATACGAAGAAGCCATGCCGGCAGACGCAATCAGTTCAAGCATGCATCGCGGCCATCAGGATAAATTACCACGCGAGGCTGTTGGCTAGCAGGTTTACTACTGCTTCCTGGTCTCGACCGTTGAATTCCGATCATGAGATCAAGATTTTGAGCCTTCAGGAGTTCTCAGCGTATGGTTTGCACCGGACTCCAATCTCGCAAAGATCCTTTGCGTCATCACTTTCAAGTTTGATAGCTTGAGACTGCTTCCAACAAGCGGCACATACCCGCCTAATTGCACCAGTAATGGCACCTTCTATCTTGGTCCTGAGAGTTGAAGATGGAGCCCTGTGAGGTTGCACGAATGTATCTATGCAAAACAGTTGTTGGTTATGTCAAAATAACTGGAATCGACTTCTGTGTGGGTGATCTGGATTTTCAATTCACTTACAACCGCTGTCGATGACCAATGCTTTCCTGCATGGCTTGGAGCTGCTTCAGAACCAACAACCACGAAATTAAGCCGCTTGATAATTTATTGCAAGGCACACACTACCGGAGAGAACAACAAACTGTTCCACCAACACCCAACCTCATTTCCCCAACGTTGCATTGTGGGTGCTTGGCTTGCGGTTAAATGCTTCGCTTGTTCAAACCCCAGAGATGGTCTTTCATGTTAGTGCTATGCTTGACAAAAGCGACAAGATTGACCTGATAATGGAGTTTCGTGAGTAAGAGGTCGTGTCAATTGTCCGATATCTGATACCGAGTCTGCTGGGTGAGAGGCACTTCGACTTTGGCAGCTTGGGAGGCTTGAAGCACGGAAACGGATTGAGTCCATAAAAGAGTCCACCCCCGTCACCCGCGGACACTTGGTTTGAAAACGATGAAGTAGACAACTCATTCCTACTGCATCACACGTTTGATACCTTCTGCAACTTCCATATCGACTGATCAGTGTGCTTCAGCTAGCTCTCAGCCAAACCAAGCACTCACCTGCCCTTCGCACTCTTCATTACAGCTCCGTCCCTTGTAACCATGCGTTCCTTCCCTTGTGGCCTTATCCTTCTCTTCACTGCTGTGACGGCTTCGTCTCTTCAGGGCCATGTTCCTAGAGGGACGACGGACCCGGATCCTGAACGTTACTCATCCTGTGCTGTTGAGGACTCGGGGTAAGTCTCGAGGTCCAGGAAGCGCGTCCTCCACTCTCCCTCTCTGATTCATACAGTTTGCTAAAATAATTTCCTAATTCTACAGATTTGTGCCAGGGGATGCTGTGCAAGCGGCCAACTTTGTGGTTGAAAAGCTAATCCCTTCGGAGGGCCGCTACATCACCACCAACTACTGCTACTACAAACTGTTGAATACTACCGTTGTCGGTGTTTGCAACGGTGCCGCACGCAACCGCACCATCACGGCGGATGAGACTCGTCGAGGCATTGACCAGATTGTGAAGGATTGTGGCGTGGATAGCGGATATCATGTGGTGAACAACCTGACATTCTCCATGTACGGGGTTAGGGGCGGTATGAAGGCTCTTGTGCCAAAGACTTTTGCCTACCCTGATTTTCCAGGATGGGCCGATGAAGAAACTGAGATCATTCCAGTGTTGTAAACAGAACGGCACATCTTCAGAAGGTGTTGTCCGTAGCTCCAGGCGGCCATCTCAGCCGTCTACTATGTAGTTCCAGGGAATTGTGCGAAGCAATCGAAGACAGATTATACCAGTGCAAAAGAGGCAGAGACCAATCTTGGGTGTCCTCTGAGGGATCCATGTGTGTTTGATTCCCTTCAAGTGAGCAGCAGAATGAACTGTAGACTTGGCTCTTGCTATGGTAGTGCTGGAACAGCTTATCCATCCTGATGAATGGGTTGTGTGAACTAGGCATAGCAAACATGGTACGGCGTTGCAACATGACTGGCTTTGAAATGCTGTCTTACCTTGCCAACAGCATGTCTGACAGAAATTATTACTCGGGTGTAAATGCAAAGCGAGATAGAGAGCCACTCTGCCCTGTCCAAGTTTCGTCATTGAGCATGTGTTGGTCGTATCGCAATGCCCCCGGAACCTCGTACTCGACCCAATGCGATCGGCCGATGGTCAAGTAAAGCCAGCCATGACAACTTGGTTGCAGCATTTCATGCTGCGACGCCTCTTTCAACGACGTCATTTCAAGCTGTTGGGTGCTGAATCCTCAAGGGCTAATATTACCCGGTGCCTAATCTCCGGAAATGGCCCCATCTCCCGCTTGTTGAATTCTTGCTACTCGTCAGGTACTCCCGATGGTATGGTTCAGCCGGCCATTGGCCCACACGACACGGCCTTTGTAGCCTTCTCTGCGCGCGTGTGAGTGTGAGGGCGGTATATTTGACCCAAGACGCCCGGCCACCAGCCCCTCAAGCTCTCTGTTCATTCAGCGGTATGAAGTGCCCTTGATCAATGGTTTTGTTTAACTTCCACTCGCAAGTTCCGTCTCCTCTGGGTCGTTTTGCAACGTACACACGGACACCCACAGGCCACGGGCGCACGCACAGGTCAACAATCGATACTGCAGCAAGACCAAGCGTCAGGCCGGTACTACGAAGACGATCGAGAAACGAAACTACGCCATGAACGTATCCAATGCAACCTGCCCTGCTGTCTACAGGACAAGCCTGCGTCTCCGGCTGGATCCTTCCGATGTCGACCCTCGGGACGAATTCATTACCTGCTACGCCCCCTACCTACCTGACGAGGGTGGCAATTACACCGACACAACAATCGAGGCTCTGAAGATCTGTTGTGGAAGCGACCCCGTCATTGTTCAAGACGACACCCTTCTTTCAATCCCACACCGCAACTGTTGGTACAGCTGTAACGTCACGAACTACGGGGCAGAAGTCATAAAGAAGGAGGACAAGTCTGCCTTCACCTTCTGGACCATCCAACAATGCCTCCAAATGCGTACTGATCGTTCGACAAGGCTCCAAAACCTGGGAACTTGTTATCCCAAGAACTCTAGCGGGAAAGTCAGGGTATCAACGTCGCAACTAGGGCTTCTTTTCATGCTTGTCACTGGCATACTTCTGGGGTGACTAGGTCGGAATTGACGATGGCGCTATCTGGTTGATGGTTGAGTGGTCTGAGATGATTTACTTGAATAATATCTATTGCACATTGTTGTGGTGCTGGGATTTACACTCTGATTTGCCTACAATATTGAACTCTGATAGATACAAAATCTCACATTCAAGCCCAACATGGTTGCACATGAACCGGAGGATTTGCAGTTCGTATTCAATATGCGTAGCCAACGTCGAATCAGACGTCGTGATTGATGTCAATTGCTAACTGAAGCCCGAAGTCTGTTCAAAGCCCCATCGAAGTTTGACCTAGCGGGGTTCACAGAAATAATAGCATACCATTGAGGGCAACTATTCTCCCAAAGCCAAAGACCATGCATGATTTCGAGAAGGAGTCGCGTTATCTTAGATCCATTGGCTTGGAACCGCAAAACAATTTGCTGCTCCAGAAGCACACTGAACTAACTGGGTAAAATCCATGTTTTGGGCACGTACGCGGTTTGGTTATTTCTGATTTGATTCATTCTGTCTCCTCAACAGAGAATTCTAATTCTCTCAATAGTCAAAGTCGTGAGAACGGCCGATTTGTCACACACATGTCCGCACCAGACTTGCTTTGCTGTAAAGCCACAGTCACACGAACAAGCCCCCAGATAGGTAGTGTGTATCAACCTTATCCTCCTTTCTCTTTCATCCTGTTCCACGCGTTCGATCTCATCACCCCTTATCCATTGGATAGGACGTCACGATGGAGAACATCTTCTCATCCATTGTCCAGCCGTTGTACTTAAAGTGGAAGAGGGCGATGGCGAGGTTTGCGGGCCTCGAAGATGAAGACGAGTCCGACAATGCGGGTCTCGACGACCTCGAAGTAGCTCTTGAGCGCACGCTCGTAGAAGACGGGAGTGTCTTCCCAGTTGTTGAAGGTGCCGTTCCAGTTGTAGAAGCGCATCAGGACGGCAGCGATGGGGTTGAGCCACTTGCCCTTGACCGGAACGTACTCGCCGTCCGCGTTCTTCTCCCAGTACTTGGGGAGGATGGTAGCGCCCATAGCCACTCCCTTAGTGGGGCATAGGTGGTGCCTGGCAACGTCGAAGACGTGCACCTTCCTCTCGATGGGGCCGGGAAGGCAGTGCAGGAGGTAGAAGATCGAGATGGAGCTGTATCTAGCAGAGGCTCTCGGGGCGGGCAGGTATCGGGTGGCGGTGGTCTGGACGATGTGGACCTCCACGTTGGGGTGGTTGATCTTAACGCGGCTACGCGCCATCTGGAGGCAGTACATGTTCAAGTCGACCAGGGTCAGCTCGCGGGGCTCGTTGAAGGGGCACGGGTCCTGGAAGTAGCCGTTGTCGGGGAAGTATCCGGTGCCGACACCGAGGTCGAGGTGATTCTCGGTGAAGTTCTTGACCCAGAGAGGGAGCAAGTGCTCATGGGTGGGACACTTCCAGGCGTACTTGTTGGAGAAGCCGAGGACGAACCAGTCGTAGAGACGGAGCAGCCGCGGGGTGTACGCCTTGGTACCGGGGGTTTCAAGCTCCAAGGCGCCGTACTCGGGCCTGTCAGGGACGATGAGGATCGTACGCTCGTTCGGGGGAGGCATGTTGAACGGCGAGGTGGTGTAGCTCTTGTTGGTCGATATCGTCGGGGGAGGTTGCTTGGGGTCTGCAATTTGATGAAGGAAGAAAATCGATCTCAGCTGCGAGCAAAAGAGTTCTTGGAGCTGCCTCGAAGAACATGAAAAGCCCGGAGAAGAAGAGGGATAATGCAAGGCTCTTCAATGGCCAGGAAGGCTGTGAGTGGTGACTGGGAGATCAGCCACAGCAACCACCACAAGTTGAAATCCAGTCTCCCATTCACTCGATCTGTTTCTGAAGCTCTGTCGATTACTGAATCATAGGCCAAGTACTTTCAGTCAAGGCCTGATCCAAGAATGGACTGGATGGGATCCGCTTTTCCGGGCTCCTATTCACACCCCCAGCCTGTGAGCGACAGAAAGTTGCCTCAGCAGTCACTTGAAGTTGCGACCATGTGGGTAGGCATTGTCACCGATTCTTTGTGGGACAAAGTGAACACATAGCAGTGAGTTCAATTGATCGCTAGGGAATTGGAGTAGAAATGGCCGAGTGGCTGAGTATAGCTGACGAGGCCGAGGGACAGAGTTGGGACACATATGTATTGACGCATCATCGTGGAGCGCGGAGCCTTTTTAAACACGGCAGAAGCCGGACAGGAGCAGCGCTAAAGCCTTGACTCTTGGCCTTCAGACTTTGCCTGCATAGTCATCCGCAGCACTTGCTGTGGTTACGGCCGGAACGCTGTGTTGGCGTGCCTGGAAGCTTTCCCGATGCATGACTACATTAGCCTAGCAAACTTGACGGGGTTGTAATTATGGTCAGACGAGGCGATGAAGGCCACTTCAGAGGATGACCTGACTGACGGTGGAGACGAGCCCGCTCTCCTGACTCCTGAGAATCCCGCATTGTAGCTTTTGAGTAGACCAGTTACGCCATTGATTCGATCCAATCTGCAATATGACGTTGTTTTCTTTCCTACGACTTGCTGCCGATGGACTCTTTGAAGGACTCCCGATCTTTTGTCTGGGAGAGCTTATTGCCGCTTTCGGACTAGCGCCACACGGCGGGCCAGGCCTTGTCAGTTGTAACAAAGGCGGCGGCGGAAATTCTGCCAAAACGCGTTTCTCCAGCTCTGTTGGATTGCGACTTTGACGCAGAAAGCGACCAGAACTCTCCTCCTCGCCAGCACCCCCTCATTCAGCCAGCAATTCCGTCGTCGCCCTGCTGACCGCCTCACTCTGCACCTTGGCTTTTGGACGGAGGCGGCGAGATGGCCTCACAAGAGGCCCTGTTCCTCTACAAGGAGACCCGTCTGAATCTCGAGCCCGCATCACCCGCCAATGTCGTCAACATCCGCCTTCCCGCCACCAACGGCGCCGCGCGATCGTCAAATCGGCGGACGAATGGCGCCGGCAATCTTTCCGACGAGGAGCGCGCCTACCGCGCCAAGAACCTGTCCGTAGCCTCGTCCATCTTCTACCGAAAACACCACGACAGCCCTCGCGCATTCCTCTGGCGTGTCCTCGACGACGGCAAGATCCTCAGTGTGAGGGTGGCAGACGTCTGCAAACCCGACAAGACGCCTGACGCGGGCCTCATCCTCCATTTCCACTTCCCCAACGGCCTTCGGCCATCGTGCGTGGGCTTCGCCGACCCCGAGAACCAGGATGCGCTCTGTCTGTTCGTGCTCGACGAGGCCGATCAGCTATGGAATCTCGTCCTGAGGCCCGACTTCTTTCGCAAGCGCTCAGCGCTCGAGAACGGCCTAGGAGAGGCGTGCAAGCCACACAGCTCAGCCGCATTCCACTTCAAACAACCACATCGACTCTTCGCGGTCAGCGCCGACGAGTTCATCGTCACCCTGTTCGATGGCGGTATCCTGCGTTTCCACAAGATCAAGGGGCACGAAGGTAAGCAGAGACAAAACGGTTGGGTACATGCCCGACGAAACCCTGCTAACGACATGACCTGTTGCAGCTTCCGAGTGGAAAGAAAGCTTCCATTCGCCAACCAGCTGGACGCGCAACCTGCGAAGCATACTCCCCTTCCAGGGCGGCCCGACCGTCAAGTACGGGGGCACCAACATGGACATGACGGCAGCCGCATCGGCCGTGATGACATCGATGGACCTCGATCATCAGTGTTTTTTGTTTACAGTCTGTCTCGATCACCGGCTGAGAGTGTGGAATGTCCCCAAGGGAGAAATCGCGTACACGGGCGACATTCTCGGCCTCAATCGCGATCCGCAAGAGATTGGCAAATGGTCGGTAAACCCAGACCAGTCCAACCTGATTCGAATTATGGCTGTTCACGAGGGTTCCTGCATCTTTGCCGTCTACTCCCCGGTCGGCGCGGGCACATTTAAGTTTTGGAAGGCAACGGCTTTGGCGGACGGCAAGATTGAGCTAGACGATGTCTTTGAAGATCGTGACCTTGTGCCCCCGACACCCTCTGCCGCTGATGTCTGGACCCTGGCAGATTTTGGAGTCTCGCAGGGCGCTCGCCGGTCCATCAACCTCTGGGTTCTCTGGAAGAACAACCTGATCTACAGGGTGACAAAATTGCATTTTACCAAGAGCAGCCTGAAGACAGCTTGGATCCACGACTGGGTCAATGTTTTTGCCGACACCTCATACCCTACGGCGCAAAGCTCAGGGCCGTGCGACCCGATCGACCCCACGGAAAAGTGGCTGCAGGTCATCTTTCACCCCGGACGATTCTCGCGATCGACTCTGGAGACAGCCTTGCAAGTCTACGAGCGCGGCCTGGGCTCGGCCAAGGAGGCCGTCTCATCCAAGGGAGGAAAGGGATTGGCAGAGGCAATATGTTCCGTCCTCGGTGCTACAGCAACCTTGGAGAAGGGGTCAGGAGACGGAATGGACTACGATCAATTCAGAAGCACGAGCGAGACCCAATGGCGGCGTTTCTACCGCTTGGTGATCGAGCTCGACAAACAACGGGGAGAGGCCCTGTCTCTTGTTGTTGACCCGGAGCTGGGCATCACCTGGGTTGTATGCGCGGACTGTATCGGCGCGATCCGAGAATGCAGCGCGCTGGATAGGGTCTATCACAATCTGGACTCTCCCGAGACCGGTTCTCAGCATATATCGAGCCTGCTGGTCGCTGGTACGACCTTTATGGAGAGCTTTTCCGACGGCATGCAGCAACTGTGCGTTGCGGCGCTGCGGTCCGAGCTGTATGAAGATTCGGCCAAGACGGACTACGAGCGCATCCAATACTTCTCAGACAAGGCGGGGTTCTGGCGCCAGGTCACAGAGGAGGATTGCGCACAGGTGACAGATCTGCTGGGTGAAAACTTCAAAGTCGTCGACATGGACCTCTATCAGCAGCTCCTCGGCCTCATCGAAGAGTCAGAAGAGGCCCGCAACCGCGATGTGCGGCATCCCTTCACATCCTTCGGCCAGAAGTTGGCGATCAAAGGCGTACAGGAGACGGCAGAATTGCACTGGCGGGTACTGCTTAGCCAGCTGATTCTGCTGGTACACATGGAGTTCGAATTCGACAACGATGAAGACGCGCTACACTCACGGTTTGACATCGGCCTTGTCTACCGCCAGATGATCCTCGCACTTAAGCGGTTAGAGCTTGTCAGGTGGCTTGCGCGCACCGAGGTCAGCGTCGCGCTGCCCAAGTCCGAGAGAGCCTCGTTCTCTGGTACCTCGCCGGCAACTACCAAGCGCACCGCGGAAGAAACCCAGGTCATCACGGTTCTCGAAGCCGCCCTTGGCCACTTGCTCGGCATGGGCGAAGTAACTGACAGCCTCGCATCCAATCTCACCGAAGTCATCACCGGCGTTTGCGCTCCTAGAAGTTCGTTGGAGTTGGAGGCCCCGATGGTGCAGTGCTTACTCCTGAAGCGCGACCGTCCCGACCTCGCGGATGGTCTGAGTGGCTTCGTCCGCCAGGACCCCTTCCCAGTTTATATCCAGGGCCGCGTTTCATTGGCGCTTAGGGATTACGCCTCCGCTGCTACGAGCTTCAGGAGAGCAGCAATTGGCATGAGTAGGTCTTGCGTTCCTAGATCTCTGACTAAATTCATTATTGACACTTCCGTTACAGGCACGCCTCAAAAGCACCTCCACCGCCACAGCGCAGGTCTGATGGATGACACAGAGTGGAATCTGATCTACACCGGCTCGGCCAAGTACTACTCTCACATTGCCTCCCTCTTTGACCGGCAAAAAGCATATGCCCAAGTCATTGACTTTGCTCGCCTCTCATTGCAATTCGCAACCGGTCAAGACGCCAGCACGCAATCCGTCCGCTCGGAGATGCTCAGCCGGCTCTTCACCGCCTCCACCGCCCTCTCGCGCTTCGACCTCGCGCACTCGACGCTCCTCTCCATGACCAACCGCGCCCTGCAGCACTCGTGCCTCCGCACCCTGGTCGAGAAGATGTGCGACGCCGCGCAGACGGCCGAGCTCATCGCCCTGCCCTTCTGCGGCCTGCAGGGGGCCGTCGACGACACGCTGCTGGCCAAGTGCCTCGCGCCGACCAGGGACGGCGGCAGCGCGCCCGCGCAGGAGCAGCAGCCGCCGTACCACCAGATCCTGTACGCGTGGCGCGTGGCGCACGGCGACTACCGCGGCGCGGCGGCGGTGCTGCTGGACCGGCTGCAGAAGCTGCGGGCCGCGGGCGAGGGTGACAGGCTGCTCGGCGACGACGCGCTCGACACGCCCGTCACGAAGCAGTACCTCCTGCTCATCAACGTGCTCAGCTGCGTCGCGCCCAAGCAGGCGTGGATCTGCACGGAGGACCTGGAGGCGGGCGGCCCGGAGAGCGGCGGCGGACCTGCGAGGGAGTCGGAGGACCCGGCGGGGCTGCTGTCGGACGGCGCGGGCGTTGATGACGACGATGGCGCCGACGGACGGGGGGACAGGGAGATTCCGGAGAAGTTCAGGGCGCTGCTGCGGGCGCAGCGGCGGGGCAGCGTCTCGTCGGGCCCGGAGGAGGAGGAGCGCCGGCGGCGGGGCACGACGAGGAAGGTCGTTACGCTGGCGGAGCTGAGGAAGCAGTACCAGGAGGAGCTGGACCGGATCGCGGCGATTCAGAACAACCAGTTTGAGTTTGCCGAGGACGAGGACGACGCGATGGACGAGTCGTGAATGATGGAGGGGAGAGAGATGGCGATAAGAGCGACCTTGTGTGGCATGTAATACCATTTGTCCGGTAAAAAGAAGCGATGGACTTTAGGTGTCGTACTTGGCGGGGGCACACTTTCTGCCTTTTTTTGCGTGTGGTTTTCTACAACTTTTGAGAATGGGCCAAGTCTAGAATGGCTGACTCCGGGTTTGTGCCCCTATCACGAGGGCATCTGGGAGGTTTCGGGGAGCAAAAGGTGGTAAGATAGACACACACAGAGAGACTTTGAATTGATATTTTGAGAAGTCCCTCGCAATAAAGATACGAGATGAAAAGTAGTGAAACACAACCTTCTGACCAGACGCCTTTACTATGCTTGAAGCAGAAAAAAAAAAATTACACGTGAGAAATGATCAGCAATCCCGCTCGAGGATGCTTCCCTCCGCCAGCATCACCACGCTCCTGTCTGCACTGACTGCACCATCCTTCACGCCGGAACCGCCTGGATGGTCCGCTCGGGCGGTGGCGCAGGCAGCGCTGCGGGCTCCCCATTGCCGTTTGCAAGCTCGGGGGCTTGCCTATACAGAATGATCTCTGACTGTTTGAAGTATCTCCTTGCGTCTGAGGTGAAGAAGGGGCGTATGTCAGTAATGAAGCAAATTATGTCCTTGGAGCCGGCAGAAACGTACCCTCATCTATCAGCACGAGACTCAGATAATACCTCGTCGAGAACTTCTTGTTGACGTCGCGGAAGGTCGGGGTCAGGTCGAAGCCGCCGAGGAAGAGCCGAATGGGGATGGTCTCGCCGCGCGAGGGCGAGCCGTCCATGATCTCGAAGCGCACGAGGGTCTCGCTCTCGTTGTACTGGTTGGGCGCGGCGCCGGTGGTCTCGCGGCGGATGATGGACAGCTCCATGTGCTTGATCTTGAGGCGGACGAGCAGGAAGTAGATGCGGCCGACGATGACGTCCTTGAGGTGGTACTTGGACTTGGAATACTCGAACTCGATGTGCAGGCAGTCCTCGATGCCGACGTCCATCTTGATGGAGCTGTTCATCTCGGGCGGGATGCGGTAGCTGTAGACCCAGATGTCCTTCTCGCGGATGACGTCGGCCATGCGGCGCGAGACGGTGACGCGCACAAAGTAGCGCAGCTTGACGTTGATGCCCGCGTACGACTCGTACTGCTTCTCGACGTTCTTGAAGTTGAAGTCGAAGGTCTGCGGGTGCTGCAGCTCGCCCGGCGCGGCGAGCTCCTGCACGAGCGAGAGGAACTCGTAGTGGTTGCCGCGGTCGAAGAACATCTCGATCGTGCCGATGAACTGCACCTTGATGCCCGTGTGCTCGAGGCGCTTGCCGTCCTTGGGGCGCACCGTCACGGCGCCCTTGACCGACTCGCCGTCCATGTACAGCGGGGCCTTCTCCCGCCTGTTCTTGTCGAGCTTGACGTCGACCATGGACCGCTCGTCCGTGTCGTCGAGGACGACGTCGATGTCGACCGGGGTAGCGAAGAAGTACGACATCGTGGGGGGGAGGTGGGTGATTGGTGTCGGTGGCAGCGAGGGAGAGAAGGAATTGGCCCGGAACACCAAGGTGTGGGTGAATAATGGAGCAGCTCGTTGGGTGTCGGAGTCGGCCGGCCGAGAGGGGAGGAGTTGGTGATAATAGAGGTGCCTGGCGCTGAGGGAGCTAGGAGCTACTACGCTATCTCACTCGGTGCTTGCACGGCGCTGCTGGCCTGGCAGCTGCGGGCACTTGAAGAGCGGATGGCTGCCAGTGAGGAGCTTGGGCCGTCCAGCCAATGACGTGTGTTGGTGTTGATAGCAGCCACGAAAAGCGTGGGAATAAGACTTCAAAGTGTATTGGAGGACAGTTTTTAACTAGACAGTGATTGAAACTCAGCCCAGTATTTCTCCCACTTCTTTATTTCATGGTCTGTCTTATCGCAGGCAGATCTAAAGCAGGCCAGGAAGATGAAAGGCAGAGGAACAGGGCCAGGACCAGCAATCAACACATGACTGTGCACGTGTGGCAGAAACAATACTCACCGCCTAGAACTCAAGCTGCACGCTTCGAACGGCCCGTCAATCTTTAGCGACTCCACCCGGCCCAAAAGGTGTCTAGCGCTCTTCTGTCCTGCTAGTGGACCTCGACCTCTTTTTTTTTTCTGGCTGATTGCGATAGCAAGAGAAAGCCGAGTCACGTGGTGGAGCAACCCTAGCCAGAAACTTTTCAATTCCCACAGCCAATATTCGCCAAATTTTCGAGATAGCGATCCACGACCTCGAAGATACCCTCAACCTCCAGCATCTCGTCAACCCCTCAACACCGACAAGATGAAGTACATTCACACAGAGGAGACCCTGGAGATCCCGGACGGAGGTACGATTGAATCCCCCACACGACCGATCTATTTCCCTGCACTGGGCGACCGGACTGGCGAAGAGTTGGAGATTGGAGGAGGGGAAACAGGAAGCAGCGTGATGGGATTGTCGATGCCGACAACGACAAGGAGCGCATTGCAGCTCGCTCCTCCAGCTCTACTCTTCGCCAGGATGGAAACTCATGGCAGACGTCGCATCGTAACGCTTGGCTTTGCTTACTGACATCTTTTCCCATCAAACAGTCAAGGTCTCCATCAAGTCCCGGATTGTCACCGTCGAGGGCCCCCGAGGTACGATACACATCTCCTAACCCGTTTTTTGAAACCACAGAGCGCGTGTGGGAAATGCGTGGGAAAGCACATGGGGTCTAACGCTTGACAAATCGAACAGGCAAGCTCGTCAAGAACCTGAACCACCTGGCCGTCAACTTCTCCGTCCCCAAGAAGAACGTCATCGCCATTGAGATCCACCATGGCAGCAGGAAGAACGTCGCCACCCTGCGCACCGTCCGCTCCCTCATCAACAACCTGATCGTCGGTGTCACCAAGGGCTTCAAGTACAAGATGCGATACGTCTACGCCCATTTCCCCATCAACGTCAACATCGAGAAGAACTCGGAGGGCGTCTACGAGGTCGAGATCCGAAACTTCATCGGCGAGAAGATTGTCCGGAGGGTCGTTATGCAGAGCGGTGTCGAGGTCGAGATCTCCAAGGCCCAGAAGGACGAGCTGGTCCTGTCCGGCAACTCCCTCGAGGGTGTTTCCCAGAGCGCTGCCGACATCCAGCAGATCTGCAGAGTGCGAAACAAGGATATCCGAAAGGTAAGCGAAAACTGGAGGCATATGAGCCTGGCCCTGGCATGCATAGCAAGCCAAGGCCATGGTATCAAGGGAACGAATGAACAAATCGATGGCTGACTGTGGGTTTTCTTCTAGTTCTTGGACGGTCTGTACGTCTCGGAGAAGGGCAACGTCGTTGAGGAGTCTTGAGCAGCGGATCACGGGACACGGTTTTCATTGTGCTTTCTGGGTCTTCACTTGGAGTGGCAGGGGTTTCATCAAATGGCAATTGCATGCTGTGTAGCAAAATAGAGCTACGCAAAAAATGAAAAGGAACACTTGACCAAAACGAGTCTTTGGGCGTTTGAGCAAATGTCATTGGAAGTTGTATCTGCACAGGGGTGCTGCATACTGACTTGGAGCCGAGTTTTTGAAGTGAATTCCTCCCAAATCGACTACACATAATGACGGCACGATCGAGCGAGGAAACATTGGCCGAAAGCGCAAGGATGGCTGGGAAGACAATCTACGGGATTGCCGAGTGATTTCGTTTGGGCACGGTCATATGTCCATATACGCCAGAGCGATCCTCCGATTTTGGCTTGACGACTCAAGAAACAGGGCATAATTCACCACGGACAAGGACCTTTGCGCCTATGTATTGTTGATATTGACAGCTCTTTGCCAAGCCAAGGCCGATCTCATTATCTCATGCAAGAATTTGTGGGTTCATGTCCTTCTATCTATCGCATTACAGAAAAGCATCTCTCATTTCGTCTCTCGCCGGGGAGGAGCCCTCCCACTCTTCCTTGTTAGTTTTCGTCGTCTCGTCGGTCATGTACAAAGTATTCCTTCTCCCTTCATGATCCCCCTCTTTCGCCCAAAACATAGCTTCGTCTTCCCCATTTTTCATTCATTGATGGCTTTTCCTCCTCCCGAATAGGTCCGCAAAGAGACAATGCATTTGAAAATCCTGACATTGGTATCTCGCGTTTCAAAAACGAAAAACGACAAGTATGGTCCCCGAAGGGGAACATATGTGAGAAGCAAAAGTTGGAAAATTTACCGCAGATAAAACGCCGATTGATGATGTTGATGATGGATGATGGTGGTGGTGGTAGTGGTGGTGGTGGTGGTTTTGGGCGGAGGGTAATATGTGTGTCGTGATGTGGTTGCTGATATGTACCGGGGTGAGTGGAGGTATGTGCTCATTAGTCCTCATAGCAGGCCAATGTGGCTCTCGGCTGCAAGATCAGACTAGATCAGGTCGTAGGTAGGCTACCTCCGCGAGGATGGCACCCTCGAGGGCGCTCTCGATGGCGGACCCCTAGACACGCGCGTCGTATGCGTCCTGTGGCTGCGCCTAGAGTCGCGCGTTCTACCTCCGGAGCTCGAGCTGCCTGAGTCATAGGAGCGCTGGTCAGCATCATAATACTCGGACCCTCCGCCGCGGATATGCGAACCCCCCGCCCCGTGCGAGACGCCACTCCTCGGCGGCGGCGGCACACCGGCACCAGACGTGTGTCTACTGGTGCCGCCGCCGCCGCCGCCGCCGCCGGTCCCTCGCCGCCCACTCTTCTCGGAAAAGTAGTAGTCAGAGGAAAACTCACTCGGGCTGCTCCCCGTGTACGAATTCGACCAGTAGCTGCTGCTGACCTCGCTGCGCGCGTTCTTGGCCTGCGACGCGCGGCGCTTCTTGTCGCGCCGCAGGCCCAGCAGCAGCAGCAGCGTGCCCGCCGCCGCGCCGAGCCCCAGCCACCCGGCCCCGCTCGACTTCTTCTTCTCGCTGGTCCGCCGCGACGCCGCCGTCGAGGGCCGCCCGCCGCCGCGCCCGCCGCCGAACCACCCGCCGTGCCGGTCGCGGCGGGAATGCACCGAGGCCGCGCCTCCGTGGCGCGTGTAGCGCTCCTCCTCGATGACGGTCTCCTCGCGCGAGCTGCGCTTCTTGCCGCCGAAGCCGAGGAGGGCCATGAGGCCGTTCCAGAGGCCGCGCACGACGCAGCAGGCGCAGATGAGCAGCAGCAGGATGACGCCGGCGATGACGCCGACGACGATGCCCGCGATGGCGCCGCCCGAGAGCTTGTTGCTGCTCGTCGTGGTGCCGACGGCCCCGGCCCCGGCGGTCGTGCTCGTGGCGCCGACGGCGGAGCCCGTGCGGGTTGCGGTCGTGGCCGTCGCGCCGCTGGTCACGCGGTAGGGCGCCGAGTACTGCGATGTCGCGGGGGCGCCCGCTCCTCCGCCGCCGCTGCTCCCGCCACCACTACCGCCGCCGCCGCCTCCTCCGCCTCCTCCACCGACGTTGGGCAGGCACTGGCCCTCGTAGGCGCAGTACTGCCAGTTGGCGCAGCAGATGGTCCCGCACGCGATCTGCCCCGTTCCGGCGGCGGGGGTGCACGCCGCCGCGGCGGGCGGAGCGGTCTGGGCGGGGAAGTAGGAGCTGCCCGTGCTGGTGAAGGTCTCGGTCTTGGTCCAGGTGGTGGTGAAGAGGGCGAAGCCGCCGCCGGCGGCGGCGTTGGTGCAGCCGGCGATGCCGTTGGAGGTGTAGCACTGCTGGCCGTCGGGGCAGCAGAAGCGGTCGTAGCCGCAGTACTCCTGGCAGCCGCGGGGCATCAGGAAGCCCGCCGAGGCGAGGTCGTGGCTCTCATCGCGCGGGTAGGGGTGCGCGGCGACAGGCGCCGCGAACAATGACGAGGTGGTGGCGAGGAGGAGGAGGAGGGCCGGTAGGATGGAGGTTTGCCGCGAGCTCCCGCTCCGTTGCGGTGATAATGATTGCCGAAGCCGCATCTTGGGAGGCTCCAGCTGTGAAAAATGTGCCCCCAAGGGAAAAACCCGAGAGGCTGGGATTTCCCTTGAATTTTCTAAAGACAGAAAATCTGGTCGAGAAACCGGCCAAAATGGCAGATTCACCCGAGATTTATCTGGAGGGCCAGTCGTGCCCCGACCAGAACGCCGTCTGGCGGTGAGCTTTTCTGTCGATGTTTCGCTGTCTCGCCCTGGAACGACGACACAACCCCCCGGCGCTCCGTCCCGTGCCGCCCGCACGTCAGTGGAATCCACTCGATGTTTTAGCGTCCGGACCGCTGTTGCGCGCGCTGTTCAGTGAGGGGAATTGGGTAACGGCAGGCAGTTTCGCTGGAATGTTAGCAAAGATGAAAGAAAAAAAGAACAAGAGATAGTCGTCGTGGCGCTAGAAACTGTCGACTGGAATGGAAGCAGTGGAATTTGGGGGGAAAGAGAGAAGGGGGACCGAGAATTGGAGGTGGTGGTGGTGCCAATACTTGCAGATTTTAATGGGTGGTGGTGGTGGTGGTGGACGAGACCAGCCTCCCGCATACCTAAACCCAACCTCTCAATTTTGGTGATGACTTCGCTCTGGTCCCTCTCACCACTTGCGCTGGCCAAACAGCCCCAGTTGCGTCACAAGCGACCGGAGACCCCCTTGCAATTGGACCCTTTTTCTTTTCCACTTTATTGCTCTTATTTTCCCTTTCCTGCAGTCAGAGTTTTACCTTTACCTTTACAGAATAGAAGAGGGAGGGATACGAGTCCGCTAGCAGCAGCTGTGTGTCGGTCTCCCAGGCCAAGAGGGCCGCGTCAAAAGGGCACCACCTGGAGAGCAGGCTGGGCTGGGTGGTGAGTGAGCGACTTTCCGGGCGTCGGTCTTCCTTGGTCAGCCTCTGTTATTACTGGCGCTGTCTTGACGTGTAGTTGCGGATTACGTACGGGCGGGAACCGGTGCTTGGATTGAGCTGGCACAGGTCGAGCTTGGGAGGAGAGGAAATGCAAGCTACTGCAAGGCCAATTGGACCCCGTGAAGCTCGGTGTCTGGTCTGCGCCGGTTTGGTCTGCTCTCCCTCATGCAAGCTCGGTCGGGCTGCAGCACAAGTGTTTAACTACTTGTACTTGATGACGCCGTCTGGCTGCCCTCGAGGCCGTGTGTGCCCAATGGCGACCCCTGCTGGTCTGGTGACGGGACAACTATCAGTGACCCCCCAACTCGGCCCAGAGAGCCTGCTGTCAGGTCCCGAATCTGGGCCTAGGTATTTGCAGGTGCTGTGGCCTCGAGAGTCTGCAGGGATCAGGTCTGGTGCCGGCGGTGGTCCAGGCGTTCCGGGGACCCCTGCCCTCGTATTCTGCCAGTCTTTTTCCTTCCCACTTCCCAGCCTTCGACATATCTCGTAGGTAGGTAGGCAGAAGGGTGATGATCAACCCATGCTGTGTTTCGGAAAAAAAATAACGAGCTACCGACCAGAGGCGTTCCAATCGTCTGGTAAGGAACCGAACGGCTGGCACCAGTTCTCTATCCTTGATAATGTCTTGGTCGCCCGGGTCAGCTGTGAGCTAAGGTATTGCGCACACGTGGTCGAGCCATCACCAGGCGGTATCTCGTCTTGAGCGCTGCGGAATGGACGCCTCCTTAGCATCGAAATCGAAAGAAGGGCAGCATGTGCTTGCCTAGTGTAGTGCAATAATAGAAGAATTCAAGTTTCCAGGCCTCGACTTTCCTCCCACAATACGAAGTACACACCTGGCTTGACAAGGAGAACGATGAAAGGTGTGGCGCCTTCAAGAGTGTGGCTGTTAGTCGGTGTGGCTTGCCTCGTGCCCGTGCTAGCTTTGGTTGGTCCGAGCTCTTTGAGAGGGTGAGAGGTAGCAATCAGCTAGCTCGAGCTGGTGCCGCAAGCAGCTTAGCCGCGTAACTGACTGAGACGAGACTGACCTCATCCTCTCCAACTGGTTCATCGTCGACGGGAACCCGCCCAGCACCAGTCTCAACACCCTCGTCCCGTCCCCAACAGCCGGCATCCATCCCCCACAGAGCGCATCGCCACCATGTCGCTCGATCCCCCGACATACTTGGCATCGCTACAGAACAACATCCGCCAGAGGCCCATCCCCTGGGATGGCGCTGTCCGCGCCGGCACCCTGACCGACGACCAGCTCGCCCGTATCCGCGCCGTCGACAAGGTCAAGAGGGAAGTCCGCCAGGAGAAGGTCGAGGCCGACCTCGACGGCTACCGCGTCCTCTTTGTCGGCGACGAGCACACCCCGAGCGTCCTCGAGTCGGCAGGCAAGAGGCAAGATGTCGTCCAGTACATCCTCGTCCTTCTGAGGGATTTGCTAGGGTGTAAGTTGTCCGCGGCGCCATCTTCGAGTGCTCACCAGCAAGCTAACGTCTCGCCTTGTACCTTGCAGCCGTTCCCGCATTGGCAAAAGCTCTCTACAAGAACCCAGATCCGTACAAACCCCTCCTACCGCTCCTCGCACCCCCGTCCAACGCAGATGTCCCCATACCGCTGCTCGCCTCCACCGTCATCACGGCCATCATGTCCGGCTCCAAGGATGAGTCCGACACCACCGTCCAAAAGGCTCTTCCCGTGATGCTGAGCTACCTATCCTCCCTTACCAAGGACTCCGACCCCGGTCTACAAGACATCGGCGTTCAAGAGTACTCTAATCTGCTTTATGGGCGAGCCGTACGGCGGCAATTCTGGGCCCAGCGGAGCGAGACAATCGCCCCCCTGATAGACATTCTCCGGTCCGCTGCCGGTGTCGGAAACGGTGATGTTGCGGCCAATCTGTGGAGCGGCACCTCGACCACTGGCAGGAGCACTGGCTTCGAGGGCTCTCTATCGGGAGGTGTTGGTCTACAATTGCTCTACCATGTCCTCCTGGTGATGTGGCAGCTGTCCTTTGAGGCCGAGGCCATAGGCGATGATCTCAATGAGTCAGTTATCCTGATTAGCCCTGGCACCGTTACGTTATACATTGAAGCTAACATCCCTCTAGCGAGTTCGACATTATCCTCCTTTATACCCAGCTGCTCCGCCTATCACCCAAGGAGAAGACCACCCGGCTCCTGGTCTCCACCCTCTACAACCTCCTCGACGCCAACCGCGACACGCTCCTCCCCACCGCCGTCCTGGCCCGCCTGCCGGTGCACCTGTCCAACATGTCGTCGCGGCACCTGACGGACCCGGACCTGCAGGAGGACACGCAGAAGCTCAAGGAGATGCTCGACGAGTACACGACCACCAAGACGACCTTTGACGAGTACGTCGCCGAGGTGCGCTCGGGCCACCTGCGCTGGTCCCCTCCGCACCGGTCCACCGTCTTCTGGGCCGAGAACGCGCGGCGGATCCTCGAGCACGACAACGGCGACATACCGCGGCGCATCGCCGACATCATGGCCAAGCCCTGGGAGTCGGACAAGGCGGTCCTGGCCATCGCGTGCAACGACGTCGGCGCCCTGGTCAAGGAGGTGCCCGAGCGGCGGGCGCAGCTCGAGAGGCTCGGGCTCAAGACGCGCGTCATGGAGCTCATGGGCGAGGCGGACGAGAGCGTGCGGTGGGAGAGCCTCAAGGCGCTGGGCGGTTGGCTCAAGTATAGCTTTGATACCAAGTGAGGGAGGGCTGGCTTGAGTGTAGTTTTGAGTGTGGGGGTTGTGGGCTTGTTTGTTGTTGTTGGCAGTGGGTTTCGCGAACAAAGGGCATAATTTGTTTTATGGTTTGTAAGTATATAGATCATCATCGGGTGTGTCATCCACGCGCAGTGAGGGATGGGACCTGCGCGTGCAGTGCTCACGACGTGGGCTTTTAGAACCGCGGGTCATTGCGGATTGAATGTACAGGCATTTGCATGTTATGTCTCTTTTGGTACTGTTCAGGACTGGCTGTTACTTCGTGGGCTCTTTGAAGTTGTGAGCAGTGCAGCTAGCAAGCAGAGCCCAAGATGAACAGGAGGAGGCGCCTTGTTAGATGAAAGACCAGAAGAGTGAAATCAGCAAGTGAATCGTACTTGGAATCTAATTACCAAAATGGTGCCGTCCAGACGAAAAGATTCACTTGGAATCTATCAAAATAGTACTTGTTCAGACAAAATGAGTTGCATTGATATCGCAGCCTTGTAGGCGATCAGTCCAGAGTGGTCGTACGAATTTGCTTGGTTTGTTTGTTCTTCCTTTCCAAAGGTAGGCACCGACAAAGGAGCGAAGCATTAACTCTTCTCGATAGCAAGTCCTCTCCTTTGATGCATCCAAGCAACTATCTATGTGCTGAACCATCACAATGACATTCTTAGTCTTTGAGCACATTGCGATTATATAAATACCCTTCATTCCCTCTGCTTTAAACTTGGATCTAAGCAGAAAGCATCCTCGCGCAACACATTCCTCAGAAGAAACTCGCAATGTCTGATCCACGACCTCCTCCCCCCGGCACCCTTGCCGAGGCTTTGTCTTTGGCCGGGTCAATTGCCGACACCGTCTCCAACCTCGCCGACTATAGTACCCCTTCAGCTGCCGAGATGCGCCTCTTTGCGGTCGAGATGCGCCTCCTGGCCTGCTCCTTGCATTGTGTCGACACCATTCGACCTCCAAGAGGCGACGACGATACCGCCCCTGAACTCAAGACCCAAGTTGAGAATATGTACAAAATGTGCGCGACCATCCTCGAGCACCTCAAGGACCTCCAAGATGCTCTGCGTCCTCTTGCTGAACAGTTTCGAACCCCTTCGCTGCTGAGCCGGGTTTTCCCCCGACTGGAGTGGTTCTTTGCCGACAAGAGAAAGGTGCTCGTCCACCGCAAGGCCCTAAACGCACAACGCGTAATGCTTAATATTTACACAGCAATGGTATTTGTGAGGCTGGAAGATAGGTAGATAAATCCGATGCTATCAGCTCTAAACGAAGTGTTGCGGATGATGGCTTGATGCAGATCTCATCGTCTCTTTCCAAGCCTATTCTTTCCTCAACATCCATCCTGTTCAGCGGATGATTCTTTTTTTCTTCTCATGATGTATTGTCAGCATTGGTGCTGTTTTCATACAAAGGGTGGAAGAACTTCAATACATCTTGGTCTTGGTATTACTGGTATGGAACAGTCTACGTAGATAGCAAAAGAGTTGCCTCCCAATCATCGCAGGCAGGTTGTCGCCATCCTTGACTAGAAGAACAAACCATGTGCTTGTACAACTCTTATCAGGCTGGTGACACAAGTCTCGAGCAAGCGAGAAGCCGGAATGCAAACACTGCTTTGCATCAGATACTTAAACTCAACGAGCCCATATGCTTGCACACATTCAAGCGTTACTCCCATCATCTCGTCAGACAGAAAGATATTGCGCCATAGCTAAATTAGAGCTCCCATGCCGAAACGCCGGCACCCATGCAGAAAAGCAAATATAAGAACAAGGCTTGATCCTCCCTCCCCGAACCATCATTGCCACATACACGGCCTCGGGTCCATGAGTTCTTGAGTACAATTCCCTTCCCAGAACAGACTAGCCCCGTCACTCCTTCTCCATGTCCTTCGGCGCAGGGTCGCCCACACCGTCGGCGTTGATCGCGAAGAGACAGTCGCTCTCTGGAAGGCACGGACTGTCGTAGATCTTCGCTATCCTCGTCTCGCCCCTGCCCTTCTTGAGACTGATCCGGGTCGTGCTCGCGTGGGCAACGATATTGCCGCCGATGGGCTTCTTCGGATCCGGGTTGAACATGGCCGACGGGCCGCCGTCGACCTGGGCGACGACCTGGTTCGTGATGACGACGGCGATGCCGAACTCGTCGGCCAGCCGCTGTAGCGTGCGCATAAACTTGGCCAGGTGTGTCTGCCGGCTGCTCAGCTCGCCGCGGCCCAGGAAGTCGGTCCGGTACAGCGAGGTCGCCGAGTCGACGACGAGCAGGCTGAAGCGCGTCTCGCACATCATGGCGGCGGCCTGGTTGAGCAGCTGCAGCTGGTGGTCCGAGTTGTAGGCGCGCGCGTAGGCGACGTTGTCGAGGACCTCCTCGCCCGAGAGGCCGAAGCGGTTGGCCACGTCGAGCAGGCGCACCGGCCGGAAGGTGCCCTCGGTGTCGATGTACAGGCACTTGCCCTCGCCGCCGCCCATGTCGAAGGGCAGCTGGCAGGTGACGGCCAGCGTGTGGCAGATCTGCGACTTGCCCGTGCGGAACTCGCCAAAGATCTCCGTGACGGAGCCCGTCTCGACGCCGCCGGCCAGGAGGGTGTCGAGGTTCTTGGAGCCCGTGGTGATGGAGATGAGCTCGCTCCGGCGCTGGTGCATCTCGGTTGCGGTGGTGAAGCCCATGGGCACAAGCTTGGAGGCTGCGTGCATGCGTGCGTGGTTAGCTCGTGAACTGGGCATTGCATTGTGTTTATTGAAGTTGATACACACCTTCAGCGAGGATCTTGCCCGCCTTTTGCTCCGAGATGCCCTTGATCTGCTCCAGCAATCGCCTAGGCGTGTAGGCGACGGCCTCGACTGTGTTGTAGCCACCGTCAACAATCAACTGGATATCGCGTTTCGTCAATCCCGAGACACCCTGTTCGTCGTCAAAGATTAGCATAAATGCAAGGAAGAGAGTGAATCGCGGCCAGGAACACCAACCTCGAGCGCGCTCAAGGGCGTGGGAGCGCCAGGTCCGGTCATTCCGCCATCGTCAACGTTGGCGTTCTCGTCATACTCTTCAACCATGGTCATTGTGTAGTACAGGAGGGCAGGGACGTAGGGTTATCACGGGAGGACGGGAGGGAGGCCTTGCTAGTAGGTCAAGAAGGCCTGGGATGGTGATTGGAGGTGCTGTCGCTGCTCGACGAGGAGGTTTTGCGATGATGGTGGCAATTTGGGCGGTTTGTTGACGCGACGCAAAGACGGAAAGCGCGTCTCAGCCCCGCCGCCACCGAGAAGGCAGCAACGCCAACTCAGGTGACCACCCTCTCCACAACCACTCAATCAAGGGTTAGGGTTTCTTTTTGGTAGCGACATGTCGGGAAGAGAAATCTTCCAAAACCTCATGAGATGCCAGTTCATTATATACTGTATATACATTTTATGAATGCCGCTATCATGCTTGGGATGCAAAGTATGCAGTCTACCAGCGCTCCCTTGAAGAACATCGCCCTTTTTATGAACATTGTTTACTTGCGCCGTCGGAGTCTGCCTTTCTAAGGAGCTCCGGCAAGGGCAGTTCTGCTATTCTTTTTCTGTAGCTTCCTCTGCTCCCTGGCCGTTGCCTCGTTTTCCAGATCAGCATCCTGAAATCCGTCACTGTTCGGACTCAGCGGCTGTTGCGGATAGCCAAAAGTGCCGGCTGGCAGGACTTCAAATCCAGAATTCACTTTCCTCGACGTCCGGTTCATATGTGCATAGTTATCTCCCGGACCAAATGTCGGCTGTGGCATGGCCACAGGCTGGTACAGGCCGTGTCTTGAGGCTTGTGAGTTGCTCTTCTGTTGCCAGGACTGCTCTGCCCTGGGAGAGGTTGGGCTCGCTGCGGACTCGAAAGATGACTTGTCAGGCGATGACTGGGATGGGCTAGCCGGAACTGGCCGCGGCTCGTGGGATCTCCTGCTCGCGTACGATCGGTAGCCTCTGCCAGATGAGCTCGAATTCCTTGAGCTGGGGTCTGAGCGGGGCTGAACAGCCCCTTGGCTGTGGCTCGAATCACTCGATACGGACGACGAGGAGGAGACGGACGCCGAGCTGCGCTTTGTCGGCCGGTAGTAATTTCTCTGAATACTCGAGTGCTGGGACGAGTATCTTGATGGGACGTATGTGTTGATCGACGGCCTATATCCATGCTGATCTTCGAGTTGAAGCAGCGCCTCCTCATTTAGTGGGCTTGTATTCCGGTTGAGGTCGAGCTGAGGCGGATCCTCCGATATCTGGGGCAGGGGCATCGACTTATTGGACGCAACATCAGAGGCCATATGACCTTCGAGGTTGGAATAGTCCGAGGTCGTGCGCCATGGGACGGGTTTGCCCCCCGTCGATGACGAGTTTGGTCGCGAGTCTAGCTTTGCTTCTTCCGATAAATGTTTCCTCCTGTCCTTGCCCTTCTGCCCGTCGAAATCCCCAATGAGGGTAGTCGTGGTGGACATCTCGAGCTTGGATGACGCTCGATTCGCACTCGCCGGTCGAGATATCCAGATCCCATCCACCTCTATGCCGCTCTGTATCGCCCGAATGCCAAAGGGGATGTCGCCGCCGCGTTTCGAGGACAGGCCCGTCTTTCGCATCTCGGTCAGCCGTGCGCGTTTCTCGATGTCGAGGATCTCGTGCCGTCGCACTGCCCTGTTGGTCCACCACAGCTTGAGCAGCCCCATGCAGAACACAACGATGATGGCCATTCCTAGAACCTGTGTGGCGGTGTTAGCGAGTGCCGTGGATGGACCAGCGAGCCATGTGTTTACGCACAAAGGTCATCTCCTCCCATAGCGCCCAGCCCGTGAAAAAGTGTCCCATCGTGAGTCGCTTGATCTATGATGTAGCGAAAGGATTGTTGAAATCTGAAGCGTGGCCCAAGAACAGAGGTGGGCATCAAGCAGCCACAGCGTGGACTTGACAAAGGCCAGGACAAGAGAATTTGACACCTTGTTCAATCCAGATACATGGTGTGTCACTCTTCAGTAATTCGATCGGATTATTCGGTGCGGAATGTCTATTCGAGATACTAGACAGGTTTCGAGTGGTGCGTCAGACTGGCGCGATGTTGGAGAGCCCGAACCGCTTGCTACGGCGACCGTCTTGGTGACTTGGGCTCAGCCTGCTATTTAACGAGCCGGGCCCGGCTAGCAAAGTGAATGAGGAAGGAGATGTGTCGCGGGAGTTGGTGACCCAGTAGCCGCATTGGTCGTGATGCCGAGTGAAGTGAAGGTCGCAGCCCTGGAGATGAAACGAACGAGCCAGCGGGCAGAAGATCAAAATGAAGACCAGCACCACGCCATCCAAAAGTCCAACCATCTTCTAGAAGCTAAGAACAGCGACCCTTTCTTTTTATTTATTAGGATGGTGCTCTCCCACTTTTACCGCCATGCGCTGGCCACTCCGCCAGCATCTCGACCCGTATTGCGGAAGGCTGCATGGAGCTAGACCAGCAGCGACAGGGGGGGGGGAAAGTTGCGTGCTGGACCGGATGAAAGCCTCTTTCTGGGCCAATTGCTCAGAAGTTCCAGTTTTTCCTCCCTCCTGTTTTTCCTTCGTGTGACGGCTCTTCAGGGCCGGCGAGACATACTATTGCAACCGCTTGGATGAACACAAAGCTTGTTGTACTCGGCCGGTGCGTGGCCCCAATATGGGTATTTCGGCATTTTCCCTTCGCTTGCCGTGTTTCTCGCCTCACCGGCCCCCAGAAAATCCGGCCTGGGGTACATACCGCCTACAGGCTATTTAGACGTCTCGAACCCGGTTCGCTGGGAGTCGGCATCGCTCTCCCCACACCAGTTGCATACAGCCGACCCTTCCATGGGGTGATAATCGAAGAAAAGAAGACCTAGCAAGGACCGGTATATCGGAAATCGATCACCTCTGGCTGTCTGGATAAGATGTCCTGCACGGAATGGTGGCGCTGGTACAAGCCTGTGCTCCCTGTGCCGAGGCCCTCGGCGACCCCATTGATCGCCAGGCACGAATCTTGGATCTCATATCTTTAGCAACCTGGCAGTCTTGGTGCATCAAGTTCTGGAAGCTTGTCCCTGACCCTGATCACCCCTGATGGAACGCTGCGAGTCGCCACCCGCCCGGGTTGAGACTTGTCTCGACCGTCTAGACGAAAGTGCGTTCGCCTAGCAAAGGCCCTTTGGCGGTTTGTCTATCTTGACATCTTCTTTCAACTGCCCCATACAAAGTGCTGTGGCTCGAACCTCAGTCACGGGAGGCCAAGACTTCTCGGGAAATCACCACAATTGACTTACGATTGCGAGTGTCTGACCACGCAACTGCCGACGGTTCTAAACGCTGACGAGACTTGATTCGTCAAAGGCCATGGGAGTCGCCGTTTTAGGCAAAATGCGCCGATGGAACTTATTCCGTAAGGCTGGATTCTTTGAACGATGAATGAGAGATGCACGGGGCGGAGTTGTTGGTCAATCCACAATATTAACTGTGTCATTATCACTGGAAACCGTCATTGTATCTCTGGAACACAGGGATTGTGTCCACTGCGCCGCTTCAATTGTCTCAGTTTACAGTGTAATTCGACTTGTACCTAATAGGTTGATCGGGGCAGCAAGCTGTTATTGAATAGTCGTGTGCCAGTGCCACAAGCAAGAAATGAGTCCCACACCCGGCCCTTTCTGGTGATGAAAACGAGATGACGAGACGAAGTATCATTCTTGATATCCTACATGGCTATCACCGATAGAGAAAGAGAGTTCTGCTGCTCATTTGAATCTCTGAGGTCCCAAGCTAAACTCGTCGACGAGGTGTTATCCCGGATTCCTCCATTTTACTCCAGCAGCTAGGCCCACTCCACCTCCACACCAGAGGCCGCGAAGACTCTACGCAAATCCTCCATGACGTCGTTCAGAGGCGTGTAGAAGTACACGAGCTGGAGCATATTGCCCTTGCCGTCCTCCAGTCCACCCCACAGCGGGCCGAGGAAGCAGCACCGCTCGGGGTCACAGACCATCGCGCCCGAGTCGCCGGCGCGGGCAAACGGGGCGGTGGCGCAGCCGGGGTCGTCCATGACAGCCTGCTCGATGCTCTCGATGTGGGGGCCGCCGGGGAGGTAGCGGCGGATGATGGAACGGACGCCGGCCTGGACGCCGGCCGTGGCGCCCGTGGTGCGGCCGAACTTGCAGGCTGAGGAGGAGTAGATGATGGCCGCGGAGAGGGCTGGAAAGACGTTCTGGAAGGGGCAAGCAGCATTAGTATGTAGTTCTCGGGACTAAACATGCGCCCTATAAAGAAGAAAGGGGAAAGGGAAAGGGAGAGGAGGACAGAGACGTACGTTGATGGCGCCATCAGTAGCACCGATACGAGACTCGTCGACCTTCACGGCGGCCCAAGTCAGTAATAGCAGCAACATATAAGATAGAAACCCTTTATGTATTTCCAGGTAAGAAAGAATGACTAAGACTCATTCACTGTAGAATACACTATGCCTCAGGATGTCCTTGTAAAGCTTACCTCCCTCCTCCCTAAAGAAAAGAGAAGACAAAACTCCAGTGTTGTAATCACCTATCCTACAGTCGTGACGAAGCACCGCCTACTTCCGGCGCTTGGATGGAGTTGACTCCTCTCGAGAAGCGTATCGCTTCTTTGCGCTTGAGGTTGGGGTGGGCCACTTGCCACGGGCGGCACTTCCCTTTGGGGTAGCCAAGCTGAGAGAGCTGAGTCCTGCCAGCGGGGTGGCAGTGCCCTTACTAGGGGACATCTGACCCTGCTTGGGCGTCAGCTTGAGGATAAGCTTGTTGTCCTTCCGCGGGGTGACAGTGCTGACGGGAGCAGCCTTCTTCTTGACTGGCTGGGGTGATGTCCTTCTCCCCATCCTCGCTGTCCTCCACAACAGACTCTGAATCACTAGCCTCCTCATTCTCAGTACTATTGTCATCGTCACTCGACTCTTCCTCGTCGTCACTATTGTAGATGTAGTCGTCGTCTTCTGGGTCCGAGGTCTGAAAATAAATATCCCCTAGATTTCGAAAGTTAGAATGCGTACGAGAAAGCCAGAAACAAGTCGAGGCGGGCGCCGTGGGGTGACTTCGCCGACAAGCCGGAAGAGGCGATGACTGTGCCGAAGTGGCGCGGCGCGGCGTGGCAGCAGGCGAGCATGTCGGCAACGGTGTTGACCTGGAAGCCGCGCATGTATGGAGCGGGGATGGGTATGGCGGGTCTCAGCGCTGCGGCCATGGACGTGTGGGTGCTGGTGGCCTTGATCAGGAGGGACCGAACCACGTTGGTGTAGTCTTCAGGCGAGGGGCACTCAATGGCGATCTGAGGGGAATCACTGGGCAGCACGGGCTCTCCGGTGTCTATGATTGCAAGAGGGTCAGCAGAAGTTTGGCACGGGGTCACGCTCGTCGAGACATACCTGGCACAGCGATATGGTGGCAAGTGAGCGCGACGAGGCAGGCTTCGTCGCCCTTGCGCATCTTGACATAACCGGTGAGCGTGCCCGTATTGGAGGGGCTGCCAATGCTGGTGCCTAGGCAGGGTGTCTGGCCTGTCTGATGGACCAGGGTGTCGAAATTCAGCGCCGACTTCTAGGCGGAGCTGGAGGCGAATTCGGCAATCCGACCCTCAATGACCTCGATGCCAACATGCTCGAGGAGGTTATGCCTGGAAAGGAGGACTTGATGTCAGCACATCGGAAAGCGAGGAGAGTATGATTAACAATGATTATGACTCACTTGGCAAGCTCACCGCCGATGGCCAACAAGGACTGCTTGACCGCGAACTCGGTGCTCGTGCCCGGTAGTAGGGCAACTATGACGGTGGGGGGGACGAAGAGTTGATAATGAGAACCGCGCTGAGGAGCCGGTGAGCCGGTAGTGACACGGGCTCTGAGCTCGGCAGCGGCCACAAAAGTGACCAGAGTGAACTTGACGCCACAAGCATCCAGGGCCTCAGGGATGGTCTTGAGTAGGCCGTTGGCATTTCCATCTTCTTCCCAAGCTCGTGTGAGGGGGCCCTCCGGAATAGGCATGATCAGCCGCTGGGGCTCTGTATCCCAGAATCGATTGTCGTCAAGGTAGACAGTCGCAACGTCCAGGCGGATCGGATCAGCGGGTCGGTACCGAGCCTTGAAGCTGTCACCATCACGGCCGGTGGTGAGGCCTTCCATCACGGCGCGGGCGACAACAGGAGAAGCTGGATCCATGGTGGGTTGAGTGCCTTGGGGGGCAGTACTGGCTTTGTTGATGCCGAGGTCGGCGCCGAGGTCGCAGGAAGGAGGAGGGGAAGGAAGGTTGGTGAGGGTCGTTTATGCAACTGTCAGGATGAGGACCGAGCACGAGGGTCATTGAAATAGACTTTAGTCTTTTGTTCTTGATATATATATATATATTGTCGATGCACATCTACTGTCAAGTGAATAGAAGTGGACAAATATCTCAAAGGTAAAACAATATTCAGCTCTGCTGTAGTGGTCCATGCATACCCAGTACGCCTCTTCTCCTCCGAAAATTTCCCGACGTATCTATTATGTCATTATCAACAAAGCCGGGTCAGTTACGCTCAAGCAAGGTATGATCAGATCTTACTTACTAATGCCTAAGCTAAGCTCTCTAATATACTGTCTCTCTTCTCTATCTCTCTCTTTACTCTGTAGGAATTTCGATGTCCCGGTGTCCAATTTGCCTGTCAATTACATATGCCTGGACCGGCGGGCCATCCATAGACGTCCTTCTCAACACTCAGCACGCACACAGAGTGCATCGAACAACATGGTCTTGCCCGTGGGTTGGATATTTGATCGCACGCAGCTTTGGGATTGGGGAGTGGGGGTTCATATCTAACGTCGACAAGTTGTGGAAGTTCAGCAGGAGGTACGTCAATGCCAAAGAGTATCGATTCTACTATGAAACTCACAACTTACAAGTGTTATCCCACTCCCTAAATCGGTTCTCTACGATGCTGCCGTTTTCAGTTCTCCCGCTCCATCTCCTCCACGATCAAGAGTGAATCGTTGTCTAGTTCTTCCGCGGCCGTATTCACCTCGCCGCCCGCACCCGCCATGCATGGATCCGCCCCTTGTCGATCTCCCGCCTGTCACAGCAACTCCGTTCTGCCCTCCACTCGTCAGCCTACGAGTGACGTGGCAGATGGGTTTCGGCCACACGCCCTGCCACCTACGCAGAAACCCGTTCTGCCATAGAAAAGTCCCTCTCGCGGCTCGCGACTTGAGGGCAGTGGACACAACCCTCTCGCCCGGCCCCTAGTCTTGTTAGCCATCTATTCATATCTCCACCCACTAAGAAACATGTCACCGTCTCCCATACCAATTTTGGGGGATCTATTATGGTTATTTGAATGATTTCTAGGTGTACTGTATTAGGTCAAAACGATCCAAGCTCTCCGGAATGAATCCTCACTGTACCATATCAGTACACCAAAATCGTATGCCAGTCCTGAAGCATTTCACCGGCAAGTGGTCCACAAAGAACTAAGAGACGCATTTGAATTCTTAATTGCGTCGTACATGTAACGATAATCAAGTGAGTGTAGTCGCTCTTGCAACCTAGCAACCTGTCATTGAAGGATGGGCTATCTAATAGTGACGGAACTGCTTCAAGACTGCCCTCCATGGTTCCACACAGCGAAACATCAAGCCTGTTTGTTTTACACTATCGCGACTAGTGACTCACCAGCAGACGGGCAGCAACACACCATCGAGGAGAAACCCTCAGATCGCCCGTGCGTAAAGGCCCGTTGATCAATATAGCCATGCTGGTCACCAGAATCACTGTGTATAGCTACCAACTCCATCTCAGGCGGATTCGATCTTGTTCTGCTGCTGGCCCGTCTCCTCCACCTGATGGGTAGCCCCCGACGCGGTGATCTTGTCCGCGATAATACCCTCCTTCGGCACCGCCGCCTCGTCTCCCTCAAAGACACGGGCCATCTCCTCCAGGCTGTGCCCGCGGGTCTCGGGGAAGGTGAAGTAGATGAAGAGGAAGCCGCCGGAGAGGATGAAGACGTACAGCAGATAGTACTTCCACGCGATGGAGTCGAGGGCGATCGGGTTGATGAAGATGTTGAAGAAGACGGCGGTGGCGGTCGAGATCCACATGGTCGAGAGGCCGCGCGCCCGCAGGTTGTAGGGCCAGATCTCGACCGGGTAGGCGACGACCAGCGGGGTGAAGGCCAGGGAGAAGCACCCGTACATCAGGAAGAGGAAGGGCACAACGGCCGTGCCGACGGCCGCCGACCCGCCCTTGGCGAATGTGGCCGAGAGCGCGGTGATCAGGATGTACGAGATGAGCATGCCAAGGGTAGCCGCCAGGAAGAGGGGGCGGCGCCCGACGCGGTCGACGTTGAACGCACCGGTCAGGGCGCAAATAAGGTTCCAGATTTGCAGGAACCCATTGATCAGAGTCTGCTTCGTGACGGTGGTGATGCCAAGCGAAGTCAGGACGGGGGGCAAGTAGTAGCTAGCAATGTTCTGACCCGCCCACTGGTTGAAGATGCCGAGGAACACGGTGATCATGGTTCTCTTGCGGTTGGCGGGCGTGGCAACCATGTCGCGGTACGAGCTGCTCTTCTGGAACTCTCGCTCCATCTCGATGCTTCGCGTGATCTCGGCGAGCTCAAAGGCGGCCAGGAGGGATGTCTCATCGCCCTCTGCGTGGTACTTGATGAGGAAGTCTTTGGCCTCTTGATCTCGTTGCTTGGAGACCAAGTAGCGGGGCGATTCGGGCATGACAATAAGTCCGGGGAGCACGATGACGGGGATGAGCACTTGGAGGAGGGATGGGATGCGCCATGACCAGGAGTTGTCGTAGTTGCGGGTGCCAAAGGTTGACCAGGCGGCCAGGAAAGAGCCTTGACATTACTCAGCACGTATGTTTACACGTCATGTAGGCTCGAGGGGCCAAATACTTACCGACATACCAGCCACACATGTAGAGACTCGTGAGGACGCCGCGGTGAGTAGGGTACGCCGTCTCGGTCATCAGCAGGGGCACGCATCCGCCAAAGAAGGCGCTCGCGACGCCAACGATGACGCGAGATAGGACAAACATGGGAACGTTGAAGGCGCCCGTCTGCAGGCCGACCCCGAGGCAGAGCCAGAAGTAGCCAACGAAGATGGTGGGCTTGCGGCCGAAGCGGTTGGAGCACCACGCGACAAAGGGGAAGAAGACGATGGAGCCGAGGTTCTGCGCGCCGCTGATGAAGCCAAGCCAGGCCCCGGTGGGATGATTCGTGAACTCCTGCCAGTGCGGGAGGGCCAACAGGCCGTTCAGCATCGAACCGTCATATCCATTGCCCGAGGAGAGCATGAAGAGGTTGACGATGCAGAAGTTGAGGAAGATCAGGTTCCGCTTCTTGTACCATGGCTTGTCATTTGATGGCAGGACAGCGGCGAGCTCTGGCCCTACCGACTTGAAGGTGTTGGCAGTCATGTTGATAAGTGAGAGACAGTAGGTGAGAGTGAAGGTTCAAGGCATGCCGTGATAGTCCCCAACACTGGAGGTGATGCTGGGGCGGCCATACCTTCATATGTAGTCATTTGAGATATGCATTGAGATACGACCTGGATAGTCATTTGAGATATGCATTGAGATACGACCTGGACCTCAGCTATTACTCCGTATTTCTCCTACTCTGCCCATGGGGAAGTGCAGTCAGAGCAAGGAGGCCATGTGTGGTGCAGTGGGGAAGACCCCATGGGCGCGTCCCATTGCCGCGAGCCAATGCCGGGTACGGGGCCGGGCCACAGCTGGATCGGGGAAGCTAGTCGGGGTACTTACGTACGCCTCAGATTCAGGAGCCGAGAGGGGAGACACGGACCAGATCCTGGTGTAGATCTGAGGGGAGGCGAGGAGCTGATAGGTGAAAAGCAAGCCCTTGTCCAACTAACAGATGCCACGATGTTCCCCTACTAACTGACAGCCGATGTTCTCCCGAAAAGCGACGGGTTCGGGGCTCGACGGGGAGGGCCAAATCTGGAGAGAGATCCCAGGCACTAAATTCCAGAAATGATGCCTCCAAGATAAGGCAATGCTAAGCGCCTTGCAGACTCGCAACCGAGGCGTTGACATAAGAGACGGCAGTGTGAAGCGAGCGAGAGTTGTCGAGTTCAGAAGACACGGAGCCTTGTTTGTCCCCTGTATACACAAACAACGGCCATTGTATTTGCCAGGCCAGTTCCGACCACAAAGAGCAAGGGAGGAAGAGGGTTTAGAGGGTTTTCTCGTGGAAGTGTAGGTATGCATCAATCCATCTTGGCAACATTTGGAGACTGGGAGAGGAGACGCCCCGATCCGTTGGTGTTAGTGGCTTTTGGAAAACACGGTAGCGGCTCCCGGGATTGGAATTCTTAGTCGCCATCTCGTAAAACCCCGCACAGACGCAAATCCAGTCTGGGCCGGCGACGACTGCCACAATACTACAAGTCTCCGAGGCTCCCCAGACCGCATTGCATGACCTCTTCGGCTCGCACTCGGCGCTATTATTACATCTGCCAATTCCCCAGATCGCTGAGTCTCACGCGTGCGCATGCCGTCGACCCCTACGCGAGACACAGGCCTCGGCCTCCAAGGCCAGGGTCCGACTCAGACCCCCGGCCAGGGCACGCGCTCATCCCTGAGCGCCGAGCAGCGTCACGCCCAGAAGGCAAGATTCAGGGCCACGTCCTATCCGCGCAGGCGGGCCGTCACCGCGTGCGAGAGCTGCAGAGTCCGAAAGACCAAGTGCGACAACGAGCGGCCGCGGTGTTCGGCATGCATCAAGAACGATGTGTCGTGCTCATACGACCCCCGACTAGATCACTCCTCGTGGGTCAGCCCCGGTCACTGATGCATGCGCCTTTGTCAGGGGTGACTAATTTGTTCGCTTCAGGTTCGACCCCGCGAGCCTCCTGATCTTGGAGAAGCTGAATGAAGTCAGCTTGAAGCTCGACAACATCGGTAGCACAGCAGCAGGCGCGCAGGTACCCCGAGCCGCACAACCGCTCGTGTGGGATGTGGGGGCCATCGGGGATTCTCTTGGTGCCGACCAAGTTGCCGACCAACTCGCCGAGCCCGTGCAGGTCGTCGACGAGCTGTGCTCAATTGACTCCCTCGAGGTCTCGGCAGTATTTGCATCCACCGACCACCTCCTGACGTGGCCCATCTTTGCTGGACAATGGCCCAAGGACTTGCTCTCGCAAGAGCTCCTCGCTGGCAGTTTTCAATCCAGCCAACCCGCTACAGAGGAGTCGACTCCTTCAGTACAGCAGCACCAGAAGCCGGGAATACGTGAAGAAGACGCCCCTCAACTGGTTGATCGGTTCCTGCACTTTGTGTACCCCAAGAACCCCATTCTCTATACCCGTCAAATCCGTGAGTATGCCAGGAGGATCGCAGAGGATGGCTTTGGCTGGGATGCCCCATCCTGCCTTGTGGTAAGTAAAGTCCTCAATGCCTTGTGCTGCCCACCCGCTTCACTGCTGCCTTGGCTGTGTACTAGCTGACTGATTCGTCTAGCTGCTGGCGTGTGCTCTAGGAGCCATTGCTCTCCCCTTTGATCCAATTGACGAGGAGGGCAAGTTGCATGGACGATACTCAGTGGATGAAGTGGCCACGCGGCATCGGACTGCAGAAGCATATTTCCAAGCAGCTCGCAAGAGACTGGGGTTGCTTGAGATCGGCCTGGCGGCAAGTCAATGCCACATGCTCTGCTGCATATTCTTGTTCTACACGATGCGGCCGATACAGGCATGGTCAGCGACTCATCAAGCTGCGTCGACCCTTGCGCTTCATCTACAGGCCCAAGCTGCCTTGGAGAAGCGGGGAGACAGGACACAGCAGATGACGGACCTATCCGAGAAACGCCTAGAACAGAGGCTCTATTGGACCGTACTAAAGTCAGAGTGCGAGGTCAGAACTGAGCTCGACTTTCCTCAGTCTGATCTCTGCAAGCTGAACTATCCCTATCTGTTCCCATCGCCGCCGACTCCGAGTCCTCCTAGTCCGGTGCAGAGCCCCCAGGGCCCGACACCGGCTTCTATAGCAACGCCATCCACTCAGGCAACCTCGACCATGTCGTCATCATCGTACCAAAAGGTCGAAGAGCAGTCCTGGTTCTACTACCTCAGCGAGATCGCGCTCCGCCGAATCCAAAACAGGGTGCTCAATGCATTCTACAAACAAGATCACGAGTCTTGGGCCCGCATGGGTGTGGAGCGCATGGCATCCATTGCTTCAGGCATCGAAGATCAGTTGGCAATATGGTACTCGTCTTTGCCAGAATCCATCCGCTTCGATAACCTCGGTCCCGACCAACAGTTCGATGAGCTTCGATTGGTGACCCAAGGCCGCTGCCAGACGATCAAAGAACTGCTATACCGACCGTTCCTCTACCTCGCCATACATTCTCCCGAGGCCTCGAATGACACAAGCACCGGCGCGACTCTGGCCAGCTTCGTCGAAAAGGCATTGGACATCTGCAACCAGTTTCACACTGGCCTCTCGATAACCCACCGCCACCACGGCACATGGTACGGACTCAGGGTATCGGCGGCCACCGGTCTGATACTCGTTGCCGCGAACATGAGAGGTCTAATCACCTGGACCTCGACTCTGGACAATGGCGAGGTGCAGGAGAACAGATACGGACGTGCCATCCGAATATGCATCGAAAAGCTTCGTTACTGGGAGGCCGAGAGCCCTGACATCATGCGGGCACGCGAGATACTGGAGCATCTACTATTCAACGGGGCGGGTTGATTATTAATGGAAGTCACAGGCGCAACGAATAATAATACACTGTTGGGTATCTCAGTCAGTTTGTTTATAATAGTCTACTGCTGATCCTGAGGATAAGACAGGCCTCCCGCCTGTCGAATTCCATCCATGAGCTTCATCATGCGAAGCGTCTCGTCCAGCGGCATGGTGGCGTTCTCGGTCCGGCCGTTGGCGATATCCTCTGCCACGGCGTCGGCCTCCCAGAAGAAGCCGAGCGTGCCCTCCGGCTTCTCAATGTTGAACACGCGCTCCGACCTGGTGTCGGCCTCTCCCATCCCGGGTTGCAGCCCCTCGATGACGCGGAAACCGCCGGGCACGCTGACGACAAGGCCGAAGAGCACGATGCTCCCCGTCGAGCCCTCGATGCGGGCAAACTCCTGCGCGCCCCGGGTCCGGAAGGTCGATGTGCAGACCGCCGTCTTGTTGCCCCCGGCCGCAGCCGCATAGTCCAGCACGACGACGTTGGCCTCGTCCATGCCGTTCACGATGTCCAGGGACGACGTCACCCTCTCGATCTTGGGGTGCTCCTTGCCGACCTTGAAGTCGCCCAGGATGATGGATGCGTACGTCAGGGAGTAGACGCCGATGTCGAGCAGGGCGCCGGCTCCGAGGGCAGGGTCCTTGAGGCGCGAGTTGGCGGGGAGCGTGTCGAGGGGCATCTTGTTGCCGAAGTCGATGAAGAAGCGCTGCACGTTGCCGATGGACTTCTTGACGTGGATCTCCTCGTACAGGGCCTTGAACAGGGGGAAGAACCTAGTCCATACGGCTGGTTTTTTTAAGGTAGTCATAAAAGAAATTAGCCTCGAGGCCTGGCAAGAGCTGCCTTGCAGGAGTTTTGCACGAAAAAAGAAAAATTGCTCACCTTCCATGATGAAAACGCCCTTCTTCCGCGCCGCGTCCACGACCTCCTGCGCTTCCTTGGCGTTGATGGTGAAGGGCTTCTCGCACAGCACGTGCTTGCCGGCCGCGATGGCGTCGAGGCAGTTCTGCTTGTGCAGCGAGTGCGGCGTGCCGACGTACACGACGTCGACGTTGGGGTCGTCGTAGACGCCCCGGTAGTCGGCGTAGACCTGCGGGCGGGGCTGGTCGGGCGTCTTGGCCCAGACCTTGTCGACGAAGGCGTTGCCCTTCTCTAGCGACGAGGAGCCGAGCGCGGCGATGGTGTGCCTGGCTGGGGCGTCGGGTCGGGCGGCCAGCAGGTCGCTGGTGAACATTGTTGAGATCCATCCCGTGCCTGGGGAAGTGTAGGATTAGCTACTGGAATACACGCAGTTTTCAAGATATTTGAGGGGGGAACATACCCAGAACACCCCATCGCACATGAGGCGAAGACTTTCCTGTGTCGGCCATCTTTGATGATTTGAAGTGTCGTTTGTGCGAGGGCTGTTACGATGCTTCAACGAGAGGTTTGAGCGAGAAAGAGCAGGGTGGAAAGAAATACTCCAAATTTGACAAAGCTATCGAACTTATATTCAGTAGCATGGTCCATTCGTGTTTCTACTAGTCGCCGCTTCTGCTATCGACGAGTGTTGTCCGAACTCCCCGGACCCGTTCAGTAGCGCGGCCTATCGCCGAGAAAGGAAATTCCGGCACTCCCCGGGCTATGGACGACGCTCTACTCGAACTGAATCCCCACTTCACTTCTCCAGACGCAACCAATTTACCCGCATGAGATGGGGGCAGTTTTGGAAACGTGCCGATGGCGGCGGGATGCGGCGTGGTTTTGCATCTCTGGACGTGGGCACCAATCAAATCGAGGCTGACCCTCAACTCCAGCAAGATGCACGTCATGCGTGGGAATAGCATGAGGAGCTGCTAATGAGGGCTCATCAATCCAGCGATCGAGAATACGGCTCGTGTTTGATAAACTGAGATGATATTTTTGTGCTGGACCCTGCACTGCAACGGAGCAAGATAATAAAAGACCGGGGAAACGCACTTCAGGTGCCTGCCTCTATCCCCTCCAGCAAGCAGACAAAAGTACCCGCTTGAAGATCAACATTGAATCAGTCAATAGAAACATGGCTCCCATCAAGGTCGGCGTCGTGGGCTACGGCTCCTCCGCCAAGAGCTTCCACCTCCCCTTCATCACCGCCATCCCGGACTACGAGGTCGTCGCCATCCTGCAGCGGGCCGAGGCGCCCCCGGACCCGGCCTCCGCGCCCAGGGGATCGCACTGCACCGTCGACTACCCGGCGGCCAGGCACTACCGCACGGCGGACGACTTCTTCGCCAACCCGGACACCCAGTTCGTCGTCGTCGCCACGCAGACCGACACCCATGCGCATTTCGCGGAGCAGGCTCTGAACGCTGGCAAGCACGGTATGATGGTGTCTGGTTCCTTTGTTGAGGTACAGCATCTTTTGGGTGGTGCTTACTGACACTATATTTTACTAGTGATCGTGGATAAGCCGTTCGCTAGATCGTCAGAAGAGGCCGACAAGGTCATCAAGCTGTCGGAAGAAAAGGGGCTTATCCTGACATGTTTCCAAAACCGGCGATGGGTGCGGCAGTCCCACGGCCTCTTGGCCCTAGATATACGTGAACGCTGAGAATGTGTACAGGACGCCGACTTCCAGACGCTCAGTCACCTCATCAAGAAGGGGGCGCTGGGCGATATCAAGGAAGCGGAGCTGCACTACGACTTTGAGTCCCCGCCATGGCTGTCGAAGATGAACCAGAAGGAGTACACGCCTGGTTCGGGCATGGCTTTTGGCCTAGGTCAGTATCAATACTCCAAATCACTGCCTTGGGCCGCTGGAATGGACTGCTCACCAGGATATGTATAATAGGCACCCACAGCGTTGACCAGGCCCTCGCCCTCTTCGGCCGGCCCAAGTCAGTCACCGGCTTCTTCCGCGCCCAGCGCGGCATCGAGAGCGAGGTCGAGGATTCCTTCACCATCATCCTGCAGTACGGCGGCGCCCAGAGGGACCTGCTCGTCACCGTCAAGACGGCCGTCACCACGCCGATGGCGCAGCAGCTCAAGCAGCTCGTCAGGGGCACCAAGGGCTCCTTCATCAAGGTAGAACAGAAACCATGGGTGCGATTTCCCCCGGTAAACCATTGTGCTAACGCGTCCACCCACTCAAGTTCCAACAACGGAGCACCTGCCCGCAGGAGGAGCAGATCGCCGCCGGGCTCAAGCCGCTCGACCCGGGCTTCGGCGTCGAGTCCGACAAGATGCGCGGCATCCTGACCACCTACGACGAGTTCGACGCCGGCGTGCAGCGCTACGACCCGGAGACCAAGAAGTACACGGGTGCGTACCCGACCATGACGGGCCGGTGGATGGGCCTGTACGAGAACGTTGCGGATGCGATCAACGGCAAGGCGGAGCTGGTCGTCAAGCCGACGCAGTCGCGGGACGGGCTCAGGGTCATTGAGCTGGCGAGGGAGTCTCATAACAAGGGCGTGACGGTTCAGTGGAGATAGAGTCAGTGATTATTGCCCTCTAGCGACAAGAGCCATTTCGAAACCTTCCAATACTAATTTCTATGTAACCCGAAGAAATAAATCGAAACACTATCCTGACATTTTCAATATCTTCTTGGCCAACGTTGGAGATTTGCAACACGATGATTGAAACCACTAGGAGCCAGAAGTGCCTATGGTTTGACCGAGAGCTCAAGCATGACACGACTTTGTGCTTCTTTCAAATGTTCTGAGTTAAAATGCAAGGCACAATAGCGACAACAGCGGGAACCAATCCTAATCGGCTTCACATTGTCGACTGCGCTGCAGAAATGAGGCGAACAACGAAGTGATCCATTCTGTCAAGTCGTTTAAGGTTATTGTCAATACCAGAACCTTTCCTTTCCCTGCTCTTCTCAACAGTATCATTGACGTCAATCAGGTCTGAAAAGCTTTGCCACATTGAGCGGTTAGGGTGTAATCGGGAGCGCAGTCCTTGCAACCTTGACTCTCCGGAAGATGGGCAGCCGGGAGGTCCATATTCCAGAAGTCTATAAGAATACCTGCGCATGGGTGTTCAAATAAAAAAGGGCGCAAGAGGAAATTCCGGGAGCTCCTGGGACAGCTTGGGGGAATGGTTGGGTAAGGAGCAGATGTGCTACTGGATCGAGAGCAAGGCGGGCAGCATGTCCGGGAACTCGACCCTGATGCAGTTCCTCCACGCAGATGGCAGAACGCACGCCGCACTGAAGCAGTAGACAGACTCCGGTGAGCTCGTTGTTGCCCCTTATTTCTTCAGGCCACCTTTTCAGGAGGGCCAAGAAGGGTTACCTAGCGAATTCATATTGGATCGGTGGTTATTCGAGAGTAAGACGAAGTTGTTATTATTCAAAATCCGAGATAGTCTCCTCTGCGACGCCGTTCCCTAAGGTCAAAGGCCCGGTGTCCCGCCTCAAAGAACTCTTCCTCCGAAAGGTAGTTGAACAAGTCCATGACGTCTTTAAGTCTGATATCGTAGTCTTTGGGTCCAAGAGGGGCACGCTCCCATTTGTCACGATATATCCCTGTCTCAGCGATCGGTTCCTCCGGATCAATTCGAGTCCGGTTATTTCTGTCCCCATGTATGGGCAAGGGGCATTCACTTGGTGGTGTTCTGTCGGACAACAAGAACTCCAAGAGCTGTTGCTTCTGGTCGTCTAGCAGTCGATAAACCCGATAGGTGACATCTCTGTTATCAGAGTGGAAGTATACCGCATCGGGCTTTTGCAATGGTAGAAATGTTAAAAAGTGAGATCTTTGGGGAGGACGCACGCGTGAGACTAACCTCAACACCAGCCGTCGACCCGGGGTCGCGCCTATCAAACAAGACAACTCCACCGAATATTCTGGATTCTGCCCAGTAGCCGGCCATGTCTGCCACGCCATCAGGATACTGCTCGTGGCAAGTATACCACTCGTGTCTGAAATAGGTTGGAGGATAGACTTTCTTGTCTGGTTTCCAGGAAAGCAAACGATCCGTGGCAGGCCGTGCTGGCCCTTTCTTGAAGAGAGAAACAGCTATGCCGTGTACTGCAACAGCGACCAACTCGATCAGACGAGTATTGAAGGCTCGAGATCCAGGGCCCGCGGCTTGGAATTCGTGCGAAAGCTCCTCGGCGTCAGCAAAAGCTTGGAGTAGGATGATGGAGGGGAAAGAGTGTCCAATAGATCGTGCTGCGTGTGGACAACCTACCATGTAATCGACGTGAAAATCATCCGGATCAAACTCGTCGCGTAGCCGTCGAGCTAGCTGAAGCACAGAAGGCGACAATTGAAGGTGTTCATCAATCAGGGGATGGCCGGGACAAGTTACACCTTTGTAGCAATCCAACGCAACTTGAGATAGTGGAAGGCCATCAATAATTTGGCCAAATGTTGACTCAGCAATCTCTGAGGATAGGATATTCCTGATTGCTTTGGATGCGATCTCGCGATGAGGACTGCGAAAATCACGAATCGGCACCTTTTTGGGGTCCGCGTGCTCTGTAGCGCCATGAGAGCAGCCTGGGGCGGACATGGCGATGAAATGGTTGAAGAAACAGCAAGTTGACGGATCAGAACTGAATGCTGACCGAGAGATGAATATTAGGAGGATTGGTTAATGAACCAAAGCCAGTGTAGTGTATCGAGATGGTCATCGAGTCGAGAGAGGCGAGAAGACGGGGAAGAGTTGATGGTCTCAAGACGGCTCCTCCGACCCCGCATTTGCCGCCTGATTTTTGCAACGTTCGGGATCCATAATAAGCGCTCAATAGACAGAAACACCAGGCACGCGTGCGCTTGATTCGACCTGAAACCCGGCCGACCCGTTATGGTTTTGACGCCCATGGGCCAATGATATTTTGCCGCCTCACGGGGAACAAACACTCGAAAATAGTCAAGAGGGTCAAGCAATGCGACCACTCCAAATGATTGGCTTTTTGCTCACGAGATCGGTGCGGATAACAGGCCTTCCCACCTCTGTTGGCAGGTGCTGGATCCGGATAGAGGCAGACGATGCTTGTTGATGACCGCTAAGGGGCCTAGATAGATTCTCCGAATAGATATCACCAACAAAATGGCCTCGAACAACGGCCAACAAAGACAATTGAAATTTTGCAGTATCTGGCGGTAATGCTTCGGACATTGGTGTATATAATACGGGTGAGTCTTGAGCTGCTTGGAGTCGAAAGGGAACGATCCCCAGAATATCAAAACTCGACATCATATTTTGCTCCCCTCAAAGACCTCACTTGAAACTCGCAAATTGCAATTCTTCTGTTGAATTGTTGATCATGAGCGCCGCAAATCTTCGTGGGCTTACCGTCTGGCAACCAACTGGGACAGGGAAGCAGGCGGTTCAGTTCCCTCCTAACAGTAGCACGCATCGAACTGTGCGGGACATCATTTCACGCAGCCTTGTCATCCTCGAAAGTCCCCGAGGACGTCGAGCTCTTCGGCGGTTGGCTGTCTCAATAGTGGAGCAACGCCGAGTTCAACAGCAACGATGTCTTTATACCGATGCCAATCCGAATTCTGCGAAAATGGACGAGTATATCGACCTCTTCTTGCAGCGTATGCGTTCTGGGTTCCCAGAAGTTTACGTCATGCACAGTAAGGGAGAGGCGGTGACGGTCCGTTATAATTGGGCTGGCCGCAATGATCGTCTGGAGGATTACCAGCCTGTGGATGCTGGGCAGCTGCGATTAAGTCCGAGAGTAAGCTACCTACTCATAATCAATTTTTCGATGTGCAGTATCAGGAAGCTGAGAATATGATAGATTCTACAGAACATGACGGCCACGCGCAACAATGACACATACAACGTGTATATGTTTCAAATGACCATATCCGTGGCTCATGAACTTGGCCATTTCCTGACCGGATTTCTGAGTGGCACTGGACGCCCCGTGACACCTGATGAAGTCGGAGTTCCAGGCGCTGCTGGTGAAGCTGGATATTTCTGGGAGTCTTTGGCACTTGGAGGCATCGTTGACTTCTTCGCGGACCAAAGTGACCCAAATAATGTTGAGCAACCCGGTGTACCTTACATCTTTGATGATGCACAGGACGACGCTCGGGGAAGGAAGGTCTCTATGACTTGGATCAATGACTTTGTCAGCGGACGCAGAGGTAAGATCCCACGCATCCGAAGGCGACGTTATGCCAACTTTGATCTATCCCTCCTGATCTATGCCATGGTATGTCTGCTGATCGTAGTCCAGGCTTCGATACCCCCGTTCAGCCAGCCCGCGAGAGCGCCTCTACCACCCGTCAGGATCTTCGTCTCGTTACCAGAGAGATGTCCTGGCTTCGCGATCAAGAATTCCGGCGCACTCAAAGGGCGAATCGTCCTAGTGGCCCAGTCACCGGGGGAGCGTCTGCATCCTCCGCATCGAGAGATCGTTCCGCGGGACCGAGCCAGGTCTCTCGATACTACTACTGATGCTTCAGTATTAATATCTAGCCGTGCGTTATCGTTTGGTTTGCTTGGGTATCATTACGCCGATATGGGGATGGGTGACCAGTTCGCCCAGGTGCTTGTTTCTCCTGGAAGGAATACATGGTCACAGATGTCATTGCAATATCATTGTTTTCCGTTAAGCTTGTAGTATCTGTTACATCCTCACAACACCTATCATGGATAGATTGAATCTACATAGTTAGTGAAAGCGGGCACAGGTATTCAATCCATCGCATAGCATCACGACTCTCTCACAGTAAATGTATGTCTCCATTGAAGCTAAAACAGTACACATTTTCAACAGATCTGTTTCAGCGGGGGGGTATAGAGGTCAACCACGGTACACATTCTTGCCGCGCTCACACAACAGATAACAAAAAGGACACCGCTCTCTTTCAAATCGTCACGCCATTCACTCCGGCACCGCCCGCACCGCCGCCGCCCGCACCCGCCTCGACCCGCGTCACTAGCTTCTTGACGGCCGTCCACTCGTCGTTCTTGAGCGTCTCCTTGCCGCCCAGGTCCGGGCCGACCTCAAACACCGTCATGACGCCCGACAGCCCGCCCACAGCGAGCCTCTTGCCCTCGCCGCGCTCCCAGGCGAGCTTGTTGAGCCCGCCGGCGCCGGCGCCGGCGTTGCTGCCCTTGAGCCGGCTCGGGCTGATGCGCGCGACGGGCTCCTCCGTCTCGACCGTCAGGTCCCAGACCTCGACCCAGCCGGCGCCGTCGACGAGGCCGAACACGCCGGGCCGCACGGGCGACCAGGCGGCGCCGTAGACGACGTCCTCGCGCACGAGGTCGAGCAGCGGCGCCACGCCGGCGGCGGCGTCGATGTCGGCCATGATGGAGGCGGCCGTCGTGGCCGGCGCGCGCACCTTCCACAGCTTGACGGACCAGTCGAGGCTGGTCGACAGGACGAGGTCGCCGAGGTCGACGGGGCCCCGCGCCGGGTGGAAGTCGACCGACATGACGGGCCCGGCGTGGCCGCGGTACGAGACGCGGGCGTCGACGCCGGCCTTGGCGCCGGCGCGGTCGTAGCGGTGGCAGGGGAAGATGATGCCCTCCTCGGACCCGACGAGGAAGAAGGTCGGGTCGGCGTCGGGGAAGGCCATGCAGATGGGCGACATCATCTCGTTCTTGGCCGGCGGCGGGGCCCACAGGTGCAGCGTCTCCTGCGGCTGGGCGAGCATGTCGACGGTCCAGCCGCAGACCTCGCCGTCGGTGCTGCAGCTGATGATGTTGTTTGCGTTTTGCGTGCCCACGATGTCGACCGAGTAGACCGGGTGCGTGTGGCCGTTGCCCGTGAGGGGCGTCTTCTGCACGGGCGCCGACTTGGCGCGCGTGTCCCAGAGCAGGACCTGGCCGCTGTAGGCGCCGCCGACGATGAGGTTGGGGTGGAAGGGGGAGAACTTGGCCGTCAGGATGTCGGACCCGGCGTGGAAGACGAACTCGGCGCGGTCGTGGAGGTTGTGGTTCCAGACCTGGACGACTCCGTCCGGATCGTGCGGCGCCGAGGGGTTCTTGGTGTACGAGGCGAGCATGAGATCAGGGAACTTGGGCGAGAAGTCGATCGAGGTGATCATGCGCTTGCGGGACCAGCGCTCGTCGTAGAACTGGCGAACCTCGCGGATCTTCCGCCGACCGCGACCGCCGACGTTGCCCTGCTCGTCGTCGGGGTCGTGGTCGTGGTCCTGGAGTGTGTAGTCGGTCAGGATGTCGTACTCTTGGTCGAGGGCCTTCTCGATGACTTTTGTCGAGCGCTCGACGAAGTCGACAAACTCCTCCGAGGCGGTGACAGCATGCAGCTCTTCGTCGGTCAGGGCTCGGGCTGGGAAGTTCGTGGTGAGGAGGCTGGCGTCGCTCTTGAGGACGCCGCCTGCCGCCAGCTCCTGTGCGGCCTTGAGCTCATCCTCGACCTCCTTGCGGATCTTCTCTCGGATCTCCTCCTCTCTATCCCTCTCCCTGCGGCTCATACGCTTGCTGGGTGTCGCGGTAGGCTCCTCATTCTCCGACTCGGACTGGGCCCGTGGCCTTGACGTCGCTGGCAGTAGATCTTCTGATGTCTGTACGCCTTTGCTGTAGGAGAATATCTCCTTGACGGGAGACGGAGGGCATTCGTAGGTGACGGTGAGGGGAGCGGTAGTCAGGCTTAGTTGTTGTACGGGAGGGGCTGGCTGGGTGCCCGGCGGTAGCACGGCAAACTCGGAGGTCTCGTTGCTGAGCTCGCCCGCGCTTAGAACGCTGTTCGGTCGGCTGCCTCTGTGTGCGGGCGAGGCTGCCCCGCCGGTGGTGGTCGAGCCGGGCCTGCTCTCTCCTACGAGGCTGTTGATGAGGGTCTCGATGGACTGGCGATCTGGCCTGCCCGGTGTGGGTGACACAAGCTGTAAGTTGGAAGGGACGTCATTAGCTGCGCAGTCCTAGATTTAAGGGGGGGGGGTTTCTTGGGGAGACTGCGAGACATACGTCGCCCGTGACGCCTAAACTCTGGCGTCCTGCGGATGCCTGGGTGGCTCGAAGCTCCCTCTGGCGCTTGAGCTCGGCGAGCTTGGCCTTTTTTGCGAGGATCTCATCTCGGCGTTGTTGCATCTTGTCTTGCGGTCCTCCTCTGACCCATCTCAGGGTCCTTTCCCGCTAGTTGGAAACACACCCGCTTTCTCCTTTGTGGTTGGAAGACCTCTTTGCCGGCTAGGTTCGAGGCGTTGACAGACCCAGTCGTTATATCATCACCAGTCGCAAAGAGATGGCGTATCGGTGTTGCGTTAGTACCTGTTGGGCGAGATATTACGCAGCGCCTGTGTGATATCACCTCCCTCATCAATGCGCGTTTGTCGTCGCGACAGGAGGTAATGGCCGGCCTAATGAAAGTTGCAGCAGGGATGTGGCTATGTTCACGCCTGGTGTGAGCACCACTTAGCATTAATCACGTGCAGACTATCACTGGAAATCGCTCGGCAACAGCGCACTGGGCGTGCCTTTTTAGCGGCCTTGTCCCCTGGCCGAGCCGGGAGAGAGAAAAAAAGCAGACCACTCAGCTTGCCGCATTTCCAGCCGACCGAGCCTCCCAGCCAAACTGGAGCTATTGCGAAAATTCCCGGCATCACCAAATCTTTAAACCTCACACCTTTACCCCATATCCCCGGACGACCTGCCCACCCGCGACCGCACAAGGAGGACTCAATTGTCATCAATTGTCTCGCCTGCGCTTCCTCAAGACACCTGTCTCTCGTTCCATCTGAACCAATCCAGTCCGCTGCCACCCAAGCAACCGATTCTCACGATGTCTTCCGCTGGAGTGAACGTACGTTGAACCGCCAATCTGAACGTCTGGTGACGCGATTGCCACCATCAAGACTCAACGGAGTCGCTGTGACTGCCACTATGGGTCATGGGCGAATAAACAAAGGTTGATTATGGTGAATTGCATGCTGACGGGCTTGTTTCACATCGCAGGTTCTCCGATACTCAGCCCTCGGCGCGGGCATCTTCTACGGCTTCTACCACCAGCGGACTATCTGGGCGACCCAAAAGGCCGAGCAGGCCAAGCGGGATTACCAGCACAAGCAGAAGCTGATTGACCAGGCCAAGGCCGAGTACTCAAAGTCCAAGGCCCCGGCTGCCGCCAGTACCTCATCAGCAACCGGTGGACGTAAGTCACAGGACACTTTTCTTTCTCAACCATTCGATATTGGACTCTATCTATCATTCCCCCAGTCTTGAGATCTCAGCAACCCGCACAGCCACAGCGCAATGCGCTCCCCCGGATTTTCTTTGTCTCTCTCTCTCCTCTTAACCCTTTACGCCAATCTCTCCTACCTACAACAACCTCTCTCAGACTACCAACAACTACACCTGCTAATACCTAATCAACAACAACAGTCAACCAGGACCCTATGGACCCCAAGTTCGACCTCGAGGCCTACTTCAACGCCCTGATGAAGGAATCTGCTTAAGCGACGATTGATCGGATGCGTGGGGATGGTTGGGGTGTGTGGGGACGTAATCAACTGGTTATCGCAAAACGAGGATGGAGCTCGTGGTTGCTGCATCATGCATGCATGTTTGTGGCGGAAGAGCCCTGCTCCTGGACAGTGGAGGGCCAGAGCGGAGCGTGCGAAGCGGCGAGTTGCACGGAACGAGGGCTGTATGAACTCTGCAACGTCGGTCACCGAGGCATAGACTTATTTCCTTACGTACTGCTTACTCTGTACATGTGTACACTACAGACTTAGATGGCAAGATGCCAAGGTCGGGGGGAGAATCTCAAGAGGATCAAAAGTGTTTGTTGAAGGCCTTTGCAAACCTGCAATGCAAGTCTTGGTCCGGCCCGCAAGGGGATCAAACAAGGTGTGATGTTTTGCAATCGCTCTCGACGTGCCACTTCAAGCCCCAAGGCAGCTCCCTAGGTCCGTTACTGTGCGCCCAAGTTGAAAGAAGCTGCTTTGACCATTCATGCCTCAATCTTTGGTGCTCACATGACACCAGTTACCCTGTTGCTCGCTCTGGATCTTTCATGTTTCCAAATCTCACCCAAGACATTGTTTGGATTAAATATATCTCGAAGATTCAGTTAACGGCCACACTTGGAGAAACACAGTTGTTCTGGCAAACAAGTAGTTTCAGCCTGCAGCTCCTCATATGCCCAAGCTGTGTTCACACTTCTGGACGAGCTTGGTGTGGCTTGGCCTGTGTGGCTCAATTGTGGCGCCTTTCCCAGAACGTGATTCACTGCCCCACCCTGCACCAAAGCGCGGAAAGTGCTACCCATGCCGTGCCTGCATCGAGTGCCAAGCCGCTTGTGGCCCCTGCTCTGACGCGCGGAAGCTCCAGCTGTCCTCTCCCCAAAAAGTGGCCAGCAAGCCAAGTCGCTATCTCGATCGAGCCTGGAGAGAGCCACATCGCCGAAGGCAGTTTCTTCACCATCGCCATTCCTTGACCTGCCTTGCCCCTCCCCTTCTGCTGCTGCTGCTGTTGACAAGAACGTCACAATGCCGGCAGACACGGGCAGCACTCTCGAAATGCTCGCCAGTGGCGGCAAAGGCGAGAGCACCCGCACCATCCTCCGCGTTGTCATCCTCTTCTTGATCGCCGGCGCCGCCGTCGCCAGCCGCCTTTTCTCGGTCATCCGTGAGTTGTCTCTCCTGATCCCGCATGCCGTCTCAAATACATGATGCCATTGGGAACCCCGGAAATTGAACCATGCTAACATCAATTGACTCGCAGGCTTCGAATCCATCATCCACGAATGTCAGTCTCACCCACACAAGCTATCAGAGAGCTCCCTTCCAGCTCAATTGGTCTTCCCTCCCTCGAGCGCCGCAGCCAGCTAACCCTTGCAATAGTCGATCCTTGGTTCAACTTCAGAGCGACCAAATATCTCGTCGCCAATGGCTTCGAGAGCTTCTGGGACTGGTTCGATGACCGGACCTGGCACCCCCTCGGCCGTGTCACCGGCGGAACCCTCTACCCCGGTCTCATGGTCACCAGCGGTGTCATCTACCACGCCCTCCGCGCCCTTACCATTCCCGTCGATATCCGGAATATCTGCGTTCTTCTCGCCCCTGCCTTCTCGGGCCTTACTGCCTTTTCGGCCTATCTCCTGACTAACGAGATGACCACCTCCCCGTCTGCTGGACTTCTCGCCGCCGCCTTCATGGGCATTGCCCCGGGCTACATCTCGCGGTCCGTCGCCGGTAGCTACGATAACGAGGCTATCGCCATCTTCCTGCTCGTCTTCACCTTCTACCTTTGGATTAAGGCTCTCAAGCTGGGTTCGATGCTGTGGGGAGCTCTGTGTGCCCTCTTCTACGGCTACATGGTGGCCTCGTGGGGTGGCTACGCCTTCATCACCTGCCTGCTGCCCCTGCACGCCTTTGTCCTAATCTGCATGGGCCGCTACAGCACTAGGCTGTATGTCTCGTACACCACCTGGTATGCGCTCGGCACCTTGGCCAGTATGCAGATCCCCTTCGTCGGTTTCCTGCCCGTCCGCACCAGCGAGCACATGCCGGCTCTGGGCATCTTTGGCTTCTTGCAGCTGCTTGCCTTCTTGGACTACGTCCGCTCCGCCATTCCTGGCCGCCAGTTCCAGACCTTCCTATTCTTCTCCACCGCCGGCATCTTTGGCATTGGTCTCCTCGGCCTCGTCATTGCCACCAGCGCCGGTTTCATTGCTCCCTGGGGCGGTCGATTCTACTCTCTGTGGGACACTAGTTATGCCAAGATCCACATCCCCATCATCGCCTCCGTGTCTGAGCACCAGCCCACCGCCTGGCCGGCCTTCTTCTTCGACCTGAACATGCTTATTTGGCTGTTCCCGGCCGGTGTCTACCTGTGCTTCCAGAACCTCAGGGACGAGCACGTCTTCATCGTCGTCTATGCCCTGTTCGGCAGCTACTTCGCTGGTGTCATGGTTCGTCTCATGCTGACCCTGACTCCCGTTGTCTGCGTCGCTGCCGCCATTGCCGTCTCGTCTATTCTGGACTCGTACTTGAACGCCAAGTCGCCCTCTCCGGAAGAGGTTGCCGCCGCCGAGGAGAGCAAGCCTGCCAAGCAAAGCGCTCTCAAGCAGGCAAGCAAGCCCGTCGTGGGTGTCTACAGCTTGCTGTCCAAGACTGTCGTCACTACCGCCATGCTCATCTACCTCCTTATCTTTGTTCTTCACTGCACCTGGGTTACCTCGAACGCCTACTCGTCGCCCTCCGTCGTGCTGGCCAGCAGGATGCCCGACGGCAGCCAGCACATTATTGACGATTACCGCGAGGCCTACCAGTGGCTGCGACAGAACACCAAGGAGGACGCCAAGATCATGTCGTGGTGGGATTATGGCTACCAGATCGGTGGCATGGCCGACCGCCCGACCCTGGTCGACAACAACACCTGGAACAACACGCACATCGCCACCGTCGGCAAGGCCATGAGCTCCCGGGAAGAGGTCAGCTACCCCATTATGCGCCAGCACGAGGTCGACTACGTCCTTGTTGTCTTCGGTGGTCTTCTAGGCTACTCTGGCGACGACATCAACAAGTTCCTGTGGATGGTCAGGATCGCTGAGGGTATCTGGCCGGACGAGGTCAAGGAGCGGGATTTCTTTACCGCTAGAGGCGAGTACCGCATCGACGGCGAGGCCACCGACACCATGAAGAACAGCTTGATGTAAGTTCTCTTGTCAAATCCATGTTGCTGGATCTTGCTAACAACTCCCACAGGTACAAGATGTCTTACTACAACTACAACACCCTGTTCCCTCCTGGACAGGCCGTGGACCGTGTTCGTGGCGCCCGTCTCCCTGACACTAGCCCCACGCTCAACACGATGGAGGAGGCCTTCACCAGCGAGAACTGGATCATCCGGATCTACAAGGTCAAGGACCTTGACAACGTCGGCCGCGACCATGCTGCGGCAGCCTCGTTCGACCGGGGCCACAAGAAAAAGAAGATCATCAAGAAGCGAGGACCGAGGGTACTCAGGGTGGATTAGACTGGAGGGGTTGGATTCGTTTACGATGATTACATAAAAGCATAGTACAAAATGCGATGTAGACTGCTTTTCCTATGCGTCTTTGCGCCGGAGGGAAAAGGAAACAAACAAGAGTGCCTTAAGTGGCAACCTGTATAAAAGAAGACAATGAGTGGATAGATATCCAATTGAGATTTCATGATCAAAGGGACGTTTTCTCTTAACGTTGGAGGTTGTCCCCTGGCCAAGGTTGCGTTTCAACTGTCAATTCAACTGTCAACGGGTAGCGCCTTGGGCGAACATCAAGGCACTTCAGCTTGCGCTCACTTCCGCCTCAGATCTTCCAACAGCTGTGTCTCTTCTTTATCTTTCTTCCACGACAACCGCGTCGGTTCTACCGCGTTCTATTGTTTTGAGTCGCGACCTACCTGGCTATTGTCTTTATGGGACGACTGACTACGCGATTCACCACTCACACAGAACCGCGTTGAAGCACCACTTCCTCAACACCACCACCTCCTTTTTTTTTCCACAAGTCTTCGAAAAGGTATCCTTTTCCCCGCCGCGTCAAGATCTCCTGCTTCCTTTTTCTGGCACTCTTCCATCCTCAAGATCGTCTGCTGCCTTTCCGGGTCTGTCTTCCATTTTCAAACTCATCGTCGGTCCCCTTTGCCTGGATCTCTTTTGTCTTCAAGATCGTCGGTTCCCGTCTCCTGCATCTCCTCCGTCCTCAAGATCGTTTTCTTCCCTTTCCTGGCGCGCCTCCATCTTGAAGATCCTCTTCTCCCCTTTTCGGTCTCTCTTTGATCGCCATATATATTTTCAAGGTTCGTGTCTTCTTGGCTGCTTTCTACTCCGAAGTCCCTGAGACCATTTGTGGCTTGCTGCATCGCGCACTGCTTTTCTCTGTCCCCTTCCAGGAGGTTTGTCAACCGCGTTTTCTCTTTAGGGATCTCGCGTCTGTAACTGAACAGCTCATCCCAGTATGTTTTCTGGGCACTTGTGCCTTTTACAGTTAGTTCTATCTTCTTGTCTTTCTCCTTGTCTTTCTCCTTGTCTTCCTCCTCTCGATCGTTGTCAAGAGTCCAGCTCTGCTGCTATTCTGTTCTGTTTCCTGGATGTCACTTGTGATTCTTCACGTTGCAAGCCTCTCAAATTACCTTTCATCAACATCACCCTCTTTGCAGGCATACTCCTTTACACGTCTCCAATTGAGCAATCTGCGTTGTGCGCTGATAGCACTTCAACTTCCCCCCTTTCACGCCCTTGGAGAAACGATCCTACCCAGAGCCTCTGCAGTCCTATTCCGACGGCAAAACAGTCAACATACTTGTCCTTGTGGCACAGTCTGTATGGCCAAGCAGTAACAGCTTGTCTTTCCTATATCCCCACAACATTGACTTGGCTCTTGTCTTTACACTGTTGCTACTTCGTTCACTTCCTGATATTGTACAAAGCTAACTCAACCTACAGAGTACCATTTCGTCGCGACACCGACTAACATATTGAGCAGGACGACAAGACAAGCGGTTGACAAGACAGCAGCCAAGATGCCTTCCCAGAAGGACAACGACAAGTAAGTCCCCCCCTCATCTGTCTGACAAGCCCTCCCATTCATCCATTGACCCCTACACTACCCTCACCCCGCCGCATCATGTCAACAACTGTCTGCTTCCGTCTGCTTCCGGATCCGCTTTTTCTTTTGGAGTTTCATTTTGATCTCTATAAATATGAGGCTTTCCCCTCCTCTTCCCTTTCTTCTCGAGTCCGATATCCTCCTTCTCCAAACCCCTTTCACTCCATTCTATATATATATATATACATCATTTTCAAAATTATACATATACTTACTTTCCTTGGCTCCAGGGGCGAGCCCAGTTTCTCGCCGCGATACCTGGCGAGCCTCCGAAGGAGCCTAGACCAGGCCGGTTGGGGGCCTGGCCGAGGAGCTGCTCCTCCACCTCCAACGCCGGACCGACGTCCGACCCGAGATGCGTCGGGGTCGCGGCCGTTGGTCTTCCGCCGGAGGAGCAGCTCCTCGTCTGGCCTCAACATCACCGTTGAGTTACCAGACGGCCTCCAGGTCACCTACTCGCGGTCCAGCCCGGACCAAGAGAAGGAGGGCCTGGAGCCGGCCAACCCCCCAGCCCCTGGTCCTGGCCGTCGCGCTGGCGCTCCCCAGACGCCACCTGACGAGTCCGAGCCAGAATCTGACTCGGAATCTGATGCAGATTCTGAGCCAGATTCCAGCTCGGACTCGGACTCTGGGGATAAAAAGGTGCCCGATAACAACCAAGGCAAGGCGAAAAAGTCAGGCGAAAGCAAAGGCAAAGCAAAAAAGTCAACGACCAAGAAGGGAAAAGAGCCTGAGGCCGCCCCTGCACCTGCGCCTGCTCCTCGTCCCTCACTTTTCAGGAACCAGACCGCAACCAACGCCTCGAGCAGCTCAGATTCGTCGCCCACCAGGAGAATTGGTCGCCGCGATCCCGTAGGTCGAGCTCCTCGCCCTCGCCGCCACTTCAGCGCCATGGATCTACCACGGTTCCGTCGTCATCCGACCCCATCAGCCAGCAATGCTGCGCAGCCTGGCCCATTCGATATGCCGCCCGCCCAGACCATTTTCTACCCGCCTGGTCCGCCGCGCATGGGACCCCTCCACCCGCCAATGATGCACCCCCCGATGCCGCCTCCCATGATGATGCCGCAGCAGCAACAGCAACAGCAGCAGCCTGGCATGCCGGGACAACCGATGATGTACCCGATGGGCATGGATGGTACTTATCACCCGATGCACTACTTGTACGGACACGGCGGCGACTTCCCGTACCTCCAGTATTATGCTGGCCAGCCTCCTCCTCCCGTGGGCCCGCCGCCTGCAATCCCCCCTGGTGCGCCGGGCGTCCCGATCGTCCCTGCTCCTGTCCCCGCGACTCAGAACACTGCTCAGCAACAGGTTCCCGCCCAGGCACAGCAAGCTGCGTGTGCAGGTCCGCAAGCCACCGCGCCGACCGCCGCCAATCAGGCTACCGTCCCCCCCGCCGCAACAAACGAGCCCCTTAGACCACCTTCAGCTGCTACCGCCGCGACGAACGCAGAGCCGCAAGCGGCACCCACCAGGGCTGCTCGCGCCGAATCTTCGTCTCGCCGTCGCCCGAGCGAGGCCGCCCGAACGACCCCCTCTTCATCGTCGCCTGAGGTCATCAACGCGCTGCACTTTTGCACTGGCTGCGGCATCGCCCGCTCCCGTGCGTACCACCGCTCGCACCCTTTCAAGGCCGGAGAGCAATCGACGCCCAACCTGTGTGGCAAGTGCCGGGCCGCGAAGCCCAGGCTCACCGAGTCGACCCTGCGGGCTCTGGACCGGGCTAACAACCTTGAGGATGTCATGGCGGTGAGTGAGCTCTAGTCCAACACTGATCATCACGTTGAAGCTGACCATTTAAATCACAGAACTTCAATCTCCGGGAGCAGTCCAGCTTGGTGAGCAACGCTCGCTTTGATCGCTTTGTAAGTCTACACACTCTGGCTTGTACTATTAAAAAGGGCATACCAGTTACTGACAGTTTCTGTTCTCCCAGAACGTCTCCTCTGCTGCGAGCGTGCAGTCTCGCGTGTCCCGACGATCGCCCGGACCTTCGCCAGCTCAATCTTCCCGAAGCCGCAGCCGACATTCCCGTGGCCCTTCCAGCTCTTCTTCGACCCTCGGCGACTTGCCCCGACGTGGTGGCGGTCCTGCCATGGAGACTATCCATGAGGGTCAACGTCGCGTCTCGGAGCCGCAGGAACCAAACACTCCGAGCGAGAGAAGCTCTGCCGTTTCGAGGCAGGGGACCAGCCATGCCTCGCGCTCTCGACGCGGATCGACAATTTCCAGGCAGTCCCAGCCTCATGGCTCTCGCCGCACCGGCGGATACATGCCACCGACTGTCGAGACAGTCCTTGACTCCCAGCTTGACACGGGTGCTGGTGCCGTTCGCCGCAACCTACCTCAGACGCCCCCGCTACAGACCTCTGCTGATCCGGGCCACCGCACGATGACCCCTCGTCGATCCTCCATCCGCGGCCAAGGCAGCGCCCTCGACGAGGCCGGCAGCGAGCGCAGGTCGGTGCGCTTCGACCCCAACGACTCGGCACACACGGCCCCTGAGTTCTCGTCGTCGTCTCCCATGCTCTCGCGCGACGAGGTCACTTCGCCTACTCCCCAGAGGCCGCAGCGGCGTCTCAGCAGGCTCTCCGAGGAAGTCCACGTGCCTGACTCCCCGCAGACGTTCCCTCTCATCGACTCCGATGACGAGGAAGAAGCTCAGCCCTGGTCCGACCACGAGAATTTCACTCCACCGCACATCGGAAGCCGCTTTGACCTGTCACCCCGCGGCCAGACCACCGATGATGTCGAACTCCGCGGCCCCAGCTTTGACGAGATCAGCGACCTGAACCTTGACGCCAGTGGCGAGTCCATGGACGAAGAGGTCACAGCCATGCTGGGCCGCAGCCAGCCGGCGTTTGACTTTGACCTGCTGGGCACTTTGCCCCGGAACCCGGAAGACCCGTTCTTCGACGGCCAGCCTGAGACTGTCGACCCAGCGAGCGCCCACCTCCGAGGCAACACCACTCCGGCCGACCGCCTCCCGCAGCGACAGCAGGAGAACGCGCCACCCGCCGGCTGGAACAACGAGGATGTCGACCCCGTCCGGGCGACTACACCTTCTGCCACTGCCCCCTCCGAGGGACCCGAGAACCGCACCCCGCGCCAGTTTGGCACCGAGATCGGTAAGAAGAACAAGATGAAGGAGACTGATACCACCCCGCGGCAGAATCGCGCGAGTGGAGACAACACCGTGACAACGGGCTTTGTGATCGTCGACTGCGACGAAGAGGACGAGACCGAGGACGAGACACACCAGGCGGGCAGCAGCAGCACCACCAGGCACATCGTGGGCGAGGTGCTCTCGTCGGAGGACAGCAGCTACATGACTACTGCGACGGTTTCGACGCCGAGGCAGGCGGCCAACAAGCGTGCTGGAAGCAGCAACGGCAGCGGCAGTGCTAGTAAGCCGACGCCTACGCCGACGCCGCCGAGGTCGATCCTGAAGAAGCGGACGGTACGCTTCGGTAAGCTGGCTCGTAAACCGCGTCGTCATCGCGTTGGCTTGGTCGTCTTGCTTGCCGTTGTCGCGTTGCGGTGCCTTTGGTTTGCTTGGGTCGTCGTCCACGTTTCGTCTGCTTGGTTTGTCCTCCTTTCTTTGCCCTTGGCCGGTCTTGCGGTTTGTTTGTTGTTCTCTCGCTGCGGCTTGCTGCTTTTGCTTTGCTCTGCTCGCGTGATCTGGTGGTTGATATGCTGCTTTGCTTCCTTTCGGTTGGATATTATGCTAACTATTGGGTTTTCTTTCTTCAACAGAGCAGCAACCTTTTGAGGCTCGGCCTCGGAGCGAGCTCCCGCGTTAGGAGATGTGTGATGGAATGAACGAAGGCCACGTTTGTCGGCGGCATTGGACGATGGGTATGAGGATTTGACGACGGTGGACTTTATCTTTGGAAGTCTCGAGGATTATTTCAGGAACGGAGGATACAAGATGGACTCTATTAATCAGGAATGGAAGGGCATTCTCATATCTCACGAGGGCATCTTGTTAATGGGAAAAAAAAGGGATGATCAGCCAGGAGCTGGGATATGGAAATACGGAAATGCATTGCAACGGATGGTATCTGCAACATCTTGACGATGGAGGACACAGAGGACTTAGTCACTCGATAATTGATCAGTTCTGGAGGCATTCGATATGTCGGTCACGCTCGATTCAATGTAATTACCTGCGCTGCCATCAAAGATGAAGTCGTAACAAGGTGATGACTGCGTTACCTGAATGCGGAAGTGAGTGTATGGCTGAGTCAGCAGGGCCAGGGTACGACTGATCCACCTTCAAATTTCTTCCAAGTACTGCTGGAAGTTCCGCTGGCCTTTCTTTCCTCCAACCCTGAAAAATACCATCCGAGACGGATGGTGGAACATTGAGGTACTTGCAGAAGTTTCGTTGATCTTCTTGACGGATTCATGAGGATTAAATCGGACAATTGGTAAGTCTACTCGATGCTACACCCTCTCTCTCTCTCTCTTTCTCTCTCTCTCTTAACCTGATGAGCACCCCATGAATTCTGCAATTCTGACGGCTTCGGCCGGCATGTGGACAAGTCACAATTCACCTCTGATCATATCAAGTCACTTCCTTTGGACTCAAACATCTGCATATCTCATCAAGTGTGCCATTCCGCTAACCATCAGTCATCCATTAAAGAAACAAGGAATCATGCTCTGCTTTAGATATCTCTCCGCTTAGCTGTTGGTGGGAGCCCCGTCCGGGTAGCGCCCGCCCTTGACCTCAAACCTGGCCAGCGTCTCGTCGATCTCGTGCATCTCGGCGTCGCTCAGGTCGATGATCTTGCTGTTCTCGCGCACCCGCTCGGCCGTCGTGGCGCCCGGGATGGGGATGATGGTCGGCATGCCGGGCCGCCTGGACAGGCAGCGCACCCAGTTGATGGCCAGCTGCGCCGGCGTGCAGCCCTTCTTCTCGGCCAGCCGCTCGACCTGCTCGACGAGCTGCAGGTTGACCTCGAAGTTGCCCGGCTGGAAGCGGGGCATGTGCCTGCGCAGGTCGCCCTGAGGGATGTCCTGGAGCGTCTTGAACTGGCCCGTGAGCATCTGCGATGTACAAAGTGTCAGCTTTCACGCGTCTTGCCTGGCTCGGTAGGTAGGAAGGTAGGTAGGTAGGTAGGAAGGTAGGTAGGTAGGTAGGTAGGCAGGTAAGATAGGTCAAGTTTCACTCACACCTCGGCCAATGGGCGAGTACGCAACGAGCGGGATGTCGTGCTCGGCGCACGCCGCGGCGATGCCATTGGTCAGCACGTCGGTCGACCACAGGCTCAGCTCGACCTCGACGGCGACGATCTTGGCGATCCCGACGGCCTCGCGGATGGTCTGCGCGCCGACCTCGCTCAGCGAGATGCCGCCCACCTTGCCCGTGTCGACGTACTCGCGCTGCAGCGTGCCAAACGTCTCCGCGAGCGGCGTCTTGACGTCGCGCCGCGCGCACTCGAAGATGTCGATCCGCGCCTTGCGCCCGCCGAGCTGCCGGAGGCAGTTGTCGACGGAGCGCCGGATGCCGGCCGCGGACCCGTCCGGCACCAGGCCGTCCTTGCAGCCGCCCTTGACGCTGAGCACGATGCGCTCCGCGTCCCCCGGGTGTCTGGCCAGGTACCGCTCGAGCAGGACGAGGCTGTTGTACTCGGGGGTGCCGTAGATCTCGCCGCCGTTGAAGAAGTTCATGCCGGCGTCGAGGGCGGCGCGCATGGCGGCGAAGGCCTGCTCCTCGGGGGGAGGGGTCTCGCGCCAGGTCAGGCCCATCATGCCGTAGCCGAGGGGGCCGACCTCCTGTCCGTTGATTTGGGGCATCCTTCGTATCGTGGCGCTTTTCTTTTGCTGGGTAAGTGAGCCCTAGGGTGAACTCGAGAATTTGCCGCGGTTGGTGGTTGGTGATGTCAATGAAGTGAGGCCGTGTGTATGCAAATTGAAGGGACCGGCTGAATGAAGCCGATATGATTGGCTCTTGTAAAGGTTCAGGGTATGTTTCTGTTAATGTTGATGGTGCTCTGCTCTTCTCTTTTTGTCCTTCTACATTCTTGAACGGACACCATGCCCCCATTATATATCTAGAAAGTCTTGATGTCAATTGATGTCCATCCGCATCATTCATGGGCTCAGTGCCTAGGTGCTGTATTCGGAATTAGTGTACTTCCAGGGTTCGCCCCTCGAGGCGTGGAATTGATGGCTGCAAGAGCACAAGCACCATCGGATTTATCTGCCACATATTGGGCACTCAATGCCGACGCCACGCCAGAAACGTCCATCACTCCTCCAACCATGCGGGGATGGAAGTGGTCAAACAAGCGCCGCCGCACCTTTTAATAAAACGGATCTAGGACGTCACGGAGTTAAGGTCGACAAACACAGCGACTGTATTACCAAGCCGCAACTCGGTGGAGCTGCAATCCCGCTGCACTAGATAACTCTACGATAATAAAGTCATATTAGCCTTGTGCTTCTTCAAGGGTAGACCGTAGATATTGTACTTGTAATTCAAACCCCGAGATATTCTATGGAACAAGATGATAGCGTCTCTGATGATTCCCAGAACCAGGTTGTTCTCAGCTCCGGTACCCAAGGCAAGCGGGTGTCTGAATAGTTGGCAGAAGTTCATCAGGAGCTACCTCAATCTTAACAATCAATAAGGCACCCTTATCACATCCTTGCCCTGGAACTCGGAAGGGCTATCCCACTACCTAAATCCGATGGGCTCGATGGATAGTCAAGTACTCCTGTTAGCAGTCTGTCAACTAATCTCACCATCACTTGCCGAGGGATCACTACTCTGAAGATGTGCAATTATAGCCATTGGGGTCACTGTTGACGGGCGTGCGTATCGTGACATTATTTACCGATGAATGAAGCAACCTCATCCCCAGAGTCACCATCAAGCTCCACCCATCTCTGTCGCACCATACCTGCCGGGCAGGTCAAAGACCGTAGCCCTCCCAACTTGTCACCCCTAGTCAAGCCACGCCACCTGTCGTCTTGGGGAGAACGACAGTTTCCTAGTTCTGCCCACTTCTGGACCCGGATAACCCACTTTTGTCGCTCAGCTCTGGGGAAACCAACCCAGTCAACATCTATTTGACAATCGGTGAAGAATTGAGGACAAGATCGGACGGGACCGGCAACCCTGCCGGAGCGATCCGGAACGACAGCTCTTTGTATGACGTCCGGTACAACGGACTTATACCTCTCGACCTCCGAGACGGTTAGATGCGGGCAGATCGCGTCCCAGAGGATGTCGTTGGAGTCCATCCACCTGCCTCGGTCTTGATGAACTGTGAAGCGGATGTGGAGGAACAGCTCGTCATCGATAATGCGAGCTTCCAGAGACTGTTCTTTCTTGACATCGTGGTATTCATCACGCCAATCGTGCCGCACCTGAAGATGTCGTAGAGGGGGGCCGTGCGAAGCTCCATACAAATGGCGATTCATGATCAGCCGTGCTGTATGATACTCTACTAGGAAAGGGTGCCCGCAGCATCCAACCTCGTAGGACTGTCTTCGTCGTCTGCAAGCGCCGTTGTAGATGGGCGCACGGTAGCCGTACCGCTCACGCTTCCATGTATGTAGTTTGTGGCACTGGTGGCAGAAATAAAGCCCCCCAATATCCCGCTCTAGCCAGAGGAGCAAGGTTTGCTGGGACGCAAGACCCATGGGAAGGAACGGGTCCATGTAAGCGCGGTAGAATGTTCGGCAGGTGAGGGAGAAGGAAATGACAGACTCTGGTGGGAGGTGTTCGAGAATGATGAGGATGATCTCGGGCGGGACCCGAGTAAAAGGCGTCTCCGTGGGTGACCGCGTCCATCTCGTAAGAGACACCTGAAAGCGGCCAACCCAATTCTTGAGAAATCGTGACAGAAGCATCGGACCTGATGATATTATAAAGAGAGGTAAGGAAGTCGTTCTAATCGGATTCGGGGTTGTAGAGGCTTGACTCTTGTAGCTTGGGCGACAGGATGATTGTGTAGCCTAGATGACGTGGTCACTGGTCTTCAAAAACCCAGAGATGAGAAGCGGCGAAGCGGCTTCGGTACCGAGAAACTTTGGTAATGCTCCTTGTCTTGGTTGAGGCGAAGCAAGTCTAACAACGCTAAGTTATAAGGAAAACCGGAAAACTTGCTCGGCGAAAGTACCCCTGAGTTATGAACACCTACAACACAACCTCCCCTCCCTCTCACCGCGCCTCCACCCGGATCCGCACGTCGAGGCCATCGACACAGAACCCAAACTGCCGCGGGCTGTCCTTGAGTTCGACCTCGCGCTTGACCCACCGCCCGCCCTTCCTAGCCATCATCTTCTCCTCGTCTACCGCCCCGACGCCGCCGCCGCTCAGGGCCTGCCTCTTCTCCATCGCCGCCTCGGCCTCCTCGCCTTCGCTGCTGTCCTCGTCCTCCTCGGGCACGTAGTCGTAGTCCGCCACGGGGTCCCACTCGCCCGTCTCCCAGACCAGGCCCAGCCGCAGGGGCGACAGGCCAAACATGCGCGCCGCGATGCCCTTGACGGCGTAGACGTCGAGCGACTTTGGTATCTGCGCCGTCTTTTCTTCTCCCTTTCCTCCTTCTCCTCCTCCTCCTCCCCCCCCTGCTCCAGACCCCCCCGATGCTGCTCCTGCGGCGGAGGTGACAAAGCGCACGTTGACGAGCCGCGCCTCGAGGAAATTGGGGTTGACATCGGACGCGCGCACGACGGCCGGCTCGCCGTAGAGATCGCACAGCTCGGCGTAGCGCGGGTGCCGGGCCGCGACCGAGGCCTCGGCGCCCTCGGGCACGGCGGCCATCTGCTGCGCTATGCGCGACAGGTAGAACATCTCGGCGTTGGTGCGGTCGTCGGGCGTGACGGCGCTGAAGTTGAGGGCGCGCAGCGGGGCGAGGCGAGCGACGGCGATCATGTAGGCCTCCTCTGTGACGGTGGCGCTACCGCCGCTACCTCCTGCTGCTGCGCTGGTGCGTGAGGAGTCTGGGTCAGAGTCCAGGCCCGGATTCTCGTAGATGGGGTTGTGGGAGAGGCGGAGGGAGGAGAGGCCCGGGAAGGAGTGCGGGAGGGCGTCGACTAGGGGCCAGGACGAGACTTGGTTGTAGGATATGTCGAGGTACTGTATGGTACTAGGGAAGACTGGGGCCTGGATGGAGGGGGAGGAGGCGACGGAGGTGGTGTTGCAGCCCTTGAGGTGCAGGTTGCGGAGGTTCTTGAGGACAGTGAGGCCCGCCAGGTCGGACAGGGCCGTGAAGTCATTGTATTCTAGGTTCAGGGTTGTGAGTGTCGCTGGGAGTTGGAGACTAGCCGTCTCGGAGAGAGAGGACAGCTGGTTCGTGCCGACCTGCAGCGACGTGAGCGCCGGGAACTTGGAGGCGACGTGGCAGATCTCCTCCCACGTCAGGAGCGTTTCCTCGAGGGCGAGCTCCCTGACGCCGGCAAAGATGGACTGCGCAGTGTTGAGTACTTCGTCTCCCACTATATCCGTAAAGCGATTCCCACTGCTTGCCCGTTAGTAAATGTCGTTCGTGCTTAATCAAAGTGAAAATCGAGCCTTACTTGAGCCGCAAGCCCTTCAAGTCCTTCAGCTGCGCGCAAATCTCCACGACCGTCGCGAGCCGCTCAAACAGGTTCCGGCTGATGTCGAGCTCGGTGATGCGCGGGCACGTCTCGGCGATGGACTTCTCTCCCGCCGCCTCGTCGCCGCCTCCGGCCGAGTCGATGAGCATGCCGTCGAGGATGACGACCTTGAGCTCGTCGAGGCGCGCGAGCTGCCGCCGCACCTTGTCGAAGCCGACCTCCTCGGCGACCTTGCCCGAGAAGACGATGGCCCTGGCGCCCACGCCGGCCGAGACGCTGCCGTCGGCGCCGACCTCGGAGGCGTACTTGTCCTGGACGGCCGAGACGAAGGACCGCGGCCAGTCCGGGCGGCGCGTGGCGCGCACGAACGAGGCGGCCGTGGGGGACTTGTTCTTGCCTTCATGCGGGGGCGTCACTTGTCAGCAAGTTCGAGGCCACAAGGTGTGAGGCACAGAGAGAGAGAGAGAGAGAGAGAGAGAGCTTGGTCGCCTACATGTCAGGTATCGCACGCCCTTGTGCACGCCGGCGTGCTTGCCGCGCGAGGCATTGTCCCACTCGACGCCGATCCAGGCGCCCGTCGTGCCGGCGACTTCGCCGACGTAGCGCACGGTGCAGAGCGACGAGTCAAAGGACAGGCGCTGGCCGATGTGGAAGTTTGTAGCCATTTTTTTTCTGTCTCTTATTATTACAAACCACACATTTGGTGTCTTGTTGGTCTTGCGAGACCTGAAATTCGAAGTGTTGCCCGCTGGTTTTTTGTATGAGAGATGTTTGTGTCCAGGCACCGAGATTTCTTATTATTTTTTGGGTGAGAGCGATGGACCGATCTGCCACTTATTATTTCCAGGCCTGTGTGAGCATCGCCTAACCCATCCAGCATTGTCCTCTCGAACATCACAAAACATTGAATGCAATTGATTTGCAAAATATTGGGACAATTCGTATGATTTCATCTCGATTCCCAATTGCCCTTGTATACAAACCAAGACCCTCCAGATATACAAATCCCGGGCTTTCCAAGATACCTAGGTAGCTACACACATCTTCCACTATTTTCTTTCCCCGCCACCGCCAAAACAACGGCTCACAGCTTGTTCTTGGCGCTGCCGACGACCTTCATAAAGGCGCGGCCGTTGGACAGGCACACCTTGCCGCCCTCGACACTGACAACGAAGCGCACCTCCTCCCAGCCATCCTGCACGTCGCCCGTCCTCCAGACCTGCGTGACGAGCTTGTCGCCGGGCTTGACGGGGCTGGCGAACCGCGCCTGGTACTCCTTGATGTTGGCCGGGTCGCTGCCGCCGAGGTGCTTGAGCAGCAGGTGGCAGGTCGAGTTGAACGAGTACAGGCCGTGCATGATGTCGCCGCCGAAGCCCATCTTCTTACCGGGCTCGGGCGTCGCGTGCAGCGGGTTGTAGTCGCCGTTGAGCCGGTACAGCAGCGCCGACTGCTTGGTCGTCTGGTCCTCGAAGACGGCGTCGGGCTTGCGGCCCTGGGGCGGCGGGTAGTTGACCGTCGCGGGGCCCTTGGGCCCGCCCCAGTTGCCCTGGCCGATGTAGAAGGCCGAGCCCGTCTCGCGCGAGTAGACGGTGCCCGAGGCGACCTCGACGAGCTCGGTCTGGATCTCGACGACGGAGCCCGGGCGGCCCTTGTCGTAGACGCCGAGGACCTTGGTGCGCGTCTCGAACTGCTTGCCCGCCGAGGTGGTGGGCAGCGGCTTGAGGAACTCGACGCGGCGCTGGCCGTCGACGACGCGGGTCGAGTCGAAGTTGGGCACGCCGGGGATGGTGACGGCCTTTTGCGCGGCGTAGAAGTCGACTACCTCTTGCGACGTGTGCTTGAAGGCTGCAACGGTGAGGTTTGAGATCTTGTTAGCTTCCTGGATGTGGTTTCGGGGGATCTACGGCCATCAGGGGTGAACATGGGGAGCAAAGGAACATACGCAGGATGACCGGGTAGGTAGGGAAGACGGTAAAGTTGGGATGGAGCTCCTATACATGGACGGGCCCGCGGTCAGCTTGTTTTCTGGGACGACGGCGAGCAGGTGCTAAGTGCATACGTAGAGGAAGTGAAGCTCGTCGTTGGTGCAGCCGATCGAGTTGGCAAAGAGCAGCACATCGCGCTTGAGCCACGCAACGGGCACGCGGGGGTACTCGAATCCGACGCCGGGGCCGCTCATCTTGTCTTGGTATTTGGGGTCGAGGAAGAGGGATGATTCTGGGGAAACTGAAGTGAGTATGTCAGGATGGGTTTGACAGGAGGGATACAGCAAGAGGTTTAAGAAGGGGAAGAAGCGCAATTGAATACGACATTCGTCCCCCTCACGAGGATGGCGACAGCTCTCGCTCCAACCAGCCCAATTGAGGCAATGGCCGGCACTCAGAGCGTGGCACCCTGAGCTACGGGGCGTAGTGCCGAGGTTCGAATGGTGGGGAACCTTGGCCTGCATGGCTGGACGGGCCAAGGTACGTGAGGGGGACATAATTGACCCGGTCGCCTACCTCGTCTCTTTCATCGAAATGGAATGTCCTGGGCCACTGTCTTCTGTCTCGTAGCTGACCAATGGTCTTACACCCAATGTTGAAGCTTTCCACCTGCATCCTATCAAAGACAATGAGTCGTGTGAGCTCTGTTGAACGAAGATACCATTCAAGACTGTGATCGTTGTGGGGGTTCTACTGCAATGTACTACTTGTATGTAGCTCGACTGATGATCAGATAAGATTAAAGAAGCCTCCAGAGGGTTTTCTCCGCATGGCGTGTACTCCGTAAGTTTGTTTCATGCATGCACTCCGATACAGCTTCCACCTAGCACATGCGACCTTTCACAAGCCAAGCATCCACTTCCACTCTTCTGCCTCCCAAGCCAAAGTAGCTCTGTCTCTCTCCAACAAGTCAGCAAGTAGCGGTCTGTTCTCATGTCCAACTCGGCCACAATCCAATCTCGGCTCAGGCGGCGGAGTCGTCCGAGCCTGCCGGCCACCACTCGAGCTTCCGTCATGTAGTATGGTAGGGCGAATCGGACGCACGAGGTCGTCGTCGCTCCGCCGAAGATCCTCGATCGCTTCGAGCCTTTTTTGCCTTTCGCGGCGCCTCTTCTTCCTGCTCCTGCTGCTGTTGTGCCGCCGGCTCTTCCTCTTCCTCTGCGACGACTTTGTCGTCGCCGCCTTCGGGCTCGGGACCGTCTCTATCGGCAAGCTTTCGCTTGACGGGCGTGCCGTCGGGCGTTGTGGACCTGCTCCTCTGCTGCTGTTTCTCCTCGACGATGTCTGTCTCGACTCTGGGTGCTGCAACTCAGTGTTAGACTGGTTTGGGACGTGCAGAGTAATGGCGGAGCAGGAAAAGAAGGATGAAGAGGAGGAAGAGGAACAAGAGGACTGACGCGAGAGGTGTTTGTCGTTCTCTTCTTTGAGTTCTGGAGTAGGTTCTTCGAGGCACGCCTTCGTCTCCTTGGTTTGCGCTTCTTGGTTGAGCCCCTTCTTTTCGGGGACCTCGTCGATAGGGGCTTGGTTGTCAGGGACTTTGTCGTCAGGAACTTTGTCGTCAGGAACTTTTTCATCAGGAACCTTGCCACCAGGCACCTTGCCACCGGGAACCTTGTCATCAGGAACCTTGTCGTTGGGGGCTCCTGCAGCTGCACTCGTGGTTAGAGAGACGACTATCGTGAAGCATTCAAGTGGCAAGGGCATACCTTGAGTGGTCGTTTTCTTTGCTGCCGCCTTTGCTTTAGGCTTGGTCTTGGGATCCTTTGCCTTCCGTTTGGGCTTGGCCTTGGTATCCTCGGCATATCCTTTCATGACATCTGTAGAGTTGTCAGAAAAGAGCACTTCACTCGGAGGATACTGGGCCGACATACCTTTGGCCTTGGGCTTCTTGGGCGCAGGAGGATTATTCTCCTTTTCCTTCTCAGCCGCGGCGTCAGACTTCGCCGCCGCAGTCTTCTCAAGCCGCTGTTCCTGGCTCTGTTTGCAGATCTTGCCCCAGGCAGACATGGTCTTCTTCGCTTTGCTTTTCTTCTCCTTCTTGTCGGACGGCTCCAGAGGCGCATCCCGGACGTTCTCTTGAATCGTCTTGGGAGGCGGGGTTGCTGGCTTGGAGGCATCGTGAGACTCGTTCTCGGTCTTGGACGAGTCATCATAGGGCAGGCCTGTCGTGGTGCTGTCAGGTTGGCCCTGGTTTTCGCTGGCACCGCTCATGAGATACGGATCGATCTCTAGTGTTTTCGAATCGCTAGAAGGCTTCTCGAAAACACCATTGTCGTAGCTAGGGTCGGTGCTGCTCAGGTCTTGATTTCTCGGGGAGCTCTCGTCAGCATGAAACTCTTCCTCGTCGGAACTGTGTTGGGTGCTGTGGTCCAAGCCAGGAAAGCCAATGCCGCTCATGTAGTAAGGCTCGGCCGGCGATTTAGACTTTCGAGCTCCACGTCTGGGCGGCACCTCGTAGACGCAGTCGTTGTAGTCTGGGTTGTTGAGCATCTCCCAGACGCGCAGCTTGTGGTAGGGCAAGTCTGGGTCTGGTACGGGCGGGCTGCTGTCCACAAGCGACGAGGAATCGCAGTCCCGATCGCTCTCCTTAGGGCTGGACGATCGGTCGGCGTCGTAGCTCTGGCTGCTCTCACCGGAGATGATGCGAACGCGCGGCAGCCCGGACATGCTGGGCTCTTCGGGACGCTTCGCGCGGCGCTTCTTCGGTTCGTCCAAGGTAGGCATGATGGTTTGCAGTGATGGATTAACAGAAAAATTGCAGAGATGAGAAGATGGCAATTCGGTTGTTGGAGTCGAGCAAGAAGTGAGGTCGTGGTAAGAAAACGGCCATGGTTTCCCATGGACGGATGGGAAGCAGTTGCGTTGGAGGCCAACAATGGACTCAATTTGGACAATAGTCACCCACTACAATAGCTATGCAAGGCTATTAACTCCAATAGGTCGGCCTTCTTTTGTTCCCAATGGTAATTTATACGTTAAAATCAGCCCTTACCGAGTTTTGGTATCTGAGTGCGTTAATGCACGGTGGGTGAGTCGAATGAGTGAGTTTGTCATGTGTGCTGCCATGGCATGAACCACGACAAACATCCTCCAGCACTCGAAATCTACTTCGTTTCACAGCCGGTCTCGTGAGAATACTCTAAGAGGAGCTATTGGGAACTGCCAAACATACCTCGGGTGATTTGCTTGCGTTGCAAGGGCGATGGAGTTGGCAATCCCCAGGAAAGGTCTGGTACATAGGGGTGAGGTAGATTCCAGGAGACAGTTTAATCTGCGCGTTTGCCGATGAGCAAACGAGCACCACTAACGCATGTATCGGAGTTGCAACTTCGCATGTATTGTTCAAGTTTTGGATGGCATACACTGTCGGCATGCATCAACGAGAAGCCCATCCTGGTGTGATTGCGAATTTCTATATATTGCAAAGTTTTCCATCATTTCTCTGGATTGACTGCATACAATACATAGGAAAGGTGCTACGAAATAGAGTAGAAGAAACTTGCGCGTCGAAACCACTCATCTGGGGCCTCCAAATGCAGCAAGCTTGGTGTGTGTAAATCATACATGTGGAAAAGAGAGTGGTATCCGTGTTATCATTCCAATTCGTTCCATGTCCAGTCCATCCTCCATAGGATCAGGCATCAGTCTCAAAATTGACGCTGCTTCGCCCGGTCACACTCCTCCAGGAACCGGTAGATCCCCTCGAGGCCCTCAAACTCGTCGGAGCAGTGCTCGCCCGAGCTCGGGTGCGGAGGGGACATGCTGGCGTACCCTTCCTCGCCACTCGACAGCGACGCCGCATCCTCTACCAACCAGGGGTTCTCCTCCATGAATTCGTCAAAGGCATCTTCTGAGATGGATGACAGCTCCGACCGGTGGGATCGCATCGACCCGCCCGGCGACGACAGAGCGGCCCCTTCGACATCAGGCGCAAATGGGAACTGCAGTGCGAGCGGCACACCCATGGCCACGTTGAAGTCGTCGTCTTCGCCGACGACGCCGCGCGTCACGCCGAGGTCGTCGCACAGGCGCTCTACCGTGTCCGCATCGACGCCCGGGAAGCGCACGCGCAGGGTCGAGCCCTTCTCGAGCAGGATCGGCAGGTCGCCGAGGCTGGCGAGGCGCTTGAGGTCGTTCATGACGGCGCTGAGCTCCTTGAGGGCGCGGGCAAAGTCAACGCTGAGGACGTCGAGGAAGCCCTCGGCGCCGAGGGTGGCAGCGTTCATCTCGGACTTGTTGTGCGTGTAGTTGTTGGCGAAGGCGGCCAGCGGGGTCAGGGCCGTGATGGTCGGGTTGACGGAGAAGTCGATCCAGGCGCCGGCGCAGTCCTTAAGGGGCAGAGCAGCAGCCAGCTTGCGTCCAGCCTCATCCTCAAGGGCGCTGACGGCGCGGAAGCGGCGCTCGCCGTTGGGGGAGTAGCCATCGAAGCGAGCACGCTGACCGGACAGCCAGAAGGCGCGCATGGCCTGCGAGACGTTCTGGACGACCTGCGCGGGAGCGGCCGGGGTGTGGCTGAAGTAGCGCGCACCGGTACGACCTCCGGCCCCCAGGCTGTATCCGCCCGCCGTTCGCGGGAGGGCGCCACCAGTGAGATTGGGACGCAGGGTACTAGCGAAGGGGGCACGGCCAGTGGACTGCCATACGGCGCGGGAGGCGGTAGCCGACTTGAGATACGCGGTGCGGTCGAAGCGGGGAGCGGCCTCGGAGGCCGTGGAAGCGAAGCGGCGGAGCGTGGCATTGATGTTGGTCCAGGTCGAGTGGTAGCGGGTGCCGCCGCTGCGCTTAGACTGGCGGAGGAACGCGACTGGGTGGACGGGCTGTCGGGGACCGGCGCGGACGGTGACGGGCTGCACCTCGGCGTTGGCGACGCGGGTGGCGTTGGCGAGCTTGTTACGCAGCACCTTCGTCATCTTGGCCGTGTCGCCGATGGCCCTGCGGAGGGCACGCAGGGCTATGGGAGCCCAGATGCCTCCGACTGGTGCCATCTTGACTGGATTCTTCTCTGCTTCTCTTCTCAGATGAGGAAGAAGAAGAAGAGGGGAGAAAGGAGGCAAGATGTCCTTGGTGGAAGAGAAGAGGAGAGAGAGATGGGCGGAGGAGTCGGGAGGGCACGGAGAGCTTATGCGTGGCTACCTCCGGGGGGTGTGACGCATGGGCGAATCATTGGTATGCGATAAGGCGATAAGACCAGACTGTTCGCCACTTGACGTCTGGCGCCAAGTGCGTTGCTTTAAAACGCCACATCCCCCGCAATCTCACGAAAGTTGCACATACCAGGCAGGGGTCCAGTGAAGATTTGCACCGCCACGCTTACCTAACGAACATCAAGTGGGCACGGTGCTCGGCGGCTCCTACCTCCGCACAACTTTTCGGCTCGCCTAATTGAATCGATTTATTTTTTTCCCTTGGAGCTCCAAGCTTCACCTTCTTCCTCTTCCCTCACTCCCATCACTTGGAGAGTTCTGCGGCATCGCCTACTCCTCGTACCGCAGCGATGTTCACCAAGGTAAGCTTACTCTCCTTTCTAAGCCTCTCTTATCAGTCCAGTGTGCTATGACGAAACACTATCACGAACAATCCAACTCTTACTTAGCCCATGGGGATTCCACATTTACTCTAGAATTACCCTGAGCACATTCTCGACGCGTTTGTTGCGTGCATCGCCACCCTCGTGACAGTTTGCTGACCATCGAGAAGTAGTGTTTTGATTCTTATTGTCCCTAGGGCAGCTGGCTGTCCACAGCAGTATCATTGGTTTTCTCTCGACTCAAAAGGTAAGCCGGTACATTGCCGTACAATTTTTCTTTTCTCCTCCCCCCTTCGAGGTGATGACAACACACCAAATCTAGGAATTCCTCTTGCCGAATATACAATGTGGAACCCTTTTAGTTTCAGCCTTGTCTGATCTATCTCGCATTCAATCTATCTTTTGTCTGCAGCTACTGCCGTCCTTGGGACTTGTGACTAACATTCCTTCGGCAGGTAATTACAAGCACCCTTCCATCCCGCAAGGCCAAGGCTCTATGACGAAATTTGAACGAACGGGCGGACATAAACGAACCTCTGCGGGCACTTCTCGTCAAAAGCAAGGAGTACAAACCTTGTGAGAGGTGCTTTGCGGAGACTTCTTGTTGAGAATTCGTCACCTGATCATGCCTGCTCAGCCATCTTTTGACATGCCTCGCTTGCCCGGACGATCTGACTGACCTTGTCTGGCATAGGTAAATCCCACATCTCAGCTTCGCCGCGTCGCATGTCGTCTTTTCTTAATGATGATTCGTTATTCACACTGTTTGATCCGCCTTCGGGTTGGAAATGAACATCTGTACAAAATCTGATTTAATGAGGTATGTTCAACCAAGTCATCGCTGCTTGACGGGATTGCGTTTGCTAACACGATGCGCAGCCTGAAATCATTCTTGCTACTGCACCTTGTTTGGATCCTTGTGTAATCAAGACGCTGACCAAGACTGGTTCGCAGGTAAACGTTTGATGATGACTGAAGCAGTGACTGAGCTCTTGTACAAGGTACGCAGTTGTCTTTCTCTCCCTTCTCTTCACAACGCCCATCGGATGATACCCCTTCCTGCTTATAGATAGCTGAACTCATTATGTTGAGACTTGCCTTTTCACCTTGGAGAACTGAACCTGGTTCCTTGAGACTCGTTTGCTTGCCTTGGCTTGGTCGAGATGCAAATGCTGACATGGTGAACCCCAGATCTATCCAAACAATTAGATTAAACGCCTACTCGAGAACTTTATACCTAGTCCTTTTATTTAGCATGTTGAGATATGAATACATGAAACTCCATTGCACTTGTTTTCCTACGAGACCCGTGAATTGCACGCACGTTTCCAGACTCTTGGCTGTCACATCCTACTGCTTCAGCTGTAGTCTGGCGTTCCAGCCCACGATGCACCGAATCAGGTCCCAGTCCCCGCGGTAACCCACCCAGTCAGTGACGACGACACCGGTGCAGGCATCGCCCACGCTCAGCTGGCCGGGGCCCTTGCCGTGATCGCCGTGCCTGACGCACAGGTACTCGATGACGGCCGGGTTGACCTTTTGGGCGATCCTGTCGGGCCAGCAGTTGGCGTTGAAGAAGTTGCTGGCGCTGAGGAAGTTGACAAAGAAGGGGCTGGGGTGCTCGTCGCCGCCGGCGATGTTGAAGGTCTGCTCGCCGCAGCGCTCGAGGTGGGCGCGGGCGAGCTCGATCTTCTTCTCGATGTTGGTGGCCTGGTCGACCTCGTAGAAGTCCTGGACGCGGATCTGGTTGGAGCCGCAGGTGCCGTCGGCGCAGTTGTCGGGCCACGAGGAGCCGTCGACGCCCCAGCCGCGGCCGTCGTGCTCGCCGCGCATCGAGTCGTCGAGGCCGAAGCGGCGGACGAGGACGATCCTGCCGCGCACGTCGCCGAGGCGCGGGATGCTGGGGTCCGTGTACCAGCGGCGGGCGTCGTCGCCGCCGAGGTAGCGGTCGCGCAGGTAGCGGCTCAGGTCGGCGTCGGAGCCCTTGCCGGTGCCCTCGCGCTTGAGGCTCATGAGCAGGACCTCGGAGGGGTTGGCGTCGAGGAACTCGTAGCAGTCGCGCAGCAGGTCGGCGAGGTACTTGTTGCCCGTGAGGCTGATGGGGAAGGCCGAGTGGACGAGGGTCAGGTCGTCGCTGTCGGGGCTGGCCGAGACGCGGATGTCCATGAAGCGCACGCCGTTGTCGAGCTGCTCGCGCACGCCGACGGCCTGGCAGCGCACCGAGGGCAGGGCCGTGTGGCAGGTCGGGCTGTTGTGGGTGCCCGGGATGGACAGGGCCGTCAGCGGGTAGCCGTCGGCGAGGGCGCCCATCCAGCGCGGGAGCTGGGCGCTGCTGAAGATGGCGAGCGTGGCGGCCGAGGCGATGTAGACGGCCGTGAACTCCTTGTCGGCGCCGTCGAGGCGCTCCATGACGACGCTCTGCGGGCTCGGCGCCGGGCAGTCGACGGCGTACCGGCCCGGGCCGCCGGGCTGCTCGAAGACGAGGTGCATGACCTCGCGGTTGGGGTCGGCGGCGCGGATGTCGGTCGTCTTGGTCTCGAAGGGCGCGAGGCTCACCGAGACGTCCTGCTGGTCGTGCGGGCCGGCGCCCTCGCGCCGCTTGACGCCCCAGAACTTGACGGGCTCCGGGGCCGCGGGGGCCGCCGGGGTCTGCTCGGCCGTCTTGTTGAAGAGGCTGGTGATGGCGCCCGTGACGTTGGCCGTGACGTTGGCTATGACCTCTCCCGCGCCGCCCGAGGGCATGGGCTGGGCCTCGCCCTCGAAGCGCTCGACATGCTTGAGCTCGAGCGGGGTGATGGTCAGGTTGCGGATCGTGAGGGAGGCCATTTTGGGGTGCTTGGGGTACGGGTGGTAGGGGTACGGAGTCCAGAGGGAGATGCAGAAGATGGCTCCCATATGGCGGGGGGGGAAGGGAAGAGGAAAAGCAAAAAAAGGGGAGGAAACAATGGTGATGTCAATGGGCTAAAGCTAAGCTGTCAAACTATATAACTTTGGATCTTCTGTCCGCTCAGCCGCACTGCGAAACTGCATCAATCGATCGACCTACCCCTCTGCGACTCCGCTTCCCGTGGTGGTGGGAGTGGTGTTGGGCTTCCCTCGTGCGTTTTGCGAGATGAGTGACGCAAGGCCACTGGAGTGATCGGACTTGAGCGAGCTTGGCCTGGCGAGGTGATTGGCCCAGGGAAGCTCGCGATGTGGGCAGTGTGGGCGACGGGGTGGATCTTGATGCAGCCGGAACAGCTGAAAGCGATCGAATTAATGTGGCCTGTAGGTACGGTCGGACGAATTGAGAGTTTAGTGTTTGAGACCACCCGCTGGATCCCCAAATCGACAATCAATTGAGTCCACGGGTGTCCCAGTGCAGTGCTGCATTCTGGGGCTCCAGGGCTCCAGGGCTGCTCTTAGCGCACATGCAAGGGCTCGATGCGTTTCCAAGGATGCTTAGTTATCGCGGCACAGGCCGGCACGCCATTGCAACAGGGTCCCCTGAATTTTCCCTATCAAATGTTATCGATAAGCATCCTCCCCGCAGTCGCAACCCCACCAGCCGGTCTACTTTTACAGTGCCGTTCTAGCCATAATATCAGAAAAAAAAAAACTTCTACAGGGACTATGACTGCGGCCAAGAATTTGTCCCTCAGTCGAGAAACTCGCTTGCCCAACGCAAGACCGAACGCGTCCACCCTCGAGCCGTTGGTCCTCGGTACAGCACCGAGCACAAGCTGCAATGTGCGGTATCGTCGCCCTCCTCCTCGGTGACCCCAAGGCCACCACGGCCGCCATCGACATCCACGAGTCGCTGTACTACCTGCAACATCGTGGACAGGATGCCGCGGGTATCACCGTCTCCCAGGGCGGCCGCGTGTACCAGGCCAAGGGCAACGGCCTGGTCTCCAAGGTCATGAACGACGGTGCTCGCCTCCAGCAGCTGCCCGGAAACCTCGGCATCGGCCACCTGCGATACCCGACCGCAGGAACCTCGTCCGTCTCCGAGGCGCAGCCCTTCTACGTCAACACCCCGTTCGGCCTCTGCATGAGCGTCAACGGCAACCTCGTCAACACTGAGGAGCTCCGCAGGTTCCTCGACGTCGAGGCCCGCCGGCACATCAACTCCGACTCCGACTCGGAGCTCCTGCTCAACGTCTACGCCCACTCCCTCACCGAGCTCGGCAAGTCGCGTGCCAACTCCGAAGACATCTTCACCGCCCTCCGAGCCGTCTACGACAAGTGCCAGGGCGCGTTCGCCTGCACCGTCATGATTGCCGGTTTCGGCATCCTTGGCTTCCGCGACGCCAACGGCATCCGGCCCCTCTGCATCGGCTCTCGGCCGTCTGCCACCCTCGAGGGTGCCACCGACTACTTCATGGCTTCCGAGTCGGTCGCCCTGACGCAGCTCGGCTTCAGCAACATCCGCAACATCAAGCCCGGCGAGGCCGTCTTCGTCCAGAAGGGATGCGCCCCCATCTTCCGCCAGGTGGTCACGCCGCGGAGCTACAGCCCCGACATCTTTGAATACGTCTACTTTGCCAGGCCCGACACGGTCATGGACGGCATCTCGGTCTACAGGAGTCGGCAGAACATGGGCATTGAGCTGGCCAAGACGATGCGTGAGGTCCTGGGCGATAAGATCATCGACGAGATCGATGTTGTGGTTCCGGTCCCTGAAACTAGTAACACCTCAGCGGCTGCACTGGCCGCGCAACTGAACAAGCCCTACTCCAACGGCTTCGTGAAGAACCGGTATGCCTATCATTCTCGTCCCTGTTTACCAACCTAGACCCCTGAAGCTTACACTTCGTCTCAGATACGTCTTCCGGACGTTCATCCTGCCCAACCAAGGGCTGCGCAAGAAGAGCGTGCGCCGGAAGCTCTCGCCCATCGAGTGCGAGTTCGAGGGCCGCAACGTCTTGCTTGTCGACGACAGTCTTGTCCGCGGCACCACCTCGCGAGAAATCGTGCAGATGGTGCGTGAATGCAAGGCGAAAAAGGTCATCTTTGCGAGCTGCTCGCCCAAGATCACCAACCAGCACATCTACGGCATCGACCTGGCCGACCCGGCCGAGCTCGCCGCCCACGGCCGGACAACCGAGGAGATCGCCAAGCACATCCAGGCGGACCACCTCGTCTACCTGACGCTCGAGGGCATGAAGGCCGCCTGCATGGACGCGGCGGACAAGGACAGCCTGGTGGAGGACTTTGAGGTCGGCGTCTTCACCGGTAAGTACGTGACGGGCGTGCCCGAGGGCTACCACGAGCACCTCAGCTCGCTGCGCAAGGGCAAGAAGCGCCAGGCGGAAGCGGCAGGTCTGGCTTCCGAGGGCCGTGATGAGTCGACGAGGAACGCGGTGCTGGTGACCAACAGCGGGCCGGTCAACGACGCGGGGCCGGAGTACCGCGAGGATATCAGGTAGGCTGCTGCTTCCTTGCACCTTTTGTTTGCTGAACAACGCACTAACCTGCTACTTTAGCATCCACAACTTTGCGACGGAAAACAGGAACCATGAGTGATGCTGTCACAGTATGGAACCAACGTCATCTTTTAAAACAATGATCTTACCGGTCAGTGTCATCGGTATTATCTAGATCTTCAGGGCCTAGAATTTCCGGATCAATCCACCGCAACGAGAGGGTCCTTACTGTCATTGCCTTTCATTTCTGCTTTGGCCTTGACATCACCCACCTTTTTTCCCTCTTCCTTTTCCCCCTCCTGGCGTCGAGACTTCGCTCAGACATTGAAGGAGAAGGTCCCGCGAGGAATGAGCAGCGAAGTCGTTCAGAGCATTCACCATAGTGTGGTGAAATTACGGTGCATCTCTCACATCAGCATCATGAAACCCGGCATACACATTAGACATGGGATCCTTCACTGGTTTAACAAAAAAAGCCTCCTTTTTTTCATCCGAGGCAATCTTTCTACACTTAGAGTCTAGAACAAAACCAAAAAGAGAGATTTTAATGCAATGCTTGAGACCTCGATCGTCGTAGTGGTGATACAGAACCAATGTGATCGGATTCAAAAGGGGAGATACATAGGTAGGGTCGGAATCGAGGATCTGCAGAGTTGAGTATGCTTGAAGCTTTGCCGATCCAATGACTCAACGTGCTGATGTGCCTCGACTTTTTTTTCTCCGATGCCGCCCGGGCATGAGATAAGATAAAGAAATTGAAGCCCCGGCCCCACAACGGCGGTCAGTTCGACTCACATCACCTTCATTTTCTCGACCTCACAATCTACCTCACGCGACTCTCTCTGCCAGTCAATTCCTCTCTCTCAGACCTCTCCAGGTGCGAATTCTTACCACAACCACTCAATTATCCGCCATCTCTCGTATTACTGCAACAATGGCCGGCTCGAAGGGAAAGGTCTGCTTGGCGTGAGTCTTGCCCCTCCTGCGACTCTGCTCCGCCCCTCCACGGATCTAGGAATTGACTCGCGATAGGTACTCGGGAGGACTCGACACAAGCACGATTCTGGCGTGGCTCCTTGAGCAAGGGTGAGTGCTTTGCAATATCTTGAGATACTCAATTGCCGTGCCTCGACAAGCTAATCATGCGTGCGCAGTTACTCTGTCGTGTAGGTGATGCCCATCCGCAACCAGGCTCGATCCCGCCCTTCCCTGCGCCGGAATCTTTCGTTGCCTCCTTGAGCGCCAGAACCGGCAAGATTCGTACCGGCAGGGCCTAGCAAGGGCGAAGTGCTCTGATATTGACCAGGGAGCAAAAGAGGTGGGGATTGAGAATGCACACTGAGCTCGGTCTTTTGGTGGCATGGATAACAGAATGTCCTGCGGGGAGGATACGAATCTGTCTGGTTCTGACGCTTAAGGAGATGGCGCAAGACGGCGCTTTGGTCGAAAAGCAGTCGATCTAACTACATCACAGCTGCTACCTCGCCAATGTTGGCCAGGAAGAAGGCAAGAAGAGATGACCCCCCTGTAAATCTGGCACCTATTGCTAACTGAACACTAGACTGGGCTGCCGTCGAGAAGAAGGGTCAGTTGCGATCCCCAGTCCCACCCTGGCCATAGACGAGGACGAAACACAACGATCTCGAATCAACTTTGGCATTGCTGTTTCTCCGCTAACCAAGTACATGCGCCATACAGCTCTCCAGATTGGTGCCGAGAAGGCATGTGAACTCGAGCATTCCCACCGATGCACGCATCTTGCTAACAGCCGGCTCTTAGATGATCATTGATGACCTCAAGCGCGAGTTCGTCGAGGAGTGAGTTGCACCCATGTCAAGTGACATCATTGAGCTATCCGCTTACACCTCCATAGGCTTTGCTGGAAGGCCGTCCAGTGCGTACGTACTATTCCCCTCGATCCCGCCGTCAGTTCCCTCGACTCACCGTACAACAGAACGCCATCTACGAGGACCAGTACCTCCTCGGTAAGCAGGCCAGGACAACCAAGCATGCACACAGAGGCTAATACACATTCAAGGCACCTCCTTGGCCCGTCCCATCATCGCTCGTGGTCAGATGAAGGCTGCCGCCGCCACCGGCTGCCAGTTCGTCTCACACGGCTGCGTGAGTAACATGCCAAACCCCGTCTCCCTAGGGAGTATGTCTTCGTTCACGCACAGCTAACCAGCCATCTGTAGACCGGCAAGGGGTATGTTATCTTCGAAGTGATTTTCCTGACGCATGGCCAGCTAACTCTCGCCGCAGCAACGACCAGATCCGCTTCGAGTTTGCCTTCTACACGATCAACCCTGAGATCAAGGTCATCGCACCGTGGAGAGGTATGATTATGATTCTTTGAATGCTCCCATGTATCAGACCGGCAGACTAATTGGTTCTTGCAGATCCCACCTTCTACAACCGCTTCCAGGTTAGTCCTGATCGCAAGGTCAACGTCCTTGCCTCTGATACGATAACTAATACTGCCAATTCAGGGCCGCAACGACCTCCTCGACTACGCTGCCGAGAAGGGTGGGTGCCTTCAAGTCTAGTTTGCTCTGTGGTTTCATGGTTTCATGCTGACAACGTCCAGGCATTCCCGTCACCAGCACCAAGGCCAAGCCTTACTCCATGGATGACAACTTTGGTATTACAATGCTTACCCCCGCACACCTCGAACCACAACTAACCCTGTGATGATAGCCCACTGCTCGTATGAGGCTGGCATGCTCGAGGATCCCAATGTCACTCCCCCGGAGGACATGTGGACCCGGACCGTCTCTCCCCTCAAGGCGCCCGACACCCCTCTCGACATCACCATCCACTTCAGCAAGGGTCTCCCCGTCAAGGTGGTCACCCCCTCCAAGACCGTCACCGACTCGGTCGAGCTCTTTGGCCTCCTCAACGACCTTGGCAAGGAGCACGGCGTCGGCCGCGTTGACATCGTAGAGAACCGCTTCATCGGTCTCAAGTCGCGAGGCTGCTACGACTCGCCCGGCATGACCATCCTGCGCCTCGCGCACATCTCGCTCGAGGGCCTCGTCCTCGACGGCCGCGTCCGCGCTCTCCGCGACAACTTGAGCAAGCAGTGGTCCGAGCTGCTCTACAACGGCTACTACTTCAGCCCCGAGCGCGAGTTCCTGCAGCCCAGCCTCGACCACGCGCAGCTGCGCGTCAACGGGGAGGTCCGCCTCCGGCTGTACAAGGGCCACGCCTACTGCCTCGGCCGCACCTCGCCCGAGAAGCTCTACTCTGAGGAGGACGCCTCCATGGACTCGCTTACCACCTTTGACCCGTCCGAGACGGTGAGTCTTTGCTGTCTTTCTACGCCACGCCGTCAGAAGGAGACGGCCCGTTTGCTGACAAGATACCACAGTCTGGCTTCGTCACCATCAACGCCATTCGCCTCAAGAAGGTTAGTAGTCTCAACCCCGTACATCTTTTGAAATAATGCTGACCCTCCTTCGAACAGTACGGTCTCCAGAAGGCCGAGGCCGGCGAGAAGTTCTAATCAGGGATGCACGAATTGGTAGTCTGTGGTTTCTTTCTTTAGTTGGGAACTCAGGTGGAAAGACGGTCTCGGATTACAGAAAAGAAAAAAGCGAAATGGATGGTAGAACTTTGGGAGAGGTCTCCTCTGTCCTCGTCTCTAATACCACTGTTTTGGTGACCTGCTTCCAGTACTCCTGCGTTTTGTCTCGCTTTGCTTGTGTCTAGACTCATCCATGCCTTGAGCCCTTGAACGCAGGCAGGCAAATTGATTTTGTCATCTTGCTTCACGCCGCGTCGAACGACAAACCTTGCCTGAAAGCCTAGTCTGATGGTCCAGATCTGTGTAGTTATTTGTCTTGCCCGGGCCACGTCTTGGCAGCGATGGAGTCAATAGATCACGTTTACGATACATGGGAGGCGTCTTGACTCTATTACCTGCCGAGATGAAATAGACGCACTGGTTCGGAACGTATGGCATGCTGTAGTTGTCGTATATTTTCATTATTTTTCACAATAGGTTGGCTATATATGATATATGAAGGCCTGCTTCCCATCCATCACCCCTCCCCTTTCCTCGCCATCGAAGGGACAAACAATCCCCCTCCCCCATCTCCGAGAAGCCTTTCCTTTCGTGCTCTTTCTTCTGTCCTTCACAGTAAGGTAGGATAGGTAAGTACCGACTGATGTTGTCCTCCTCTATTCTCCACTCCGTAGAGCAAGATATGCAACTCTGCATCAATCACCAGGGGTACCAGGAATGCCGTCCATAGCCTCTCGCTCTAACCCGAGCCTCTCCAGCCCCTTTCTCCGGTCCCCTCTCGCGAGTACTATGCATCAAGAAACGAAACGCAAATAGACCGGACAAAGAACCAGATTGTTTTTTTTTCTTCTTGCAATGGAGAAAACGCCGCGCTACTCATTCCATCCCAGTTTCAACCCAAACCCCTGATCCCGAAACCACACCCAGACCACGAGGCAGCCGGTATGAAAGCCCCACACAAACCAGACGAAACGAAAATCAGAAGATTCGGACCTCTATCTCTCCCTCTACCCGCCCCTTCATCTCCTCTTCATCTCCTCCTCCGCCTCCGCCATAGCGACGAGCGCATCCTTGAGCGGACTCCCATGCCGCATCAGACCCGGCGGCTGCCCCATAACCACCGTCTTGCCCGAGAGATACCCTCCTTGGCCCTGCCCCTGCCCCTGCCCCTGAAGGACCTGAAGGGGTGGTGGAGGCGACACGACGACGCCAGCGACGTGGCTACTCGGCCCCGCCGTGTCCGGCAGCGCCGCCGGCGGCGCAGGGCTCGTCCGCCGCGACGAGCTGCTCCCCGTGCCCGCCCGTAGCAGCCGGCACGCCTCGAGCCGCCGCGCCTCAAACGCGCGCGACCGCTGCCTCTCGCGCTCAATGTGCCGGCTGCGCGCCGCGACGTCGGCGTCGGCCTCGGCCATCTTGAGCTCCGACTCGGCCAGCACGTGGACCCGCTTCTCGGCGCGCGCGCACGCCTCGTCGAGCCGCCGCGCGATGGCGTCGGGCACGAGGGCCGCCGCCGCCGTGCCGGGCTGCGACGACGGGGCGTGCGATCTCGGCCGCGCGGACCCGCCCCAGCCGCAGCGGAAGACCAGCGTCGTGCGCTGCTGCCCCGGCTGCATCGGCCGGCTGGCGTCGCCAGAGTTCCACACCGTCACGGCGTCGCCGTCGTGCAGCCGGATCCAGTGCCTCGACGGCGCGTCGGGCCGCTTAGGCTCGTGCGACTCGAGCAGCGTGTCGTTGACGCGGATGCCGTTGGTCGCCTTGGTCGAGATGTAGAAGTGGTACGACGAGGCCTCGTCATCGCCGCCAGACACAAGGTTCCAGGGCCGGAACTCGCGCGAAGGGTCGTAGGCCTCCTTCCAGAGGAGCAGCTTGAAGGCGTACTTGGGCACCCGGACCTCCTGCCTGGCCTGGTAGACGCGCGTGTTCTCGAGCGCCCGCCCCCACGAGGTGACCGACTCGGTGACGGCGATGGACACGTTCTGCACGACCGAGCTGCTTGACGACTGCATGGACGCGACGACCCGCTTGGCTGGTGTGAGGACAGGCACGATGATGTTGGTCTCGGTAGGGGCAGTGTCGGGAATATCGTCGTCGTCTGGCGCAGCCGTGGAGGGCACGGGTTCTGGCTCTTTACTCTCCAGCTTGGTGTCGACCGTCAGTGGTGCGCCATTGTCGCTTGGGCCCAGCGGGCTGTCCCCGTCGAACGAGGCCTCCACCGGCGGAAAGAACTTCATGGCTAGATCCCACAGCGGCGACTTGCCCTCCGCAAACTCCTCGCCCCTCCTGGCAGCGGCCTCCTTGAAGGCATCGTGCTGCAGCTGCGTCATCTCGGGGTATCTCAGGTGCCAGGACTTCTTGTCACCCGCCACCCAGTATATGCTCTTGTGGACCGGAGAGTCCATCTGGCGGCCAGACTGGATTCTCGAGATGGGCGGGATCAGCGTGTACAGCAGGTTCTCGGCATCTTCCACGTCAGACGGCAGTTCTAGTGTAACCTCCGATTTAAGCCTCTTAATCGTCGGCTTTTCAGGCATCTGAGCGCCTTCATATTCGTCGCTGGTATCGTAGGCAGGTTTCCTCTTGCTCGTATTGAACTCGCTCATTGACCGGCCCAGCAATTCGCCCCCTATCGTGCTCTTCATGTTGAGATTGTCGAGAAAGGACTCTGCGCCTCCCAGACTCTGCGATTCGACATCAAATGTCATGTTGTTGAGCGCGTCCACCGAGTAGCTCTTGGCCGCCGACAAAGGCACACCGCCACTTGACCGGTTCTGTGACTTTTGTGACCGCGGCTGTTGCTTCGGTGTCGACAGCTTTTGAGATTCAAAGCTATCCCTGATCTCAGAATCCAAAATATCCGTGCCGGAATAACTCGACCCTGATAGAGGTAGGTTAAGACGATTTGACGGTATGACCCCGGAGCTCCCGATAGCCGACACGTTCACCTCGCCAAAGAGCCTCTGTCCCTGGTTGCCCGGCATAAAAGTGTAGTTCTCCTTCTCCGACTCGTTGTTCTCCTCAAAGAAGTCGTCGTCTAGTATTTCGTCATCACTCGGTATTTGCTTCGTCTGTCTGTCTGCTAGGCTTAGCTGCGACGCGCTCTGCTCCAGCTGGTCGTCTGACACCTCATCAAACGACGCCTTCAGACTTTGCGGCGGCCTCATGGAGCCTGGGCCACCGAGCCAAGGGTGCTCCTGGAGCATTTGCACGGTAGCCCGCTTCTCTGGCCGCCTCTGCAGCATGTCGACAAGGAAAGAGATCCCGTCCCCGGTGACGTTTGCTTGGACCAGCGGCGAGATGTCCAACTGCTTGGTCATGATCTGGTGCAGGAGCTCAGAGTAGCTGATGCCCGTCCTGACAGGGTAGGGCGGGGAGCCGGTCAAAGCGTAGAACAGCACGCCGCCCAGCGACCAGATATCGACCGCGTGGTCGTATCTCTGCCCCGGCATAGCTCTCCTACTTCTGTTCCGGGGATTTCTCCTTCCGTACTCGTCATATTCTGCATACTCCGAGTACACTTCTGGGGCGCAGTAGAGCAACGTGCCGCAAAAGGTCCGGAGAAAGGTCTCCTCCTTGTCGATCATCTTTGACAGCCCAAAGTCGGTCAGCTTGACTACGAATGGCTGGGTCGACTGAATCAAGATATTGTCCGGCTTGACGTCTCGATGTGTGATGTTGTTCTCGTGCAAATAGCCCAGAGCATTGATGAGCTGTTGGGCCATAACTTTGACAGTGGGCTCGGGCAGGCGCCCTCTGCTGCCGATCCACCCACCCAGGTCGCCCCCAGGAACAAGCTCCATGATGATGATGAGCGACCTGTCAAGCCAGTCGATGTGTTCGATGTACTGCACGATGTTTGGGTGCCGCACCCTCTGCATGATCTTCATCTCGTTCTCGACCTTCTGGTCCAGGACGCCGTTCTTCATGAAGCGGCGCTTGTCCAGCTCCTTGGCGGCGTAGGGCATGCCGTCGTACTTGGAGGTCACCTTGTGCACCGTCGCAAAGGCGCCCTTTCCTATCTGGCCCACGCGGTGGTACTTGTCCGAGCCGTTCCACTCCCTGGCCAGCCGCTCGGAGCCGTCCTGGGTGGGCTCGTTGGGCAAGGCGATGTACCTCTGCTTGCTGCCCAGAGCTCCTTTGAGAGTCCCACGTCCCTGTCCCGAGAAAATGTCCACATGGCCGTCGGGACCCGCGCTGATGGTCTGCTCTTGGTCCTCCGCAATCTCCTTCAGGTGCTGCAGGTAGGCGCCGAGGTTCCTCCGGTAGGCCACCTCGTAGTCGCCGTCACGGCGGGGCACGCGGACGCGGAAGGCCAGGTCGCTGGTGTCGCGGTGCATGAGGATGGAGATCTTGGAGCCGCTCTGCAGCATGCGCTTGGTGTCGACGGGGTTGCGGGAGCGCGACTTGAGCAGGTGGTCGTCGACGATGGTGCCGTTGGTGGACTGGTCCTCGAGCATGAGGACGCCGTACTCGTTGAGGAAGATGCGGAAGTGGATGTTGCTCAGGCGGCGGCAGGGGTCCTCCTTGAAGCAGATGTCGCAGCGGTTGAGGTTGCGGCCAAAGGCGAAGCCCTGCAGCGGGTTCTTGACGGCGGCGGACAGGCGCAGGGCGATGGCGTGGCCGCCGCCGTCGTGGGGGATGAGGCCGCCGAAGCGGCTGGCCTCGTCCTCGAGGTCGTAGTCGAGGTCGGCATTCTCGGCCTCGTCGCGGCCGACGAGGTGCTGCGAGTTCTCGTTGGCGATCCTAGCGACCTCGCGGCGCGCGTTCTCGGTGCAGGGGATCAGGACGCATATTATGTCGGAGATGTCCTCGTCTGTGAAGCCCGAGTTTTGCTTGCCCAGCCGGCGGGGATCGAGCACGTTCTGGGTCGCTACGAGTTGCGGGAGAGAAGCAAGCGGTCAGTCCAGGCTTCATCCGTGCTTTGGGAGGAGAACAGGACATAGATCTCTCGTCGTACATACCTTGCTGCGTCGGCTGCGTGGGTTGCGACTCGCCCTCGGGATCCATTGGCGCTGGCTCTGGAGGGAAGCGGCAAGAGCGAGCTTGCGAGCTTCGACGGTGAGCTCGCTGGCAGCATAGAGGGCCCTTGCCCGGGTTGGATAGGCAACCAGCGCAAGATGGTAGCTAGTTGAGAATTGCTCGGCCGTGAGTTTGGAGGACAATTGGCGTCTGTAGGTTTGAGGGCCGATGTTTTCCAAGAAGGCGTGCCAGTTTCCTCAGGCAGGCCAAACCCTTTGGTCTCCCTCCCTCGGTGGTAGTTGAGAATGGCGGCGGCGGGCGGGCGATGGCAGCGGCCCTTTGGTGGTGTTGGTGGGGTTGCTGTGGCGGTGGTGGTCCCCAGTTGCACTAAGTTACAGCAGCTCCACACCTTCTTCCTCGTACGAAAATTACCATAGGTAGGTAGGTAGGTAGGTAGGTAGGTACCTTAGTGTGCGCAGGTCTCGCAACGAAAATTGGAAAAGTCAAGTCAAAGACGCAGCCTCAAGAAGACGATGAATCTAGATGGCATTGAAAACTCAGGTCGGTGCAAACCGAAACAAATGAGAGATCAAAATTGCAGCTAGCTCGACAGTGTGCCAGAGAAAGGAGAGAAGCTACTCGAAGAAAGATATGGCGGTCGGCGGGACAATGTGACCGGGGGATCAGGTGTTCGCAGCGACTCGAGGCCAAACAGAAAGGCGTCATAAGGCAAACTCGAGGTCTTGGATTTGTGATCAAGCTCGGCAGCCCCAGACGAGACGGACTAAAAAAAAAATCATTGATGGGCAGGCAGAATGTCAGCTGTAGGGTAACGTTTATAGGGGGGCGTGCCATGTACGCACACGAAAGAGGTGTGGATGGGACGGGAGAAGAAGTAGGAGTCTTTCCAACAATCGACTGGGATTCGGCTGCTGATCGCCCTCTTCCCCGGCATTAGGACAGCCTCGAAGCACCCAGTCGATTGGGCGGCGATGCAGCTTGGTTTAGGCGGATGCTACCCGCCGCACGCCCAGGTGTTCGCGTTCCTTGCGCTACCGGAAACCTGGGAATCGACTGTGCCATGAACCGCTGCTTGTGCATCCATTGCAGTCAGTCACATCACACTGAGGGGCTGTTTTCTAGCTGCTGCTGCATTTGTATCCTCTGTGCTATGCTTTCAGGTGAGCAAGACCGTTTTGAGGGAGCGCCGTTGGAGCTGTCAAGAACCGTCAAGTTTCAAGGTCCAACCAACTTTTACATACACGACACAAACTGTCCCTAACTACCCAACTACCTTAGTGCCCGTCGCTGAGTTCCATCAACCTCGCCGGGACGGCACGATTTCTGACGGCGCCAGCCCAACGAACAAGCAAAAAGGCACTTCTTTCGTCCATCCATGAAATCATCACCCCCGGTCAGGGGTGTGCTATTTCTCCCCTCTCTCAGCAGCTGCTCATCGCCTATCAGACACCGCCAAGCACATGTTCACCCCCCGGGAAATAAACTTTGAGGCTGCCCCTCTCATCACACCTTTCCGCCTTCCAAGCAAGGCCCATCCCAGCAGATTTCTATTCTCATGAGTCATAACTTTGCAGGCAATGCAGGTAAAAGGAAGCCGGTGAGGGTGATGACAGCCTGTTTTGGCTGGCAATCCCACGCAGCACATTGCTTTTTGGGCATGCTACTTTGTTTTTCTCCTCTTCCTTGTGAGTGGTCACGTTGGGGGCCATTGTCTCTCGACTTGCAGGGGTTTGCATCCGGTTGGAGAACAGCTAGTAGGTTGTCTGTGCATATGCAGATCTCGCATGTTCTCAAAGCGAGCTTCCGAGTGTACTTTGATATACATTAGAGATTGAAATGTTCCCTGAATGAATCCATTGACCAATCCACTAAGATCGGCTTATCACAGTGCAACGCCGCATCCATCCTCCCGCGATGTACTGTAACACAAATTCACCACACTCTTATCAGAGCCATACCTTACTTAGAAAGGATACCCAAGTCCTCCCAAGCACAGTTACTGGTAAACCTCAGCAGACTAACTCCCCGTCAATGCATTCGATTGGTATCATGATGAACACTGCAATGCAACAATACATGTAAAAACGCCGTGAAAGAACCCATCCATTCCCAGACCCATGCAGGACCAACAAAAGCCACGATATCACGCCTCGGCCGCCACAGCCGCTGGCGCCTCGGGCTGCGCTGCTGACTGTTCCGCCGCGTCCCCAGCCACTGCTCCAGCGCCAGACTTGTGTTTCCTCTTCCTCTTCTTCTTGGCCGGCTGGTCCCCTCCCTCCGCCTTTTCTCCAGACTGCGCCGCCTTCTTTCGCTCCCCTTGTTGCTGCTGCTGCTGCTGTTGTTGTTGAGCCTGTGGCTTCTTCTTCTTGACCGCTAGCGGATTCGGCCCCTTGGGCCCCCGGGCTTTCTTCTTCTTGGGCTTCTTCTCCTCCTCCTTCTTTTCCTCATCATCATCATCACCATCCTCCTCCTCCTCATTGTCATCGCCATCCCCGTCGTCCCTCTTCCTCTTCCCGCCGCCGCCAACCTTCTTGATCTCCGCCCGGAACTTGGCCCTCTCCTCCCTCTCCCCGGCCCGCACCGTCCCCTCCGACAGCGGCTCCATGATCATCACGCTCCGGCTCACGTAGATGAGCGGGCAGGCCTTGACCCCCCGCAGCGCGCGCCGCACCTCGACGTCCTGGCTCGCCACCACGTACCGGTGCCGGTTCTCGCCGCTCTTCTTGCCGTCGACCACCGAGCGCAGGCACTCGAGCTCCGGCAGCGGCTCGGGGAAGTCCTCGGGCCGGTGGCCGCACCGCCGCCGCTCAAACGTCTTGGCGCGGTCGATGACGGCCTCGAGCGAGCGGTCCTCCCGGCCCGCGGCGTAGAGGTGCCGCATGCTGCACTGCGTGATCATGGGCTTGACCTGCCCGTGCAGCGTGCGCTCGAGCGCGGGCACGAGGTCCATCTTGAAGCGCGCCGTGTCGCGGACCATGTCCGAGTCGACTTTTGGAAGAGAGACGAGGGAGCGTTAGCCAATTGGTCGCGTTATGTGTCTCAACCTTTATCTGTGTGCATATATGCCTCTGGAAAGAGAGGGCGATGGAGACAAATGTATACATACCGAGCACCTGGTACGGCTCGCGAAAGCCGAACCGGATCTCCAGCGTCTTGAGCAGACGCCGGTACTGCTTTGACCGTTTGCCGCGCATTGTGGCCGATTCTCTTGCACGGTGAGAATTCGAGCTGGTTTGTGGTGAGGGCGTAGGTGGTGGGATGAAGTCGTGAATGTCTGTAAATTTTGGCGAGACTGCGATTACAACTTTTTTTCTTGGCTCTTATCTTATCGGACTTTGGAGCCCAGTCACATTGGATACTTTTCCAGAGAAGCGAACTTGAAAGTACAGGGGAGCATTAGCGCTAAACGATTAAAGTTTCTAGCGTGTGATTAGTTGAAGACCAGCCCAGAAGGATGCGCTGTCGCTTGAAGATCGGACGGCCCCACTATCCAAAGGACCCCGTCCTTCCACTCATGCCGGGCCAAGAGCCGCGTGTACACCCGTGATCCAAGCATCCATCTATGTGTTCTCCTGAGCTTCAAAAGACGAGAATAGCAGCTCTATGTACCCAAGTCCCAGAACGCCGGCAAGAATGAAGACTGCCTCAACAGCGAGTCTCGAAGCCATTACAAAGTCATAAACACATCAAACCGTACGAGTCCACTCCCATCCCATGCTCAGTAGTTTCGCCCAGACCTCTCGAGCGTAAATTCCTCCAGGACTTAGTGAGGTCGTAGATTAAGCCGAGATACTCCCACGGCGGGTGCTTCTGGTCCCAAATTCGTGAGCCTGTGAAACAGAACGGTGCTGCAAATGCTGCTCGGTGGTCATCAGGTAGCCAGATCAGATCATTGCCCGTCCCAGCTCCTATTCCGGGTGCACAGCGCAGCCACCACGCTGATGTCGTCGAGTTTGCCTGCAAACGAAGTCAGTAATCGCATGCCACTAATCCTCGCGGTCCCCTTCACGAAAACAAAAAAAACATACCTCCTTCACTCGGCAGCCCTTCGTCAATAGCATGTTCCATAAACGGGCTCTCAGCAAACGGGTCCAGGGCGATCGCCTTGGCAGCCACCATGAGCTCTTCAGCAACAAACGTCATCCCGCCCAGCCCGCCCGTCCGGTCGCTCTTGTCGTGCGAGTCGACGCCCTCGCCCGACTCCCACCGCTTGATGCTCTTGCTCACGTTCTCGACGATCTCGTGCGACCACAGGTTGTCGATGACGCCGTCGGTCATGGCCAGCACGACGTCCCCCTCCTGGATGGGCAGGACTGTGACATCGGCGTTGTCCTGGGGGGTGTCCGGGCTGTTGGTGCCCAGCTGCCTCGGGCAGTCGAACCAGTGCCACTGCTCCTTGGTCTTGAAGACCATCTCCTGCGCGCTCGGCCGGACCACCATGACCTGCGAGTCGCCCAGGTTCGTCACGTACAGCAGGGGCGTGACGTCCCTGTCCGCGTTCCTCTCCCCGTCGTTGCCGTGCTCGCTCAGCCGGTAGTGCAGCTGCGCGCCCGTCGCCGTCGTCGTGCCGAGCCAGTCGTTCGGCTCGCTCGTCGCCTCCACCGTCTGCTCGTACGCCGTCTGCAGGTACCGCACGGGGTCGGGCGTGTACTCCTCGTCGGGCCCGCGCGGCCTCGTCGCGTCCTCGTACAGCGAGGCCGCCCAGAAGTGCAGGATCAGGCGCGCCCACAGCCCGGCGTGCCCGCGCGGGCGGGTGGCCCAGGCGCCGACGCCGTCGTCGGCGCCGATGAAGTAGTCGCTGGCCAGCACGGCGTCGTCGCCGTTGGTCCAGCCCTGGATCAGCTCGCCGTTGACAAAGGCGCGCCGGTCGCGGCTGCGGTGGTGCGTGCTCAGCGGGTCGCTGAAGGAGCCGCTCGGCGGCGACAGGAAGGGCGGGGGGAAGGGCCGCGGGGACCGCTTGGCGAAGAGGCCGAGGCCCGTCTCGAAGCGGAACGGCAGGTTCGGGTAGAGGATCGGTGCGCCATTGACACGAGCATCGCTGAGATGGTCGTCGAGGCGCGTCGGCGTAGACGGGGAGAGAGCGGGCGCGGCGGATGAGTAGGGGAAATCACGAGGGAGCAGCCATTTTCGGGGCCGCGAGAGTGGGTGGGAGGGGAGAGCCCGCCGCGATGGTAATGCGAGAGAGGCCTTGGACAGAGTAGGTAGTCTCCTCATTCCAGCAGAGGCGACGCAGCGTGGAGGGAGATCTGGCTGGCGTACAGCATCTGTGCCTGGGTGTGGTTGCGGCTGGAGATGGGGGAGGGATGAGGAAGAAAAAAAGAGGAGTGAGTGTTTGGTCGACCCAGTTGACGGCGCAGGATGGATCCAGTAACACGGCCGGCGGGCCATGGATCCATCCCACCCATGGATGCGTCAGAGAATCGATAAGCCCGACTGGGCAGGCTGGACAGGCCTTATCGGCACCGCCAGAGATCACTAGCGGCTCATCCAGAGGCAAGGGTGGCCTGAAAGACCCCGCTAGCCGGACCGTGATCCCCCTGCGCACCGTCACTAACCTTCCTATCAGGGGCTGTAAAGCCGCGATTAACCTTACAAGTTACATCCAAGATGTCCATTCTCGGCCAAATGTTGGGGAAGGCCGTCCTCCGTGAGTATGCCGTGATACAATAATACATTCTCAACTGCAGCTAGTCTACCGAATCAGCGGTTCGGCAGAGTCACACAACCTTAGGTAGAGTCACCGGCCGATGTCGACTGTCGCCAACGTGTTGGGAATTGCCAGGCCATGAGCAGCACCAGAGCTTTATGACAATGGTCTCGTCGAGAGAAGCCAGTATTGTAGCTAGAAGAGACATGGCCGCCCTACTTCAAGTGGAGGCCATCGTGTATACGACAAACTGCAGGCCTCAGGCCTCCCATGCGGGGTTTTGAGCACCAAGCAACCCCTTCGGCATCATACCTTGGCCTTGGATTCTGCCATCTTGTTCGCATCTTTTATCTTTCTCGCCAAATCTCCAAAGCAGTTGCCATGGCCCCTCAAACGGACAATTCCTTCAGCACGTTCTACGGCAGTAGTTCTCAAGGCGAGAGCCATCAGGCTCGTCAATATGGTGAGTTCACTAGATCGCTGACATCGGTCTGGCGCCCTTGCTGACATTTCTTGACAGGAGATGGCCAAGGAAAAGCCACTGTTGTCGAACGACGCAACCACAACGGAGACTCTGTTGTCGTTATCAATCATCAAAAGCCCGACCCGGAGTCCGGAGCTGCTCACCCTCCCTACACAGGCATGAAAAAGGTTCAACATAAGTAATCCTCCTTACTGATGTCAACCGGCAAGAAACCCGTTGATGTTCAACTCTACGCTGTGAAGAGAGCAAGACTCAGCACAGCCGTTGCAAGAGCAACACGCTCTTCTATCACAGTCCTTTCAGAAAGCAATGTCAGATGAGGCAATGTGTAATGGTATTCCACGACCTAGGTTATTTGGCTCCGAACAAGTCCAAATTGCTGTCTCTTATCGAAACAACCCAAAAAATTGCGATCCACTGGCGACAATCCTGTCAGCCATCATGCCGAACGAGTTCCCAACATCATCCCCCATCAGATCCCGATGTTCCTCCTCTGTCACCCTCCTTCTGCCCTTTCTCCATCCCTCGCCGCTCTCCCGGTGCCGTCGATCCATCATTGGGCCAGTGGCGACGTGCCAGCTTAGCGATGGCAGAGGCTCTCGCAACAGTCGCACTTGTCGGTGACGCAGGTGCAGTTAACATTCTTATGAACCCACTCGGAGGCACCGCCGCCGCTACCGCCGCGCGAGGCAGCCGTGCTATCCATAGGAGGGTTTGGCTTGGGCTGGTCCTTGACAGTGTTGTCGGTGCTGCCACCGCTGCCAGTGTTGCCGCTGGGCTTGTTGCTATCGCTCGAAGGCATGTTGATTGGTATTTGGAAAGGTTTGGAAAACTCTGAAGTTGAGGTTTGCTGGATATTGCTATGAACCTTTGGAGATGTCTTTGTATTCTTGGGAGTCTTGTCAAAGCTTGAAGATGTTGATGATGATGTTCCTTTGCTGCAAGAAGCAGGAATTCTGCTGCTTTATATACTCGTCTGGAGGTTCCACGAGCGCTCATGACAGAGTCGTTGGCGAGTGACAATGAAGGCCAGTGAGTTCAGGGGCTGTATGCATGTAAAGCCGTGATGAAGCAGGTCTGGCAGAGTTGATGACTCGAGATGATCGATAGCCCCCTTTCGTGATGAAGAGGTAGTTGCGAATGGCTATTCAGGACTGGGGGCTTGTAGCTGGAGCCACTCGACGCCTTCCTGCGTATGGTTCAGAATTTGGCAGTGGGCGAGGGAGGTGCGATATCGATGCATCACTGCTTCTCAACAGATGCCACTTGTCCCTGATTCACGATGTATGGAAGCGAATCTGTTGAGAAACACCCTTAGAGTGAAATCAGTCATTGTATGCTCACCTGACTGTGCGATTCATCCAGTTTCAGGAAGGACCACTGAATGACCTCAAAAGGACGTCCCTGAGGCTAGCTGTCGTCATGGAACTCCTTCGGTATAAACCCACGTCACGCAAAACCTATCAAACACCGATGACTTTGGCCCTTTCTTGAAGAAGTTCTGGTTAGTAATGGGCCTTGTGGAGAGATCATAGCATTCATGACGGCAGTACCCAGGTGACCACTGACGGTCTTTTGCGCTGTTGCGCCGTGGATTCCTCATTTTCACCTGCAAGTGTTGTGATCTTTTAATGTCTGAAACGTGTTTTCCATTGATTTCCAAGATGTAACGTATTCTTGTAAACCGTTCTTGCTCACCTACCATGGATTCCATTGTTTGCGTGGCTCAAATCCCAAACGTAAAGAGTCACCGTCCATTGCCTCACAACATCCCGGCCCAGCAAGGTTCAAAATATTCAAGCAAGAGCCGTAAGAAAGGCCCTCAATGTTCCATATCTCTCCTGTATTAGGCCTCCGTCTACGCAGCCGCTGCCCCAGACATACTCGGCCCCTCTCCCGCATTGTCATCGCCACTGCCACTGCCCGCCCTACTGCCTCCCTCTCTGCCCGCCGGCCTGTTGTGGTCCGTGATATCGCGAACAGTCGTGCTCGAACTAGAGCTCGACGACCCCTCGCCGTCATGAGGCCCCTCGTAGCCTTGGGGATAGTTTTCCTGGTACACGTAACCGCCCTGGCCGCCTCCTCCGGGGTGCCTCTTCCCGCTGCCTCGCCGGCGGCGAGTAGAGGGGCGGACGAACTGCAGCTCGTAGTCACGGCTGTTGACGGTGAGGTACTTTTTGCGTATGTAGGTCTGGCCTCGCCGCGCCGGGTTCCAAGGCTTGGTCTTGTGCCGTCTGGAACGGGGCAACTTCTTTTTGGAGCGGTGCTTGCCCTTGGAGCGGCGTGACCTGGGGGAGCTGAAGCAGTTGCCCATATCTCTGGCGAGTGAGAGCCGAAGTGGCTTGATGACTTTGAATTATCTCAGGGTAACTTGTGCGAGTGATTCTTACTGAAGTTGCAAAGTCCATTTCTTTTTGCTGGTAGGTACCTCCAGCTTTTTGCAAACCGAGTTCGGGCGTCATTATATTTCCTTGCAAGCCCTGAGCTGTGACGGAGCGTCGAGAGAATGATCACACAAGCAGCTATTCATTGACTTGAATTGGTCATGTCTGCACTGGTGTCATGAGTGTTACTGTCACAAGGTCCACGTGCTTCAAGTCTTCTGTAGTACCATATTCCGAGCCAGTAGTCGTTATGTGCGAACGGATGAATAGCTGGGTGTCCATCGCGGCCCTGGACGATTGATATAATTCCAGAGCCACATATATAGATAGGAAGCAAGGTGCGGTATTCAGTCGCCCTTGTTAGCCATACACATCCGCCAATGACACGACTGGGAATGATCAACGATCAGGTAATTCCAAGGTACTGACTGACTGATAAGGCTACTTTCCACGTCTGTTTTGATGATAGCTGGTTTCCCAACGATTCAAAATCCGCAAACTCGGCCATGTCTGGGCTCTCAGGACTCTCTCGGTCTCACTCCTTGTCGCCACTCCTCTATGCTCCGTCTCGCAGCTGGCGTCAAGGTATCAGCGCTCCTCCTTGGCTGCTCTGGGTGGCTTGGACCTGCGTTGTGGCTGCTGGGACGCTCTTCCTGGCTTCTGCGGCGCTCTCCTTGACTTCTAGGACGCTCTCCATGGCCTCTCGATCTCGATGGTCCGGGTTTCGCGTGGCCCCTGTGCTCCCCCGACCTTCTCTTCTCTCCCGACCTTCCTTTCTCTCCAGACCTCCTCCTCTCTCCCGACCTCCTCTCCCCTGACCTCCTCCTCTCCCCTGACCTCTTCCTATCACCATGCGTCTTGGCGGGGGCTTCTTTTTCCTTGCCCTTGCCCTTGTCTTGTCCCTTGGGGCCGTGTCGCTTGTGCAAGCTAGACTTCCTCCTGCTGGAGTGCCTCCGTTTTGGCCCGGTCGTGTAGTATCGGCGGTGATCCGACCATCCACTGCTGCGGTGTTCCACCGCCGCGGATCCGCGGGTAGCCGGCCTCTTGCCGCGGGAGTTTGGAGAGCTCATACAGTTGCCCATGATGTTGTTGAATTGTGGTATGGGAGAGTCTTTGTGAGGGTTGAACTCCAAAGCTGGAAGCATGGCAATCTTGGGGTCATGCTAGAAATGGAAAGATTTGTGCGAGAAGCGAGAAGCAGTTCCTTCCTGCAGATATATATATACTGGTATTTTCCATGACAAAGAAGTCTTCATCAAGTGATCAAGGCTGTAAATCTATGTGACACTCATGACACGCCTAGTGTACTAGCAGCCAGATGAAGAGTGAGTCAAGGAGTATCCAAAAAGGGGGGTGACGGGGCATAGTGACGGGGCTCTTATACACTTGAAAGCATCCCAACATTCTGTCTCCATTGAGATCGTGATCCATATCTCATATTCCACACAGTTTCTTGTGTAATTGTGTCAAGCAATCAACAGCCCTGACGCAATAATGTGCCACTGGAGGGGACACATGGGATGGCCATGCACCACCACCCCTTTCTCAGAGGATATCATACTGATCACAACAAATAAAGACCCAATCAATGACTCTTGGGGGTACATACATTTCTGGTATACTCTACCCTTGTTCAGCCAGCCGTATGAACAGGACAGACATGGTGACTTTTTCGCATGGTAAGATGATACGGCTACTACTGTTAACCACCACTCATTTAGGACCAAATGCTGAAGGTAGCAGCCATGGGACTGCTTCGACTGCGGAGTATACAAATATGGACTCACTCAAGGGAAGACCTGAATCACTTTCGAGGAAATTTCAACTTTGCATTGGCAACCCTTGGCAATTGTTAGAAAATACACAATGAGTCCAAAAAGTGCTAGGCCCAGGGGCATTCATTACCCCTGGACCTGTTTTCCAAAGGTCGGGCCATGGAATATTTCACCAAAAATGCCCTTCGAGATCCAAATCAAAGACATGCAAAACATCAAATAGCACCCTCTCCCGCCTTCTTCACTTTGTCGCCGTCATTTATCCAGATGCGTGGACCTATGCTGCACCAGACATGTGTGCATCCCCTCTCGCACCGCCGCGGCCACTTCCTTCTCCCCTGGTCCTCCGCCTGTCTTCCGCCCACCAAGCCTCCTCCCGGCTGGGTTGTCCTTGCTTGCGCCGGTCCTTATCAGCATGTCCACCCTCGCTCTTCCGTCTGTGATGGTGGCGCCCTGAATCCCTGTCGGGATATCTCTCGCGGTACGAGCGCATCTCGTACGAGTCGTCCTCCCTGCTGGAGGAGAAGCAGCTGCCCATGGTGCTTTACTTGGATCGCTGGCGCAGAGACTCTGTGGAAGGGGGGAGGGATCTCTCGCTGTCTTCTGCTTCGAGTTCTTGAGGAGGACCAAGGTTCTTGAGGATAATCCAAGTTTGTTCTGTGGTCACGGGGCTTTGGAACCGTTGAAGGGAAAAGAATGTCTTGATCAGGGGAAAGGGCGGGCCTTAAATACTGCATTTCTCCTCTGTTACTCAGTCTCCCGTGGAGAGTTGAACTTGAAGACTCACTTGGGGCAGTGATTCAGCTTTGTAGTTCATCATATTCCCAATGGTGGAGCGGGATAGTCACTCGAAGGCCATGGCCACGAGCAGCCAAAGCTGGTCCCCATCGCTCAGCAAGGGAGATCGACTACTGACACCATCAGTCGGCGATAGTTGGGGCAGTGGCGTCGGCCCTCTAAAGAACTGGGGGAAGAGCAGCTGCACACTGCCCAAGACCACTCTTCACACCTTGTCAAGACGTCAAACATGCAGGTGCCGCAAGAGACCAGCTACTATGAGAGAGCTTTGAAAGGCACTGGTTGATATATATGAGAAATACAGGAGCCATTTCTCACAAATCCAGGGCTTCCAGAGACCTGCCTATTTATGTCTCTCTGTTCTCTCGCCCTACACAGAAGTCCTATGAAGGACCAGCACCCCAGAGCCTCAAAACATCACACAATCCATCTTGTACCGGGCCAGATTCTACATAGCTCACACAGCTCACACAGCTCTCTCTCCGTCCTACAAATGATACAGCACACACATATGTACTGTACCATGCAAATGTCTGTACACCCAAGTCACACCAAACATCAACATGTCACACATCCTCAAATCACCCGCCCAGCCCCAGCGATGCAACAGACAAAACATGGCAAAATCGACAAACAATGGTATTCTTCATCTTGTTATGGTTCAATGCTAGTGCACATGAATGTTTTGTCCGTGCAGCTCGAACATGCAACCCCCTAACCCCTTGAACCCCCAGCCAGAAATCTAAGACACACAAAAGAGAAAAAAGCACAAAAGATGGATGAACAGTAGAATTTGTGTCTTGTTAGAAAAGGAAGAAAATAAAAATAAAAAAGGAGGCAAGAATCAGGGCCCTTTGCCTTGCCATGTCTTCAAGACCATCGTCTATAATCCAGGTTTTCTTCCCTGCTTTCATCATATAAGAAAAAGTGCAACACATAAAAAAGAAAGGGGGAAGACAAACACAAACACCAGAGGTCATGTGTGTGTATGTTTACGACAAAAGCGTCATTGTGCTCAGCATGCATGCAACCAAACCAGCCAACCCTGTATGCAATGGTGCTCCATGTTCCCACCCGCTCACTCACTCACTCGCTCTTACGACCCTTCTTCTCTCCAGATGACGACGACGACGAAAACAACCGTGTCCGCGTCCTCTTCTTGACCAGCTTCGCACCCTTGTTCTCCTCCTCCGACAGAGGCTGCACACCTTCCTCTTCCCGCCTCTTGCGCTCCTCCTCCTCCTTCCAATCCGCCCACTGGGGCCTCTCCTAAAAGGCCTGTCCGTGGAACTGCTGCTGCTGCTGCTGCTGCTGCATCTGCCGGGCCATGCTGCCGGGCGTGCCGGGCCTCTGCGGCATGCCGTACCCCGGCTGCGGCGGCGACGACACGAAGCCCTGCTGCGGCGCCGCGACAAACTGCGCATCCATCTGCTGCGGCGTGCCCGACCGCGGTCCCGGCCGCGACCATCCGCCGGGCGGCGCCCGCTGCTCGTACATGCCCGGTCCAGGCGACTGCCTGCCCGAGCCGGGGCCAGCGGGACCACCCATCCACGGCCGCTGCTGGGGCGGCGGGCCCTGTCCGCCAGGAGCCATCGGGAACCCGCCCCGGCCGCCCATCGTCGGCGACGGCATGCCCATGCCGCCATACAGAGACGGCGACGGCGGGCCCATAGGCATAGCCATGCCGTAGCCCTGCGGCGGGGGCTGCTGCTGCATGTACTGCTGCTGTTGCTGCTGCATGTGCTGCTGCTGCCGCTGGTTGATGGCGTGCTGCACCGCGTGCGAGCTCACACCTTCCTTCATCTGCTGCTTCTCGCGCTCCCGTGCGGCGATGGCGCCTACCAGACCTCCACCGGCTTGAGGGGCCCCACCGCGGCCGCCGCCAGCCATGCTGATGAGCGGCTGGCCGGTCACGCGGGCCAGATGCTCCTGCTCTCGGGCAGACAAGTGTGAAGTACCGAGGTCGGCCATGCCTTGCGAGTTAGGCCGCGAGCCCAGCATCTCGCTAGAGCTGGACCGCGAGTGGCCACCATTGCCACCGGGGTTCAGCATGTCGTAGCTCGAGTTGCGCTTCAGCGGAGGAGTAGGAGTGTTGTTCCGGCCTGAGACCAGATTGCCTTGCGAGGTGTTCCTCTGGTGCATGAATGGCGCAGCGACCGCTGCACGTTGCTGGACAAACTGCTCGGGCGAGATGGAGCCAGATCGCTCGTGAGAAGCACCACCGACAGTGACACCACCTGGAGTCCAAGCCACGTTGCGGCGCGCATTCTCATCCGATTCCTGGCGATGCTGGCCCATATCGGCGGGCCGCTCAGGAGGCGATCGCATGCCGGGGCCTGGTGAGTAAGAGCGAGGGCCACCCGCACCAGGCATGGGCGGCGGCGCACCCAACGTGCCCGGGGCCTTGTTACTCGAGTAGTTGTACGTCGGGCCAAAGTTGATCTCCGGAATATCGGGCTTTGGTGGCATAGGATGCTGGCTCACATCGCCGACCGTCCTCAGCACTCCAGCTCTCGGCCTGTCGATAGACTCCTGCGTCTCCGAAGACTTGCGCGTGCTCGCATAGTCGGGGCTGACAGTCGAATCGGCGTCGTCATAGTGGCTGCTTGCTTCGCTGCGCTGCGTCGGTGCTCGGCGGACTCTGCGGTCGGAGCTGTCGTCTGGCCTGGGCGGGTGGACCATGGCGAGAGCTGGCTCGTCCATGACATGGTTTCGGAAGCTGTTGGCGCTCGAAGTCGACGTAGCAGACTGCGGCTCTCCCTGCTGATCGCGCGCCAGGCTCGTCGTTCGCGCGGGGAGGGGCTTTCGGTTGATAGGTGGTGAAGTATTTAGAGGTGGTGGCTGTTGACGTGGGGGTGGTGTACGGCGGCCTTGAGAGGGCGGACCTTGAGGACCAGGGCCGGGTCCGTACGGACCTGGGGGTGGCGGGCCCCTGTACGGAGCCCCTTGGAATTGTCCTGGGTGTCCGGGAGGTCCTGGAGGTCCTGGAGGCGGGCCACGAGGGGGTGCACCCGGCGGTGGAGGGCCTCTCCGGGCATCATGTGGAGGGAATGGCGGACCTTGACCCGGAGGAAATCGTGGCGACCTCATCTCGGGCGTTCCAGGACGCGAGCCGCCGGGGCCACCGGCAAACGGAGGTTGGGGAGAAGGTCCTGGGCCTGGGCCTGGGCTCATGGACTGGTTGAGAGGAGATCGGGAACGCTTCTGGTTCAGGCCAAAGTCGGGAGGCGGGAGTCCTGGCGACCTCTGCGGAGGGTATGGTTGGTTGGGAGAATTTAGAGCTTCACGAGAGCCATTTGAATTAGCAGTCATTCCTACGGGGTTGGCGTGTGTATGTACCGCTGGACCCCGTGGGTCGGGTTGCCCATAGGGGGGCATGTTCCTGGCGCTATCCTCGCCGCTCGGCCTTCCGAGTTCGTCCGGGACGTATTCGGGCGCGACTCCGCCAGCCTTGGCCAGCTGCGCCAGTGTGGTGCTCGACAGGCGGCTGTTAGCACGCCTCAGCTCAGGAGAGTGGTAGGCCTTGCCGCCGGGGCGGGACTGGGGTCCGTGGGAGAAGGTGGGAGGGGCCTGCACGGGCTCGGGTGTCCGCATCCGCTGCATGTTCTCAAAGTCCCGCACGGGAGGTGTGTCGTTCTGGAAGGACCGCTCGTCCTCGGAGCTCAGGCGATCGGGAGTGGCCGAGTAGTCGCTGGCAAAGCCCCTAACTGGAGTTGGGCCACGCGACTCATCCGGCTGCTGCTGGCCAGGGCGCAGCGCGACGGGACCGTCGAGGCGCGTGTCAGAGGCGTTGCGGGAATGACCGATCGCGTTGGCCATAGCCGAGGGAGGAGGTGCCCGGTGTTCCGCAGGGGGGGCTGAGTCGGTGCGAGGCGCCGGACGGGTCAGAGACATGGACCGGGACGTGCGCACTGACGGGGCTTCCGAATCGGCAAAGTTGACCTTGGGCCTGGACAGGCCAGTACCCGCACTCGGTCCAAAGCTGAGCCTCTTGCTACCGCGGCTCGAGCTTCGACCATGGGTCCGGACAACTCCGTCCTCCATTGCGTTCATCCTCTCGCCCGTGAGCTCCTTCATCTTCTTGCGCCAATCGCGCTCCGACCAGCCAGCGCTGCCGTCCTGGAGGATAAGGCTGGAGACATCCAGGATTTCCAAGTATCCATATCTCTTGTGCTTGGGCATGGCAAACATGAGAGAGCGGGGGTCCAAAACGCTGGCCACGAGGCGGCTAGGGCGGCCGTACAGGCAGAAGGTGTCCCAGGTGGGGAAGAGGAACCGCAGCAGCATCTCGAAGCCGCTGACGGCCGGGTGGACCTCGGGCATGATGAAGACGAAGCCCTCGGTGGAGGATGGCGGATCAGAGTGGATGGTGATGTTGCCCTCGATCTTGATCAGGGTAGAGGCATCGATGAGCGACTTGGCCTGGGGATAGATGGCGTACGCCGAGTAGGCGTCTGTCATGGAGGCGATGGGCTTGGCCTTCTTCTGCTTCTTTCCCTCTTTCCTAGTGTCGTAGAACTTGATGTCGCCCTTGAGCATGATGGGGCTTCGGTCGTAGGCCGACTTCTTCTTGGCCTCCTTCTGCGCCTTTGCGTACTCCTTCTCGTCGGGAGGCGAGATGACGCACCAGCAGCGTCTCCAGGGCACACCAGCTCCAAAGCGGACACGCACCCACTCCTCCGTCTTAAATCGCGAGCGCTCCATGATGACGTTGATGTTGTTGAGCGTCTTGCCCTTGCCGGCAATCAGGGCGCCGGTGTAAGCCTCCTGCAGGGTCGAGTGCTCGAACATGGCGAGCCGGATACCGGCGGTCCATTGTATCAGCGAGTGGTGCGAGTTGAAGTGCAGCAGGTAGCGATTCCGTCCAGCCGTCGAGATACTCAGGATATTCTGCAGCGGTTGCTCGTCGTTGGATCTCGTGGGCAGAGACTCGATCTGGAACGATTACGTCAGTCCATCAGATTCTCCTCCGTCGGCGACAAAATAGTAATAGTAGCGTTGGGGTGGGAGGGCGATTCTAGTTACCATTTTGATCGAGGCATCCGTCAGGTTGATGAATTTGGGCAACACCTCGCCGTCTTCGCCAGCGGCGTCCAGCTCTGCGGCATCCCATAGCGAGAGGACTGTGCCGACCAGTTGCGCAAAGCACTCTGTCCACGTCCTGTCCGGATTGGGCTTTCCATCTGCAATCACGCGACCACTGTCAGCAAAAAAAAAGATACTCTGAAAAGGTCAAGGAGAAAGTGATAAAGATTCAACAGGATGCAGACGAGAAGAGCACGTACGGCTGTTTTGGTCGTCGAGCTTCAGAAAGTAACCCTCCTGGTAGAGCTTGTTGGCGTGGCTGTTGAGAAAAGTGAAGATGGGCTGCAGCTCCGGGATGGTGTCTTCGTTGACGTCCATGAGGGGCGGCTGGTAGGCTTGTACCATGGACAGAGGCCTAGAACTGCTTCGTCGGGGGCTGCTGGAGAGAGAGCCGTCTAGAGAGTTGGATGAAGATGCATACTCTGCGCGGTAGGGCGACGAAGGGGGAGGCGTCGAGTCTTGAAAGACGTGGCGGTTGGCGGGCGGCTGGAATGAGTCGGTGGTATCGATCTTAAGTGGATTTTGGTTGTCGTGAGGAGGAGGCGATGATGTAGGTGAGGCGTCCCTGGAAGAGTCCCTGTGGGAAAACTGGGACATAAACGAGAGGACTGTTGTTTGAGGGTGTCGGGATTATGGAGTCAGCATAACGATCATTATTTAACAAAAGTAAGTAACCCTGGCACGGGTCCCGCGTGCGCAACAAGAAGTGGACGGAGTGACGGGGGGGAATCTGGCCTGGCGTTGCTTTGCTTTGCTTTGTGCCTGGGTGGCTGTCCCAGATAAAGCTGCTAAAAGGGCCAAGGAGAGTTTGCAATGCGCGCGCAGAGTACGTGTTCTCCCTCTGCACCTTTCTGTCGGGTGTCTCCAGCGCCGCCAAGTCAATAGAATAGGGCCGGACCAACAAGCTGCTGGCCCGCCGGCTTTGGTATGGAAGCCAGAAGCTAGACAGTTCTGGGCGGCGGGCGCCGCACTTCACACAAAGCAAGGCCAGCAGCAGCCAAAGGGCAATTGGGGGGACGAGTGAGGACAGAGTAGTGACTGCGAGAGGGGCAGGACAGGGCAGGACAGGGCAGGGCAGGGATGGTGGATTGTGTACAATAGCAGCCAGATGCCTGCGTATACGTGCGTGTGTGTGCAATTGGACGGACTCAAGGCAACAAAAGTGAAGCGTGAGGGAGAGGTGAGTGCCACGAACCGCGATTCCGACCCATCTTTGCTCTGCGCCAGGAAATTGAGATTCGATCGTCCTGCGTGCGTACTTCCTATTCCTCCCTTCTCTGCGGTGGATTAGGTAGGATAGCTCCCCTCTTGTGTCCCTTTCTCTTCCCGACTAGGCGGTCTTGGCTGCTCTCTGTGGAATTCGGAGAAGGCGAGGATCGCTTGGGGCCATATGCTACGGGCAAACAGAACCCTTGCTTTTCGGTGGGTGGGCGTGAGAGACTGGCTGGAGCGTATGGGTGCCGCCGCTGTTGTCTCGTCGGGAAATGCTAAGCAGGACGGACCGGGGGGGCGTGCCAGTAGGAGGAACCAGTGCTCCCAATTTCTCTCTCTCTCGAGGAAAATCGCTAACAAAATGAACTGCTCCGGCAACGATGCAAGGAAAAACAACACAAACGAGAGTAAGAAAGACCCGTCGAGCAGTAGCAGCAGGACAGGAAGGTAGTGCGCAGCTTCCAGAATCCAGATACACAGAAAAAAGGTTGCGACCCGTACGGGGTTTTGCGAGGTGGGCGACGCAATGGGTTTTGTATCGCATGCACTTGTTCGTATCGCCTGGATTCTGCGACAAGGTTATTATGTCAGGAAACAGGCCCGGTCCCTCTTTTCTGGAGCTCGCGACGAGAACGGTGAGGTCAGTGTCAGTCAGTCGCTCAGTCAGGTACCTTTTTTTCGGCCTTGCTCCCCTCGCTACCTTATTAACCTCGCTGGGTTCGCTGGGTCCTGGGTCGGTAGCGCCGGTCTTGAGTCGATGGCGGATGCACCGGACGATGCAAAAGGCTACCTGGACAAGGGAGGCCGGGGAAGATGGGGCCTAGTCAGCGTCCTCCGTAGCAGGTAGCAGGGACTGCAGCGCTGGACTGTGAAGCTGGAGCTACCTAGGTAGTTATCTCGAAAAAGAAACAGCCCGGTCCTTTGTTTGCCCAACCCAACCAGGCAGGTTATATTATGCCTTATCCTCGTCATGGCACGGACGGGTATGGAAAGTCTACACGGGGACGAGGCCAATCCCATACAGAATCACGAGCCTCACGAGCCTCGAGGGGGCATCAGAGAGAGAGGAGAGAGAGCGTGACTCCCCCGTGAATCGACAAAGTACAAGTGAGGTCAGACTGGTACTTGGCCATCTGATCCCCAAGCTCGACTTGCTTCAGGGTAATGCACGACTGGATGCCAAGTCGGGACATACGAAGTACCATTGCTCCAGTGTGGCCCCCCCGGCTCCCGTATAAAGAGCCCAGAGATGTGCAGCTCCTGGTCGCAGCGATACTCCGTATTCCGTAATCTGCACAGGGCAGAGTCGCGATTTGTGAGTCGTCGCTCTTGGCAGCCAAGCTCGCTCGACTTGGCGCTGATGCCAGAATTCCCCGTGCCCGCCGTGATGTGCAACCATCCTGCTCGATTCAGAGAACACAGAGGAGAGACAAGACACTGCACTGCCCTGCTCTGGCTTGCCTGGCTCGTCTGGCTCGCCTGGCTGGCCTTGTGATGTTTCTGGGCTGCTGATGGCTGACTAGCCCCCCGTCTAGCATTCTGCAAGGAGTGCTTTTCTTTTCTTCAGAGGATGCACCTTATGACTTCACCACAGAGCTGGGTCTCCACCGAAAAATGCAAGCCAAGTTAAGCCACTTGCTTGGTTCCAAGGCTGGCAGGGATGATCCATCGACTCCTGCCATCTTTTCTCTGCTGTGTCTGCTGTGCTGTCTCTTTTCGGGCAGGCAAGCGCGACCTGGGCCGATTTTCCAGAGCTGTCAAAAAAGAAGGAAAGAACATGGGAAACGTGCTCGCGCGCCAAAGAAGCCCCTGCTCCATTCAGTCTCCAGTCTCCCGTCTCCAGCTTGATTCATGTCCCGAACACCGAATTTTGACCTCTGGCAGAAAAAGCCTATTCCCCCGCATGCATTGCAAAACTCAGTCCCCAGAGGCCACATCAGCGCCCAGCCAAGCTCCGGCCGTCGGGTGAGACGTATCAGAAGTTTCCGTCCACGGGCCATCGCACAGCACGATTCAGAGACAGGAGCATGTCACGGATGTACTTCTCCTGCGCCCTCTGCTGCACTCCCCTCTCAGCGCCACCATACTTCAAGTGAGCGACGATGCAACTATTGGAGCAGACGACGCAGGTGTACATGTAGTCTAACTCCAGCGTGCGCGCTATTCGGTTCTACGGCGCCGGATATGCCAAGAAAGGCAAGGTAAGCTTCGCGCTGGACCTGGGCTTGATCCTAGTCCATACGGCGCTGTCGTGCCACCAAGATGGTCACATCCCGACCACACATCAACCCAAACAAGCCACGCGCCGCGTACGCCTGCGCCCAGCCCGCAGAAGCTCGCAGGCCCTGCAGAGAACAGGCGTCATGGGCAGAGCTGTCCCGGGTTCGCCCAACCACGCCGAGTCCGTCTCTTCTGCGTTTCTACCTTGCCCGCCGAACATGAAACGACTGGCCAACGAAACAGGCCGCTCGTGTGTGTTTCCTCAGGTGCGTGCGTGTGTTTGCGCTGACACGACTGTGAGGTGGGTATGGCATCAATGGCTGGGCGTGCTGAAAACGATTGGCCGACAGAGTGCGTGTCAAGTTTGAGAGCTGCCCACCTTCGGTAAGGCGTGGGGTCTCTACAGCTTTCTTGGAACAGATCGTACCCGCTTTCCACCTATCCTGCGGAGATCACTTCTCGGAGAGCTCCCTCACCGCCGCGGAAACACTGCTCGGCCTTCATGCCTCCAGATCCCGAGCGCTTTACCATCAGCACATGCGCAGTGCTTGCCCAACAACTCAGAGAGCAATGAATCCTGGTCGGAGGCCGCTTCCAGAACCAGGGGATTTGCCATTACCCGACCCGGCACGGCATCTAAACCTTCACACAGGGTCCTAGCAGGGGTTACGATTCTGTGTGCGAATAGCAAGACGGAGCTGTTCTAAGTAAAGCCCACCAACGAGGGACTATTGTCTCTGGCGGCTCCATGATGCCCGCAACACTCATCAAATTCATGTCGGCGGGTCGCGGGATGTGGCTTTGGTCCTTTCCTCAGTATCATTCCTCCTTCTCCCTGGTATCTGAGATACCGTACAGTGAGCTTTGTTGTCTGGCCCCTGCCGCTGTTATTTTGCTGCCTACAAATATGCCAGGTACCATGGCGTGTCGATGGAACCCTCCATTATGCCAAGGGACACGGCAAGATAGCCGAGCCAGCGGTAAGCAGCAAATAGCCAGCACCAGCTCAACGCTCAATGAATGCTTGCTTTTGCAGGCTTTCGTGCTGCCTCTGCACTTGGAGAAAGAGCCACTTCCTTCAGATGTATGTGTGGCTTGTTGATGCGCTTCACGCTTTTCGCCCTTCTCGCCAGGCCATGGACTCCATCAATGACGTTTACGTACAGAAGCCCGAGCTGAAGAGCTGCCCGCCCCGGAAGACGGCTCGCGCTGATCTGCCGCCCCAGCTACGATTTGCTCGGCGTCTCTTGTGACGCGTACGCACCCACCTGGGGGGGAGTGATCATCCTAAGAAAAATCCTTAGCGCCCACGCGTCTGCCAGATTGCAATGAGCGCATGGGTAGGGCGGCATTCCAGAGAAGGATAGTCGCTGCGCGCACGCAATCGAGCCGATCGACACAACTCGACCTGTCACCAGCCACGACGGGAGCGGCAGATGGTGCTGATCACCGGGCCTCACGACCACACCACCACTTCAAGGATGATTTTCGCTTTCCTGGCTGGTCGAGTGGGGGCTTCTTCGTCAGCGCCAATTCTGGGCGCTTCAACGCCGTTGAGCACGTCGTACGCAGTTCAAATGATTGTTTCAGTTGGTTTCCATATTCTGATGGGTCCTTTCAACAACAGTAAAGCTAGTGCCAGATCTGAGTTATCATTTCAAAGTCCTGCGTCTTCCACCAAGACTGAGAGCAGGCGACTGGTGAGGTATTGGACCGGTGTCATGTCAATGACGCCGAAGTGGCTGCAGTTGAAGCATCGGTTCCGAACATCATGAGAACAGTATTCCCGGCTCGTGGATTTTGGAGATGATATATTGACATCGGTGAGCGAGAATAGCCTGTGTAGCCGGCGTATTTAAGACGGGATCCTCTGGCATGAGTATACCAGATTGACCGCTTATACTGAGCTTGATGGATTGAAGCTCACATCCTAGAGATCGAAGACCTAGGCTATGTACTGGTCTATAATGGCAACCGGCTGAGCCTTGGGATCCATCTGTCTTGACAGCTTCTAATTCCGAATTTGTTGTCAATTCCACGAACGTATAGGCTGTGAACATCTATTTTCCCGAGTTTCCCAGACGCAGTCTATGAACCGGCTGTATGTGATGTATTAGTTCACGGACCTGGTAGCCAGAGATTGAACTCGAGACCTTAATATCCGTGAGCAATCCCTAGGTTTCAAACACAACATATAGACAAAGCAATGGGTTCTGGACGAAGTCGGTCCATGATTGAGGACCTGGGTGAACACGTCTCCAGATTCAGAATATATATATACTCAGAAAAACAAGTCATACTGACCAAGGGTCTTCTGGTAGCGGAGCTTAGCCTACATGCATATACACTCGTTAGATATACGACTCTATTGTTTACCGGGGAAACGGTAGCCTAACAAATTCTACTCACTATGTGGTACTGTCTTGCCAAGCAACTTGAAAGCTTTGAACCGAGTCCTTAACGTACGTTTGCATTGAAAGTATAAACCCAGTGCAAAGTGCTGCCCAAAAGCCCGGAGTTTTCATCTGTGACAACACAGGGTCACTCGCACATAGTTGATCTCCTGTGGTTGAAAATCTCCATGCCTATGTATAGACACATTGACACAACTTCCAGATTTACCAGAGCACTCATCTGCCCTTTGCAACCAGCCAATATGGTATTTTTAGCGCCACTTGTCGAGGCTTAACAACGGGATGCTCGAACCACTGTACATACACTTCAAGGTATCCACGCTACAAATTTGAGAAATGGCAGAGGTGCAAGGTAGCAACCCTAGCTATACTTCTAGCTACGGCCCTTGAAAGCAGGGCTAATTTCGTCCCGATATATAATAACGCAAAACGTGATCCATTTTGGGTAGTCGTACTTCCAACGCGGACACACTACAGATCCTTTTGGGAGCCCATACTCGTTCTCACCCTCGCACAGAAGGCACTCTCTCTACAAGCCAAACAGGCACGAGACTGCCAAGAGTTGCTAATCATCCGAGCCCTTCCGACCGCAAGTATGATCAGGATATTCCTCCGCCAGTGCGTTCCGAACAGCCTCCAGGCACTCGTCCTTATCGTAGCCCTCGTCGTCGGGCCAGCCGCTCTGCCGATAGATCTCCCGCACGCGGTGCACCATGTCGACGTCTTCCGGAAGCTTACTGCCCGCGGTGGGCCGGACCGACTGCTGGCTGATGGGGATCCAGTAGAGGCTGGTGAACTGGGACTGGAGGACGTGGCCGAAGAAATACGGCACCGACCAGGCCGGCTCGCAGCGCCAGTCCGCCTCGGCCTGCGGCGTGTCCTCCGGCGGGTCGTAGTAGATCTGTTCCTGGAAGTGCTCGATCCGGATCTTCCAGTCGGGCTCCTCCCAGTGGACGATGCCGCGCTCCGTGTCGAGGATCATGACGGGGTCGTCCCTGCCGGCGTCGGTGAGACCGACGACGTGAGGCGACGACAGGTTGTCGAAGTCGCAGCCCTCGGTGAAGAGCCGCAGGTGCTCGGCAGTGGTGTGCCAAGTGGGATCGCAGAGGCGCGCGATCAAGTATTGCCAGTCGGCGAAGTAGCAGTAAGGGATGGCCTCGGCGTCTCTATCCCAATTCCCGGTCCGGCGTATGTAGGGCAGGTGGGCCAGCAGTGCGATGACCTCGTCCGACTTGCCTAACGCCCGTAGGGTCTCCGGGTCGGCGTTGACGATCGACGGCCAGCCCTCGGCGGGCGGGTATATGATGTGGGAGTCTTTCATGTACATCCTGGTGAGGAATTGGTAGTAGTCGGTCACTGCGGCGATCGTGGCATCGCGAGAGTAGGTGATGTCTTCAAGCTCTGGCATTTTCGGCGACTCGTTGGGTGTGATGAGGACGAAGGACCAGATCGAACTATCAGGCAAGTCGCGGACACCGTGACTTGAGGGCTCGAGCCTCGGCACAAATATTAGAGATTATCGTCACTCATGTAGCATCGTCGGACCCAGCCGTTGCCTAACATAGAGGGGGCACCGCTCCGATTGGAGGCCAGATCGTGAAGTGGGCTGCAGGCATCATCACCTTAATTTTAATGTTGCTGTTGGTTCTCTTGGCACAGAGTCGCTTCCCATGTCCGTCTCGAGGAAGAATGAGAAAGAGGAAAATGCCATCTTGAGGCACGCGCTTCTCTTCTTTTCTGTTCCCTTTTTCCCTCTTGGTTTTCATTTGATACCCGCTCATTTACCGGTGCGGTGGTCAGGTCTCGTCGTACGATTATTCTCAGCCTCGCGCCTTGTCCTTCTATTTCAAACATGCACATCCACAGATCCTACCGTGGATTTGCACTCCTAGTAGCGTCTTCCGGCGCACTCGCCAGTTTCGTCCCCGAGTCGCCGCTCGAGACGTCGGCCCCCGAGCCTCTCCAGCAGAGGCAAGCAGCCATCACGACGCAGAACCCGCCGACGAGGACACTGTCCCGGGATCCATGGGAGTGTCTCACCGAGAAACATCACGCAGTACTTTGACGTCGTCCCCAAGCCCACCGGCGCGGTGCTGTCCGGCATCAACTCGTTCGGATACGAGGCGGCCGCGCCGTGCAGGGCCACGGGCGACAGGTCTGGATCGATTCTCCTGCACCGTCTCGGACCCCAGGTCCTGGTGCGGCTTCGCCACCTTCGCCGCCCCGGACGTGCCGAGCAGCTACTCGACGTACCTGTCGGCGGCCGTGTCGTTTTGCACCGAGAAGAGCTCGACCATGGCTGTTCTGTCCACCAGCTGCCCCGTCGCCTGGGCGAGGCCGGACCCGGCCCAGCACGAGTGGCTCAAGATCGCCATGGCGCATGCGAATTGCTTCCTCGACCCTCACCAAAGGACCGGCACTCCTGCGTCAACTTCCGCGGTGCCATCCGGTTCTGTTTCAGCTCTTGCTCCGGCTCCGTCATCTGGTTCCACCCCCACTGCCAGCAAGGCGTCCGCGGCAGCCAACAAAGCAGTCTCGTGTCATGGACAAGCTTTGGAAGTGCTGGCATTGATGAGCATGGGGCTGGCCGTGCTCGCAAATATTGCATAACCAGCATCACTCCAGGTTTGATCGTGGATATCATTAGAATTTTGTATACTAAAGCATTGCAGGGAATTGCTTTTGTGAATACTTCAAACCAATTCCGCCGGTGTACTCGGGGTTAAAGATGCTGACCTAGAGTCTATTGCCATATAGATGCTTCAAAATTTAGGAGGCAAGGGCCGTAGAGTTCACCGTTGTCTAATCCATTCCAGGATGCTGATATGTATAGCTGAATAGTATAGGAGTCCAAGACCGACCACTTCCACCCTATTTTCTTCAGGGAAGCAGACTCAAAAGGGGACTGTTATCTGGACATCGTGGAATGCTGAGTGGTTACCAGCGCACCGCGATCTTGGTCTGTGTAATCTCACAATAGACGCTCATCAAGGGGACTGAGACAGGCTGTGAAGTACTAGGATATATCCTATAATTGCATGTTTGTGCGTAGGTAATGTCCTCTCTTTAACGAATGCTTTCCAACCCCCCTAGGCAACGCTCTACATGCCCAAGCACAGCCCTAGCTAGGTAGGCCACCCATCAACCTCATCAGCCTTGCTCAACTCTGCAAGGAGTCAAGCAACCCCCCTTTTTCCATCCGATGCTTTCTAACCAAATACCCAAAAATGCAATGTTTGTTTCCCCCCCAATCCCACAAACAAAACGCCGTCGCAGTGATTGGATGATATGACCAAAAAAAAAAAAAAAAAAGACGAAAAACTTGCACACACGTCTCAGGCCTCCCCCTCCTCCTCAGCAGCAAGCGGCCAGCCCTTCTCGTGCTAGTGGTCGAGCTTCTTCAGGTCCTTGCGCTCGACCGTCTTGACAAAGGCGTGCGACAGGAAGTGCAGCCACACCTTATTGTGCTTCTTGCGCCCGTGCTTCTTGCCCTTCTTCTTGTGCTTCTTGCCGTCCGCCTCGACCTCGTTTTCATCATCATCATCATCATCATCATCGTCACCATCTGCCTCAGCCTCCTCAACTTCATCCTCAGAATCATCGCCATCCTCCCCTTCGAAGCCCTGCGCATCTTTCCCAAGCCTGGCATCCCGACCCATCCGCCACGCCAGCTCGGCGTAGCTCCCGACCGTCAGGTCAGTGAGGTTGTACAGCGCATCGTCAAAAGTGCTGTACTCGACCTCGTACGCAAACTCGCGCGGCCGGGCCGGCTTGCGCTGCGGATCCCTGTCGCCGTGCTTGCCGCGCCGCCACCGCGACTCGTCCACGTCGTCGCCATTGTCGTCCGCCGTCATGTCGTTGTTGATGTGCGTTAGGTTGGCAAAGTACTGCGTGAAGCCCGTGAGCGTGAGCGGCTGCGCCGAGTACGCCGGCCCGGGAGGCGTGTGGGCCGAGGGCGGCTCCGGCACGACCAGGTTCGGGTCCTTGGGCTTCTTAGGCTTCTTGCCCTTGCCCTTCTTCCTGCCGCCCTTCTTCTGGTTCTCGGCCCCGGCGGGGGCGCCGCGCAGCTCGATGACCATCCCCTCTGCGTCTTCCGGCTCGGCGGCGGCAGCGGGCACCGGGGCGGGCGCAGAGCGCTGCACGTCTGCCCAGACGGGCACGTCCTCGAGGCCGGAGATGTTGTACTCGTAGACGCGCAGGGTAGGCAGGTAGTTGGGCACGATGCTGGGCCCGACGAGCGTGAGTTGGTACCTCTCGCCCCAGCGGCCTCCCTTACGGTCCTTGTTGCCCCCCTTGCCCTTGTTCTTCCTGTGTTTCTTACCGCCCTGCCCTTCCATGTCTGGGCCCCCTTCTTCTTCCCCCTCCACTTCCTGCTCAGACATGGTCTGCGGCTTGGGCAGCTTGGCCCAGTTCTCGCGCAGCTCCTGCAGGTAGTCGGCCGTCGACGCGACCGACAGCTCGTCCTCCATGGACTCGCGCACAAACACGTCCTCCGCGGCGGCGGCATTCTCGCCGGCGCCGAGGATGTCATAATTAATGTCCTTGGCGTCCTGGAGCATAAAGTGGTCGACGTTCATGTGGCCGTAGAGGCCGGCGACGACGACGTCGCGGAACTGGTTCAGCCACAGCGTGTACTTCTGCCAGCACGACTCGTCCCAGAGCTGCTTGCTGTCGGTGCGGGCGGGGGGCACGTGGCCCATGAGCATGGCCTTCATGCCGCGGCGGCGCATGAACTGCAGCTGGACGCGCAGCCACTCCATCTGCTTAAAACCGGGCTCGGCGGGGTTGACGCAGTCGTCGACGGCGGCGTTGCGGTCGAAGAAGTAGAGCGTGTTGAGGCTGAAGACGGCGAGGCGGTTCGGGATGACCTCGACGTAGTACCAGCCGCCAAACTCGAACGAGTGGCGCTGCTCCTCGGGGATGAAGGGCGCCCAGATCTCCGTATAGTAGCGCAGCCACTTGTTGGGCCCGGGGAGCAGGATGTTGTGCGGCAGGATGTCGTTGTTGCCCAGCGTCGCGACGACGGGCACGGCCAGCTGGTGGCCCGTCTGGTCGGCGAAGGTCTCGGCGAACTTGTGGGCGACGGCGCGGTTCGAGCCCAGGACCTGGGACCGGGAGCGCGGGATCTTCTCGTCGCTGTCGTGCCGGGCGCTGTCGCCGGTCCAGACGACAAAGTCGATCTGGTCCTTGAAGTGCTTCCCGATGTAGTCAAAGGTGGCGTTGATCAGCGCCCAGGGCGTGTCGCAGTCGGACGTCTCTGCGCCGTAGGTGCCCGCGGGGCCGCTGCCGCGGTGGCACGCGTCGCCTTCCGCCGTGGACGAGTGCACCTTGTAGAACTCGTCGGGGTGGAGGTCTGTGATGTGTAGGAATCGGCCCTGCAGCTTGCGCGGTGCTTGCTGCTGGCTCTCAATCTGGTGGTGGTCGCCTGTCAAGACGTGCTGCGGCGATGGCCTCACGGCTGGGCCGCCGATGACGCCATGGCACAGCAGGGCGGCCAGCAGCGCCGAACGTGCAGAAAGCATCATTTCAGCCCTGACGCTAGGCGGCGAATAACTGCCTAATAGAGTGTGCTGTTTGTTTAGGCTGCTGTCGATGGTGTAGGATACATGGAGGATGGCGATCTAGGTGCGTGTCGTCGGTAGATGTGCAGAGTACTTGGATGGTGATGCAGTGCGTAAGGTATCGATCGAGGTGGTTCGAGAAGGGAAATCTTCCTGTCAAGCTGATTTTGGTTCGTTGGCCTAGTGCCCTGACTAGGTTGAGGCAAGAGCTGGATAGAGGCTTCTCGGGGTTAGCGAAGCCCTGTGGATCGTCAAAAAACAGGGTCCTTTCAGACAGGCAGCCACTAGAAACCTGCACTGAGATAACCAAGGTAACTACCTAGGTATGTCACTCTCAGTCAGAAAAGTACGTCATCCAACAACGAAAGAGAAAAAGGGAAAGCATCACGGACTCGTAGAGAAGAAAACATCACAACTCACGCGACATCGGCTCCCTTATTTAAGAATTGCTGACCCCCTCTCCCTCTCCAATACTCGAACATACTAACATCTCCCCTCCATCCCAGTGTCAGCACCACTCACTCCCGCAACTAGCGGCGAGGCTGAAGTGGGCTGGGGGGGGCGAGCCAATATCGATCCAGCACCATCGCACGTGTGGCCAGCTCGGCGACATCATGGGCCTATTTAAGGTCGACCGCCAGCCCACCGCACCCGCGCCTCGACGATAGCACACCACAACCTTGAGGGACACGTCCCGGCCGCAAGCACGTCGCGCGGGGGGGGCGTTGCTTTTCGCCAACGCCAAAGTGGACTCAGGGCGCAGATGAGCGATGCAGAGATGCCTCTACCGCGTGTCGGTCGTGATGCCCTTGGGACATGACCCCGCTCCCTTGGAGAGGAAGCATCGCTCTTGGTGGCGATGCCAGGGAGAGAAACAGTGATCTTCGTCCTCCTCCGTGTCCATGTGCTCCGTCGCACCACCCGGTGGACGGTGGTGGTGGTTGATTCAGTCAACTGCATGCCTGCCTTAGCTCGCAGCAGGCAAAGGAACCGGTTCTTCTTGGCCACAGGATGCCCAAGTTGATGGGGGATCTGGGCGGATGACCACAAGACTGTGTGTCGGAGGCACAGCTGCCTGCTACGACGAGCCTGCTGCATCTCTGTGATCCTCTCTGTGTGTGTCTTGTGTAGTCGCAAGCTGTGTGACCGAGGGATGGGGTCCCGTGAGATGGCTGATGTGATGCAGTGCACACTCTACACAGCAGACGAAAGTCAAGACCAGAACCATCTCCGCTCTGTGTAATGTCTCTTTGCCAAGATTAGATCTCTCTCTCTCATCGACGTAAGCAACCAGAGTCGGAGTCAGATCAGATCTGACCTCTGTCGTCACGTTACAGGAGCACAGCACACCATCGACGGATGCAGAGAGGCTCACATGCGCCATGTATGCTCTCACCAACCATGATCAACCATCCAGACATCCCAGATGGCACCACCCTGGTGATCTCCTACCCGCAGGCGCCCAGCCAATCAACCAGCGCTAGGCAGGACCCCTAGTTAGCTCCCTAGGCGCTGTGACCACCTGCACCACACACGCTTATGTCTTGTGCGCGAGGTTTTTTCTTCGCTTCTTTTCTCTTCTCTCTCCTCAACATTCGACCGCAACGTCTTCTCCTCTTATAACCCACACTGTCCTTTCCCCGAAACGAATGGGAAAACACCCGGAGGAGGTTGCCAGATCAGCTTAAACAGGCCGCTCGTTTGAGGGAAGTCAGAGCGTCCCCTCTTTTTGGGGGAGACTGCTGTGATGGCTTCCTATGGTTTTTTTCGTGGCTACATTCTCCTTGGCTTCCGTGACATGTTTCGTTTCCCTGCAGACTTTTTTTTCTTCCTTAATCATGGTGAAGCAAACTGAACTGTTCCCTGTACCCAGCCTTACACATAGAACAGAGCAAGTTGCCGGCACGAGCAGCACCCCATGGCTGGCTGTATCATGTTTCGCCCGCCGCACAGACGTGTTTGACCATCAAAAAACTATAAAAAGCATAAACTACCTACCTACCGGCAAGCTTTCTCTCCTTCCAATCCGACCGAGATCCATGGCCATGTTTTGGAACAAGGGGACGGGCATAGGTACGTCATCTTCCACTGCCACCCCCCCCTCCCCTAAGCAAAGCAACCCCCTTCGTGCAGCCTCTCTGTCCCAGGTCGAACAAGAACTCTATGCAGCCGCATGTTTGGGGCCCGGGCGGGGGGGAGGGGGCGGACTGCTTCCGCATTCCTATCTCCTTCTTGGGGACAGGGTGTGCCCGTGGAGGGAGAGGGAACGAGCAGGTTTGGAGATGGCCTGGCCTGGTCTGTTTCTTGTTCCCCCTCCCCTCCCCTACCTCGCATGATAAACTCCCAAGAAAAACAAGAAAAAATAAACAAGAAAGTTTGCCTCTCGATGTACAAATAGATGAATCCTCTTACCGGGACGGACGGGGGGGGCATCAGATAAACCACCGCCCAATATACATCGTCGTTGCGAGCAAGAACGGGCCCAATCGTCCGCTCCCCCAAACAGGCTGAATCCAAACCCCGGGCCAACCAGTCCCTCCTGCGGAGACAAGCTTTAGCAAACTATCTGTTATACCACCCCATTATGCGGGAGTGGTCGACGAGGCCAATCAGTTATACATCTTCCGTTCCATGCATCTAGAATAGATGGTTATGGGGCCACATGGTTAGCTCATCGAGTGTGCAATGGCACGGCATGGCATGGCAAGGTGCGCGGGGGGTTCAATCGAAATTCCTTTGATTCTTCAGATCATTTCTGTCTGTCTCTCTGCCTGCCTGCCATCTCTCTCTAACTTTGCTATGCGGTACATCCATGCTACACACACAACAGGCAGACCCACCCCTTCCGTCAAGAAGGTAGCAACATTTCTCTCTCTTGCTCTGATTTTCCTCCACACAAGTCCCCCTGGCACCCAAGTAAGGGGTGAAGAAGGAAAGAAAAAGGTATCTGTAAAAGGAGTGACAAAGAATGTAGCAAAAAGTTGGGGGGATATAAAGGAATGTGACAAGGATATGGTTTGTTCAACGTCATGTCTTGTGGCATGTCCGACCTGATGAAGAATACCGATCCTCGGTAGCCCAACTCATATCGCAACCATGAGTTGATAAAAGGTTACAAAAAAAAAAAAAAAGAACGCCTCCCTGATGTAGCTATGCACCGTTCCCCCTGCTGTCCAGACCCGGTGCCGTTTGGTAAGACAAAAGAACACAAGAGAAAAAAGAAGTGAGGGTATGTCTGATCGTGTGAAACATGACCTCTTCTAATGCCGACCCATAAAATCCCAAAGGGCTGTCTCCTCCTCCTTCGATGTAGCCCAAGTCCGATGCGAGACAAAAGAGCTGCGGATGCCAGAGAGGAAGGAGACAGGCCAAATATGTACAGAAAGAATTTTCGTCACATCGCCCTGCTCTCTCCGCGTCTCTCAAATCCACAGCGCGGCCACGGGCTGCTGCTGCGGCTCGTCCTCGGCGAAGAAGGTGTTGAAGGCGTGCTGGATCTCGCTCAGGTAGTCGTTGGCGGTGAACTTGCGCAGGCCCTTCTGCAGCAGCTCCTGCTCCTCCTCGTCGACGGTCGGCAGGCGGTGGCGGTTGGCGGCGTGCGACGAGGTCGCCGCGACGGCGTACTCCTCAGCCAGCTCCGAGACCTGCGCCAGCTCGTGGCCGAAGGGGTGCGAGTCCGAGTACTCCTTCTTGTGGTGATGGGCTGCCGAGACGGGCGGGTTCGAGACAACCGAGGGCGGCGAGGCGAGCGGGGCCATCTGTACCTTGGGCGGGTGGAGGGGCGACGCGGCTTGCGACACGGAAGAGGTCGTGCTGGTGGTCGTCGAGCTCGAGGAAGACCGCGAGAAGCTGAAGCTGGCCTTGGTGGAGTGCGAGCGGCCGGACAGGTCTGACATGCGCGAGATGGAGCGCTGGCGGGCGAGGCCCTCGGAATGCTTCTTGGTGTGCGACGGCGACCGCTGGGGGATAGCAGGCGCGTTGGCGGTGGCCTGCGCCGGCGGGGTAAAGTAGCAGGACAGGTGGTTCGGCTCTGGGGACATGGAGCGCTTGTCCGGGAAGGGCGAGTCCGGGCTGGTCGGGGGCGTCGATGCAGCAGTGTGCATGGTAGCGTCCGAGTCTTCGTCAGTAGATCGGGACGAGGCGGATGAAGGCGTGGTCTTGGGGAACAGGTCGGGCGCGTTGTAGGAGAGCATGTTGGTGGTGTGCACTAGCTCGACAGGGCCCGAGATTTTATTCCTGATGGAAACAGAGGCCTTGAGTCCGCCAGCCCTGGTTGTGTTGCTGCGGGCGGGGATGCCCTCGGCTGCGTCCCTGAGCTCCAAGCTCTGCTTGACCTTCCGCGTGGTGAATGCGCGTGCGATAGACATCTTTGTTGCTGTGGGGTTGGTGGTTCTCAATGTTCTTTGAAGGGTAGGAAGGAATGGCGACTCTTGGCGTCTTCTTTGATGGTTCCTGGCACCAGAACGAGCAAAAGACCTCTCAAAGGCTGCTCAGATTGCAGAATGAAGAGAAGAAAAAAAGTCGACACCAGCAAATGTGGTGTGATAGAGAAGTGAAGGTTGAGTGGGAGGTAGAAGTGAATCCTTGGTAAGACGCGAGTGACGATCTTAAGAGAGACACGGCTTGAGTGTCGGTTGGCGATCAATAAGCACCGTCCTGCGAGAGAGGCGGCAGCTCTGGTTGAAATCGAAGGGTGAGGTGAGGGTGGGTGATGCGTGAGTGAGTCTTGTACGAGTACTCGACTGCCGTCCTGCCTCAGGTGGTGATTGGGTGCAGCGTCGCGCTCTCTTTCTCTGTCCAAGCTCTTTGCGGAAGGTGACCGTGCGGAACAGATGACCCTCCCAAAAAGGCGGCACTCGGTGATGCGATACCACTCTGGGTCGAAACTCGGTCAAGCGCCTCCGGGAACAACCTCAGACAGGTGCACTTGCTGTCGGAGGATGATGGTACGGACTAGTGGTTGGCTTATTGAACTCTGCAGGCGACAAAAGCTTGCCTGTTTGACTTTTGGTTGGGTGAATGATAAGGATTGAAATGGCGCTGCTGCTGAGGCCAAAGAAGAAATCCGGTTCTGTTTGAGAAGAAAAAGTGAGATGAATCTGCGAGTCAAGTGGACCACGAGAATTCAAAGAGTCTGAAAAAGAAGTGAAGTTTGTCCAGGTGCGACAAGGCGTGTGATGCTGTGGTTGCGGGCAGATGCAACTAGGCGACCGATCTGGTGAGACGCACGCTGCTGCTGTAGCGGGAGTACGTGAGGGATCCGGTCCTTTTTTTGGTGAGACCTTTGTAGCTGCTGTGATCTGCGCGCTGCACGCAAGGTTGGGGATGAATGAAGGAATGGCTAGTCCTTTGTGTTGTCCGTCGATGAAACCCGGTTCCAAGTGAAACCCAGAGGTGCGAGTGATCTGAAGAGAGAGTCACTGTTTGTGCTTGGCTGCTGGGTTGAGAAGATCGTGCGGTTTCCGGATAAATCCACAGGCAAGTCAGAATGAATGGCGCGCGTTGTGGGCGGTATTTTTTGGGCGGTTTTTTTCTCTCTCTAGTGAGTCTGAAGGAAAGTAAGGGATGGAAGTCCTCTGTACTGCTTTGGTAGACAGCCTTTTTCGAGCCTGCGACGAGGAAATCAAACAAGATCCCGGCGGGGAGGTTGAGGGTCGAAGGAGGGACTGACCGAGAAAGGGTCGAAGGAAGGTGACTGGGAAGGGTGAAAAGGGCACGAGGAGGAGATATTGTGTTTCCTCTGGGGAAGACGAACCAGGCTGACCCTTGGGCTGTGAAATAAAGCAGGACTGGGCCGGGATGGGGGGAGGGATTGGTGGTGGTGGATGGGACGGGGGAACATGGGAGAATCACCCACTCACCTCACTCATCCACTCTTTACGGGTCTCCACTACCTGGTCTGCAGGCAAAGACGCTGGCGATGCCCGGGTAGATGATACAAGTACAAGCACGGACAAGGAGCCGGCAAGGCGGGTGAACACAGCAAAGAGTACCTAGGTAGGTACAAGTCCAGTGCTGGGTACAATGTCTGTCTTCAATCCTTTTCCAGTCCTTTCTTCCTCTGTACTTGTATTTCCAGCCAACTCTTTGCCCCCTCGGCCGCCACGCCTCCTCTTCCCTCCCTCGCCTGCTGGATAAAAGCGCGCGATTGCCACGCACCCACCTTGAGAAGGAAAAAAATAACAGACACACACCCAAACGCATCCATCTCCACCCGACCGCGCAATAGGGTGGTGTCTTCCCTTCTGGGCCTTGCAGTGTTGCTCCATCCCTGCCATCTGGCCGCCCGAGCTTGTTCCTGTAAAAGCGGGCAAGCCGTCCTTCTGCAGATTCTCATTGGCCGAGGGGGTCGAACGGCTTGCAGGGGAGGCGGATACCCTAGCCAATGGCGTGCCTGCCATGATCCGCCCAGCTCAACGCTTGTTCCGCAAGGGAGGCCCCAGCGTGGTTGCAAATCCTGACGGGGGGCTAAACCCAGTCGAGCCAGGCTTGCCAGTCAGCGTGTCCGTCACCCACCCTCGAAGCCTGCACTCTGCCTGCACTCTGCAGTCTCTTGGCCCCTTTTTCCTCGCACCAAAAGGTATGTTGAAGAACAGCATGTTGCTGCATGCATTTGCAGGTGTGAACACCATGTCAGGCCACGACTGTACTGTGGCTTCGTGGCGGCATGCCAAACATAGAGCGACTCTCTCTCTCTCTCTCTCTCTCTCTCGTCAGCAGCCCCAGCATGGAATGGATGCTTGCGGTCTGCCTTTGCCCAATCTACTCGAGACCTGCCCTCCATCGAGTCGCGACGGAGTGTATCAAATGTATCAAACCCTCCATTTAGCTCTCCGATCAGCACTCGCCTCCCCCCCAGAAGCAAAGAAAAGATCTCACCATGACGGATGACGGGCTCCATCCTCTACGACCCTATCTCTCTGATAGGCCAACAAAGGCCCTCGATGCAGGTGAGCAGAGAGCATCGCCGAGCAAGAGAGCCTAGCATTGCGCTAGGGGAGCCGTTCCTGCATCTTGAAACGGACCAGGCCAGGGGCCTGCGTTTGCTGGTTCCCAATCGTTCATTGGCCGGCTGTTTTTTTCTGAATCCAGCAGCCTGTCTCTCTCCCCACCGGCTTCTGGGCCCCCCTGCGAGCAGCAAAGAAGGGCGGCTGCTGTTTCACCTTGGTACTGTCGCTCGATCCCTCGACAAAGACGGGCCTGACTCGGCGGCGCATCTGTGGGTTTGGATCCTCAATTGTTGCGCCTCCCCAGGCTTGGATTGGCCCTCGATCGCGCGGTAAGGGATGGAGGCTCTGCTGACCTACGAAGTAGGCTGACCTCGACTCCCCTTTTGTCGCGCGCCAGCTGAGAAAGCAGGCTATGCATCTCTGGGGCATGTCTCGGCATGCCAGGGAAAAAAAGAGTCGCGCGCTCGCAGCTGGCGCTTTGCTTCACATCTGCACCTGATGCCGGCGATGGGAGGCTGAGAGAAGCGCAAGAATGGAGGCTTTGCTCTCCTATCCCAACATCACGTCACGTCGAAACACGCGCGCGAGAGAGAGCGCGCATTGACTGCTACGCCATCACTCTCAACCGAGAGGATCTTCCCCAGCATGTTTCTACTTTGTAGGTATCATGATCCCACTCGTAAAAACCGGGGAAGTTCGTCTCATCATGCCTTTGTTCGTCCCATGATTTGATCGGACGGGACGACCGGCTGTTGGCTGTCACGCCCTCTTACACAACCCAATTCTACCGGTCAATGCCGCCGCCCATTCTCGCATATATCCCGTTCTGCCGTCTCCTACGTTCGACTTGTCTCTTGGTCATGAACAGCTCACATCGTCAAAGCAATACTACTCTCTACATGCATCTTCCGCAAATCCGGGTTCGCTGGAATTTTCTAGACGCGGGCTCCAGAATGATCTCCATTCCATTCCAATGCGCCGCATGCTCTCCCCCAGCCGCCCGGAGAAGGCAGAAATGTAGTGCATCACCATCTTTCCCGGGAATCATTCGTGTTTTAGATCGGGAGAGCTCCATGGGGCCGGCATCACAGATCAGCTCTCTCCCCCTCACGGCGCGCCATTCCAGCCTTGGCTGTCCCGGAGTCCACCCAGCCCCCCGCGCATATGGGGTAGAGGACCCGAGGGCGCCGTTGCGCATTCCGGGTCCGAGCGACGCGGCGCGTTTCTTCCTGAGACTTGCTGGATTGACAGATTGCGGGACCTGCAACCGGACTGACGTTTGTTGACGTGGTTGTCGGGACCACCTCTGCCATCCCGTGGTGTTTCTGCTTTTTTTTTTTTTACCCGGGCTTGCGCTGCTGGCGGCACACATGATCTTGAAACTCACGATATGTTTGAAAGAAGGCTCTTGAACCGGGTAAGGGCTCTTTCCCCCTTTCGGAATCACCAGTCCTTCCAGCTTGGTAAGGCACTCGCCACAGATTCATCGTACTGTGCTTCGTAGACCATCCCCTAAGGGACTTAATTGTTTCGCATTCGTAAAATAGCAAGTGGTAGTCTGTAGGTATTAACGCCCAGGGCATAAGCTCTATCCTTTTGTTATCCCTCCTTTTTTTTTGCAAAACACCTCCTCTCCCCTGCACTCAAGCCTCATCCATAGACTCGTCCTCGTCCTCGCCGACACCCGCACCCCCTTCCCCACTCTCGCTGCCGTCTTCCTCCCCCTCTTCGTCCTCGTCGTCGTCGTCGTCCTCGCTGCTGCTCTCCACGTCCGCCACGCCCACGAGCCGCTCCCGCACGTCCCCGCCCTCGGGCGCCTGCGGCACCTTGGTCGCGAACGCCTTGCGCACGGCGGCGTTGGTGCTCGTGTCCCAGACCGTCAGCGCGCCCTTGCTGCCCGCGACGGCGAGCCGGAACGCGACCTCGGGGTCGGGCGCGAAGCTCGCCGAGAAGACCCTGCCCACGTCGAGGTTGCGCGAGACCACCATCGCGGGCCCCGAGCCGGGCTGGATGTTCCACAGCTTGACCGTCTTGTCGGCCGAGCCCGTCGCCATGAAGCCCGGGATGGCCGGGTTGACGTCGAACGACGAGACCGACTCGTCGTGCGCCTGCAGCGTCCAGACGGCCTTGGTCCGCGACGGGTCCGAGGGGGCGGCCCGCACGTCGTGGTAGTGCACGACGCCGCCCTCGGTCGACACGAAGAAGTAGTTGGCGTCGTGCGGGTCCCAGCGCACGTTCTCGACGTCGCTCTCGACGCCCCAGCGCGGCGCCTTGGCGTCGGGCGCGCGCATGTCGGACGCGACGACGGTGCGGTCGTAGCTGCCGCTCAGCAGGACCGTCGACTCGGTCGCGTGCCAGGCCAGCGAGCAGACCTTGTCGGTGTGGTACGAGTACGACTTGGCGCACCGGCTCGTGTGCAGGTCCCACAGCTTGACCGTCTTGTCGGCCGACGCCGAGGCCAGCAGGTTGCGGTGCTTGCGGTTCGCGGCCAGCGAGAGCACGGCGTCGACGTGGTACTCGTCGTTGGCGCGCTTCGACTTGGACTTCTTCTTCTTCTTCTTCTTGGTGCCGTCCTCGCCGGCGGCGCTGCCTCCCTGGCCCAGGATCGCGTTGGGGTACATGCAGTCGACGGTGTCGAGGTCCCAGATCTCAATGTCCGGGTCCATGGTGCCGACGGCGACAAAGTTGGCCGTCGCGTCCTGAGGCTTGTCCGACTTGCCGACGGGGATGTCGAGCCACTCGAGGCACAGGGGTATCGCGGGGAGCATGACGTCGTGGTGCACGTAGAGGTTGTCGGCCGAGTCCTCGTAGACGTAGACCTCGAGGTGGGCCATCTCGTCCTCCACCTTGGCCGCCAGCACGAGGTTGTCGGTGGCGAGGATCTGGAGCTCTTCCCGGTCCTCGTCCTCGTCCTCGTCGCCGTCCTTGAGCGTGATGTAGGGGTCGTCCTTGTTGGAGTCGTAGTAGGCCAGGGACTTGATGTTGCCAAACATGCCCAGGCCCTGTGCCGCCGCCGGGGTGTCGTCTTCGTCGTCGTAGTGCTCCAGGTCGTACTCCTTGAGGTCGTCGTCGTCGACATTAATTCTGCGTGCTGCGTGTTAGTAGCTGCTGGCACGAACCGCAGGGAGGCGCAAAGCCACCTACTCTTCTGACTTTTTGCTCTTCTTCTTCTTCTCCTTCTTGTCCTTCACTCCCTCTGCCTCTGCATCCATGGCCTCTCCCTCGGCCTCCTCGGCCTCGGCCTGCGCCTCCTCGAGGTCCTCGTTGGCATCGTCGAGCTGCAGCTTGGCGAGCTCCGCTATCCTCTCGAACTCGTCCTCGTCAAAGTCGTACTTCTTGGGGAAGGGCGCCGCAAAGCCCCGCGGCACCCACGCCGTCGACGTGATCATAGACATGGCCGAGGCTCTGTGCGATCACGAGTCTGAGGGAAACTGAAATTGGGAAAGTCGAGCTTTCACGGGTCGTCGAGGGCGGGGAACTCGACTTCAACTTTGCGGTATGAAAAATTGTCCAGGAAACTTTTTAGTGGGACCTGCGGGGCTTATCTTATCGGAGACGGAACGAGCTTCAGTGCCTCGAGTGCTCAAGACGCACGCATTCACAAGCCAATAACACACACATACTGAAGGAATTTAAAAGCATTTATTGCTGATGGGAACAATATGAGAAACTCAAATATGATCCCTGGGGAAATAGATCTCCATGCGGCTTATGGGGCCAGCCATTTCGACAGGGCGATGTAGTCCACGAGTTCATCCGGGTATGCCTGGGGGAAGATCTCGTCTGCGGCGTCTTTCCAGTCAGCATCAGCTGTGGACGACCGCTGGAAGAACTTCACATATTCCCAGTATTCTGGGTACCATCCGGCATCTTCCCAGTCGATCAGTCCGACGACCTTGTCATCGCGCACGATGATGTTCCTCGGCGCAACATCGCTGTGCGTGAAAACAACGCGATGGTCCGTCCGGCGCCACCTCTTCTCAAAGGCCCGGCGGATCGGGCCCGAAACCTGTGGCATTAATGCGCCCATGAGATATTCGTTGAAGCCTTGTTCGTCTTGGCATGCGGGAGCGTTGTAAGTGAAGTAGAGCCTGGTGTCGCGGATCTCGTTTCCCCCGCATGGCCCGATGTATCGATAAGGAGCCGGGACAGATCGCATGGTGGTAAAGATCTCTCACAGCTGCTGTATGATGGCTCGCTTTTGCACTTCTGAGTAGGTTGGCCACACTTCAGAAAGAACCTGGCCTTCTATGTAATCCATGGATATGTGGTTCTTGCCATCTGCAGTCATCTCAACGTGATGAACATGAGGAACTGGAAGGCCGGCTTCCTCGGCGATCCGCAAAGCATCGGCCTCTTGAAGACAGATGCGTTTGCCTGACTTCTTTGCGATATTGCCAGGGTGAAACGTCACTCTCCGCCCGTACAGCTTGTGCAGCACAGTAGCGCCTTCTCCCAGTTAACGTCAGGGTGGACAGACAAGTATGGATTCGTTCCCGGCGCTGAGGCCCTAAACGTACCATCTTCGAGGGGCTCATCTTCTGGCTCATCCTCGTCGGACTCTCTAGCCCGGCCTCTCTCTTTCCTAGCACGCCGGAGCCTTTCCTTGAAGCTAATCGGGCTGGGCGAGCGTCGGGGAGGCGATGGCTCGTTTTCCATGTTGATCCTTGAGCTTGTGAATGAGTGGTTTTGTCTGGATTCTGATAGCTGCTCGGGTGTATGTACAGATAAACAAGATGAGGGAGAAAAGTGTATCTTGATATCAAGAGCTCTATTGAGTTCCACTCCTTATTGAGAGTGTACACTTAGGATGTTGCAGCCCGTGCCGAGACGCCCAGGATTGAATGATGTTTGTGATCTTTTGATATCTCTTCCCTCCTCTGCAATCTTGGTAGGTCTCATGTTGGCCAACGCAGCCCCTGGGCCTGTCTCCACCCCGCGGCGTGCGTTGACGTTGCTTCCAGGTCCGGAATCTGGCCAAAATAAAAATCAGACGCACTTTCGAACTTCGCTTTCTCTTTTTAAATGTGTATACCTACCTGAGCCTGACCTCAGGCCAGATGGTTCCTTACAGCAGTTTAAGTAACGGTGCAAGTGCTGTGAGCTAGTGAGACTCTGAGGCCTGATCCACTGTAAGCGGGCAGGCTAGCTGTACATCATTCGTGATTTTATTCTTAGCACGAACAGTTGGACCTTCATCCACTCTCCAGACCGAAACAACCACATCGCCAGGCCACACGCTCTCGTCCCGCATCGCGCAATGGCTCGGGACCGGGACAGAGAAGAGGAGCGCGACCGGGCCTCGAGCCCTAGCAAGCGACGGCGCTTGAACTTTGCTCCCAACCCGCTGCGCAACGACGACCGCTTCGGCCCTCTCCCGTCCCGCGGCGGCGCTGCGTCGCGACCGCACCACAGCCACGGCCGCGACCGCGATCAGCCCTACCGGAACCCAGACGTCGTGCCGCCCGAGGCCGGCCTGCCCGACGAGGAGAATGCCGCCCTCGACCGCGACTGGTACACGGGCGACGAGTTCGGCCACACCTTTGGCGACGACTCGCACAACCCCTTCGGCTCCTTTGACGCCTCGTGGGCCGAGAAGGAGGAGCGCGAGAAGCAGCTGATCGAGAGGAAGGCCGGGCGCGTCGACCGCATGAGCGCGCGCGCCATGCAGAAGCAGCGCGACGTCGACGCCTGGGAGACGAACCGCATGCTGACCTCGGGCGTCGCCCAGCGCCGCGACATGGGCGACGACTTTGCCGACGACGACGAGGGCACCCGCGTCCACCTGCTCGTGCACGAGCTGCGCCCGCCCTTCCTCGACGGCAAGACCGTCTTCACCAAGCAGCTCGAGCCCGTGCCCGCCGTGCGCGACTACCAGAGCGACATGGCCGTCTTCAGCCGCAAGGGCAGCAAGGTCGTCAAGGAGCGGCGGCAGCAGCGGGAGCGCCAGAAGCAGGCGCAGGAGGCCGTCAACATGGCCGGCACCGCGCTCGGCAACCTGATGGGCATCAAGGACGACGAGGTCGACAGCGCGCTCGGCCCGGACGAGAAGGACGGCGCGGACAAGGTCGGGGAGAAGTCGAACAAGTTCAGCGAGCACCTGAAGAAGAACGAGGGGGCCAGCAACTTCAGCCAGAGCAAGTCATTACGAGAGCAGCGCGAGTTTCTGCCTGCATTCGCGGTCCGGGAGGATTTGATGCGGGTGATACGCGACAACCAGGTCATCATCGTGGTCGGAGAGACTGGGTCCGGCAAGACGACGCAGCTTACGCAGTTCCTGTACGAGGACGGTTACGGCGAGCTAGGCATGATCGGGTGCACCCAGCCCAGGAGAGTGGCTGCCATGAGTGTTGCAAAGCGTGTGAGCGAGGAGATGGAGGTCAAGCTCGGCAGCACCGTCGGCTATGCGATTCGGTTCGAGGACTGCACCAGCAAGGAGACGCTCATCAAGTACATGACCGATGGTGTGCTGTTGCGAGAGTCCCTCAACGAGCCCGACCTCGACCGATACTCTTGCGTCATCATGGACGAGGCCCACGAGAGAGCTCTAAATACCGACGTGCTGATGGGCTTGTTCAAGAAGATCCTGCAGCGGCGGCGGGACCTGAAGCTGATCGTGACCTCAGCCACCATGAACTCGAAGCGCTTCTCCGACTTCTTTGGCGGTGCGCCTGAATTCATCATTCCGGGCCGGACGTTCCCCGTCGACGTCATGTTCCACCGATCGCCCGTCGAGGACTACGTGGATCAGGCTGTTCACCAGACCCTCTCCATCCACGTCTCGATGGGCCAGGGAGATATCCTCGTCTTCATGACCGGTCAGGAGGATATCGAGGCGACTTGTGAGCTCCTGAGGGAGAGATTAGACGCACTGAACAACCCGCCCAAGCTCAGCATCCTACCGATCTACAGTCAAATGCCTGCGGATCTCCAGGCCAAGATTTTCGACAGAGCGGCACCCGGCGTGCGCAAGTGCATCGTCGCGACCAACATTGCCGAGACCAGTCTGACGGTCGACGGTATCATGTACGTCGTCGACGCGGGCTACTCAAAACTCAAGGTGTACAACCCAAAGATGGGAATGGACACGCTGCAGATCACACCAATCTCGCAGGCCAACGCCTCGCAACGGTCTGGTCGTGCTGGCCGGACAGGACCCGGCAAGGCTTTCCGTCTCTACACCGAGAAGGCCTTCAAGGACGAGCTCTACATCCAGACCATCCCCGAGATCCAGAGGACCAACCTGAGCAACACGATCCTGCTCATCAAGTCCCTCGGCGTCAAGGACCTGCTCGACTTTGACTTTATGGACCCGCCGCCCCAAGAGACCATCACGACGTCCCTCTTCGACCTGTGGGCCCTCGGCGCCCTCGACAACATGGGCGAGCTGACCGACCTGGGCCGCAGCATGAACTTCTTCCCCATGGACCCGTCGCTGGCCAAGCTGCTCATCACGGCCGTCGAGTACGGCTGCAGCGAGGAGATGATCACCATCGTCTCGATGCTCTCGGTGCCCAACGTCTTCTACCGGCCCAAGGAGCGCCAGGACGAGTCGGACGCGGCGCGCGAGAAGTTCTTCGTGCCCGAATCCGACCACCTGACCTACCTGCACGTCTACACGCAGTGGAAGGCCAACGGCTACTCGGACGGCTGGTGCGTGCGCCACTTCCTGCACTCCAAGTCGCTCCGCCGCGCCAAGGAGGTGCGCGAGCAGCTCGTCGACATCATGAAGGCGCAGAAGATGGACATGGTCAGCTGCGGCACCGACTGGGACGTCGTGCGCAAGTGCATCTGCTCCGGGTACTACCACCAGGCCGCCAAGGTCAAGGGCATCGGCGAGTACATCAACCTGCGCACGAGCGTGACGGTGCAGCTGCACCCGACGTCGGCGCTGTACGGCCTCGGCTTCCTGCCGGACTACGTCGTCTACCACGAGCTGATCCTGACGTCCAAGTCGTACATGTCGACGGTGACGTCGGTGGACCCGCACTGGCTGGCGGACCTCGGCGGCGTCTTCTTCTCCGTGAAGGAGAAGGGCTACTCGGCGCGCGACCGGCGCGTCGTCGAGACCGAGTTCAACCGCAAGATGGAGATCGAGGCGCAGATGGCCGAGGACAAGCGGCGGCACGACGAGAAGGTGCGGGCCGCCGAGGGCGAGGGGCCGACGGCCAAGAAGCACGACGCCGGGGTCAAGAAGGTCGTCACGCAGGGGTCCGTAAGGAGGCCAGTGGTCAAGAAGCGCGGGAGGGGGTTCTGAAGGGAGTACATTCTTTTGGCGTTGCGGGAGCATGTGGGTTGCGACAGGTGCATGATGTGGATAACAAGATACATTTCGATAGAACCTAGACAAGTGCTTGCTGCGCAGTTAAGGCGGTCATCGTGCTACTGTAATGGGGTTTCCGTGCTTGCCAGGGTCCGTTCTCTCCCTGACCTCCGCATTCAATGCCTCACATGAAATCCAGACTCATCCACGACGAGGTCTCGCTCTTCCTTGTCTAGCTTGACAACGTGCGATCCTGAGGGGCCCTTGTCCACGTCCTTCAAGAATGCGGTGATGGCTGCCTCGTCGCCTTGCGCCTCTCCCTCGACCTTTTCAGCAGAGTGAGCAAACAAGCTTGACTGAGTGGGAACAGTTCGAGCCGTGGCCTACCTTATTATTAGGCGTGTTGCGGACCCAGCCAGTGACTTGATGGTGCGTGGCTCGCTTGCGGGTGAAGTAGCTGGTTGCGGTTGTTGTTAGTCATCTGGACAGGGTGAGGGCGATGTACAAGAGCAATTTACCGGAAGCCAACGCCTAGAGGAAGATTCTGTTAGCAAAGTAAACACATTTATATCCAGGCCCTTGTCCAAGTATCCAGAACTCACCCTGGACAGTCCCTCCATGAGCGAGAAAGTAGACCTGGAGAGTAGATTTGTTGGTTATGTTGAGCAAAGGAAAGCCTGGGCGCTCACACGTACTCGTTTCGCCATGTTTACGTTCTAGAGTTGCAAGCTATGTCCGTAAATCCGATAATCTCTAGTACAATATGGCCAGAAAAGGATTTACGACAGCCATGTGTCTCGTGGACTCTCAACAGTAGAGATACCTTTGATACAAGAAGGGCGATGTCGTCACGGTTGCGGCCAGGCTGGAGGGCGATAAGATAAGGCACGGCCAAGTCTGCCGACGTTTTGCCACGCGACGATCCGTACAACGAACAACATACCGCTGCTCCATCAGCACAAGACGACATCGAACATCGACCATCCACCATCAACGGCTCGTACAAGTTCATCAAACGTAACGAATAATTCAAATCCCGATCGAGTAGCCAGATTTCAGGTATCGGACAATACCATACAATACGATTCGACAATCACCACAGATCTAGAGAGATGGAAACATCAGAGGGTGCGGCCCAAGAGGCAGCACCGCAGGTCGTCTTCCGTGCAAACAAACGGAGAAAGGTCTACCGCCAACGCGACCGGGAGGCGGACGATACCCAAGCAGCGCCCGAAGCCACCCGGAAATCTGCTGCAGATGCCGCCACCGAAGCCGACCGACAGTCATCCCCCGACGAGGAAGGACTCACCGTCGCCGAGGCCCTTCGCCGCCGCAACGCCCGAAAAGCAGCCCGCCTCCGCGGCGTAGAGTTCAGAGCCGGCCGCGAGGGGTCGGCAGCACAAGAGGAGGAGGATGGCAACCCCGAGCGCGCCCTGGTCCCGGCAGCAGCAGCCGCCGAGGCAGACCCGCTGGCGGGAGCGAAGCGCTTCGCGCCGCAGACGGGGCTGGTCGGCGAGCTGGTTAACAAGCACATGTAAGTTTTATGGCATGCGGGCCCTCCTCTCACAGACTTCTTTTTTCTTTTACTGATCAGGTAGGGAGGAATACATAGAGTCACAACTGGCTAGGCGGCACGCCGCCGAGAAGGGAGCGCTGGCGGACGGCGGACAGGCCGCCGGAGGAGGAGGAGCGGGACAACAAGCGGGCGGCGCGCCGGGCGCGACGCTGCTCCCCGCGCTGCCGCCGGCCAAGGCGGGCAAGCTGCAGGAGATCGACCTCGGCGACGAGGCGCGCGCGCGCAACGTGGCCATGACGGAGATGGCGCGGCGCAGGCTGGCGGGGCTGGCGGCCGACGACGAGGCGCCTCTGAAGCAGAGGCTGGGCCCGGACGGCAAGCCGTGGAGGGGCAGGAAGCGGCGCGGCAGCGAGGACATCAAGCGCGACCAGCTGGTGGAGGAGTTCCTCCGGGAGAACAAACGTGAGTTGCTTGCCCCGGTTCCCCAGAAACCCCACCGGGTGTGCCATTGGGTTTTGTCAGGGGGTGTGTGTGTACGTGATCATGAGACTAACGAGACACAGTGGACGTCTACGACCTGGAGGCGCAGAAGCAGGCTGCGCAGGCGCCGGAGGACGAGGACGAGGCGGCGGACGACAGGATCGCCGAGGAGTTCCGGCGCGAGTTCATGGAGGCCATGTCAGAGCGGGTGCGGCGGCGGAGGCGGCCGGCGGGGCAGCAGCCGAGCAAGAGCAAGCCCGGGGCCAAGAAGGACGAGGAGATCCTCCGGGGCCCGAAGCTGGGGGGCAGCAGGAACGTCAGGTCTGCCATGCGGGACTTGCTCCTGCAGCAGCAGGAGGCTGGGAAGAAGAGGAGGTGATCATGATGTTGACGTGGGCGTTCTGGGATGTCCTGCCCTATTGTTTTTTCCCCAGATTGGAGCGGGCGGCGTATTGTCTATAGTAGCATTCAGACTGTCTTGCATGGCTCTTCAAGGTCTATGGATGTTTTCCTGCACCGAACTGTGTGATTCGTCTTTGAACTTGAAAACCCAGAATCCTCGTGCTAAGTCCAGTAACTGTCTCTTCAAGACAAATGCAAATGGTGAATGGGTTGGCTCAGTTCATTCAAAGTTTCCCATTGGCCCCAATCAGAATAACTACATCTATGAATATATGGGTGACCCGGGTTGCATTCTTCATCTTTGCACAGGACAGTGATATGAAGTTGGGCCAATGAACATCGCTGCAATTGTGATTAGAGGTCAAGCCTTGACAAGCGCTCCTGGCAGCAGGGTGTTGAGGGAACCGACACAGGTGCCTGCACTGTAGGACCGGCTTATCTTAGCGCAGATAATCCATGCTCCATTGCACATGAAAAGCAAGAGAAGAAAAGAAGAATGCAAAGAAAAAAGAGGAAGAAAAACGGGACTGGGGGGACTGGGCCCAGCGAAGCGGAGGACCCGACGCCTCTTGGTCGAGCTTAGCAGCCGATGACGCCTGTCGGGCCCTGGAAGAGACAGGTGGGTGGAGGTGAAGCCGGGCTCCACTTCTTCACTCTTGACAGTGGAGAGGGGCCCTGGAAAAGTCTCTGGAAAAAACCCTTCCTGCTTGTTTGCGCTGGAGGCGGGCTTGCGTTGCGTACTCCGTACGTGGAGACCACGCACTGCCCGCCGGTTTGCATTCCAGGCGAGCCTGGCTGGTTCAGCATGTGACTCGAATCCTTATGGTCCGGTCCAGGCGGTCCCCAGTAGTTAGCTCATGTCGTTCATTCGTATCGGCTGCGGTGTGCTTGTTGCTCTCATTCATCCATGTTTCCGTTGTGCAGAAGAGCTCCAAGCTTGCTTCCATTGAAAGCACAGCTACTTGTACTTGTACTTGTATTTTCCCGCCGCTTGATTGACAGCAGGTTTCCCCATTTGTCGACGGAGCTGTTGGGTCGCAGGGTCCAATTGAGGGGAAGGAAAAAGCTCTTATCCAGCGATAAGATATGATAGCAAGGAAGAATGGGAATTGAAGGAAAGAAGGAGGGAGGCGTGTACCTACTACTTACAGACACCAGACCACCAGACCACCAGTCTAGGTAGGTACATACAGCTAGCTCCCTCCTCGCTGGGTCCGACACCACTGCGCTGCATTGCACCTGCATGCAAGAGCAAAAAAAAAAAAGACAAGATGGACCCGCGAGAGTCGCGAGAAAAAGAGGAATCGACAGCAGCCAGCGGACTGCTCTAACTGAAAACAGCTCCAGCTTCTTCCCATTGCCACCCAAAACACACCGTCCTCGTTTTCTTTCGTTGCTCATCCCCACCCCTCCAACTCGCCATCCGGCAGCTTTTCTCGTTTTGCTGCGCTGATCGAGTCAGGCTAGCCACTGACCTCGGCGCAGACGCAACCACTCATACGGAGCTCTTGGCCCAATGGCCCAGCTATCGAGTCAGGAAAGCAATAGCTCGGCAAGCTCTTCCTCTTCTCCTTGGGGAGCTCTCCGTGCTGTACTGCACCGTCGGCTGACTGAGCCTCGCTTGGGTACTGGTACCTGTACCTACACCACCTTGCGCCTGCGGCAGTACCTACCTGGCGGCCGAGACTCTCACTCGTCGGCCTTCTCGACCAAAGCTGCCTCTTAGCTTCTCCCAGCGCCGCGCCGCCGGTGCAAGCAGTAGTGCTGTGTGTGTCGTGCAGCCAGAGGAGCGGGCGGGTGTGTCAGTCTCCTGATCCCGGACATGATGCCTTGATTCGTGATAAGCATTCATGTACCTGCGCCCCAGCTCCAAGCTGCCCGAGGTTCCTGGCATGATAGCACATCTTTCTCGTCGGTGTCTGGCACAGCTGCCCCCATCCAGCACCTAGTGGACTTGCTTCCATGCCATGAGCTCCGACCTAGGTACCTACTCAAAACGGCCAGCCCAGCCTGATTCCTGTTCGCCTGACTCTTTTTTTTTTTTACCTTGTTTTACCCAATCAGGCCTGCTCTGATCACTTCTCACACTCTTGTTTGGGTCAGGCTTTGTCTTGGAGCCACCCCTGCCGACCCTCTGACGACATCCAAGCTTCCCCTTGCCTCCCTCCCTCCCCTGCTCCGCCCACGCCCCTCCTCGAGGACCGTACAAGTACTAGGCCCTTACAGTACAACCTCCAGTCTCACTGGCTGTCGCCGCAGCTGGCCTGCCTGGCTTCATTGGGAAGAGTCAGAGCACCGGACAGCCCGCCTGGCCGCCTCTTTGCTTGCATTGATGGCCCAGATAATATTAGCCTGCTCATACCCCTTGCAATCTTTTCTCCAGGCCGGATCTGTTCCTTGAGTTCGCTGCACACCTCCCACCCGAACCGTCACCATACAACACACGGAGTATCGTGCTGCCGTTGTGATTGACCAGTCCCAGCCCGTCCATGAGCGGGCTCTGGTCAGATTGGACCAAGCACACGCACTGAACTCCGTTGATTGCCTGCACCGGGCGAGACTGGAGAGGAGGATAGCCAAGCGGGTGAGAGTGAGCGTGAGCGTGAGAGAGACAAACGTCCATTGTCTGGTACCTGTACTCAGCGACACCACCACCCACGCACCCTCATCCACACCCACACCAGCAACGGGCACCGCCTCCAGACTCAACCCAGCTATTTTACCTCGTACCGGCCAGACCAACCCAGACCAGATCCAACTTAACTGACTTGCTTGCTTGCTGGGACTGCCCTTGCCTTAACTACCTACTTACTACTCGTCTTCACTTCTTGCGACTACCGGTCTTTTATCGCTGCTTTCTGGTCAGCAGATCTCTCTACCCCCTCTTCCTTCTTATTCTTCCGATTCGGTCAACGTTGATCCCCAAGAGCTCAACTCCGTTATCTTCCTCCCTTTCTTTTTCTTCTCTCCCACCAGCTTCACGGACTCGGGGATCCTCGAAACCAAACCCACACTTCCCCGCTCGAGCTCGCCCAGCTTTATCTCGCTATCTTCGAACCCAGCGGCCACCCTCCTCCAGCTTTTCCCCCGAAACACATCCTGTTACAAGCAGCAGGAGCTTGAGCCTCAATTTCCAGGATTTCCCTCCGGCACAGCTCTGTCCAGCTCGAGCTCTCTCCGTCTTTTGGATCATCGCCGTCGCCCTCAAATGCCACAGCTTCGGCCCCAGCTCCTCGATTACCACAATCTGCCAATTGACTGATTATCGCCAACGCTATCGTTATCGACAGCTCCTATCGTAGACCTCGCTTGCACCCCCCCGCCAATTCACACACGCCCGTCCGTCCCAGCATCCAGCATCCAGCATCGCATGGTGGGGTCAAGATGCCGCCCAGATCTTCTTTGACGTCGTCCTTTTCAATCACGGACTCGAACAACGAGGTTGTGTGTCCCTTGCGAAACCAAGATGGCTCCAGCTGCCGTAAGCGCTGCATCGGCGTAAGTTTATTTCGTCGGGTGTCGCCGCTTTTCTCATCCAGAACCGTCCTTTTCCTGGGTCGCAGTTGCGCGCCGTTCCCTCAACTCAATTGATCGTAGAAATGCCCACGGCGACCTGCCGACAAAGGCACAAAGGCAGTCTTCACAAATAATACCGCAGAGACGCTGACAATGTACTGGCGAATAACAGGAAAAAAGATATCGCTCGATGCAGGAGCACATCCGGCGGGCGCACCCGGAGCATTACATATCCAAGCTCCCCGCGACCGAGGAGAGCTTCCTGCTCATGATCAGCACCCCGCCGAGCGAGCGGCCCCAGACGCAGCAGAGCTCCGGCCCGAGCCCACACCAGAACAAAGGATACCTACATGACAACGCATTCCACCGAGATGCGTCCAGCGGCCCCGGCACCCCGCGAAACTCGGATGAGTATGTCGGCGGGGCCATGCTGCCAGCCGCGAGCGCTGCAGCTGCCCTGGCCCAGTTGCACAACCACAGCCAGGAGCCCGGGTGGGATCCCGAAGCCGTGAGTGCATCCTCCCGCATGGTCGTCGTCGTCGCTTCTTCACTCTGCACTTGATGGTTGACTCTTTGTTTTTTTCCCTACATTTAGGACTGGCACTCAGACACCGACAAGGGGAGGATACCGAGGTCGTCAATTGAGCTCCCACCGCTCCATCTCGCCAATGCAGACATCACTAGCGAGCCGTTCCCCGGCCTCAATTCGGGACGGGCGCGGGACCTGCTGCCCTCCATTCTCAACACCTCACCGCCTGGCCGATCGTCAACCCTGCCACCTCTGCAGCGCCTCGGTCCGAACCGGCCGAGGAAGCAGTCGGTCACGAAGAGAGGACGGGAGGCGCACCACAAGAAGCAAAAGTCGCGCGGATCGACGGCAGACTGGGTCCGCCGTCTGCAGAACGAGACGCTTGGGGACCGCCTCCGACCGGGCGGACCTCTCAAGGCCATGTCGGCAGAGCCGTCGGCCGACTACGGCAAGCGCTGGGAGGACCTGATCGACGCAGCGACCTCTGCGACCGAAGACATTGACGAAGACCGGACGCCGGTAGGTCCACGCAGCCCTCACTTTGACCAACCGGCCCTGACGTATCAGGTCCCGCAATCACCAGTCTCGATCCACCGCGCCTCGCTGCCGCCCTTTCCCCAGCAGCCCTTCCACAGCTACCAGGCGTCGCCGCTGCAGCAGGCGCTCACGCCGCCGCCGTACACGCACGAGGCGCCCGAGCCCTTCCCCTCGGTCGAGTCGGCCGAGAGCGGCGAGGTCTTCAACATGGACGGGCGGGGCCTGTCGGACTCGTCGCCGAGCTTCTCACAGCAGAACCCCCAGATCTACTGCGCTGCCTGCCAAAGCGTCTCGTACCTCAAGGAGTCGTACGCCTGCACAGAGTGCATATGCGGCCTGTGCCAGGCGTGCGTCGACATTCTGATGGGCGAGCAGGGCGCCAGAAGAAAATGCCCTCGCTGTGGGACTATCGGCGGTCGGTTCAAGCCATTCCAGCTCGACATTCGGTGATTGCTTCGTTGCTGCTTTTGCCATTTCTTTGGCTTTTTCTCCTTCATTTTCGTTTTTGTGTCTTCTCGTTTATTTTGGCATGAGTCGGCGTAATATCCTGGGTCTCTTTCTTTTTCTGCATGGTAAACAATGCTGGGATGCAAGCATCGGGAGGCATCACCACATGAGTCGGCGTCCAACGGGTTTCATAGGGAGGCCGGCCTGCTCTACCACCATCAACGACACTCACAGTCGTACACACAGAGACACATGTCTTACATTTTCGATTCTATACCCTCGCTGGCATACTTTAGGGAGTAATTTTCGGGTTTTCTTTTTTCTGATTTATCACTATATATACTGGTCGAACGACACCAGATTCTGGACTAGGGGCATGGGATTGATTGGGGTTAAAACGGATTGGCGTTCTTTGCTTTTTCTCGCTGCTGCTCGACAGACGAGCCAGCCTTTGGAGAGGATCAATACTATCCTCTTGACCGGATCGATTGCACGTTATCTCTGTTGTTGCTTTTCTATATATTCATTTCCATTCGAAGACCTCGTGCTCTTCAAGAAGCTCTATGAGCTCTTTTCGAGTGGGATTAGTGCACTCTTTTTTTTTTTATCTCTAGAACTGCATTGAAATGCTTTTGCAGTGCTTTTTGGATCTCTGCTGCTTTCGGTTCTGCAGGTAGTTCAGTTTCTTGAGACCATGATAGATCTGTTTTTCTCCTTGACTCCAATCATAGCTTGAGTCGTGAGAGCATGTGAATGTTGGTAAGAATGCTGTGATGCCGTAACGTGATGGCAACTAAGACATGATGATTATGAGGGTGGTGCGGACCCGATAGTACGGATCTTGATTGCATGGCAGGCACCTCTTCGGCCGGACGAACTAAAAAAAAATTACAGAAGCAAAAAGCGAGAGAAAGCAAGCAATGGGGATCCCTCCATCTCAGACATCTGTGCCTGTCAGAAGGGCATACGAGCAGGAAGAAAAAGCAAAGTTCTGTCCGCATTGGATCACCTGCAGTGCAGAGTGGTGAGGGGGGGATCGACCGCCGCTGATCCGTGCGGCATCCATTGGTTGCTTGGTGCCCTGTATCCAGTAAACTCTGGCCCTGACAGAGCACCAGGGCCTTGATTCAGTGACACCAAGACACTAAGACAAGGTCTGTGGTCGGCGCTAAAGGCTATCCATAGGATTCCCAGCAGTGGGTTGTCGCGTCGACTTGCCGTGCCGCACTCGACCCGCTCGATCGAGGTTTTCTTGTCGTGCATTAGCTCTGCTGTCCGATATGGGCGATGGGGCAGGCATTTCTGGTGCAGTTCTGTCTGGTGTGTGGTGTCTTGCAGGAAAGTATAACCGCGGTGGTAGAGAAGAGATACTTCGTATCAAATCTCGATGTCTCGGTTCTGTCGTGCTGGGGTGGTGTGAAGAAGAGATCGACTCTCCTTTTACGGAGTAAGGGAGCGTCTATGTGATGTACATAGATAGATGTATGAGTGTGTGCTCGCTCGTCTCTTTCTCCTCCTCCTCCTCATCATCATCCTTTGCTCTTCAGGCACTGTTGTATTTTCCATCTTCATTCGCTCTTTGTCGTGTGCCTGCCGTGCGTATACTTTGCGCTCGTTCGTCAAACAGCCCTTGTCCCCCGATTTCTCGGTGACGGACGGCTGCAACAACAACAACAACAGACCAAAATAAGCAGAAGCAGAGACGCTGCGCCCGTTTCAAAAGCTGTGCCTTCTCTCTGATCTTCTTCTCCTGTCTGCTGCATCCGCACCGCACGCACATTCCTCGCTGCGGCGACCGGATTTGGCACGTTTCGTTTCATCGCTGAGGCGGTTCGAAGCTTGGCTTTTTCATGCAAGCAGCTGAGCGACAGGGAAAGGGAGAAGTTCCGTCTTTCCTTATCCTCTTTCCAGGTCCCAATTGCGGCTGGTTGTTGACGACGAGGACGACGGGCTTTCATACTGGAGGGCTTGCTGAGGAAGCTGAGAGCTCTGTCTGTCTGCGAGCAAGAAGCTGTTTGGATATCGCGCCCAGCCGAAACATCAACACCACCAACAACAACATTCCCGGACCGCCACGCCAGGGCTCGGCCTTGTATTTTCACAACAGCCATGTCTCTCACGATACAGCACCTCAACGCCGACGCCTCCTTCCTCCTCACGTTCTCCCCGCTGCCCTCGCCACCCTCATCCGCATCCGCATCCGCATCCTCATCCCCAACCTCCTCATCACCGCCGCCACCGCCGCAGCCCTTCCGCATCCTCCTGGACCCCTGGCTCACGGGCGCCTCCCAGATCTTCCACCCCCGGATCTCGACCTCGACGCACGTCCAGCCGCCCTGCATCGCCTCCCTGGCGGACCTGCCCGGCGGGCCGCCGGACGTGGTCGTCGTCTCGCAGCACCGCAGCGACCACTGCCACGAGCAGACGATGCGGCAGCTGCCCGGCGCGGGCAGCCCCTCGGCGCAGCAGCAGCCGCTGGTCCTGGCCGAGGCCAAGGCGGCCCGGGTCGTGCGCGGCTGGCGGCACTTTGACCCCGGGCGCGTGCGCGCCCTACCGCGCTGGGACGAGGCGGGGCGGGCGCTGGTGCGCATCCCGCTGGGGCTCGACGGCGAGGTCACGGTCGCGTGGGTGCCGCAGCGCCGCGACGTGGGCGGCATGCACGGCGCCGTGGGCATCACGTACCGGCCGCCCGGCGTGCCGGCGCCGACGGTCGAGGGCGGCGCCGGCCGCGGCGGCAGGACAGGCGATGGTGCTGGTGCTGGCCCGCCGCCGCCGGTGCAGCAGCAGCAGCAGCAGCAGCAGCAGCAGCGCGTGGTCAGGATGCGCAGGTCCCTCGCCCAGCTGCCGGGCATGCTGTTGTCGCCCAACAACAACAACAACAAGCGGCCGTCGACGTCGAGCCGGGACGCGGGGTCGCTGGCGTCGCCCACCGTTCCTTGGGCAGACGGCACGCCGACGACGACGACGACGCCGACGTCTCCCGGCCCGTCCCTGCGCTCCGCCCGCTCGACGTCCTCGCTGCCCTTCTCGCGGCAGACGACGCTCACGTCCAACACCACCACCACCACCACCACCACCACCAGTACAAACCCGGGACCGACGACGAGGAGGGCGTCGTCGCAGACGCAGAAGAAGCAGACGCAAAAGACGCTGTCGGTGCTCTTCTCCCCGCACGGCATCTCGGCGCCCTCGGTGCGCGCCTACGCGGCGCTGCACCTTTGCCCCGCGGGCGCGCTGCCGCTGACGGCGCTGCTGCACTGCTTCGACGCCGTCGACAACCCCTGGTGGCTCGGGGGCAACGTGCTGCTCGGCGCGCCCGAGGGGCGGGCCACGGCGCGGGGCCTGCGGGCGCGGTGCTGGGTCAGCGCGCACGACGGGGAGAAGGAGGTGCGGGGGTGGGGCACGAGGATGCTGCGCACGACGAGGTTCTTTGAGTCTGAGGCCGGCTCTGGGGGAGGAGGTGATGGTGATGACGATGGCGACGATGCTGGTGGGACGGAGGTGCTGAGCTTGGGGGTCGGGGAGGAGGTCTGCGTGCGGGCGGAGGGCGTCGTCGGCGGTTCGCGGAGGGGGGCTGGTGCTGGTGCTGGCGCCGGGAAGGGCGCGAGGAAGACGGCGCGGAGGAAGGGGGCGGCTGTGGGAGGAGGAGGAGGAGGAGGAGTGAAGGGAGGGGGGATGCTGCCTGTGCTGGAGCTGCGGCATGCCGAGAGCTTTCATGCCGACATGGCTGCCCTTGTGGCGAAGGGATGATACTGATGGAGAGTGGGAATCTGGGAATAGGGGGCTTCGGGGAGGGAAGGGGAGGATGGACTTGGGGGGTTCGGGACGAGACTGCTGCGCGATGGCTCTGCTGGATTCTGGCGGTCCTACAGCAGTGGAACTGGATCTGGATCTCGGGACGACAGAGTCACGGTCGCGGTCACGGTCACGGACAGAGCTGCGAGCCATGTCTGCAGCACGCACCACAGCCCTATGAATCACCTCCCTTCGCCCTCGGATTCACCTCGACAAACACCCAACGCTCCCCCCAACCACCACCACCACCAAAAGGCAACCACCCCCTTATCACTCAAAATACAGTGCCTTAGTTTCCATCGGGGCCGGGATGGTGGATGGCGTAGTGGTCAACCGCGACAAATTAACGTGGCTTCCACATAACTAACCCGCCAGCCTGCCCCCTCTTCGGGGAGGGAGGAGGAGGACACCACAGAACCAATGTGGCTGACCTCCCCCTTCCCCGCGCGATGAAAAACATCGAAAGAGGGTTTTTCGTAGCCGGGAGTTCGACTCCCGGTAAGCTTTTTTTTGTCTTTGACTTTTATTTTTTTGGGCGCCTTTTTCCTGTCGTCGCATGATACCAACAGAGGATATCTGGTCTGGCGTACTCAGGGGTAAACCAAAAAAAGGGGAGGGCACAGCAAATCAGGATATCTTAATTGAACACACCATCATTCGAACTTGGGAGATACTTCTTGGTCATTCGCCGTGATATAGCAGACTTTCATCATCGAGATTGTGTCTAGATACTCGACAAGAGCAGTCACTGCGATGCTATGCATCTGTTTCTGACCGAGGTACAACAACGTACAGGGTATCTGTCATTCACCTCTCTGACTCTCTCTCTCTCTCGGTCTATGGCCATTTGCAAAATAGTCAAACCAGAGTAAACAGGTTCGATCCCCCCTTCCACTCTCTTTTTGATGCAAAAATGATTATCAACATTTCCGCCCTCCCCTCTCTCATCCATGCTCATTACCATGGAGAGACGGACAGCTCCCAGCTCTTCTCGCTTGCTTGCGTCTCCCCTCACCCTCACCCCTTCTTCCCCTTCGCAGATTATGCCCCTTTTCAGCATGATTACCCTCTTTTGCCATGCTTACCCTCCCCTTGGGAAACCAGATGAGAGCCGCACACCGACCACCAATCCGTCATTTACGACCTTACCCAAGAAAAGAAAGAGAAAAGAAAAAAACGACAAGGGCCCCATCTCCCCTCTCTTAACATCTCCGACATCTACCTCAGCTGCCGCAGGATCTCGGTCAAAAAGTCCTCAAAGCTCAGCGTGATGTAGCCGTCCCGGTCGTCGTCGTACTTCTTGAACACGTCCGTCATGCGCTTGAGCGAGATGCACGCCTGCACGAAGAGGTCAAAGCTCATGACGCCCTCGCCGCGCTTGTCGTAGGTGCGGAACAGCGTCTCGACGAAGCGGTCCGACAGGCGGTAGCGGAAGGCGACGAGGGCGTTGTTGAACTCGTCGAGGCTGATGTTGCCCGAGCGGTCGGCGTCGAAGCGGTCGAAGAGGGTGCGCCACGAGGCGAGGAAGGACCAGAGGCCGCAGAACTCGTCGAAGCCGATGGTGCCCGAGCGGTCCGAGTCGAACATGCGGATCATCATGCGCACGGTGTGGGGGTCGAAGGCGGTCCAGTCGCCGTTGACGAGGGCGGCCGAGAGCTCCTTTTCCGAGAGCTGGCCGGTGCCTGTTTCCCCTCTGATCAGCACACATTTTTAAGGGAAAGAGAGAGAGAGAGAGAGAACTGCTACTCACCATCCTTGTCCACGGCGCGGAAGAGCGGCAGCAGCGTGGGGTCGGCGCCGCCGGCGTCGACGGGGGCCGGGCTGGGCGGGGGCCTGCTCTGGGGCGGGGGCCGGCCCTGCTGCTGGGCCGAGGGGCGGGGCCCCGTGGCGGTCGGGGGCGGGGACATGGTGTAGCCGGCGTGCGGGGAGTGGCCGGGCGAGTAGCGCGGCTGCTGGTACTGCTGCTGGTGCTGCTGGGAGGACGACGAGGTGCGGTGCGAGAGCTCCTGGGGCCGGTGCGGCTGCTGCTGTTGTTGTTGTTGCGGCGGCGGCTGATGCTGATGCTGTTGCGGCGGCGGTGGTCTGCTGTCGTAGCGCGGGTTGTGCGATATCGTCGTCGGGGTGGGAGGTTTGGCGCCGCCTTTCTGTTGTGCGAGGGAGCGCAAGAGAGGTTAGGAACTGAGGGCTAGCGGGAAGTAGGAAGCAGGAAGTAGGAAGTATGGAGTTGAAGACTGGAAGAGGGAAGAGAGCCCAGTCCCGTGCTGTGTCGGGAGAGGGGGTAGCAAGAGAGATTGGAGGGGCGCCGACGATCCGCAAAGCAGAGGGCTCCTCCTCTCCGAGTCAAAACTGGACTTACAGGTTCGGGCTCGGCGAATCTGCGGGATTCTTGCGTTAGCAAAACAATCGATATTGATGCTTCTTTGTCGCGAGAAATTGACAAGGTGGCCTTTTACTCACCTGGGCAGTTCGTCCGGGTTATACGGCCTGTTGTACGCCATCTTTGCTGCAGTGTGTTGAGAGCAGTTGTGACTGACTCCTACTCCGAGATGGTGGGTAAAGGAGTGCGACTGGGGGTTGCTTAGAAGAGCTGTGAAGCTTGGGCGCGCGGGTGCCCAAGGATGCAGGTCGAGCAGAGTCCGCAACGTCGAGGCGACGAACGAGGAGGTGATGCGGTCTCGAGGGGTCGCGCTATCGGGGGTTGCGTGTCGCAGGTGTGTGTGATAGACCTGTCCTGGGGTCCAGCCAGAGGAGCTAGAGCTACAAGTGGAGGGGACAGACAGAAGAATGGAGAGGAGAGGAGAGGAGAGGAGAGGAGAGGGGTGATGCGGACCCTGGGAGGAGGAGGTCAATCCTAGCTCGCAATAGCTTCGTATGCCTGTGTGTGTGTGCGTGTGTGTTTGTCCTCTGCGCGCGAGAAGGGACGAGGTTCGTGTAGGTCTGCTCGAGTAAGAGACTGAAACTTTAAAAAAAAGGCAAAATAGGAAGAAGAACAAGGACGGAAACGGTCTTGTTCTTGTCTTGAACAAAAAAAGCCGGAATGTCTCGAGGCTGGATTCTTGGCAAAGACTTGGCCTCGTCGGGGAAGCGCTGGAGGGGTTCTTAACCTTGCCGTTCCCGTCCCTTTGTGAGAGAGAGCTGGAGGGGCTTTTGTGTGTGGGTGTGAATGGGGCAGCCACCTGCAGTTCGTTAATGCGGCAGCCTGAAATGGTGCGCCCCGGGGGCCATACGATACAAAAGAACAGGGGCTTTCAGGGCCGCAATCCCCAGCAGCCCAGGCCGGCGGAGCAGCCCAACAGCACCTGCAGTGGGTCCCCGCCTCCACAACGGGACCCCCTTTCTCGCGACATTCATTCCCTGTCCGGGCAGGGCTGACAGGCTGTTGTGTCATTCCGACATTTCCAAGCAAATTGATTCACCGTTGCGAAGCTCGAGGCAGTGCCTCCCTCTGTGCCGGTCTCCCGAGATGGAGCTCGGTCATCGCCGCAAAGTGCCATCGCCGACCGACCTGACGCATGACTCTCCTCCCTTCCCCTTCGGTAACCGGCATTGATGACGCTGGCTGAATTGCATGTCCCTTTGCCATCCCAAATGGACCGCCACCTGGGACTTGCTGGCGCCTACAAATGTGCCGTTCTCCCTGCGACGAGGCGCGTCCAATGGGATCCTCGGCGATGCACCCATCCCGCCGGGGCTGAGATGCAAGCGAGCCCAGCGGCTGAATGGCGGCTCGCCGGCCTCGACGACGACGACCCAAGCCGAGAACTGGACTGCACTTCAGACTGCGTTGGGCGTCACCGAGGGAAGCAGGACGTACATGTAGTCAACTCCAGCATCGGCTCGAAGCGAATAAATATGTGAACGTGGCAAAGAGCTTCCTGCTCGGCCACGCCATGCCGTAGTAACGAGATAGATTTGCTTGCCCTCGCCATGCCACCTCTCATCCCCCAAACATGTATTCTCCGGCGCAATGGACGTTGAGAACAGGACATGACCACCACACACATGCACTCTGTCTCTCCAACCGCCGGCCCGTCATCGACACGCCGCCAGTGGACCGCCGTTGATCCCGAGCTGGAGGCCCGTGAGAAGCCGTCCGGTGGGGCGGGAATTCGAGTGGATTCTCACGCCCGTGCAACAAGACAGTTCATTGATCATTGAGCACGCAACCGGGTTCAACCGGCGGAGCGCTTAATAATGACGGCTGTGACCAGAACACGCACACAAAGCCTCGCATCGCCATCTCATCTCACCCTCCTGAGTGCTCACGGCCCCTCTACCTCTATTTCAGTCAGTGGCTGCAGTGATTAAACTGTTGCGCTACTGCGTCAAGGATCGTCAGTGATATCCACAGCTCGTACAGTTCTCCATCCCCCCAGCGGACCACCCACCTGAGAATGCGCATATCTAACGTCTACGACAGAGCAATCCTCTCGGGCATAGGCCAAGCCTCCGCCAACGGAGCTGTCAAACGTCATCTTCGAGGCCAAGCATCCCCTATCACGCATAGTCCGCCGCGGGTGCACCCGGACACAGTCTCAGCTGCGCAGATCCGGGGTTGATCTTCCGTGTCAGGTTCTTACTCCGTACAACCACCGCATCGACGGCTCCTTGACCTTGCTCAGACTTGCGAGCACCGAGTCCAAGATCATGTCTGTAGACGAGCATCATCTACCGCCTCCGACAGAGGACGAGGAGTTCTGGCTGTTCGGCTACGGGTATGGTCTCCTCCTCGCCCTCCACCGACAGACGTCAAATTTAACTCTCCTCCCCCCCTTTTCCTCACAGGAGCCTCATCTGGAAGCCTCCACCGCATTTCGGTAAGCTCCATACCGTCCAGGCACCCGCCGTATCTGCATAGAGTGGGCACGACAGAGCAAGCGCAATGCACGACATCTCGCATATCCTCTCCCTCCCTCACACCCCTTCACCCCCTGGTTCCTCGCTTCAGGGCCGGCACTCCCGGCACCAGGATTGGCCCCCCTTGCTGACCATCGCCCCGGGACGGGACGCCAGACAGGAGAATCCCCGGTTGGGTGACAGGCTACGTCCGGAGATTTTGGCAGGTACGTGTGTGTGTTGTGTGTCCACCCAAGGCAGCAATGAAAAAAAAAAAAGAAAAACCCGGCTGGACTTCCCCGGGCCTTTTGACCACGCCACGCGTCACTCTCGCTGTCCCCTTCCGCCTTCATCCATACCCTTGACCAAGCCTTATTGCTCTAGTATAGAAAGTGTACTTGCATACAGAGACAGGGCGTGCTGACATGTGACGCAACTATAGGCAAGGTATTCTCATCCTCCCTCTACTTGTACACTTACCCCTGAACAGCCTTCACTACCCTTTCCCATACCCAATCCTCCCGCCAAGATCATCAGAGACACTTGGACAGAACGGCTCGATATCCTCACCCAACCTCAACCCCAAGCCCAAGCCTCCACTCATTTTCCAAAATCCACGTGTGGAAAAGTCCCGCCCAGCACGCAACGCTTCCTCCCCCCCCTCTCTCTCCAAGCCCATCCAGCTCCCTCCTGCACCCTCAAACCCTCTTCAACACCTTTACGTAAAATAAAAAAAAAAAACTGACAAAAGGGTCCCCGTCTCTCTTCTCTTCCGGGGCCCCAAAAAAGCGAGGACCACCGCGGCACCCCCTCGGCCCCAGGCCGCGTCGTAACCCTCATCGACAGGGCCCACTGGGCCACCCTCGGCGACGCCCACCACGCGGCCCCGGCCCGCGTCTGGGGCTGCGCCTACCGCATCGCGCGCCCCCGCGTCGCCGAGGTGAAAGCCTACCTCGACATCCGCGAGATCAACGGCTACACCATCCACTACACGCCCTTCCACCCGGCCTCCGATGACCGCCGCCGTGGTGGTGGTGGTGGTGGCGGTGGTGACGCGCCGACGACGACGATCCGCACGCTCGTCTACATCGGCACGCCCGACAACGCCCAGTTCACGGGCCCGCAGGACGTCGGCGCCCTCGCCGAGCACATCTACCGCTCCGAGGGCCCCAGCGGGCTCAACAGGGACTACCTCTGGGGGCTCGAGAGGGCCCTCGACGAGCTGAGCCCCGAGAGCGGCGACGACCACGTCTCGGACCTCTCGGAGCGGGTGCGCGCCATTGCGAAGCGCGCCGAGGCCCAGAAGCAGGGTGATGGCAGTAGTGCTCCTCCCGCCGTCATCGACGGCGAGGCTCACCCTCATCATCTTCACGAGTTTCACCGTGTCACTAGTGTAGAAGAGTCAGAGGAGACGGAAAAGGCAGACTAAAACAGGAGACAAGACAAGACAAGACAAGACAAGACAAGCAGCAAGACAAGGCAAGACATAGAAGCATCATAAAGCGACAGCAGATGATCAAAGACAACTTTTTTATTCATCCTTCCTTTTCCCCCTTTGTTCCCCATCTCCTCGGAATGGCGGCTCCCCTTTGTCCACCCCCCCTTTTCATCCCTTCCCATCTGGATGTTCCATATCTATTTGACATGGCCTTACCCTGAGACGATACGGCCCCTTGCACACCTCACGTGTCAGTTTCTCCCCGAAAGAGGAATCTCACCAACCATATCTCTTCTCCAGTTCTCCATCTCACACAAAGGAGCGCGCCTCATCCAGGCACCATCGTTCATCAGCCAGCTCACAAACCGATGGCGGCCAGGACCCGTCCATTCGCGGGCCGATATCATAAAACGAGTGGCGTTAAGACGACCGCACCAAGGAAATAAAAAAAAGGACACGTAATAACATAAGAGAAGAGAAGGGGAGGAGAAAAAAGTCCGTGTCGACTCAAAAAAAAGCCCAAAAAGAGTCCGTTGAACTGATCTATTCCCGTCGACGTTGCCAGGGTATCATCGTGCCGGCCGTTGCGTTCTCGCACTCGCTCATACACACAAGATATCTAAACGCGCACCCGCACACCTGATGAGACCACCTGGGTGAAAAAAGGTATGTGTTTGCCAACCCCTTTTTTATTTCCTTCTGTCTTTCGAGGAGCCATGATGCCCCGCTTGCGTACAGTTGGCAAGGTCGGGCACGCCAGGCTGGCAGGCGGATCAAGTGCACAGTGCCCGATCAGTAGCCCTGACCGCCGCCCTGAGGAGGGGGTTGGTGAGGCGGCGGCTGCTGCTGTTGCTGGTTGGGGTCATATGCGTAGGCATTGCCACCCTGGGGCCAACCTAAGAAGCGCAGAGTGTCAGTCAATAATATCCTTGGGGCCACACTCAGAGAGTCACTGCCCGCCTACCTTGGGGAGGAGGCGTTCCGTACTGCGGCATGGGCTGCGCATAGCCGCCTCGTCCTACGCCTCCGTACGCCTGCTGTCCGTACATCTGCGGCGCTGCGACCGGGTAGCCCTGCTGCGCGGGCATCCCGTAGCCCATCTGGGGCATCTGTGGGGCGCCGCCGCCGTAGCCGCCCCGGCCGAACCCGGACGGGCTTGCGCCTCGGCCGCCGTAGCCGCCTCGCGGGCCCGTGTCCGAGGCCTTGTCAACGCGAATGGTCCGCCCGTCAAATCTGTAGGGCGCGCAAAGCACACGTTAGGACAACACGGTTCACGACAGGTCTAGCGCTCTAGCTCACTCAATGTTGTTCATTGCCGTGATGGCCTTTTGTGCATCGTCGTCGTTGGTGTAGCGCACGAATCCGAACCCTCGGCTGCGGCCAGTGTCGCGGTCCTTGACCACAACCTTTTTTTTGTCTCCCTCGTCAGACCACTCTCCTCACGTTCTCTGTTGGGGGACGGGGGAGAATGCTCTTGCACATAGCCCACAAAGGCGTACTTACGGCTTCTTCGACGACGCCAAACTCTTCAAACTTTTGGCGGAGGGTGGCCTCCTCCGTGTGCCAAGCCAGGCCGCTAAGGAGGGGTCAACAAGGATTCCTTTAGTGCTGGTCTCCCACGAGCAACTCACCCGATGAATAGCTTCGACATTCTGTCTCTCGTTCAAGCTGTCGTGTGGGTTGTTGGTTCGGTAACTATGCACCCAGCTCTTAGCCGTCTGCGCTTCTCACTTGGCAGGAGGAATGCAGACAAAGCAGCAGGTGGAGCAACTGGTTGGGAGGATCGGCAAGGGGAAAGGCAGAATAAGCGCTACTCAGCCCTGACCATCGATAGCTCCCTCGCACTTGGGCATGCGTTGATGCGAATCCTGAAGATTTGTGCGACGGGAAAAGAATCAAGAGCTGACGTTGAGGTGACGATGAGGTGGGAGAGTTTGCCGATGATGGAAGAAACACAACCGCGAGGGGGCGGGGTGGACAAACCTTGTCGGTAAGTGCAGCTGAATCCTAGGGATTGTTGCTTTTTGGTCCACGAGGTTGAGGAAGGCGAGCCCAACAAGTCCCTTTGTTTGGTGAGCTGCCTCTTCTGACTTATCCAGAAAGATGTTGAGGTTGACTTGATGGCAGAGAACAGGTGTGGGGAGGAAGGTGGTTCGGGAAAGGACCATATATAAAAAAGCGAAAAATGACGAGAAGTGTGTGTGGAAGGGGCGGAAAACGTGCTTTGGTGCAAGTTACGTTGTAAGGATCAGGGATCCTTCGCCTTTGCACCTCCTTGCTGCTACTGGTCCGAGTGCAAAACGGCCGTTTGTCCAAAGGTGCATTTTACGGGGAGACGACACTGCAGCCATATCACCTTGATGCTGGGCATCTTACAACTCTCCAGACCCCGGCAGGCAAGGTCTCGGCGGCGGGAGCAGGGGACCTGGACCACGGTACGTGGATAGGTAGCCATGCTGGTCCGCATCTGTCCAACTTCCGCGAGAGACTGCCGCTGTATGCATCTGCGGAACAGGGTTGGGCGATGTCCACTCAGATGTTTCGACCGGCATGAGTGTGGCAGCAGGGACAGGGCCCCAAACAAGCATCAAACAGATGTAGCCTTATCCAGGACTCTTGACCGTGGGTATCCACGTATCCACCGGTTGATTGGGGCACCTCGAACCTGGTGCGTACGAACGAGGCCGTGGTGGGTTCGTGATCGATAACGTCAGTTGGGAGATCCAGCAACGGGAGAATGGGAGGCTCCCCGCTCTGCGCGAACCCCCTGGGTGCTGTCTTGTGTGGGATTCGCAAACTAAGATTGCTCCTCACCAGAGATCATCCTCGAGGGTGATGAGCGGGACTCCACACCAGCAATGGTGTGCAACTCCCGAGTGAGTTGGGCTTCAGCACGCGCGCACGAGACAAGACAATTGGTGGCTGGCTGGCTGGCCAGCCAGCCCTTCTCGTCTCAAACACACCAGGAAGGGCGGACTGCGAGTGCATCTCGCAGGTTCCATCTTGCCGCCCATTGCGCGCGGATCAATCACTTGCTCGACGTGTACAAACCTCCCGGTGAAGCTATCCGGGGAGAGAACCAAGTATCAACCCTGGTTTTCTCGTCGCCGTGCCTTGATTCCGTTTGTGCGCAGTGGGCTCTTTGGGGTTAATAACGATGGTATTATGTTCAAAGGCATAGACACTGGTTTTTGCCGGCATTGGTAAGTTGGTGAGCTGGGTCATGCAAAGCCTGCCCTTCTAGGAAAGCGACCTACAGGGGTGCATGCCGAGCAAGTTTGGTACAACCCCGCTGTCACCCATCGTTCCGATCCAGATTTCCGTAGCTGGTTCCGACTGGGGTGGAGATGAAGCCGCGGGCGAGATCCCTTTGAAGGCCTTCTTGGCGCCGAGTCCAGGAGGGCTATGTGCATCAGTACCTACCTAGCCCGGTATACCTATGTCCAGGCGTTGGTAGTAAGCGGCGTCGGAGATGCTCATGTCCATATTCATTCCAGTGACGATGTTGGTGCAAGCTCACGCACCCTAGCGTTGATCACAGAGTCCGCCATGCCAAAAAGAAGAAAGCCGATCCACAAGGCCCGACTAGCATGGACCTGTCCATCCAAGGAAAGCTGGATGGCGCTGGCGATGGCAGGCCACTTGAACAGGCCTTTGAGGCACATCGAAGAAACGAATATAAGGTAGCTGTTTCCAAAGACGGTCAGCCAGGGACCAGGATCTGTGTAAATGCCCCAAAAAGGGCTGCACCCAGCTGAGAACATGGGTTGTAGGCATCGTCAAACAGGACGCTTCCTCCTAACAGGCGTTTCTCCCCCACCAGCGGGGGACCCCTTGAACTGACGCTAACGCAATGAAAATCGCTGGGCATGGGCGTGATGGGGGATGAGCAGGGGAAGGGGGGTAGCCATCCTGGGTATGAAAGCCGTCACACTGCCCAGAGATCCCTGCTCGAGGCAAAACTGACAAGGCGGCCGTTCTCGCCGCCAATTCCACGGCAAAGGAGATGAAACTCGCTGCGCCTACCGATCTAACGAAACCACAACCCAAAGAGGCCTCGTGCAGCGTGGTCCGTTACAGCCTTGACCCCAGGTCGCCCTGTAGCTAAGGTTTTCGGCCACTTCATGATGCTCGCTGCGATCTGGACCGTGGAGGCAGGTGATCAAGTGACAAGCTTCTGGAAAGATTGAAGGTCTCAATGTGGACCCCACGATGCAAACAAGCCACCAGCTCATATAAGCTTATAAGTCACATACGGGCGACAGGAGGACACGAATTCTGACCAGGAGGCGGCGGCGGCGGCGGCTGCTCTACTCCGCGCCGTTCCCAAGGCGATTGTGGAGGTTCGAGCGGTCTTGGCCTCCCATGTGCGAGAATGCCGCCAGGTTACGCGTCCGGAGAAGGGACCAACATCTCTGGAGGGTAGGTTCGTCCATAGGGTTTCGCCTGAAGATTCTCACGACACAACGTGTTGCGACTTTTGGCTGCGGAGTTCGACTGCAGGGAAGCGGTTAAGATGCATGGTGCGACCGTTGTGCTTTGTGGGACCTGGAGACGGCCGAACCATGTCGTCGATCGTTGAATTAGCCGCACTTTCTCTCCTGAGAATTGGCAGCATTGCCACCCTGGGATGCAACAGAAGGCGAGGAAGATGTCGTGGATAGATTGCCCAGGGTGTTAAGTCTTCGCCGGTCCTTCGCCCCGTGTGCCGAACTGCAGGATTGGTCAAACAGGAGGGTCAGATGTGGGTGCAGAGCCCAAAGCTTGATGGCTTACAGGCGAAACTTGAGGAGCACAGGAGGCTCTTGTTTGATACCAGCCTGGCACGCGAGTGAGATGCTGCTAGACATGAGCGAGACCTTGACAAATACCAGAAGCTGCACACACCTGATTGGCTCTTTCAGTAACCAATATTTGTAGGCTTAATCTCGGGCTCGCCCGTTGCCCCTGCTGGCAATACAAATCCTCGAAATGGAACGGTTAGCCTTGGCATAAAACAGGACCCTGTCACGATGGGCAGGGATCTCGACGCATGGGCGGCCTGCAGCTATTTTAGTCGCTGAGATCTCGAGAACGAAGAGACAGTGCTCGATATCACTGTACGTATTTCCGTGAGTGCGGTTCGAATGCACCTCCAGAGCACAGACATTCGTTTGATATGCTCCAGCTGCATGCATACGCATACGTACGTACATACAGCGCGGTGTCCACCCTCAACCCCAGACAGCCACATCGGGGGCACGGTGGGAGGAGTTTCGGGCCTGCCAAACCAGACCGTTTTGAGCGGCCCAAAACGGCAACCCCTTACGTACGACACCCCGGCTGGAAGGGGCTTCCAAGAAACGAACATAGACTTCGATGGGCATTCTCGAGTGCGTAGGGGACGCACCACCTCGAGTGTTCGTGGATTCCACATCGCAAGACACGACAGGGGCTCGAGAGCATTCGGCATCTAGACGTGTCGGAGAAGGGTGGATCTTGGGGTTGGCCCCCACAGAGGTATGCGGCTGTTTCGACTTTTGACGTCTTGTTACTATTATTGTCAGCATTTCCAAGCAACCAAGAAAGGTGACATCGGCTGGCATGAAGACAGGTCCTGGATTGTCGATGACTTACTCCGTGCACGGTTAACGACGAAAATCCCTGATCTCTCAGTTCATCGCCTTGCCCTATGAGGACTGAGGATGTCATTGTGCAGGTTGACAGACAACGGCGGTGTCGACTCCACCCTCGCTCGTAAAGAACAAGGGATGCTGATGGTCCATCACCGATGCGATCTCTTGGTTCGTTCCCAATCTCGGGTGTAGCCTCGGAGCAATTCCGTGAGTTGAGTTGCAGATCCTCTTCGGAGGGATGCCACCGACTAGGTTGGCCTTGGCACATCAAAACCCTGTGAAGCCAACGAGGCCCTGACAAGGATGGCATGTGGAAAGGTGAAAAGCGGCCTCACGTCTGAATGGATCTTTCGAAGGTCACATCCCCACTGAGGCATTTCCAAGGTTTGCCTCCTTCCTCGACACAAAATCGGGGCATGGCAGGGACGGGGCTCCTCAATTGAGTTGGCAGGCAGGTGCGGCTACGACCAGTGGCATCATTAATCCGTGCCGGACCTGCCCTGACTATGTGCATGTGGGCTGGGGAGACCAGACAGCACGATTGATCAAATGATTCAATCCAATTGTGCTCGAGGCCAGGACAATAGCGGGGTAGGCCCGTCCTGCACACCGCATCCACGCCCTGGAGGAGATGCAAGACAAGGATCACGGCGACGAGCAAATCGCAAACCTCGGGCAGACTTCAAACAACGAGGAGGTGATTCCCCTGCGTCACAAGATCACTCACCGCTGCGGGCGACGGTCCCCACAATGTGATAGCTCCTGGGGAGCTCCCACCGATGGATCCTCGACACCTCCGACACTCGAGCAGACATGGTGATGAGCAACATGTCGCCGCTCAGCATGGGGCGGCAGACAAGCATATCCACCGCGTCGTAAGACATGGCCACCGTCCCCATGATGCAGCACGCCATCATGGACAGAAGAGGAGGGACCATGAGCGTCCAGGTCGGGGCGCGGAGGACTTCTCGAGGGCGAGAGCCGGCGTTGGCGCAACGTCAGAGCACCTGATTCACAACTGGTTGGAGGGCACAGTCCAGGTAGACTCAACAGACAGCCCTGGAAAGGCAAAGGGCACTCGAGCTGGCCCTGATATCCAATCGAGACCACAGCAGCTCAATCTGGACTTGGGTGCCAGGGGCCATGGCTCCAAGCGGAAACATCGCGAACTGTCCAACAGCTCTATTATCGAGCCCATGATCACCTCTGAGAAAGCCACGAAGGGGGACGATGACCCTGAGTCGGGCCCGTACCAGAAGCGGCCGAGGCGCAAGACCCGTGAGGATCGGTACGACGCCCATAAGCAGCATTCCAGAAAGAAGAAGCAGACTCAAAGGAAGACGGTGGACCGGAGCTCGAGAAAGAAGGCGAAATGGGGGACGCTGGGAACGGGTCAGGACATGATAGATAATTTCGCGCCCGAAAATATCCACGCTGAACGTATCTCGGTGTGTATTGCGCACATAGCTGGTCACTGGCACCCTTCACGCTGACTCGGAGGGCAGCTACAGCCAACAACTGGAATTTTCGGCAATGGGAGGACAGCAACCGCATCGAATTCTCGTAAGCTGTTCATTCGTGACTCCATCCATGATGTTTTGGTTGCTGACGCGACTTTAGCCTCCGACCTTATCTTCAACAAGATGAGTTTCCTCAAAGAATCACGTTACCAACTGCCGAAAGTCATATCGAAATCCCAACAGCGACACAGGCGGCGTGAGGATCGTGAACAGGAGGAGGTCTCAGCTTTCTTCCCGGAGGCAAGCCAACAGCCGATGTCCATTTCCATCGGAGATGCTCTGGGCAGAGAGCAATATCAACCAAGCATCTCGAGTTCCAGGTGCATTCGCCAGAATCCCACGAGCTCGTTTGAAGATCGCTCCCACCATGAGTGGAGGACATGGTCAACACACGGGTGCCCTCAATCAAGTCATGACCTACATTCCCCGGCGAGGACGGACGCCCGAAGTTTCACGCCCCTCTCAATCCGCAAAGCTGTTGAAGCAAGCGGCGTGTTCTCCGGACTCCCTGACCATGTTCGAGCCATTGGCCTTACATCAACAGGCTATGCGGATGTGGGCCGCAGCACCCGCATCGTGCGATATCACGATCGAGGGACGACGACGAGGAGCCTCAGCCCTGATAATATTACGGACAAGCACCGAGCAGATGACCCATCGGTGGAAGCAGCCCCTGAAATACCTGAAGAGGCCCCCTGCCCAGAGGAGGCGTTGGGAAACAACCAAGCCCGTAAAGATGTGGCGACGGAAACAGAGCCTGGCACTGAAGGGCAAGAGCCAGCGCAACAACCAGCTGCGATATTGAAAGTTCCGTTGCCCGGGAATGGAGCGACAGAATCACCTCAGCAAGGGCCAGCTCGGCCGCAATCGACAAAGCGGAAGCTGGTCGAAGACCTTGAAGCGTCCGCTGCTGACGTCGCCCAAGAGGACGAACCTAGTCGCAACGAGCAACAACAAGACCCGGTACAATTCTGTCAGACACGCCCCGACACCCATTGGCCGGATGTTCATGCCGCATCGCGAATGTTGAGCCCTCTCAACAACAACGGTAGCCAGCCTAGCATGTCAGCGACTTGCCAAACCCCATTCTCGCGTACGGTGTCGGCCGCAGAGAGTGGCCCTAGCCTAAACAGCCACAGTTCAATGGATCTGCCTGCGGGGCCTATCGACGCTTGGTTCTGGAAGCGGCACCGTGCCCCTGAACGATCAGCGTACGAGCCGGCAGTAACAGGGAGCAGGCATCTGTCTCCTCGCACGTCAGTCCACTTGAGGAGACCTCAAATACCAGCCGAGGAGTCACGACACCATCTGCGGGCCCCGATTATTCAGGGAGAGTCCGGTAACGAGAGTTGGCCGGAGTTCATTGAGAGGATAGAGAGAGAAGCTCAGCAAGATAATGGGGAAGCGCACGATCAGGAGATGCATGAGATGGACTCGCATCGCCTCGAGGCAAGTCCGGTTCGTCAGCTGGCGCCGCGTCGTGCTGCAGTGGCTGAATTTGGAATTCAGCAACAGGCTGGGGGCATCGACACCGTCTCCAGGTATTCTGGACTGAGGGCTAGGATGCAACTCTCGCGGAGTGCACTGCGTGATATTTTAAATGATACCCTTGAAGACACGCAGCGGGCAATGGCGAACTTTTGGCGGCCAAATCTGGACCTTTGAACACTAGTCTTTCCTTCCATTGAATCTCATTATACGTAGTGGCCCGAAAACCTTTCAAACCTGTCTCTCTGAAAGATACATAATGCTATACATTTGACCATCATAGTTGCCCTGAGCCTTAGTTAACGCCATGGTGGGATATTGTTACACTGTAGACAGAATACCGGGCTCGTCATTGCTCAGTGCCGTCATATTTCTTTCTGTTGCTAGTCGTATACTTTTTCTCGTGACCACGCCGCGGTACTGTACTGCCTCATCTGCTAAGACTGGATTATATCTCAGGAACGAGAAAAGAACCGGCCCATCATGCCCGTCGCGATGGAGCCAGCGATGTTGCCCGTCGAGAAGGCGCTGCCGGCCAGGTTCGAGGCCTGGCTGAACTTGTCGCACCGCGAGAAGGCGAGGGAGTTGGTGATGGTGAGGGCGAGGGCGATAGCTGAAGGCGGCACGGTTAGCTCTTCCCGAAGACCTGCGGGGGTTTCAACAAGTGCGGCACATCTTACCAACAAGCGGCAGCCAGATGAACTTGAAGGTGACGATAGCTACGATGGCGAGCGCGACCCACAGCAGCGGCTGGGCGTAGATGGCGAGCCAGAAGAAGCGCGAATCGGTGGCGTTGATGGTCTTGGTCCCGGGCTCGCTGCTCTCAAAGACCCAGTGCGAGTCGCCGGTGCTCGGGTCGACCTCGTTCCACCACCGCAGTCCCACGAGCCGGCGTCCGGCGATGTTCTTGAGATAGTAGAAGTCGGCGGCGAGGAGCAGTATCGTTATGATAAAGATCATGACCCTAGGGGATTGTCAGTTTTGCTTGCGGAGAAGCAGCCGTGCGTTCTCGACGCGGCACAGAGGTAGACGGGGGGCGCACATGTTTTTCGTAAAGAGCATTCCGAGAAGATAGACGAGTAAACTTGCTGCATTGTCGCACGTTAGCACTGCTGTCCGTCCCCCCTTCGGCCCAGGCGTGTTTGCATCGAACTCACAAATGCGAAAGGCGAGAAAGGTCAGCAGGGTGATGGGATGGGAGCTGAGGCGCCAGCTCAAGGAGCCTGGCATGGGTTGTGCTGATTCCATCGCGGGCGACTTGTCTGGCGGTGCGGCGATCAGGCGTATGAAGAGGAACGAAAGTTGTCAGATAAGTAGGTACGAGGCGGCGAGCTTCGCGATAGATGGATGCCCTTATTTGGTGTGTGAATCTGTCCAGAGCTTCGTCAGTCATACGCACACCCCTGCCGCTTTAGGCCATTTGTTCAGAAGCTCTAGCGGGTGCCTGGACTGGAGCTTCAGCGGTCGCGGGTGGAGCAAATAGCGCACGGAGTACGAGTTGATCCGCCTGGCAGGTGGTCTTGATAACGATAAGCAGAGGCGGTGATCCACTGCAGAATGGCCATTGTGGGGGATGACGTCCACCAATGCCGCCATCCAATCTCAGGACCTACATGTACTCTGGTACCGAGACAGCACTTTGTCTCCGCCTGAAACAATTGACGAGGCATTGGCTGCTGTCGAGAGCTGGCAAGTCCTAGCTGGGAACTCACGATGGCTTCTGCTGTGCTGCGCAGGTCGCTACTCTACGGTGAGTACCACGGTCCAAGCTTGTGCTGCCGAGAACAAATCCCCGGCTAACCGATCCGACACCACAGTGCCTGCATCCTCCCAAAAAATGCTCACCAAGTCCCTCACCCTCGCCTCCGATAACATCACGTACGATCTAGAAGACTCCGTAACGCCATCCGTCAAGCCCTCGGCTCGCTCCGCACTAGCGAGCCACCTGTCCTCTTTCTCCTCGCGCCCCGCTTCCGTCGCCGAGCTCGCCGTCCGGATCAACGCCGTTTCTACTCCGTACGCCCTCGAGGACCTCACAGCCCTCGCTTCTTCACCAAACGTCGACGCTATCGTCGTCCCCAAAGTCAATTCCGCCTCTGACCTGACTTTTGTCGCGGATGTCGTGCGCCACGTCGCCCCCGAGAGGATAGCTTCTTCCTCCACTCCGCTAAGGATAGTCGCCCTGATCGAGTCGGCCCGAGCCGTCATGGACCTCCGCGAGATCTGCGCCGCCGGCGCCGCCCTCCCGGCGCCCTGCGAGCTCAGCGGGCTGATCTTCGCCGCCGAGGACTTTGCGCTCGACCTCTCGCTCACGCGCACCCCGTCCCTGAAGGAGTTCCTGTACGCGCGCAGCGCCATCGCCACGGCGGCGCGGGCGTTCGGCCTGCCCTCGGCCATCGACCTCGTCTGCACGTCATTCCGCGCCGACGAGGGAAAGAGGCGGCTCGAGGAGGAGTGCAGGGACGGGCGCGAGATGGGCTTCAACGGCAAGCAGTGCATCCACCCGGACCAGGTCGCCGTCGTGCAGCGCATGTTTGCCCCGGCCGAGAAGGAGGTCGAGTGGGCGGTGAGGGTGGTCGTTGCGGACGAGAAGGCGGCGGCGGCAGGCAGGGGAGCGTGGACGCTCGACGGCATGATGATTGACGCGCCCGTGTCGGGCAAGGCGCGGGCCGTGGTCGAGAAGGCGGAGAGGTGCGGTGTGGATGTCGCGGGATTGAGGGAGAAGTGGGCGCACCAAGAGCCTGAGTGATGAGCTCGTCTGCGCATTATGAGGGCGGCATATATCATCGCTGATCTGTCGACGAAATGAGATACCCCCCAACAATCATCGAGAGCTCAGAACAGCATCGTCACGTTTCACACAATAGCATGCACCAGGATACAGCCTCATACCGCATGTACATTCTCTCTCAACACTTCCCCTCAGCGAAGTTAAAGGGGTATGTATGTATGTATGTACGCTATCATCACAATGTTCATATCTCCACCACCTCTGTATGCAGAACGGAGATGGCATTCATGCCACAGAGTCGCCCGTTTCAGCCCCGTTGTCATTTCACAATGTCAAATATCCATACCAAAAACACACAACGCTAGACCAGGACGACCACGTCCCCTATTTGCCCTGAGATTTACCGCCTCGCAGCCTGCTCGATGGCGGCATCCAGCTGCCGCTCCTCCTCCTCGATCCGGGCGATCTCCTGGGGCGTCATGCCCTCCTCGATCAAGTGCGCATATCGCGCCTGGCCAGCCGTACCGTCGGCGCCGCTCACCGGTCGCAGCGTCGGCGAATGAGGCGACGACGCAGAGTCCAGGTCTCGGCTCTGCTGCTGGTGATGCCTCTCTGTCGCGGCCGCGGCCGCGGGCGTGACATCCTCTGGAGGCCCGGGGGCAACGGCATGGTCGCTGTACGGCGTGTACGATCGGTCCTGTTGCTGTTGCTGCTGCTGCAGGTTCGCGGCCGTCAGCGCGGCCGTGGGCCCCGTGAGCGCGACGTCCGAGTGCGGGCTGTGCGGCGACGACTCGCGCACGCCCGACTGCGCCTCCTTCTCGGCGATGAGCTCCCGCGTGCGCGACCCGGGCCCGCCGCCGACGCCGCCGTAGGGCCGCGCGTCCTTGGAGCGCGACGCGCCGCGGCCGCGCCGCCGCACGAGCCAGAACACCAGGCCCGCGATGAGGCCGAGGCCCACGACGCCGCAGGCCACGGCGATGCCGGCGATGGCGCCCGTCGACAGCCCGTTGGGCGACTTGCCGACAGTGCCGTTGTCGTCGTTGGTGCCCGGGACGGCGCCGCCGAGGCTGGGCTCCGCTCCCGTCGGCGAGGCGGTCGCCGTCGGGGCCGCGCTGAGGGGCGTGCCGGAGGGGTTGTTGGTGTCGGCGCTGCCGGGCAGCGGTCCGAGCGAGTCCGTGGGGAAGGGATCCTGGTTGCGCGCGAGGCTCGCCGGCAGGCCCCTGGCGCTGGCGTCGGCGGCGTTCAGTGCGACGGCGAACCGCGGGCTCGTGCCGACGGCCGCGCCGCTGGGGCCTTCGAAGTGGACCTCGACGTGCAGGAGCTGGCTGTTGACGAGCTTTGGCGCGTCCGCGATGATGACCGTGTAAGTTGAGCTGCTGTTGGGCACCACTGGGTTTCGTTGAAAGGCTTGATCAGTCTACGAGTTATGCTGCCAGAGTTTCGAGGTCTAGAGACATACCGCGAAGGGGCTCGATGACTTCGATGGTACGAGTACCGCTGTTCAGCGATTGTCTCTCCATCAGACCATCCTCCGGGCCCATTGGCTCGTTGCCCGGCATCTCATGGAACATGGCGCCCATGGGGCCGTTCTTGCGGCCGTTGCTCGACTCTGTGTTCATATGGGTGTTGGGGTCCACGCCTGACGTCTCTGTCGGTCCGATCGAGGGCGCGGTCGAGGAGCCGGAGCCGCGTTGCGCTGGCGGGTATTGACCTCGGCCGAACACTGCGCCCGTGTCGTTCCTGATGGCTACCGTCATGACGCTGTACTCACGTACTTGTGCTTGCGGGCTGGTTAGGTCAAACGCCCAGGCCATACTCCTGCCGAATGTATCCGACAGCCAGAGGTTGTTCACAGTTAGCGCTAGAGGCTGGAACATCACCACTGGTTCACCCGCTGCAAGCACGCCCGAGGCCAGGGCGGCGGCGCTGGTGGCGGTGATGAGCCGTGTTCTCGTCGTCGTCGAGAGCCGCATTGTGTTGCTGTGTGTGTGGATGGGAGATATTGATGATGATGATGCTGATGGTGAATCGTGTCCCCCTTCTTCTGCTGTCCGTCTGCCTGTCCTTCCAATCCAGCGCTGGAGCCTCGACAGGCTGTCCACAGTAGTCGTCCCGGATCGGGCTTGAAAATGCAAAGTGCTTGGGGTTATAATTGCAGCCCAGCTGAGAGCTTCCCTGGGTCCCCCTTATGGGATCCTAATGATGGATCCGCCTTGGTGTGTACAAGGAAAAGGACCGGTCTCGAAATAATGCAGCGCAGCAAAGCAGGCATGAAAGAAAAAAACGCAACTAGATGATCGGATCGCAAGGGCCGCCAGCGAAGAGGGAAAGAGAAGGAGAAGGGGAAACCTGACAGGCTGACAGGTTGATGTCAGACTAATTGTTAGTGAGTGGTGGTGACTGGGCTGGGCGGAGTCGGAGCCCTTGTATGACTTGGGAAGCACTCTGGGCAAAAAAGCTGAAAGAGGAGGATGCATGCTCCAATCAATCGATCATGCGGCCCAGCCAGCCCAAGAGCTGCGCCACTTCCACAAAAGAAGCAGTGCCAATAAAAGATGCCGGGATTGCCATGCCTGTCTCGGAGAGCCGCACACTTTGTTGTGCTGTTGCTTTGAGAGTCCCCAACGAGGCAGAGTTTGATAGAGTCACAATGAAGGCACAGGCACAGGCAAAGCAGCGACATGCCTGGTCAGCACAAACATAGCGAGCACAGACTTTCATCACAGGAGCTTCAAGGGCCAAACCCATGCCTCTTCTGACACATGCCTCTTCCTTCTCTTGACCCCGTGTTCGGGCCCTACGACCAAAGCCCAGAGGCGGGGGGATGGGATCGCCAGTGTGTCGAACCCCCAAAACGAGGCGCTGCTAGGCGATCCGTTCGCTGTCATTGGGCGGACTCACGAGTGGCCCTACCATCAGCAAACGGCGGCCCATCCCACACACCCACACCACCAACTTCGAAAAGGGTCCAATGCGAGGCTGATGGGTGGTGTTTAGGGGCGGGCGGGCCAGCTAGCCCGACTCGATTGCCTCTAGACTCTAGTTCAAGTGCCAGAACCGGCCTCGAGTGCGGGCTGAGCTATTTTGGGCAACGCTCTCTCCTCTGTAGCTCTTCGTGTGGGTACAGTTAGTTACTAACAACAGCCAGATTGGACTGAAGACCCTTGCGGCTGAGCCTCTCTGGTCTCTTGGCGGTGGCATATTGGCGTTCTTCAGTGTTCAGCAATCACTGACATACCGAGGTCGGGTCGGTGTCTTCAGCAAGAGACCGAAGCATCTGGGCGAGAAAGATTTCGAACCATATCCCTTTCGCAATGGGACAGTGAACACCGGCAGAGCACCAAGCAAGCACCAGGGAGGTCGCGCATGATGGTGAGACCAGCAAAAGCGGCACGGCATTGGATGGATGCGCTTACGATTTACCGCCGCACGATGATTTCATAAGCCTCCCCCGCCCCTCGCAATGCTCTTATTATTCCCATGCTGTGCCATTCTCTGCTTCGATCAGACGCGATCTCTCTTGAACCGCCCGTGATATGATGCGAGTGAGGGGCAGTTCTAAGGGACCAGGGTCCCGCCGAATCACCAGGCGATGAGATCAGGGGCACTGAGATGGCATCATTCATGAAACAGATGAGACAACCGTACGCTGAACACCCCAAATAAGCTTACCACTCGGCCAACATCCCCGTGGCCGGTCCAGCAGGTTAGCCGCCGTTGTGACGACCCTGTCTGCGGCCTCCCCACCGTTGGCTGCATCTTGCGCAAGGCATTGCGACATGCTCGAAATAGCGTGCAGTGTTGGCCGCCCTGTAAATAGCAACCAAAAGTTTGGTCAAACAAGATCTGCTTAAATATATCTAAACGTACACTATATCCACCCTTACATCAACATCTCTGATGTCAAGGCCTCAGACATCCGCTGATCCAACAGTAAATTGTACTCTGTAGACAACACGAAAAACGTAGAACAAAAGACGAACGCCTCCTGATGCCACTCCCTAGAAACACCGGTCTCTGTAGATGCGTATTAATGTAATGTTGATGTAAGCGTGTATCGACTCGAGTTCTTCGAAACAGTGTGTTGACCCAGGCTCTCGAGCATTGCCAAAAGCACAGTATATCGTACGGAATGCCCCCTTTTACAGGAAAGAATCACGCAAACGTCATGGATATCTCCTTCTCCTTGCCAAAATCGTCGTCTTCTGGGTCATCTCCCCAAGGGTTGTACCCCACATTCGGCATCGTCTGCGCCGTCTTCATCTCAGGCCGTGACGTCGTCGTCGATGACGACGGCGGCTCAGACATCTGTCTCGAGGCTGTCGTTGCACTGGCAGCCGCCGCCGGCCTAGGTGAGTCGTCGAAGGACGTGTCAAATGTCATCGAGATGCCATCATCAACGTCCGGATACGAATTCTTGGTCGGCGTCCGTTCTTCCGGTAGCCGGTACTCGTGCGACGACCGTATAGGTAACACGTTCTCGGCGCTCTTAGTCTCCCTGAACGAGTCCCGCGGCGTGAACACCGGGCTCGGCGTCGGCGTGAGGTCCAGCTTCATTGGTGGCAGTGTCGACTGCAACTCCTTGACCTCTAGCTCCGGCCCCTCCCTGGCCAGCTCCGCCCGTATCGCATCCACATCGAAGAGCACGCCGTGATTGTTGCCCAGTTTATCCTCTGTCCTGCCGCTGCCGCTGGCGTCCGCAGCCTTGCTCGAGTCTTCGTAGACCTCCCACTCCTGCTTTTCCGTCTTCTTTTTGCGGCGCAAAAAGCCGAATGCTCCACCGCTCTTCCCTTTGCCCTCCTTCTCGAGCTCCTTGCGGGCCTCCTCGATCTCGTTGATGAGCTCACGCTGGCGCTCAGTGTGGTTGTCCGGGTCCGGGTCCTCGATCTCGGTGAACTCGTCACTCTCGACGATCCAGCCGGATTCCCTCAGCAGCCTCGGCATCGCGGTACGGTAGTCCATGTGCCCCACCACGAACTCAGTGACGTCCATATTCTCCATGCCGGGGATGCCCTCGACTGGCGCCAGGCCCGCCACGCGACGGATACCGCCGTTGGTCAGCCGGAAAAGGTACCCCAAGATCCAGTCGTTCCTGTTGTAGCCGTTCACAAAGCGCCCCGAGACTACGGTGCGCACGGCGAGGTACTCGTCCTTCTTGACGACGATCGGCGAGCCAAAGATGAAGACATTCTGGATAATGCCAAAAGCGCCTTTGCGTGCAAGCTCCTGCAGACACGAGAAGATGACACGCGAGCCGAGAGAGTAGCCGACCAGGGTGATGGGCCGGGTGCCAAGGTTGCGGTCGATCAGAGAATCTGCGAGAATGAGACCCGCCATGGTGGCCCTGTCGAGAGACACTGCCCACGGGTTGTCGATTAGGTACGACAGTTTGGTCAACACTACCGGTAACTGTAACGCTGCCATCAGAGAGATCAGGATAGTGCTTCCCAGCACTTGTTGTAAGCCTTGCGTGAGCGCCTGCAGAAACATGAGTAAGCCGCACTCTACATACGATCTCGGGCGCAAAGACAAACCTCTGTCGCAAGAATGTTGATGGTGTCACCCATACTGGTCAGCATCTCGGGCTCCCAAAGGACCGAGTAGATATCGCCCATAACGGGGTCCACGGTACTGAAGGGCAGTCGAACATCATCGACCTTGCCTGTCATCCACCCGGACACCGTCACGATCAGGTTGACCCTCTTGTTATTGTGCAGCGGCCGGTACTCAAACGTCCTCACAGCACCCGTTCTTCTGTTGGCAGCTCGGACACCGATGATGCTGCCCGAGGCCGCTGCACTAGAAGTGATGATGGCGGCACCTCCTGCTCCAGCCAGGAAGCTCGAGGTGCCGGTGACGCCGATTGTCGTGAAGCCGGCGGCGAGACCAGCACCGATCACGGGCGCGAGCAGGCCGGCCGATAGACCGATCACCAAGCCTCCACCGACGGTCGCTAGGCCCATCATGACGTAGCGCCGCTTGAGCGCCATCTTCTGACGGTGTTGCATGTGCTCGTCCTCGTTCCAATTCTCCTTCTCGGCGGCCTGCTGCATTTCCAGGGCGTCGGTCACCTTCTTCTCGAAGCGGCAGACATCGAGCTCCCAGATCTCGAGACTCCTGCCGACCTTTTCAAAGAGAGTTCTCGACCGTGCGTCGTAAATCGAGTCTGCAATGAGGACCAGAAACAGGTCGCACAGGACAGTCCAGCGAAGGTCGATATCGATCTTTTCGGTTGTAGGGAGTTGCGACGGCGTCTGCACGTCTGGCATTTCCTCAATGTCGTGCGCTTGGTATGGCGGTGGCGGCTCGGCAGGCGTCTCCTGGCCAGACCGCGGCAGGGAAGCCGAGGACTGGCGCGGTGATGCCACGGAAGATGGGCGTGGCGACGCGGTGGACGACGGGCGTGAAACCTTGTCCAGTCCCGTGGGCGACTCTTGCTCTGCCATGGGGTTTTTGACGCGCGCATTCGCCATCAGAAGCGGCGTCAGGTCCTTTGGCATGACGCCGTGCTCGCTCAGCTGCTCAATCATGACCTGCTCTGCCGCGCTAATGTCCATGTGGGAATAGAGCCGGATCATCATCTTCTGCGACCACATCCTCATCGACTCGGCCGCCATCTGGATCTGCTTCTTTGTCTTCTTCGTCGGCTCCATGGTCTCGGCGTCCTTGAGCATCTGGGAGAGCTCGAGCCGGGTCAGGCCGACATAGGCTATCCTCTGCCCCTCGGTGAGGAGATCTTTGGTCGCCTGCAGCTGCGAAACCGCATCCCGCTGGGCATCGTCATCGTCGAGGGCACTCGTGCCACCGCCCGGGTTCTTGAAGAGGTACTTTGTATTATCGTCCAAGCTCGTGACCGAATCGCCATCGTCGTCCACGAGCACCCGCGTATAGCCCTTGCCCGCACCGCCAAGCCCTGCATAGCCGTACTTCTCGTCCTCTTCTTCATTGTGCTCCTTTGCGATGAGCTTGTTGTCGTCGTCGTATATGTCATACGGCGCATAGGCGGGCATGGTCTGCCAACCGTCGTCCTTGTCCTCGTGCTCCTCCTTGGCGGCCATGGTCTGCTGGTGAGAGAACTCGGACACGCCCACATTGGTGCCGGTCGTGCTGACGCTGATGCCTCGAGCGTGCTGCTTCGCTAGGTCTTCGTGTGGTGGTTGCGCAGTGTCATCCTGGGCATGCGGTCCTTCCGCGCCAGTCACAGTCTTCCCGTCATGCTTACCCGGGGCAACATCCTTCTCGGCAACACTTCCATTTGGTCCCGTCTTGTTCTCTGCGGTCTTCGGTGGCATCGGGGTCCGGGGTTCATCCTCGTCTGCAGACGCAGCCCCGGATGGGGGTTTGGAAACGGCATCCTCGAACTGGTCGCTGTCAGAGTCTCTTGCTGCCTCCTTATTCTCCGCTGCGCTGGTCGCAACAGTCAATCCCTTTGAATTTCGCCTCTCCGCAACCTCCTTCTTTGTGTCGGTAGCAGGCTTGGATTTTCGATCATCTGCCGTGGATTTTCTCGGGACCTCATCATCACTCGCAGTAGTTTCGGGTGGTGTGTACTTTCGTATGGGCAAGCCGAAGTCATCTAGCTCGACGGTTGCAGTCGGGGGCTTTGCGACAGGGGCGGCCTTGACCGCCGCCGGAGAAGCGACGCCTGGGCCTTCGTTCTTCTCGCTGGATTGCTCCGAGTTTTCTGTCCCTGTCGCGCCGGCCATCGTCACCAAGCTCCCAGAGAGTAGTTCATGCGCGGTACGGACTCGACGAGTGGCTGCAGATCAGGGGCTTCGTCGAGGGGTCGCCGCGAGTCCCGTGCCAACAAAGCCGGAGGAAACAGTTGAAGACTAACGCGGAAAACTCGGGTGAAAACAGGACTGGCTTCTTGGCGACTACCGTCCGAGGCAGGCGATGGGTATTTGGATTGGGTATCGAGGGGTGCTGGCTGGCTGGCGGCGCAGGATGACAATGCGAATGCTCATGACTCCTGCGAAACTTTGGGCCCCTGATTGCGTTAACCTTATCACGCATCACGCAGGCGTATCAAAGGGTGGGTCGGACCTTCCGTCTCGGGGCAGAGGCGCGTGCACACGCGGCAACCATCATCAAATTTGGCGGGGAACCTGCCGTCCCTGCAAGCTCGGGCATTCCAGGCCATCAGCACATCGCCAAACTCAATTGAAATCTTGGCTCAGCTTAGCCCCCAACGGAAACATCCGTCATTCTGAACATACTTCGTATGCATATTCTCGGCCGACCAACTCACCATTTGCACTCTCCTGGACTGGATGACTAGGCTTTCTTGGACAATACTCTGTTACGCCTACTTGTTTGTTGCAACAATGGCTTGAGCCAATACTACCAAGATTGAGAACCAGTTCCGAACAATCTTATTCGATGTCCAGATCTGCAACCTTGAGGATCCCCTTTCCAAAGTTCTTGCCGCTGAAGATGGCCGCCAGACCCTCCGGAGCATTCTCTATGCCGACCGTCACGTCTTGAAGAGCCTTGAACTGCCCCGATGCCAGCAACGGTGCCACCTTGGCAATCATGGCCTCGTACTTGTCCATGGCCAAGTCGACGATGAAGCCCTCCATCTTGATCTGTCTGTTGGGCAGCAGCCAAAAGTTCTTGATGCCGTACATGTCTTGTGGCTTGTCGTGGTAGATCGCCATCTGCAGCGCAGCTAGTTAGCCCCTTTCAGCTCTCTCGAATCGCCGCAACTAGGTGTGCTTACCGTCCCACACGACACGACACGGCCTCGCTCCTTCATAGCCGCCAGGGCTGCATCCAACAGCGGTCCGCCGACACCGTCCCAGAAGATGTCGATTCCGTCGGGCGCCAATCTCTGCAAGGCTGCGCCGGGCGCTTCCGTCTTGTAGTTGAATGCCGCATCAAAGCCAAGGTCGTTGACCACGTAGTCTACCTTTGCCTGACTACCGGCCGAACCGATGACCCTCAAACCCTCGGCCTTGGCGAGCTGGCCAACCAGCTGTCCGACAGGTCCGGCGGCCGCGCTGACAAGAATAGTCTCACCTTTCTTTGGCTGCCCGATACGATACAGTCCTTCATATGCAGTTGCACCGGGCATACCCAAAACGCCTAGGAAGTACGAGATATCCAGCCCGTACGGGTTCTCAACCTTCCAGACCCCAGCCAGCTCAAGCAGGCCACCCTTGATGACGGCATATTCTGCAATGGGACTGGCAAAGGCCATGACCAAGTCATCTGGCTGGTATTTTGACGTCTCGGACCGGAGGACACGCCCTATGACGGCGCTTTCCACGGGACTGTCGACTATGAGGGGCGGTATGAAGTCATCCTGAGAAGGCTCGCGGGTCCGGTCGCGTATGTAAGGGTCGAAAGATGCGTAGAACACCTTGATGAGGATCCCGCCATCGAGCGGGGCCGTCTCGAGGTCCAGCGGTCGGTCTTCGACAACAAGATGCTCTCCCGGAACCAGGTATATGTCCGGGATCTTCTTGTAGATGAAGGACTGGTTCGAGATTGGCGCCATGACTTCGAGAATAATGCTAGCCCACGGTGGAGTTGTTGAGACGGATTATAGTTCAGCGATGGGTTACAACACGGCACGCATTTATATTGCGGCGGCCCTGTTAGGAGTACATATCTTCCCCGGACCTGGATCAGACCGGCGGCGCCCGCGGGGCTCCGACCCCGGGCCGACTTGGCACTTCGCAGAGCTGCGCCGTGGCCAAGACCTCTCGCCTTGGTTGCAAGTTACTAGGTTACGGCACAACTCTCTCGCCGTAGACACAACCCTGTTGGGCAATTCGCTGGGGTTGTGCAACACCATCACTGGATGTGCCGCACTGCTTACCTGAGCTTGTGATGGCTTTTGATGATAAACCGGCTTAGAAATCCGCGTGGAGTGAGCGACTCAAACCCACTTCAGTATCATCACGTGCTGTCGCGTGTCGTGTGCGTTGTGCCAAGACCAACTGTTCAGCCGCATCACTAAATTACGTACATTTTCAAACCCTTTTCCCACTGGACGGTGGTGTGCGATGCTTCGAGATTGGCCAGAATCGAAGCCTGTGCACCCTGCTCCCTCACTGGCTCGATTCACATCCGATGAGTTGGAGGAGGAGCGTGTTGAGTGAGCGCAGATCCTCCCCATGGCTCTTAGGCCCCCTCCAATCTCCGGCTGGACAGTGGACGAGGTGGTGAAACGCCTAGCCCGCAGCTCGCCAGATGTATGGGACGCTATGCCTGAGGAAACCGGTAGTCTCAATGGCATATCACTGTCGCGAAATCCTCCCTCATCTGCTGGAGATCTGGACAAGCTCTCAAGCGAATCTCTGTTCCTGATCATGGAGAGTCTTGACTTCCAGAGTCTATGCAGCTTCATGGCAGCCTCCTTCCGCACCAAGGAGCTGGTAGAATCGATGGTTCCGTATCAGGATCTGCTAAAGTCCGCATCCTCGACTTTGATCGTTCTCGGAAAAGCAAACCTAGCCGGTCACCACAAGGTGCGGGATTTGCATTCCGCTCTGTTGTCAGAGGGCTGTGTGTCATGTCGCCGCTTTGGCGCTTTTGTGTTCCTTCCTACTTGCGAACGCGCGTGCCTCAGCTGTCTGCATCGTAATATGCGTTTTTGGGTCCTTTCGGTCAAGGAAGCCCAGGACGCCTACGGGATACCGCAGAAGGAAGCACAGCAGCTTCCCGGCATGATGTCACTCCCGGTCGAACGGCGGCGAGGGCGACGGAGGAAGCTGGTCAGCGTGAGGCTCGCGCGGGACCTTGGTCTAAAGATCCACGGTTCGCAGCAGAAGATGACGAGCTGGGTCATGCAGTCTGGCAAGATGAAGAGCCAGCTCAACCTGTACAGCTGGTGGGCTGAAGCGGGGGAGAAGCTCCTCGACTGGAACACAGACGATCCCCTCACCCCACCGATGAGTTCGTATTTCGGCTTTGCCTCGATAAGATTTCCACATCTGTACCGTGACCAGACGGTGGATCCTGGGTACTGGTGCGAAGGGTGCAGATTCTGGAGGCAGCAGATCAGCGAATTGTCCAACTATAGTCACGCGATGGACTATATCTGTGCAACACCTGAGGATGAGAAGGAGCTTGCCAGACGTCATAATGAGGAGTTACGGGAGTGGTCGAGATCTGGGCTCAGGGAGCATGTTCTCACTTGTCCTGGGGCTCAGGAGCTGGCAAGTCGTTCAGAAGATTGAACTCTAGAACACCCCATTGTCATGAGATACTTGGGGTGCTGTGAAGTAGTTACTAGAGGGAAACGACCTGTATTGAGAACAAATTATCCCTAGCCTGGCCGTGCTGCTATTGCTGCTGCTGCTGCTGCTGCTGGTCATTCTGCACAACAAAGCAAAGAGGTGAAGGAAGGGTTCTGACTTGCAATTGTATCAATTTACTAGCAATGTTGGCTGACAGTTCTTATAACAGTGCAAATCATTCTGTGCTGGAACAATGAACCAGTGCACAACTGTCTTTGCTTTGTCATATTGTTTCATCTCCTTTCATCGCAACAACAGCTATAACAACACTACGAATGATCACAGTCCCTCATCTACACTTGTTGCATTGGCAAAAGAAATTCAAATCTCACATAACTCGGGCTGTATAGCTGGTGGCATGATTTCCATGATGGGGCTACAGTCTCAGACAGTCCAGAGAGTCGAAACGTGTCTAGGTTTAAATACATGATATAAAGCTGCGCTCTAGAGTTGAATTTGGCCATTTTCAATATCTCCAAATCAACATTTTGGCCCAAGAAGTCTTGCCACCGGCTGCATAGCAATATCCTGGATGTGTGGGCCAGCCTGCTGTTGTCAAGGTTCCTTCATGTCTGTAGACAAAACGAACAAAGCTTTGTATGCTGTTCATGCCCTTGTCTCCATCAGATATTGTTCGTATTGTCCTAGCAAATCGAACAGCAAAGGCAACATGCTCAAGTCTATATATAAAGCATTCGGACTAAACCATCGAGAAATTATTCTCTCTCCACGATCAACACCTGTAACATCAGGCCTGATTTTACTCTTAAGCCCAGCCTTGAATATCAGTTTCAATCAGAGGACTTCGGCATTGCAGACACCCTACCAGAAACAGACCTACCATGGCTTCCCCAAATATGGAGTCCCCTCTGGTGGTGGCTGAGGCTACTCACGACATAGTGATGGATCTGGGCTTGGTCAGTATTTTTGGGCCCTGCCTCGGCGCCAATGACCCAGACACAATGGCCTCATGCAGGTTGTGGATGTCGCGTACGTTGCCTCGTCTTCTTCAGCGTGTGCTTTCAAACAAGCAGACGCTGATCAGGGATCTAGGGGAAAGCTGGTATTCCTCCCTGGATCAATTGCTTACACAGCGGCATGAGACCCCCGGCCGCTTGCGTGCCGACATCCTTGAATACACCCGGGCAACTGAGGGTGCTATCGGTAATCGAAAGGTCTACGGGGGTCCTCTTGGAACGAGTGGCATTGAGCTCTCGGTATTCTTTCGTTCTTTGGGAGACATTTGGACAAAAGACGCTCGTAAACCCGACCTAGCGGCCGCGTTTTCGGAATCGCTTTTGCAGGGGGCCGAGGAGGAGATGCTCACAGAGATGGGGCTCCAGTATTCGACCCACAGCATGAGAAGCGCCGTGAAGAACATCTGCCTGCTTGCAAGTTGGCACCACACCAAGTTTCTCAACAGGGTGTTGTCTATCCTGTCAATCGTGGACGAATCCAAGACGAACGAACTTATCACATTCGTCACGGAAGAGTCCAATAAGGCCAACGCAGAGATTGATGATCTGGAGGATGCCAATGCGTTTCTGAGACACCAGCTGGAGGCAAGTAGCAGGGAGTTGGCCGTCAAGGACAGGATGATCCAAGATATGATGGTGAGACAAGACGCTGCTCATACCGAGCAACAGCTCAAATATGAGCAGAAAGTTAGAGAGCTGGAGGAGAAACTGAAGGCATACCAGTCAGGCAAGTAGTCTTAAGAGCATGAGAGAAAATTTATTGAAGAGTCATATTGTATCAGCACATGGAGAGAACTTCAAGTGGAGGCCTGGTCCTGAAGAGTGATTCCAGAGAATAAACGTGTGATGTAGCCTGGACTGCGTTCTTCAGCTGGCAGGTGGCCTCGGATTTCAGCGGTCCAAACCACAAGTGATATGTACTTTTACAGCCGGGTACATGTACCCCTCGGTGTTAACAATACCCACAGAGTACAGTGTTTGACTTAGCCGCCGCCGGCCCCATTATTGATGTAACACCCGCTGAAAGCCACTATCGGGGCTCATGGTCATTAACACCACACAACAGCCATGCGCCTGGCTTGAAAAGCTAATGATGCCCAGCTAGATTTCAAATCCGCTCCTGTGGCAAAGATCTTTTCTATCTGAACGCAGTCACTGTATGTTCAGGTTAGTAAATTCGTTCCTTTAGGGTTGGTCCTGCTAATAGCATGAGTGAGCAGTTCGCTCAACACTCCTTGCAATGGATCTCGCGGCTGAGCGGGTGCGGGCTCAGCTTGCCAACTCGGTTACACCTATTGCAAAGCCAGTATCATTGACCGAACTCCATCATCTGTACCATCGCGGTAATGACCGACGCCCACTACCACCAAACCGTGCACATCAGACGATCATAAACCTTGTTCGCACAGAAGCACGGTGGCGTAATTTCTGCGATTCATTCAATGACCCTAAAGGGCGAGATTGGAAAACCCTCCTACGAGCGCTATGTTGGGAGGAGAGGGGCATCGTTGACGCCTTTGCTCGCTGGTTCGTTCGCAGAGAGGGCTCGAGGGTCACGGCCGAATCGTCAGCTCGCAGATATCTCCGAGATCTTTCCGCGTTGTTTTTCAGGTATCAAGGCTTCGAGCTGGAGAAGCGTCTCAGGGATCATATGCGTCAAATCGCGAAGGTCGAGCTTACACCACTATTTGGACTGCGAGTTGAGCCGAAACACAAGAACATCCTAGGGCCTCGTGGGTTCACGTACCTGGTTCACTTCACCTGGGTTCGTTCTCGGCGACCGTTCAAGATTGGACTGGATCGCATCGATGATGTATTCTGCCGCATGATATTGATGTGGACAGGGTGCCGCTCGCATGAACTCGTGCAGACTAGTTCTGACACAGGGCAATACAAGCAGAAGTTCGATGAGGAATCAGATGCCTACACCGACATCGATGACGGGCCAGACCAGTACGTTGCGAAGCGGCCTAAGCGTTGCTGGGCCTGTGGCGGTATCGACGATAGGACATTGCCGTCTCGTAAAGTCCTGTGCTGGGAAGACATTACAGTTCTCATTCTATCAGATCCTGGTAATAGCGGTGGGCGGGATATGTTTGCGATGGATATCCTCCTACGATTCCACAAAGGTCACAACAATCAGACAGTTCCCACCATTTATCATTTCATCGAGGATCCTTACCCTCTTCTATGCCCGATCGTGTACATTCTCGGCAAAGCCTGCGCAGAGGATGTCATTGATTGGGACGCATTGCAGATCGACACCTCGAACCTTCAGATAGATGAGATCATCAAGAACCTATTCAACACTAAGCTTCAGGAGCCTTCTGTCGAGATACCCTGGAAGAAGAAGTACTGGCACACACCTGTTTTTCGAAAAACGGACCTTGGCCCGGATGGTCGGCCTTTAAAGATTAACTCACCAATCACGAAAGCCATCCTGGACAACAATGTAAAGAACCAAGGAATGGAGGCCGGCCTTCCCGACAGACCTCAGTCTTATGACTATCGTCGAGGCAATCTGGAGTTATTAGACAGTAAGCCAAAAGCATAGAACCTAAACGAGTTCCTGCTAATATCCAGTCAGCGCACTACCGCACTTCTGTCCGCAATCGAGGAGCAAGGCACCGGCCCGGGACCAATGTTTACGAAACGTCGTATGTAGGCCAGGGAATGAGGGCAATTTCGCAAGACGCATTTCTAGGCCGTGGCGCCCATTCCCCTCTCATCGACATTCTCAACCATGTTGGTCTCCGCTACGATGAGAGCGCGCCTACGAAGGTGACAGAAGAAATGATGCGCCTTGTCGGCCCTGACAGCACCATGGTTCGGCTTGAGGGGGAGCTGTCAACCCTTCGGGAGCGGCTTCTTGAAAAGTATGGCAAGGTCAGCTACGCTCCTATAACTGATCAGGCGGCATATAAAGATGTGCAGTGCCAAGCGAAAGCGGCCAAGCAGCGATACAGCCGAAAGGTTCTCGACCTTTTCCGAAAGGATCATTTCACTACGAAGAACAACGTGGAGCTTGGCCGCCAACTTAACGGCGAGGGTCAGCTAGATTCTTCTCAAAGAATCAGAACAGTGTACTTTACTGTCCCAGAGCGAAGACGGCTTGCAGCCCTGTTCGGCGATTTCGATGACAATCCATCCGAAGAAATCATCACGCAAAAGAAGATCGATGCAACTTTGGCCTTGATTCGGTATGCTTGGGTCGTCGAAAAGGATGATCAAGCACTTCTGCTAGACTTAGTATCGAACACTACAGAGGAATGCCTACCCAAGAAGCGACCTTGGTTTGCATCTATGATTCGAGAGCCAGTAAGCCTTCCAGCGCGTATTACCGAACCGCAACGCCAAGCAAGTCCAAGAAACTCCGGCCCAGCCTCCAGTGATTTACCCATAGGCTTCACCTGCATCTTCTGTGGGAAGGTCGTCCGACGGAAAGCTACTATGTGGACTTGTGTCGACAAACATATCACGAAGCTGCTCAGCAATACTGGTACCGTGCCATGCCCATATCCTGGATGCGAGATGAAGGATGCGCACAGCAATGAAATGCTTTTCAAAAACCACGCCTACCTGGAACATGGGATTGCACTACGACCAATAAAGCAAACAAGAAACATTATGGAAAGTCTCGAGACCGACCCATTATGTGATGAATCTACTTCGACTAGGTTCAACGAAAGTGAGAAAGAGGTGATTGCAAAGGATGACCCACACGACTGGGAAATCGGGGCCTACCATACAGGAACCACTCAGCACTCTTTGAGTCAATATCCTGCCTTCCCCAAGGACAACCCCCCCCACACAGGATTCTGCACCGAGTCTGGCGGTCTGATGATTCTTCCTGAAGAAGATTCAAATTCCAGCAAGGACATGCAGATGCATTCTTCTGATCACTGGGATAGCCAAGGCTTTATATCTAGGTCATCACAAGAGCTAGAGTTGTACGGTGATCAGTTACCCGTCCGATCCGATACAATGGAAGCATTCGGTAATGCTGAGACACAGTTCGCACCGATATCACCTTTGTATGGAAGACCAGGGTGCACAGATACATGGTCGGAATCAATCCCTTCAAGCTTTGACGCAGAGTTGCTAGATCCGCTGCTACGAGAAGTTGATGCACCTACCAGCTCCACTGTTCAGGTCCAGAACTTGGAGCCAGAACAAGAAGTCAGCAGCATCAACGATGCGACCGACTACCCTGTCGAATGCCTCGTCGAGAAACGCGGTAATATGTTCTACGTACAATGGAAAGATGGTTCATTGTCGTGGCAGAGCCGAGAACAGATATCTGATGATCTGACTAAACCGTTTGAGGCTTCTTGGAAAGGATACCATCGAGGAGTTACGGTGCTATACAGGAAAACGACAGGGACGGCCCCATTTCGAATTAAGTTCAAGGATTGGCCGTGGGGAAACGCCGCCGCCTGGGCCACTCCTAAGCAGCTTTGCCCCGACCTGGTATCACAGTGGCCAAGTAAGCCGAAGAGGCGAAAGTGTAAGAGATAGTAAATGGAGGCAGTTGGGTGTTATGACTGAACTCATGTGGCGACAGTCTGCAGTAAACAAGCCAACTAGGGCCATTTATTACGCTTAGATCTAGACCCCTAATTTATTCCACTGTATCTTTTCTCATGATCTTATGCTGCACATGTCAACCAGCTTACGAGGTTCTGGAAGGCATGACGATATCCTCTTATTCTCGCTGATTTACTCACACTAATCGATGCTTGCAGTACTCTCGGGTCTTGAGATAAAGTACCATACAGTCAGGTCAATTCATAGCTATGTCTATTGTACCCCTAAGTCTCGGTATCAATACGAAGCTGCCTGGAACTCCAGTGTGGGCCTCAAGCGTCGGATTGCATTGGCCAACGTCTTGTAGATCTCTTGATCACGCCCTTGTTTCAGAGCCTCAGCAACCCACTCATTCCGATGCTTAATGAAAGCCTTCCTGAACGTACGCAGATGAATCTCTCGGTCCTCCTTGTTGCTTCTACAAGGTGTTAGTACATTGAGAGATGTCAAAAGATTTCAAAACATACTGCTCTACCAGCTTCATTGCTTCCTGGACTTTGTCATTCTTGAGGATATTCTTGAAGATCCTATGAAGAAACTTTTTCATAGCGTCATTCTGATACGTCCTATTCTCTAGGCGTTTGCCGCGGGACAAATCTTGGTTCTTGTCGAACAGAATGAACATCTTGGGAGATCAGCTGTGTACCCAGGGCCCGAAGCCGTTTGGTTGTTGGTAGGAGTCGTGTGGGTGTGGCTAGCAGCTGTATGGGTGTGGATGGAAGCTATGTGATTGTGGCTGTACGTTGAAGAATCGTGGCAGTCGGGTAAAAGAGACAGAAAACAGAGTAAGAAGAGAAAGAAGAGTCGGTCGGGAAGTTTGCACCTTTTATCAGACTCTGAAACACATGACAGTACGGGACACACACCCCAGGCCCTCGTTCTTAGTACCGCTCGACCAACAGACTGCTGGCTCATATGAAGGATTACAAGGCTGTGTGTGTGCTCCTGTGCGATCGTTGGCCTTTTATTAGGCTGGTTTGACAGCTAGTGCTCCCGTGTCTGTCTGGTGTCATATAGTATAGTGTATGATAAGCAGATTAATGTGTGCAAAAGAGATTGGATCACGTCTTTGGTTCGATCCTAACTTCATATGGGTTAGAGTGTGGGCCGGGTAGCCCTGCTCAAGGCAGGGTGCTGCTTCCTTGAGCCGGTGCCATGGCTGCGTATGGTGACGTAAACCCTTCTTATGGTTTGCCATAAAGTCAGGGCTTACAAAAGGTATATGCCCCAAGTTGGAAGGTGTTATGCTTTTTAGACCTGTATTGAACTGAATTACAAACATGCCTCGCTATCTTGAAGAGGACTATAGTGTGATAATTACCTCAAGGCTTCGTCCTTTATATTTTCGCTATGTTCGGGCTCCACTCTATGCTACCCATGCGTACACCAAATCTCCCAGGACACAACAAGGATGTCAGAATCAAGACATACAGACTTTTAGAGCGTCAAGCTATTTTCCAACACCCTCTTATGTTGATAACAAGGAATTTCGCGACTGTGCGCCTGTTCCTCAAGTTAAGGAGAAGCAAGTGAGGTTTCAGCTACCCGGTCTTTCGAGTCCCGTTCTCCCAAGAGCAGAAGTGAGGGAAGGCTCTAGATATAGAGGGTGTGATTATTGCAAGTCCAATAGACGGTGAATCGGCTTGAAAACAGTCAGTGGCGAGAACCTAGTTTCAATAGTCAAATAGTTGCCTGGAAGCTACTGCATTCAGGCCGAATGACAGCAACTTGATTTTGAGTCTGAATGCTTAGCCTCATCACATTTGTTGAGTTGGCAAATCTCATGATGGATGCCAGGGTGGGAACTGTAGTATCCCGGATGCTAGGCCAGAGCCAGATTTTATCAACTAAACGTCGATACTGTGCATTTCTCTTGGGCGTTACAGATTGGATATGTGAGACATTTATCATCTCCAATTTCGGTAACATGGATAACAGCTTTTCCACGTCAGATATCGACCGTGTTGCTTCGCGATAAATGAACCGTAAGTAGCTCTGAAAAGCTGCATCGACAACTTCATCCGATATATGGCCAATACTAATAGCTTTCCCGCCAAATATTCGCGGGTGTCTCTCCCAGGTAGTCCGGTCGCAGAGTGGCCATGTGGCGTGATAAAGTGTTAGTTGTCTTATACATCCTGCTATAACGGGTTGCTCGTCAAGAAATGCGTGCAGCTCCTCCAGATGTTCTGCTGTGTTTACTACAGCGAAGCGCTGGAACAGTAAAGGGTAAATACTTGAAGCAAGTAAGCGGTTCACGAGACGCAGCTCACGGAGGGACGACAACGTTAAAAACGAAGCGATTTCCAGAACAATCTCTAGTGGAAGTTTCTCCATTGCGACTTTTCAAATGTAATGAGGCAAGAATGGCGGTTCCAAGACCGGTAAAACAGACTATGATATTGCTTGAGGGTGCCAGGGGGTAGCCGGGGCTCCGGAAATGCCAAATGCCGGGGTAACGGCTTACCCTTTGAACTCCATAGCATTCCATATATTTCAAGCCCACACCAGGGTGAGAGAGTACCTCGTAGTATGCAAAGCGTCAACATAAATCATGAAACCAAACACCCCTGTCTTAGCTCGTCTGGAAGCGCAGAAAAAAGCGAAGAGACTGGCGCTCAAGATACTGAGACGGCGACGGACGATCCTCAAGAATATTCATCGATTCTCAGAAGAGTTCGGACTGAAAGTCTATGTCCATCTAGAGAAGAACAGTAGATACGGCAGCTATGACGTGTATTCGTCGCATGATCCGTTGCATCCAACCATCGTAAGTTTGAATCTCATTCTCTAGAATAAGTACGCGTTCTGTATAGCGCTAATGAAAAATAGGCACACTGTTATCCAGTGCCTAGATTGTATACATCAAACAATATTGCTACTTTATGGAAGGGAGAAAGTGCTAAAGAACCCTAGACTGGTAGTGTCCAACATGTATACATTGGTTGTTTAGGCATTGTCTGCCACTTTCTACTACCCCTTTAGTGTACTGTCAGAAATGCTTAAGTTGTGTGAAGAAAAAACGTTTATATAGGAATGAAACTTAAATAAAGCTAATAGAAGATTATGCTAAAACTGTTACTAAAGGAGAGGCACTTTATATATCAGTAACAGATCTGACAGCCAGTACAGGGGTCCTGGAATGGAGACAAGAAGTCTAGTATACAGTGACTCCCTCAATCAGCATGCGCTCAAGTTCCTGAATGAACCTGTTGACATCTGTAAACCATTCTTCCAGCGAGCCACTGAAAATACTGATGCTCGACGCAACCTCAAGAGCCACCAGTCGCTCTATCCAGGTTTCCGTAGCATCGCGGGGGCTTTTCAGCCCACGTAATAGCAACGAGGAGAAGCTAGGGTATTGTAATAGCCAGAGCATCTGCCGGGATGATGCTCTAATCGTAATGAGCTGTGATGATTCATTTTTGGAGCTCTCTTTCCAGATGTGATCACTATCATAATATATAACAGACCTTTGGACACCATCCTTACACCCATAAGACAAGCAATTGGAGGATAGTTGTGATGGGGTTTCTCGTGTCTCTTGAGTATCTCCGTAGATGTTTCGAAGGCAGCATCGCAATTCGCGTATTCCGATATCCAGTCTCACATCTCCAGAGCTCCTTGCCCGAAAAGCGGCGAGTGTCTCTACACTCCCAATTGCGAGGATCTGAATGAATGACCAGCACCTCTTGGGCGGAGAAGACTCAGCAAGTTGCCACAGGATGTACCGTTCATGCATCTGCTTTGAGAACCACACAATCTTTTCCGCATGAGCATCTGTTTTAAGAAAGACAGTGGAATTTAATGCTTCAGAGTGCATGGCAGTGATGTCCTGCAACGGTTCAACATGATGGAAGACAATGTCTTGACAAATGACAAGTACAGCATCAATGCATGTACAAATCAGAATTTCTTTTTCGTGTTCCATTTCAACCGACAAGATCAAATAAAGACACTGGCAATACAGGTTGCTCAATAAAGGGAATATTCATTATTATTAAGTACGGTTTACGGCGGCCAAGACCTCCTTAGAATAGGACTTCTATGCCGCAGCCCAGGCTCAGGCTTATCGAAACACAGGCTAATAGATATTTGCGCCGAAACCCGGGCTCCTGGACGAGCGCCCAATGAGTATGCTGCAGGCTACAGAAAATGAAATCCTGACGTCAAAAGGGCATTCGCATGTATCAGTTCTGAGCATTCTGTTTTGCGGCTCTGTGACCCAAGAATAGCAGCGTCAGCGCCAAACCCACCCCATTTTAAAATAAACGTCATAGCCGCGCTTTCGGCCCCGTGCGTCATAGGCCTGAAAACCCGACCACCACCATCTTGGTCCAAGTACAAAAACCATCAAATGAGTAGCAGACAACCCTAACATAATGAACATCTTCCTCTGCATCATCCCACCCGCAGTCATTTTGTCTTGTTCTGTACGTCTCACAGGCTTTCATTTGGTATTACTTCACAAAGGACCAAATTCACAGCTCTTTGAACTACCTTTCACAATCTATTATTTTCTCATGCGAGATGGCCTTCCGCCGGTCACGTCAGTCTGGGCTCTGGCGTTCAGATGATCAGAAAATCCAACGAAGTTTCACCGGCCGGAGAAATACACTCATTAAACTGATTATGGCAATAAATAAACTTCCAAATACACGATTCGGTCTCTACGGGGAGCACAATGGCAAATGGCTCAAGGTTGAGCCAGACGAAAAGTTTTCTCACGACACTGGTGTCACGATTCAGGTACACGAAAACCTAGGTCACAGCCACCAGCATACTATATCGCGACCTATCTTTGAGGAAACACCGACCACTTCCGAAATATTTCCCACCACTGATCTCATTGACCTGACTGGGGATATTTTCAGAGAGGGCGAAGCGGACGGGATGTACTCTATATAACATTCATAAGACTGTTATTACTACAGTTATGTGCATTAAAGGCTTCCTGTATTGTAAACTAGAGGACCCAGACAGTGAGAATTGTGCTTAATCTTTACTGTGTACGCGATACAATCCGTATCTGGCTTACTAAGTACATTGAATTTTATTGTGGGTATCATTAGCTAAGCTTCGAAGGCGGTGAGGAGCAACCCTGCATCAGCAGAAAGCAGTTCCGAGGAGGCCAAAACGAATTTCCCCCGAATGTCATTGACAACAATTGCTGGACGCAATACACAGAGCGCACTCTGATCCCCACGTTGCCTGCCAGCTTTCGCCCGTCGTCCTATTCATCTTCTAGCTTTCCTTCACGCATTCGCTCATCGAGCAATACGCGTTCTGAGCTGCAAGGATCAGTGACCGGACGGGCTACTGTCAGAGAGAGGCCTGTCGCGTTCGTTGTTTTGTAAGTGCCATTCGTGTCCTGATTGCCTTTCTACAGGCATGTTGACGTTTCTGCCATAGACGACGCAATTTGTCTTAACTATAAATAGCACAGCAATCATACTTGCGCCTGCGACGTGCTTCCGATCTCTATTGTTCCATCAATCGGCTGATGGACCCGACTCGCATGCTCATTGTCGTGAAAGGGGGCAATTTAGTCTGGCAGGAAGCGTGGGACACACCGCAAACAATCATCACCCGAGTTTTGAAACACCTCGAATACGATAGCCTGATCTCACCAGACGACAACTACAGCAGCCCTGATTGTCGTTTGGTAGCAGTAGAGCGTTGGGATTCTATGATATTCATTATCTGCGATCTATATCATCAGGAATATGATTGGAACAATGCACATAAAGATGGCATGAATGAATTGCCTGTCAGACAGGTCAACGTTGGTGGAGACGGCGAACACGTTACAATCAAGGCTCGGACGCACACAAGACGGATCAGCCAGGTCGACAGGTCACTTCGGGACCTTCATGACAAGCAGGGTTGGAAATCGAAACCGCCATATAGAGTTGATCACGCCCATGGAAAATATCCTGTCTATCGCGAACCAAGGTCACAAGTACTTCAGCCGCAGGTAGCTACATCTCTGTCTACTAAAACTACTCGGGTTGAATCAAACCATATTATGTATTAGATACATCCCCAGTCGAAACTCTTCTTGCTATCCTCGAGTCTATTCACTGCTTGTATCAGGAGTTGGTAGACTGTGTTCTGCACAGTAGCCAAGCTCAACCTGGAGTACAGAGTTTGCATCACCGATCGCATGTTCTGCTCCCTCACATCTCACTGTGATCCTCTCTTCGATCACAGCATCACACTTTCGACAGCGTTTGCGTACCCAAGTGCACATTATCTTCGTAGCACAACTGTTAAAAATGGTAATTCGTGCGCTTAAGAGTGGCAAACTCACAAAAGTATCGACAACTCAGTAGTTTATTGTAGTTTATTGAACAGGAATAGAGTTCTTAATAGGTTGCTTTGAATTCAAACTGTAGATCCTCTATGATGTCACGCAATCAACATTTCATGAGGGGTCAAGGCTGAAAGTGACGGGAATATATTCTGCCGGTGCCGGACCCCCACCATGATGAGTTGGGAGTGAGGGGCTTAGGTTCTCAATCTTCCGCAGCAACAATGGCACCTAGATTGTCCAAAATCCAGCGAACAGAGCTCCAAAATATCATCATCAGTAAGTTGAAGGGCGAGGAAGTTATTAAAGACAAGGACATAGCTACGATAACCATTCCCTGCTCCACTCGAACCGTCCGTAACACACAATCGAAGATCCTCCAACATGGCACAATCAACACCCCTCGTAAGACTACCGGCCGACCCAGAGAAGTCACAGAAAATATGTGGCTTGCCTTGCAGAACCATTTAGAACAATATCCTTGCACAAGTCAAGAAGCCATGGCCGAACTTCTTCATAAACAATATGGTGTTACTGTGTCCCGATTGATAATAAGTAGAACGCTGAAACGAGTCGGCTGGACCAAGAAGGTCACACAGAACATTGCCAAAGAGCGTAGTCAAGACCTATAAGATGATTACATTAAGCAGCGATCCTATTATAAGCCCGAGCAGATGATTTTCATCGATGAAAGTGGAAGCGATCGTGGTCTCGTGATACTTAGACGGGGCTACTCTCCAAAGGGAGTGACTCCAGTGCAGACCAAGCATTTCCATCGAGAAAAGAGAGTACAAATCTTGCCAGCATACACTATAGACAGAGTGATTTACTGTAAGGTATATGAAGAGAACATAGAAGTTAATATGGTCGAGGCGTTCCTGAAAAAGCTTCTGTCTTACTATCATAGTATTTCGAGCTAGAGTTTAACAGAATCTCTGTACCCTGTACATAAGCCTGAATAGTCAGGCTTAAACGCCTTGCGATCAGGAGAGTGGTTAATTAATCTACAATATCAATTGTGCTCTTATTATCAGGGAATGTCATATTATCTCTGGGAGACAGGTAATTCACTTGCTGTGTCTCTCCAAATGGCTTTAACTGACCTTGTCAACCAGCCATTACAAGTTTATAACCAGATGAAATTCTAGAATATCATTCCACCAGCTTAGACGCTGCTATAATTTCGAATAAAAGAAGCTCAACTAAACTATTTCACCACATAAGGTAGGCCCTACGTCCCTTTTATTTAGGTAGCTAAGCAACCCTATCTTATCTAAACGCTCCGAGCCGTCAGGATCTGAGATAGCCGTCCTCTAGGTTCCTATGACCAGGCACAATAGCTTAACTTGCACTTAGCAGACTGGGGCGAGAACGGAATATGTACTCAACTGAAATATCGATATTCTTAGACTAATGCAGTATTTCACAAAAAACATAAAATGATAATACCAATCAACTTACACGGTCTGACTATAGTGAAAAGAAAAGGTAATTCAAAGAAACGAATCCGCACGAAGCTCTGGATCCTCAATCTCGTCATCGGAGTCAACCTCAATAACTTCATCAACAATCAGTGATGCATCACGCGGGTCACGGAGACCGGCAGCCGTTCTAGCCTCCAAGATCCCATTTTGCACGTTCTTAATGCCAAACTTAATTTCCAGAGTAGTTCGAACCCAGCATGTCATGAACCGCTTGTCTTTGTCAGGTACCCTGACAAAACCGACGGCGTAGATCCTCGGAAATGGAATGCTATGACCGTCGTTTCCTCGTTTGGTCTGTGCGTATGACCAGTGGTTTATTGTGATTTGAGCCCATTTGATGTTATAAAGATCTTCCTTTTTCGATATAGTTAACCATTTCAATGGTTCGCCATTTCGGAAAGATGTTGTCTCTTTTGGAAATTGATTGGTTCGGAATAGGTTATACCTCTCTGTTCCCAGAGGTTGTTTCTCCAGACGCGGCATTCTTACATCGAGCCAACCATCCCAGCCGTACTCGATCGTCGCCTGTACACGCTTGCCTCCTTGATCTGGGTCATTAACCCAGACTTGGTCCCAGCCGTCCACCTTCGATGACTTTTTGGGTCTGGATGTATATTGTTGACGATCTTGGAACGGCGACTTGCTGAGACGGCTTGTTTTGCGCTGATCTCCTCGTGCCTTCACTATTCGTGGATTATGTTGCCGATATGCAACATACGTTGTGTACAACTCTTCATCTTTGAAATATCTACTGTCCTCGATTATTTGAAGTATCTCAGGACATTTTCTCCCAAAGTCTGCAGCCGCTAGTCGTAATGCATCCGCTTTCTGTTCTGGATGTTGCCTCAGCTCAAATTCTAGATGAAATTTTATATCGGCCCAGTCACAGCCATCAAGGTGACAGGACTTGGCGATGAGTTCCCACGAGGGGTCTTTGAGCTTGATTGAGCCATCATTTATTAGTTTTGTGAGTAAGGGCCATATTTTCTCAGGGTTTCGACCTGTAGACCCCTTGTCACTGGGACTATCTTTTCTCTTGCCCTTGTGAAGTTTGCGGAATTCGTCCAGTGCCGCCTTGGCTTCGTTGCTACCTTCTTCTTCCCATTCATCCGGGTATGAAATATCCTTAGGAGCCTTGGCTGCTAGGGATTTAATTGCTTCTGATATGTCAGCTGGACAATCTAGAACATCTGGTATGATGGTCCTGAACTCTTCAAGCTGTTTGGCTAGCCTGATGAGTTCTGAGTTTGCGTCTTCTCCTTCTTCTTCGGCCTCTTTTTCATGCTGTTCTCTAGGCATGGGATATTTCTCCTTCACCTTCTCCACGGCCGCTTTAAATTCTGTGATGCTTTTCTCCCATTTTTTCAAGAATGGGGTGTCCCTCAATTTCTTGTTTTCACCCTTGTTTTTGATCTCCACCTTTGGGTCAGGACATAGTCTCTTAAGATGCTCGTGAAATTTGTCGTGATCTTCTATATCTTGGACTGTTTTCACTGGCTTATTGAATGCATTTAGAACTCTACGAGCGTCTAAATCTTCAATAAACTCAGTGTTGGCAGACATAGTTGAGAAGTTTCTGTTAAGTGGTCAAGTAATATTTCTCATTCTTCTCGTAGTGAGTATTCCTTCCTTTTATCTTGGCTGGAAGCCATGGTTACGGCTGCCGGTCCATATCCAGGCTTAAGGCATTTCGGTACACAAGCCCGGAGTTGGAGAAGTGTATCCCAGACCGTGGCCTCTACTGTGGAACATATATCATTAAAAACATCGAGAATTACTTACTAAAAGACAAGTTCCCCATTTTCTCTTTGTTTGACTAGTGATGGCGACTATCACTGTGATTATAGCGTCTGTATTGGGTACGCTCGCTTTGTATCCCGTCTACAAGATTGTCTTGTGCTGCCACAAATTGCTTCGACGTGATCGGAACTTTCGATACGTCGAGCGTCGCTTCCAGTATAGCCTACTTCGTGGTACTAGGATTACCTGGACCGGGGGAATTCTCATTCTGCTCTATGCTCTGATCAACGCTGCGGTTTTGATTTATTTGCGGAGCCAGCTGGAAAGGTGGGCTGGGATCATAGCGACAATTAACTCAATTCCTCTCTTCCTGGGAGGACGGCAAAATGTTGTCATTCGATACTTTGGACTAAATGCCCATGATATTATGCACTGTACTGTTGGAATGATTGTGATAATTGAAGGCTTCCTACACGCGGCGCTCGCAGCCTATCGAGCCCGCCTTTCCACCTCAATCTGGGTCTATATAGTAAGGAGTCACGCTTTAACGTCAGAGATATACTAACAAGTACAGGCTGCTTCATCACTTATAGTGATACTATTGACCTCTTTCTTTCCTATTCGTCGGCGACTTTGTCACGTCTTAGGCGGTGCTACTTGGTGGTTTTCTCACGTGCTCTTCGCCATTGCAAGCCTGGTGGGGATGGCTGGCTACATCGGAGTGCTGCACCCTGTTGCTGATGCAAGCCTCTCCGCTATAATTGCTATTTATCTGAGCGGTGCTCTTTGGATCGGAGGGCTCGTCGTCCGATACTTCACCCGGCGCCGCATGGTTGCGTATATCGAGAGCGACATCAAGCACCATGACTCCACTGAGATCCGAATTCATCATAAGAAACCACTGTCTCTCTTCCCTGGCTGTTACTTCTATCTCTCTTATCCAAGCAACTTTGGGTTTAAATCTCTACATTTCAGCATGTTTGTAAACAGTTTAGCCCTGACGCCTACAAGAGACCCCGGAAATAATGATGGCCAAATTTCATTTGTCCTTTCGCATAGGGACTCTAAAGCACGGCTTTTGCGATTTCCTGTTGGTCAGCAAATTCTTCTAGACGGGCCTTATGGACAAGATATTGATGCTACAGCTTGTACGACGATGGTGCTTGTAGCTCAAGGTGCTGGGATTGTCGGCGTTCTTGCCTTCGTATGCCGTCAGGTGGAACGATTTAAAAGTAAGAGTGACCGAAAAGAGAAGCTTAGAGTGGATGTCCTTTGGGTACTCGATCATTACATCCAGCAGGATTTAGTCGGAAGTCAACTCAGAGAGCTGCAAGAGTTGGATCATTGCAGTGTAAGTTTCAATGCCACTAATAATGCATGCGCTAATATGTCAGAACACTGTCGTATGGCTTCTTTACCCGCCACATACGAACGACGCAGCTATAAAGCTGCCATTCAAGGCGAATGACAACTACTGGGCTTGGTACAAAACAGATGATTATCTAGCCTATCTTAGAAGCTTGATGCAAGACTGTCCGTCTGAAAATTGTATTGTGATAGGTGAGAAGCAGCCTTACTTCCTAAATATCCTGGCTAATCGACTCCAGCCTGTGGGGATCCAAAATTCAGCGCTACCGTGCGCAGGGAAATAGCAGCCAAGGTGGAGCCAGCCCTGCGATTTGCTGAGGTGTCTTATCGGCCTAGACAACCATCAATTCGTCGGCCCTCGGATGAAGAAGCGGACTTGGCTTCAGACAGAAGATCTGCTTTGACCCATACCAAGCGAAATCCGACCGCTAATGGCAGTATGCGACCGAAGATGAAACGCAATGTCTCGGAACAAGACTTGGAGGAGATTGAATTGACTCCAGCTCGGCAGCCACAAGCCGGACTAATGTAGTTGGGGTGGATGCCAGAAGCCCGGACATGGGATGGCCTAAGTACAGGCGCTATATGGTATATTCTTAAGCACTAGATAGTCAAGCAATTCCATTAGTTACTCGGCGCACTTTTTCTGAATAATGCGACTTGCATGTATGTAAACAAAATGGAAAGGCCAGTGGGAATCATTCAGGTACCAATAGAAGCGTTCGAATACTTGCCTGGTGTTGGGAGGGACCTGGATCACCAAGTTGTTAACAACCTAACACATCTTTTTCGGCGTGTCAAATGCCACCCGAAAAGCTGGGTGCATCATGTTGCAGGGCTGATTGATGTCAGGACGTATTACGAAATCCTCACAGCGCTGACATTATCTCGGCAGCAATTTAGCAAGACGGTAAATAAAGGAGCGGAATATCGCAGGCTGTCTCTCCAAGCGAAGTCAATAATTTGTCTTCAAGGCAAGCACCGTCTCGCCGCAGCAAAAAAAGTCTTTGGAAAACAATATTTCTGGACAGTACGACTGTATTGCCCCAGAGGTAAGTGTAAGATCGCGGCTGCATTAACAAAGCTAAATCTCAATAGATAAAAATGACCCCCTTATGCGTATACAGACACAAGGATTCTTTCACCAGACGCCGCTGTCAGATGGAGAAATCTACTGGCTGTTACGCTGTTACAATTATCGTTGTGGACAGGACACCGACCCCCCCTGGACCCAGCTGTCACCAAGCAAAGAGAAGAACCTACATATGCTCACACGGATTACAACCGATAGGGGCATCACGCTTTACAAGCATCAAGGCATTCTATACGCGCTAGACTCAGTCATATCACTTTTTGCTCTACGAAATGGGCTGCGGCTCGGTAACTGGCATAAAATTCTTAGATTGAGGTGCCCTGAACCAGTGATACACTACCTGAATCGTATGCGTCGTCAATGGATAGCAATAGCTCAGAATGTGCCTGGCTTCTGCGCAGAGCCCAGCGATATCCAAATACTTGAATTCCTCGCTCCTTCGATTCCTGGTGATCGAAGTAAGATTCGGCATTTGATGCAAGAGAACCTTTTGTTTCCTACGATCACCGACCGTGCTTCGCGAGAAGTTACTCTCCAAAACATCCTCTCAGTGGAAGGCATTATCACGAGTATGAAGACATTCCACACAAACATGAACTACTTTGAAATCGCGGTAGACGTTTTAAGACAGCATATCATGCAGGAAGGGGAGGAAGCGAAGCACTCAACGCTTTTCCAGAACTTGTCTGCCCACTGGGATCACACCAAAGCCGTCGTGGAGTATAAAGAAGGACACTTTCGCCAACTGACTACTACCAACTTCAAAACAGCTGTAGTGCAACTATTTTTGTTCGTGCTAAGGCATTTCCCATATTTATCAAATGCGCAGCCACTGCAGGACGGACGAGGAGTGAGGGCCGTAGCTGCTGCAGCCGATGAGTATTTTCTCTATCGATTATACACCTTAGCCAGCCGGTTGGGGTTTTCTACTACCAAGATCCGTCAAGGAATCAGAAAGAGGAAATCACAATACTGGCCTCGAAGGTATGTAGTCAATGAGCATCATCGGAGATGGAGAGGTGGAAAGCCGCCTATGAGAGCCTTCCTTGACCTGGAGACGCAAGCCTTTCTGCCTGCTATAACGCAAGCCGAAATAGACAAGGATACGCCATTATTCGTGCAAGCTGACTTCATCAGCGCATTTTTTGGTAAGGTAGTCTATCACCTAGAGGAAGAGATTTTATCCGATCATGATTCTCCTCCTCCTTCTTCCAACAACTCTTGGTATACTGGGGTCACCGACCAATCCTGGTCCCCAACAAATGCCTCGAAGCATCAAGAGGAGAGAATCTCATCCAAAGCTCAAGAGCGATATCAGGACGAAGTGTCATATCCAGATCTCCGAAACATATCCAATGGCCAAGACTTAGTTTCATATCCGACACTGCCAGATGTAACAGATTGCCAAACTTCAGTTCTAGGATTTAAAGGTGACCAGAACCAAGGTCCGTACAGTCCACCGCACCCCATTCCTGGACGTTCCTTACTTCAAGATCCCGGAAGTCAAAAAAAGTCAAATTCTGCCAGACAGTCGTTAGGACATTTAAGTACAACTCACCCTGCCCACTCTCTTTTCATCACGAATGGGCACGATGCTCCACTTATCACTGTTCCCTTCCCTCTACCTCCTACTGCTCCAATCCTCCCTCCAGGTACCACTTCCACTTCCTCTATCATAACTACTCCTCCACCTACTACAGCTCCTATTCCTCCATCTAATATTACTTCTACTCCTCCTCGACCTCCTACTGCTCCAATCCTCCCTCCAGGTACCACTTCCACTTCCTCTATCATAACTACTCCTCCACCTACTACAGCTCCTATTCCTCCATCTAATATTACTTCTACTCCTCCTCGACCTCCTACTGCTCCAATCCTCCCTCCAGGTGCCACTTCCACTTCCTCTATCATAACTACTCCTCCACCCACTGCGGCTCCTGTTCCTCCCAATCCTACTGCTTCTATTGCCCCATCAACTGTCTCTCCAACTCACTCCGCTACCACTACTCCTGCTCAGCCCATAGGCTTTATCCGTAATCATCCTAATGCTCCGGATCATGCTTCCTGTTCGCCTCGGCCTGCAACGTCGCCCTCGGTGGTGGTTGATCCGCATCCTCTAAGCACACTTGCTCGGCCTTCTCGCAACCCGGCCCCCGAATACATTTCTCCAAGGATTTCCGCTCCTACTCGCCCCCCTATTCCTCCTCTGAGTGGCGCTATGGCAGATTCCCCCTCGAACAGCTCGTCAAGTTCTACTTACAGCATTTCCCATCAGTCATCTCATGACGATGGTATCCAGACCAGACCTGAAATAAGAAATGCTCCGAGGTTTCGGACTAGAGTTCCACCAACAGTGCCATCAAAACGACCCTCACCAGAGGTTGAAGAACGAGATGACCGACGAACTCGTCCACACTACAATGAACAGCCTCCAACCGGCCCGCCACGGCCTCCAGAGCTCAATGCAGTATCCGCCAATAGCTCTAAGACACCACACAACCAGGCACTGGGCAACCCCCTGTTGTCCGGGCTTCCCAGTGCCGGACCAGCTGCACAAATGATCCCCGACTTTTCCGACGGGAGACCCTCTGGTGTATCTAACACAGGGACTCATAATGCAGGCATGACGCAAGGTAGAAATCTAACGGCCAGGAGAATGTCAAAGACAGGTTCTACACACACCGCTGATATCGAACGGGGGAGGTCTCAAGGATCCTATCGAAGAAAGAACTGGTATATGCAGAAGCAAAAGCTTTCATGGCAGCGACATTTCCAGCAGGGTGCAGAAAACACCAGCCCAACCTCTAGAGATGCGTTTTTGGCTGAGCAAGGTCAGCTCTTCGATGACTTCTACGCTAAGCAGCAGAGAACACCATCAAAAGATGCATTTCTTGAAGAACAGCAAGCTGTTTTTGAGCAATTTCGAAACTTTCGCCCAACCGAGCCACATGAAGGACACGACATTGAACTTCCTGATCGGCCCAATTCGGCGGAAGAATTTATGAGCTGTCAGGAAGAGCTTTACCAAAGATATCCCGGTAGGCATCCAAAGCTACTTCCAACGCATAGTTCCAGCAGCAGCGGATCTTCAGCTGCGCCTCCAAAAGAACACCAGACGCCGATCAATCCATGGGAATATCGCGAGTCACAGCAATTCTAATGGATTCTAAACATCACCGGGAGTCACAATAAGTAAGATGCAATAAACTAGAGCTCTTTTCATTTAGAAATATTTATACCTACATTTTGCTAGTCTGAAATATAAGTTATAACTTGGTATTAAAACAAGCAGACCGTTCACATAAAATATATACATAGTACAAATTCATTTAAAGAGCAATTCATTATTTGTTCAATAGATTTATATGTAAGAGAACTACCGCTCAAACCCCTGGTATATGGTTATAAGGTCATCAATTGTTTCTGCGGCGACATCATCTGTAGTGTTGCCCTCCCACGAACCCTTTCCCCGCAGATCTTCTAGAGCTACGTGCACATTGTTTGCGAAGATGTTAAGCAAATCTTCCTTTTTGCTCTCTCTCTGAATGTATTTGGTAATTTGCTGCTGCTGGGAGGCTATGATGCGGTCTTTTTCAATCCCTTGTCTCTTCTGCGCAATGATATCCTGCCGGAGGTCTTTTACCTGCTTTTGCAGGGTGTTAATCTGAGCTTCCGACCAGCTCAGAGGGCGCTTAGGCTTACGATCATGGTCTGGAGCGACACTTCCAGCAAGAAGAGGGCGGTGTTTTAGCGGGGGCGGCGGGGGTCGCAGGATGTCCCCTTCAGGAATTATCGGCAATGCCTTATTTTGGAGTGGTAAACCTTGATCATAAAAGGATGGCGTAGAAGCACGGGATATTGGTGAGATTGCAGTCATATTGGACAAGCCGGGGATGATGGTTGCACACTGTGCCTTCAACAACTGCATCCAGTGAAGCACGCGAGACAGTATTGGTTTGAGTGCTATGTGGAACATCTGATACAGAAACAAGGGAGATACGATCGTACTCCAAAACATTGGATGAAAATAATATAAAACAAGAGTAGGGTATCCAGATTTCATAGTCTGGCCCGGTGAGCCATGCGTCTGGCCGGCAGCCACAGTCCCGGCCTCTGGCACAGAAGTCGAGACGATGGTGATTAAGGCTTGACCAGGATCCTGCCACTTATGGCTTCATTCCATGTGTATCCTTCGCCGCCTGTTCCGCAAACGACTCTCTCGATGTGGTGTATCTGATGGATGCCCCTGCACCAAAACTTGGTTGCAAACCCACTACGTTGTCCTGGTAGTGAAGAGGGATACCAACGGCTTTAGCGATCTCTAATAGGCTTTTATTCACCGTGACAGACCATCGCTTCATAGCTCGTTGGATGGAAGCCGTGGTCTCGTACGTGAGCTGTGTAGTGTGCTCAAGCTTTTCCAGCCGTTCACTATACACTCTAGACCATCAACACACGTCATCGGACGGAATAAGACACTGACTTACCTCAGAAGAGAAATGTCTTGCGCTTCATAATTTGTCGACCTATTTCCTGCAGCAAGGCTTGCGTCTTCTAGAAGCACGTTGTGAAATGGGTTTTCAGTATTTGTGACAAAAAGCCCAGAGCTGTCATCTGACATGATACCATGGCTTGCGTATTGATAATCGCCTTCCACGATAGGTCCATTGGCAAAAGACTCGCCATTGTTGGATGCTGTATTGCTGGTCGGGTGAAACAGATCTTCATTCTGGGCTGCCAAGAAGTCGTCGATCCAAGACCAGTCAGCAGGTAGGGAAATACCGTCGGGCTCCATAGTGAGCCGCAAACCAGGCTTGTGAACTTAGGAGTGACTTAATCCGGGCAGCAGGGTACCAGGTAAACGGAATGCAGGCAAAAGAGAGAGTTCAGTCAAACAATGTTTGCCAGAAGCCGGGTATGTGGACGATCTAGTCTCTATTTAAGCACTTTCATCCCATCGTAATGTAACCAGACATATCACCTGTTCAATCATTTGCTCCTCAACTCCCTAGCCATATCTGATCACCTACAAGAATTATCGACATGTTGCTATTTTTGCTTTACTGGTTCCTCCAAGCGGCTCAAGGGCTGGGCCTCAGCCAGCCAATCCTGTGTACCAACAACCCCCCTCTGTGGTTGATAGCGGGCCAATCAGAGGCTTCTGCAATGTACGTTGGTTCTTTTTACCCCCATCTCTGGAAACTGAACTAACTAGCCGTATTCTAAATAAAGACATGAGAATCCCTTTGGGCTTAAATGCCGCGCGCTTCTGCAATTTTCTGACTCTGGTTACCCGCCCATTAGCTATGCATTTAGCCCAACTTCATCTTGCAACCAAGAAAATATCAGCTTTGTTGTCCCTCTTGGCGCCCCAAATGGAATAGCGTCTATTATTTGGTATATATCGATTGGGTTATGTGTCTGAGTATGGGAGCTAACACCATTGACAGGGAATGCGAAGAACAGCCACCAAATTGTATTACTGTGATAATCACCAATGGTCGGCGAGACCTTATGTTCTCTCCAAGACAGATCGGAACTGTAACATGTTTAGATGGTGCTACCGCTGAGACAGGCGAACGGTGCTCTATTGCGCCTCAGGCCAGTCAGACACAGTCGGCTGTGGCCTCAACAAGCCGTGTAAGCTGGAACTCTACAGGGAGCAACCGAGCACCACATGAAACCAATACTCCTCTGTCCACCATAGTCACTTCGGTTGCTGGAAGGACGGAACCTCCCGGATCGATGTTTTTGACCATCACGCAGACATTGACCTCACTCCTTACCACTACTGTGCTTTCTTCCTAGATTAGTACGCAGAAATGACTGCTGGCAGTCTTGGGTTAGTCTAGCGCTGGCTCGCTTGTTTCCTAGTAAATTCTTAGTTGTACTTGATGAATTCCTAGTAATAAACAAAGATTCAAACGCTCCATAATGATTACCAGGAACCCCGCATTGCCTTGCTTCAGTTCCTGGTAGACTGTGTCCACCATGCGTCCGTTCCTGGTAACTCCCATTGGCCGAAACTGGTAGTTACCAGTAGCCTCACAGTACCGTGTATTTGTTCCCAGTAACCGCCGTGCGCTAAGCGCCCATTACCAGTAATTTGCATCCTAGAAACTAGTGTTCCTAGGAATGCCAAGTCCAGAAGCCAGGGTCCCGGCGTCTACGAACCTGAAACATGCAAAGCTCGCCTGCATGACGGGTGGCACACCTGCTCTATTAATAGCTCAGTAATGAAAGACATACTTATCAACTAGCGATAGGCACTTATTGTTTTCAAAACGGTCATTCATATTAAACTATCTGGTGTATATCATACTTTTCCCCTCGACCGACTGCATACTGTATCTAAATATCTCTCGATAACCCGTATCATCCGCACTAGTGGACGTTAGTAAGCATCCAACAAGAATGTAATCCAACTCACAATCATAGTGTTTTTCAGCATCAGCAAGCTGCTGACGCCAGTAAGAGTAGTCTGAGTAGTCGAGGAGATTCTCTATATATGCTCGGCGAAGTTTTGCATGGAGATACGGGGCTTCATTTCGCACAGATTCGTCCTTCAACTTCTTACGAACCATACGAGTGAGTTCCCATCCCGACTTGACCGCCGTGATCAGGGCGGCATGAGTAATGATGTCGGCTATAAATTTACTGACCATCATTGGTTGGCGCTGCACCAGGCAGAAAAGCGGATTGAGAGAGATTCAGTGCAGATACTTTCCACGTCAGTAGCTCTTCTTCAATTTGGTCTTGTCGTCTTTTTATCCAGTGTTTGTAGCCTTGGAAATCCTCTATATAATAGGCTTCTGGCGAAGAGAAATCGAATGAACAATCCGGCAGTGGCAGCGGCGGTAGTCTCCGCGGATAGGGAGTCCCAGGGCGAGGTAAAGCCTGAGGCACTACCGATGCACAATGAATTTGGAGGCGTAGACGACAATCTTTCTCGGCCATGATGAAGTGGATCAAGAGTGCTACTCAAAGTGTGCATTCGCGAACATCCGAGCCTTTTGTACTCCAAGGGGCCGGGTCCCTGGTAGATTCTCCGGCAACCGGGCAAACGGCAAGAGCCAAGAGCCTGGCAACCCACAGGCCCGGCCTGAGGCAAATCTGCGTGCAGTATTAAAAGCTCCTGGTACCAAAGCACATAGCTAATAGGAAGAGATCTTATACCGCATTTATATTGACACAATGCCGTTGACACATGACGAGAACCCTCCCCTGCATAATAGTTTGGCAGCATTGGCCACTTGGCTTCTATTGGCTGGCTTCTATCTTCTTCCTGGAGCATTCTCTTCTGTTGAAAAGTCTGACCTAGCGCAGACAGTCATCGTACAAAAGATCTCACCCGCCCGGGCTGTTTTTCTTCCCGCTCTGGCAGGTACGGGATATCTTATCGGTGCTTTCGGCATCTATCGGCTTTGGGGCAGATATCGAGCTGATAATATATGGCTTTTGGATCATCTCATCATGTATGTAGAGTTCTTCGGCTCTAAGACAAAGCTAAGCGTAACAGACCAGTCATCAGTGCGTCTATCAATTCTCTGGGGGCTATCATCATGAATGTCTACACGGCCCACGCTGGCAATTGGTCGGCTCCTGCCATTTTCGCGTTGGTCCTAACGACCTCGAGCTTTCTCGGTGCATTTATCGGGTTCTGTGCTGTTCAATATCGACTAAGACAAAGCCGAGCATCACCACCGAAAGGCAGTTAGAAGAGGTTAAATAGTTTCATATCACAAGATCTATCCTAATAATGATAGCATTGTGCCGTGTCTCTACTCTAGTTCGTGTTTAGCTATGGGAAGCGAGAGGTGCCTTTGTGAAATTGTATGAGCGTAACAAAGAGAGAGATATAACTATTGCTCTTTGGTGGCCTCCTGGCTTACCTGTCTATGAACCGCGAACTGATATGTCGATCTACTGACATCAAGTTGCCTGTGCCAATCATAATTGCCATCCGCCTATGGCATAAGCTGGGGGTGGCGATCATGCAAATTGAGCTCATCATGCTATCTTTTTACTCTGTAATCGATTGATCGGAGGGCCACTGTTGTCCACCTACACATGAGTACCAATTGTCCCAGTATAAACCCGGAATACCAGTCTCCCATCTTCTCGGGCGGCCCGATTTTTCCGAGGAGGGTGCAATGTGGAGGCAACCGATAAGCATCTTCTGGGTTTAGCATTTCGGTTCTCTGGAGAACTGAAATACCTCTTGCAGCCTGTTTCTCTTCTTATCATTGGGCATCGCTCCCTGAATGAGGAGCCAGACTTGCATGATGCGGCCCGCTAGGCTGTCCAATCCTTTACGAGTTACCACCATGCATGCGCTTCAATGGCCCATGTATCACACCTCCGCAGCCCTTGGCTGGTGGTAAGGGAGCGACACCATAACCTTCCTGTGGCTTGCACAATGTGAATCAAAGGGCAGCTACATTGGCCACTGCACAGCTGAACTGACTTGATCCCCTCGTGACCCGAGTGAACACACCATCCCATCTATATAAGCTGGCTTCTTCGCTCTTTCCCATGCTCCTGATTTTCTCTTCCTTTACCTTCCATCGTGTACCTTCATCAGCTCTTCATCGGCTATCCTCCGAAATCTCCAAAATCGAAAACTAGGCCACTTCGACACCAATCATCTTGGCGCGCTCAGCAACTTGCTTTCCACAGAAAAATGGACCACCGCCCATCACGCCTTTTTGCTGAGTTCAGCTCAGCGGCATCAGTAGCAGTCGGAGACCTCTCCACGCCGCTGGTAAGCAAATGGGTGACAGGTTTTGTGAATCAGAGGCTAATACTTAAATGCAGTACCTGCCCGCCATAAAGCTTCTGTGCGAGAAAAGCCCAGACCTTGCGCGATTTCTTGCAACGGAGGTTTGGAAGCACCTCCAAGTCAATGACGAACCCCAGTCAGAAGAGGAACTGCCGGCAATTGACCAGTCACGAAAGAAAAGAAAGGTGTCTGACCCGACTTATCGTCCGCAAAAGTCTGACAGACCTGCCAACGGCATCAAACAAGGGGTCTTCAAGTCATCCCCGGCCGGTGCGGCTGCTCATGTATCAGACTACCCCGTGACGGTGAATGACATAAACCAACTGGACGGAAACTCAGAGCATCCCTGCCTTGACAGAGGATCCGTGGCAGGATCAGACCAATGGTCTTTCAAGGACCAGCCACACGCAGACGAATGCGGGAATGAGCTCATGTATTCCCCTGAGGCCAGCACTTCGACGCTATCCTCTATAAAGGTTGATCTAGAAGACCCTTTTACTCCATTGGATGACAACACCATGGGCGGCGAATCTTCATCCTCATCTGGGCTTGCGTGGAAAGGCCTAAGAGCCGTGGATGCCTCTGAGGATCAAGACCGCCCTTCCGAAAACACTAGCGCATACGCCTTTGGTACAGAGCAACCTGTACATGGCGTACTCACCTCTGAGTGGCTGGGCCAGGTATCCGGGATACCCGAATCACCAAGCTTGCCGATGCAGCTTGCGGGGTGCGCCGCGCTTCCATCTACGCCAGAGCCACAGTTTGGTCCGGATCAAGAGCATTCACCACCGACCGAGGAAGTGCCAAGGCGTGACTTCGGCCACCTTTCTGACAGACTTACCCTGAAGAGTCACCTAGAGGAGTTCGTTGATGAGATGTCAGACACTATCGCTGCTCTTAGTGCCAGCTCAAGCGAGGTACCCGCCAAGGCTCATCTAGCTTTCATCAACATGCTTGAAATTGAATCTCCATACATGCCGAAGAAGATCGAATCAGCCAACACTGGAAGCCCATGCGCAGCAGATCCAAAGTCTTGGTCGGCCAGTATGTGGGTGGAATACCTCAAAGCTGGAGAGGCTCGAACCCAAAAGTCGACTATTTTCAACTTGGTTGGGTATATGGGCTTTTCTGTCTGGCTTGAGAAACAGATGGAGGCCTTCGAACCGCCTTTGACAAAGCGAGGCACGGCGAGGAAACGAGTGGCAACTCCTTTTCTGAATTCCCTTCTGATGGAGGCCGAACACTCGACGGAATTGGTGGTCAGATCCGCTGCAGAAAACTCTCCAACGAGCAATCTCAGCCGTACCCCGATGAATGTCACCTCTCATCAGCGGAGACAAATCATCGGAAAAGCCAACAAGGGCCGCAAGCTACGCGATATGGTCTCAAAGGTTGGGCTAGGCATCCTCCTACGGCGAGACATCTGGTAAGTCTCTCTGAAAGACATAAAAACGTCACTCACTAATCTCCTTTCAGGAGCTACCAAAAGCTGTCAGGTGAGGACTTCCAACGGCGGTTGGACCGGGAATTTTGGCTGGATGCGCGCAAAGGAAGATTACTCCCTTTACTTGACGAACAAGTTACCATTTTAATTAAAGAAGGGAACACGAATCTGTCACTTTTTCTTGCTTCACTTGAGTCGAGTGGGATAAGGCGAGGAATTGGAATTCAATGGGGTTGTGCAGGAGTAGGTCCTCCGTTTCCTCCAGTCAAAGGCCTGAGTCTGACCATATCTTGAAGCGCGACCCTCATGGTCTGGACTCGCTCTTGCGAGCTTTAAACCAGGTACTTGAAGGCTCTGACTCTCATAATCTTATGGTCAGAGATAAAATCGAGGTTCCTCTCACCTCGTTTGATAATCTCAGGCCGGGTCGGTGGCTTGATATGTGGCTAATCGCTGCTGCGATTGAACTGACTGACAAGCCTTCCTGGGTGAGATGTGGCTTGAGCGTCCCTCTTCATCAACTGAAGGAAGGCGAATGCGTCCCAATAGAGAAACCCTTCGGCCTCTGGAGAAAGAAGATTGACAGTTCCAGGACTGAGCATATGGACGACGAGAAACAAGTGTATCTTTGTCCCTTGAACATCAACAACAACCACTTCACACTACTCGAGATCAACGAACGAACGGAGATGATTTATCACTACGACTCGATTGCAGGGATGGATGTGAGACTGGGAAAAGAAGAAACTACCCCAGTACAACAGTTAGTAGAGGTAAGGCTGAAGATTCAAAGTATCAGGCACTTGCTAATAGATAGCAGGCGGAGTTCCACGACCTCGGTTTGACATATCAGGAGGCAGTGAGTAATAGATCATCCATTCCGTGCTGATCTATTGTTAATATGTTGGGAAGCCTTGTTCACAGCAAGAGGACAGCTCTTCATGCGGGTTAATGGTAATTCACAATGCCATGCTTCGGATGACCGGCCGTGAAGTTGAGTCCTGGGAGGTAAGAACAAGGCCTCATGATGTGCTTGCAGAACTGATCGACCTATTCAGGACAGCTCTACAAGATCGCATCATGCAGCCGAAAACGGGCGTTGCGTAGATCTGGACGTGTTCTGCCTCCGTCAGAACACGCCTATGTGTAAGAGATATATGTGACTGGGTTTTTCTAGGAGCTGCTTCAAAATTAAATGACGAGTACAGCATTGTGCCTAGCATGCAAACAAACAGTGTTGTGTTTGATCCATACCGTAGAGTGTACTAATGGGTGAAAATGATTTTGTTCAGCCCAGAAGGGGGTACACCACTCAATCACCAACTGCTCTAAATGGGGGTCAGAAGTCCTCGCTCTGGTGGTGTGTAGTCTTGCTTGACTGGCCAGGCCTGCGTGCTCAATGGGGGAGCTCGGGAGTGTCGAGGAGCTTTGATAGCCAGGGGTAGTTTTTTTTTGGCGAAGAGAGTCGCGAGTTCGCAAGCAAGGTGGCCGCGATCAAACTCGGTTTGATCTGTGAAATCACCCAGCCCCATTCCTTGCAGCAATTGAGACAGTGGTTGGACTGATGCGACTGTGTTCCACTGTCGACACTCGGCAATTTCCATGAATCGACCGGCAAGCACGCACAGACGATTGTGGATATCATGTTCGGTCAGCTCCATTGGCTCGGGGGCGACTGAGTTGCTGTTCTCCAACTATCAAAGGAGAGCATCATAGTGATCGATCGCATAACAATGCGCGGCGCTCGAGGGCTGATTGAAGTGAATTTGAAGTATAGGAGGAGTTGAGTGGTGTTGGACTGGAGGCCTGGAAGGCTGGTGAACACGGCTTACATAAGCCCGGAAATGGGTCTGATACAGCGGGGTGTCCATTGATTGCATAAACAAGCTCCGTTCCTTGGACAGCAGAGTCTTCCAGACAGACAATCATTCAAGGACACACACGTAGAACAACGATTCGGTCCAACAGCCATCGTCCTCGGCAGAATCACCGCCGCCCATCTGCTCATCCCCACTCATCTCCTTATCATTCCTGGCCCGAAAATCCTGGCCATAAAAATCTAGCATGCCTGCCCTGGCTTCTCGCCATGCTTCCACATTAGCCATGGGCCCGACAATGTCCTATTTGTTCATAACGTAATCCTGGCAGTTCCAAGACTCGCCTTCGCCAGGGACAGGGATGCGAGGGTGTTGGTGGACGGGACCTCGTCAAGGAAATATCGGAGCACTGAGGCGCGTGTCTGATTGGAAGTTCGGGATCCTGACGGGCCGAGCGGGCGATACTGGAGAAATCGAGGTTGAGAGAAATTGTTCATGGCAAGTGCGAGTGTAACGCCTCACTGGACGCTTCAGGCAGGAATGCAGGATTCTCTGGCTGGGGATGGGGTGGATCTGTTGAAGCGCTACCAGGCGCGCCAACCCTAATTGGTAGGTAGTATTGGGCCGCCACCCATAACTAGCGATACTAGCAATGGCATCATGTGGCAAACATTACTCCGTACACTTCTACTTGTACATAAGCCTAGTGTGTTTTGACCCCGCTCCAGGGAGCGCTAGAAAATATAAAGGTGCCACGTTGTTGAAGAATCGTTGCTGGGTCTTCGACTCCGCCTGTTACGTGACCGAGTCCATTACCGGAACTTTGGCGGCATTTGCAAGATATCGCGGTGTCTTGGATTGTACTGAAACATCGATAGTGCTCTTCCTGCCTTGTCTCTCCGTCGCTTCGTATGATAGATGATCACAGGCAGGCTAATATCGTCAGGCCGAATATCCTTGGTCACTCCATCGCTTCGTACGTATGATAAATGCTCACAGGCTAAAATTTTCACTTATCCTCGGGCCGCAATCTCCAGTGTAACAGAGTTCGGCTACCAGGGCGGGGCACACTAGGCCCCACAGCAGTTGGGCATCGTTGTGTTCGGTATAAATCGCCGCAAGATCCCTTGCGTGCCAGGAGTAGGTCAAACAGAACACCAATTCGCAGATCACCGATTCACAGTTCATGACGCACTGAAGCAATGAATACGGAGGTACAGTATGCCACATTCTCCTGATAATATTATTTTACTGATTCTGATCTACAGATCACGGTCCCGTCAGGAAAATTGAAGTTCACAATACCTACAACTTTGAAGGTCCCCAAAAAATGTCAAGTTCAATGGCGGAACTGCACAGTGTCGTGTTATACAGGGGCTATATATCATTGGAGAACACTGTCACAAGGACCTAGAGAAGCACCGGAGGGAGCTACATTGTACATTTTTGTGCCCGAGAATACAAACGCAGAACTCGAACTAAACTGATCTAGGCGCATCTGAAAGGCCTAAACTACAAGCAAGCTGGCATCCAGCCTCAGAATTGATTAGCACTCTTACTTCAACATCCTGGCTCCCATCTAAGATCCTGTATGTGAGACACTGGGTGAATGTTTTAGAATTGGTCTGCTCCCAGCTCCAAAGAGCACTTGTTTGCATCCCTGATGCGAGCAATCCGGCCTGTGACATAGCGCCTGGGTGAGAAACTCTGAGGATAAGTGCTTTGTCGTCATTGTCGGACTGAAAGCATGTTCCGAAATGCAATACTCTCCAGTACTCAAAACCGAAAATGAATGTGACTTCAGCATCAACCCCAGGGTCTTCTGGGATCGAGATGGTGATACAATGTGTGCTAGAATCGGCGAGATGGCGCTCCTGCTTCCAGCGCTCGCTCGATCTGATACCGGAACAGTAGTACTCGTCAAAAAGCTCGATGACCCGGTGGTCCTCCGGATGCATGACCCTGTATCGAGCGATAGGCGTGTTTAGTACGTATCTCAATCTTGATGTAGCTTCAGGGTCTCTGCTGGCATTCTTGGAAATCGGCTGCTGATTTGATAACTCCCTCGTATCTTCGAGAAAGCCCTGCAAATCATCCTTAAACAGCTCAAGGCCGATTTCTATGCTTCGATTAGTGATGATCGATAAAGCCCTAGCTGTGGGAAATACCTATAAAAAATTTCCGGGCGAGACTCTGATCGGGGCCCTGGCAGCCACCCACCTCTCTCAAGCATCTCCACCAATCACTGGGTATCGTCCTACTCGTTTGCTTCAAGGACGACACAGCTCGGTTAAGTGATACCTCTGTCTTCGAGATGATCGTCCATGTCTGCTTCGAGAATCGGAGCTTCTGGAACAAGGCACAGTTCACAGAGAGCTTAGTCCAATGCAACAGAGATTCCGGGTCCCCATATCGGTCTCTGAGAAGGCTAAAAAGGGGCAGTTGTGAGTGACTGCGTCCTACCCTCTTTTCTGGATTGCTTATTGCTGTGTCGATCTGTTCATTCTCTCGGTGCTGGCGCGAAGCCTTGGTACAATCCACGTAGGCCAGTCCAGCACTTTCGTTGCAGCTAACCCAGGTGGCCATAGTCTCAGATTCAAATCCTGAATTGACAAGCTCTCAAGGGGACCTTGGTTGACGAGAAGAGGGTAGACACAGCAAGAGAAAATGATGCATTCGGCCAAACATGACTGGAGGAAGCAAGAGGCAAAGAGCCAAGTCCGGTCGGGGGGATAAAGTGAGATTTAACCAATCTTGGCTTGGGCAGCAAGGCGCATCCAGCCAAGTCCGGCCACGGGACAAAAGGTGCATCCAGCCAAGCCTGGCCACAGGACAAAATGTGCATCCAGTCAAGTCCGGCCACGGAACAAAAGGCGCATCCAGCTAAATCGGGTAGTGATTAGCAATGCAGGAGTTGTGTGACAGCACATATGCTGTGGCTAGGGACGCGCTGCGGCTGAGTTGGAGAAATTATCCAATCATAGCATCTTCGCTTATGCGTGCTCCGGGAGCATCTTCAAGGTCAACAATTCACCCTGTGGCCCCGATTTGGCTGGATGTACGTTTTGTTCTGTAGCTGGAATTGGCAGGATATACCTGTCATTCCATAGCTAGACTATGACGAAAGTAGTCAGGCCCACGAGCAGGGCGACCTCACCTTGGCTTTCTTACTGGCCAGCCACCCCATACCCTTCCGCATCTTTGTGGCACCTTGGTGACACCTTTTGTTCTAGGTTAGAGAGGCCGTTCGCCCAGTGGATAAATGTTTGCCAAAACGGGCGCAGTTCGCTCATGCAGCAAATACACTATTGCATTCCACATGAAAGTGAACATGAGATGAGACAGCTTGATACAGCTTGATGACAGAAGCAGGGCGTTAATTATTCCCGTTCTCTAGAATGCGTCACAGAGATCCATGGGCCCAAATGTATATATAATAACTAATGAGCTGCCCACGATGACAGTCCTCCAAGGTGGGACGTTCTCAGTCATCGCTCGATATACTCCCGGATTCTCACCATGAGCGAAAGCGGCGGGTTTTACAAGTATTCCTGCAGATATCGTTACCAATTCGATTGCCCCAACTGGACTTGGGTGAATGGTACGGCCTGTGCTTCTTGCTTGGTATGAACCCAGTAAACAACCCTCTCGGTATTCTTGTTAATTTTTGCTAGGCTATGGGACGAGATAGTGAATGTGGTGATGTATTCGTGCTGCCCATGTCAGGTGGGTTTGGGGTTCTTTCACCTAGAGAAGGGGACTCTGTGGCTGGACTTGTATTAGCGGCGACCGGGGAAGAGGTTGCTCAGTTAGTCCATGCGGTCTGTGATCTGGTGGGGTAGTATGAGGATAAGCTGGTCATGCCCATGTTCGAACTTGTATTAAGCCTTCTCAATATTATTATGAGGTTGTGGATTACTAGACTGGTGGCCATGTCGACTTCAGGTGATTTCCCCGAGACTTGACACATGCTGACAAGTTTTGTCAATGATACTTTTTGACTTTGAAGGATGCGCACTGATCCATCCAAGACTCCAGCTTGACACGGCCCAATGTTGCCGTGGACCATGTCTGATCAAAGATGCTCTGCTGTCCTTCTCATGCTGCAGGATGCAAAGAACATCCAGCCAAGTGTGGCCGTAGCGGCCACGGGACAAAAGGTGCATCTAGCCAAGCCTGGCGACGGGACAAAAGGTGCATCACGCCAAGACTGGCGGCGGGACATATGATACATCTAGCCAAGACGGCACGGCACGAGACGTGGACCGGTCAGAGGCGGAAAAAGCGGATCGCTGTACTTGGGTAAGGTGGGGTTGACGGACGGAATGCGAAGGAAGGAGCATTGTGTACTGTGTACAAGAATAGCACAGGGCTAAGCATCAGTTCGAATGGTAGGGTAGTGGGGGGCTAAGAGCTGAGTTGCGATATCTGAGGAGCCCTAAGTTATATATGACTATGGTCTATGGCAGAGGATGTGATCTTTATGATGAGATTATCGGCGACGGTTCAGTAGTCTTACTTAGGTGCTACTTTGTCAGGGGTCCGCTTTCACCATCGAGACTGATGTGGCTGCTGTCGCAGGTTTTTCTAAGCACACCACTTTTCAAACTACTATCCCTCCCATTATGAAGCCTCACTGCCAACAGCCAAAGCCGACTGGAGACGGAGAGACGCACACGCACACGAAATCTCCATCTTTGAGAATAGCCAGTTCTTCAGGAGCTGATGGAGTACTCGAAACCTCTCTGCCTTACACGGGCACTGATCTCGTAACTGGGCATTTACTGGAAAGGTCCGAGCATGGCCTTGCCTCTTTTCCTCCAGAGCCAGACGTCAAACCCCTTTTATTTCTGGAGCCGGAAGTCGGAACTGGATGCCCTCGGGCACTCGGATCTGTGAAATCCCAAGGAACACTTGATTCAACAATCCTTGCCAGATTTCCGGAAGAAGATGAGGTTGGGACGCAGGTGCTCATACATGCACACACCTGTTATTTAAGTTATCCTGAGAAGCTGTTTGTTTGGATGTGACACTTGTATCCTCCTGGAAATCCAGCATTTTTCAGCGTTTGAAAGATGATAGGAACAGAAGGGAAGATCACTCGGGCCTTGTATCGTCGGAAAGAGGAAGGTTCTTTTCGAGGATCAAGAAGATAAGGTCCCACTCCACAACCCGCACACATAGCTCATCCTTCCATCTCTTAAAAGTTTCCTTCAGCTTCCCAAACTCATCCTCTTGCATAATGGACCAATCATTGGTATCCTTAGATATGCCTAATGTAGACAATCCAATTCTATTCATTAGGTCTAGCCACCAGTTTAGCTGCTCTTGGGAGGGTTTACGATAACTAGCGACTGTAAAAGTTAGAGTGACTTTTTAGGAGATGATCTAGGAGATTCTTACTTGAGGTTCGGAGATCCTTGACCTCAAGAGCATCATCGCTCACGCACTTAGTGATCAGTTGTGCGAAAGCATCAGGAAGACGGCGTAATAAAAGGTACATCGTGGAGACTTAAGAGTAGAGAGTGCTAGTTTCCGATATGGTAGGTAGATAGAGTGTGTGACAAGAATACTTAGCTTCAATAAGTCAGATGTATCAGGGGCGGTCTTAAGATATTTATACACCAAGCCCTTTCAAAAGCATCAGGTACCGCCACAGCCACATGTCTTGACCAATCAAGAATCATTGGTGGTGATAGGAACATGCAGAAGCCACCTAACCATCCAGCTATGTAACAGCATACTTGCCACATACATGGTATACCGTCCCGGACGTTTATAGGTTTGGAACCAGTTTAATCACACACCAGGATCTGCACTGTTGGACTGAGCTACATAATTAGATTTGCCGTTCCATGATGATAACCTGGGTAGCTGGTTCCCGACACCCAGGGCCAAAACCACAAGCACGACAACACAGTAGGGCGAAGTGGTGTCCATCACATGTCTTCTACATGTATTAATATTATATGAACCTGATGGTGCCTAGGTTATCTTCCCGTATTGGTGCCGTCTGTACCTACCACATTGCACAAGCTTTCCCCATCACCAGAGTAGGATATGTCAACCAATGATTCGTCAATGATTTGCACTTATTAGCAAGCTCCACTGGCCTGGTAGCTCAATGCATGCGCCTCGGGATGTCCCAAAACGGGTCTAGCCTTGGTCATCCGAAAGCAACATTTTCAGCGCATGCGCCTGAGAGTTCTCTGGAATGTGTCTCGCATTACGGCGGGGCGGCAACTCCTCCCGAAGCCCCACTGACATAAGGTTCTGCCAAGCGATCGTTTTCCCCTTTCCTCTTAACCCGTCTTCCACAGTTCCATCCTACGCCCGACTTACGGTCCACTCAGAGTGATACTTCGCAATCAGTACTTTTTGCCTTTTATATACCACAAGATAGTGTCTTTGTGAAATAAGCGTAGAAGGTTTGTTGCAGTTATCTTGGGGCCTAATCAGGCGGAAACCAATTCTTAAGCATATGATGGTAAACTATCAACTAATAACTACTATCCCATGCATTTACCTCGCCAAATGGTAGTGCTCCACGACTTCAACATCTCGCGTAAGCCTCACAAAGACAGGGATTCTCCTGGATGACAGTTAAGAAGACGTCTTCTACCCCAGGGTATTTGAATACAGTGTCAAGTAATGCCTCCGAAACAAGATGCGCTTGAGATAAGATAAAGCGAGACATCCGCTTTGAGCTTTGGGTCCTGTGCCAAGAGAACGGCCTCTGTATGTCCATAGGTTGAAGTGTGCCATGGCCGATCCCAATGTTCTCATCATCTGCTAGCTTGTGACCGGATGACTCGTCCTGGAAAATGAAGTCTTGAGGACCACGACAATTTGTTTGAGGTGACATCCGCAGCGCTATCTGTTCAGGCCGGAGGCGAGGTTCCTCTACACTGTCAGCAGCCGGCTGCTGAGGGCCCTCACTATCGCTTTCAAGGAGACGTGGGCGCTTTCTAGACCCCTGTGTGGTCAAGTGGTCATCGTTGGGGTTCCCGGTAGCATTCTTTGTATCGGTAGTACAAGTGAGGGTGGGCCTTTTGCTCATTTGGGTATCCCCGGGTGGAAAATCTGCAATGGATGAGGAGCTGTCCATTCTTGGAGGCTTGAGCGAAAACGGTCGAGTATACCCGTAGTATGTTCGTAGTGTGTACTTCGGTCGGTTGAAGAGAAGGGGCTGCTGTAATAATCGAGGGCAGAATAGGCCTCTTATAACCACCACTGATTACCCTTGCGTGAATATCTCTCATTGTCAGGGTTGGCATATCCGAGATACGGCGATAAAGCTTTATGTTCTCTCTTGTCTAGCATGTTTGCCGACGTCACAGCCAATCGGCGAACCTTAGACCGGTCTGTACCACGCTGAAAAAAACGGCCAAGGAGCGAGTTCGTCATGCGAGACAAATGAGGAGCCGGAACACAGCCTGCAAGACATACGCTGAACCACAACCCGGCCGATCGACGGGTTCGCTGCCGCCTCGCCTCGGGGCCATGGATACATGATGCAAGAGGCGTAGCTTGGTCAAGGCGTCTTTCATTACTCAGGCTAGATGCACCATGTCGCCCTGGCCAGATCTGGTCAGAAGTGCCCACGTCTCCCTGGCCAGACTCGGCTAGATGCACCAGCCTCGCCCTGGCCAGATTTGGTCAGATGTGCCCATGTCTCCCCGGCCAGACTTGGCTAGATGCACTAGCCTCGCCCTGGCCAGATTTTGTCAGATGCACCCACATCTCTTGACCCCATACATGGACCATCAGAACTCGCGCGCCCGCCTTCTCGCCTCCCCGACGAAAGCATAAATCGCGCTTGGCGAGTACAGAGCGAGGCTACAATCTGCGGACCGAAGAACATAAGCACCTGCCCCGTCGCGTCGGGCAATGCCTCCATGGTAGAGAATAATTATATATATGTGTTCCCTTACAACGAATCAATAATCCTGACCAGTATGAACGGCTATCATTACAGCAACCCCTGGCTCAGGTAACCCGTTTACATGCCCATAGAACGAGCGACGGTCGCTCTTCACCCACAGACGTTAAGTATCAAGACTCAGGCACTCTATGATCTTGCCTCACGGGTCACATAGGAATTCTGGCTGGATATCATCTCTAATCTTCTTCATGCCTGTCCTGTGGTCTAATGAGGACAAAAAGTTGTTAGTCCAACTTTATCATCAGGGACTATCATGGCGCGAAATAGCAGAGGCTCTCAATCGCAGTGCCCGGGGCTGTCGCAAACAGTACAACCTTCACATGCAAACGATAAAGGCTAAACTTGCACATTTATACATGCAGTAAGTGCTCTCTGGCAATGCCAGCATCGTATGGGATTAATCTTTGAGCAGGAACAGAGAGCATATGTGGACTCCGCTGGCGGAAGAACTGGGCCTACATTGGCAAGATGCCGAATTTTTGCACCAGCAGTCGCACAAGAAGGCATGCAACCAGGCCAGATTATTGCACAGAAATTCGCTACCGACCCAGATTCCGATTAAGGCGCACGGTAAAGTTAGTCTTGCACCACAGCCGGTACCTTTGCAGCTACCATTCGAGCTCGCACCGCAGCCGGTCATGGCGCGGCCTTCCTTGCAGCCTGAGCTTGCACCTGCCAGGTCGCCACCTCTGCAGCTGCCATTCGAGCTCGCACCGCAGCCGGTCATGGTGCGGCCTTCCTTGCGGCCTGAGCTTGCGCCTGCCAGGTCGCCACCTCAGCAGGTGCCATTGGAGTTTACACGACTGCCGACCATGATGCCGCCTTCCTCGCAGCAGGGCGTTGCGCTTGCTGGGGTGGTGCCCTTAGGAAGGGGACATCCCACGCATATTGAACCCCTACAACTTGCCCCGCTTCAAACCAGAGATGCCGTCAAAGTCAGTCTACCCGGGTGTAGAGAACTGGTTAGAAGTCTGGCTGTCGGATAAGCGAGGCCTCAAGTCCCGGACATTAGGGACTTTGTCAAATAGTCGCTGACCTGGGTTTCCTTTACATGGGGTGTATGTTATTCCGCAAATAGTTTAATCGGGCCTTTTACCAAGTCAGCTGCTGCACACACATCCTTCTATCCCCCTTCAAGACCATAAGTAATAGAACACGCTTTTCTGTTCCCAGTGGTGCGGGAACATACTTCTGTGCCTGTGACCTGTTTAAGGAAACTCTTGTCCCTGGAAGCCAGAGGCACTGAGAGAGAGAGCCGAAACTATCATACTGTGACTAGGAAGGAGAATTCAGATGAGTTGAAGAACTTGACGACTCAAGATGTAAATGACTGGAGGGAGTGGGGGCATTGTATGGTTGAGTCGAAAATGTTCCAACTGGATGCATTGTGGAGAGCACTCGATGTGCGGAAGGGAAGTTCTGTTGCGGTGACGCAAGGCCCGATAAATAAATCGAAGGGCTGGGCCCCGGCAGCGGCTCGCTCGATTTGCCGGGACCCAGGGGTAGCTCGCTTGAAGGGTCGGGATCGGGACTCGGCGCCGGATCGCTCAAAGGCCAAGGGCCGGGTCTTGGTGCCGGATCACACAATTGACCGCCTGTCTTCAGGATTTTCATATTATGAATAAGCTGCCCATGTTCACTCTTGTATTATACACACATCATCTCTGTTGTTTATGTTATTGCCGGATCAAGCGTTCAAGGGTTATAAGCACAGACTGATGGCAATGTGCTTAGTCGCAGAAGGGTATTACTGTGTGACCTTTCTCAGGAAATTATAAAACTGAGGAGGGAGCTCCTGTCCTGCGTACTTGTTAAGGTGCAGAAGTTTCTTGCCCGCCCGGGTCATAGAGCTCGCCTAACTCCAGACCAAGCTCAACATCATAATAGGCAGCGTGACGCCTGGACCAAGCCTTTCGGTCGCACTCCAGTCGGTAGGTGCTGTGCCGTGCAAGGAAACTGATGACTGGCAAGAAGAATCTGTGGAAGGTCAAGCACGCCAAACTCATCGCCGAGGCACGGCCGGTGAATATCGATCGTCAGCGGCATGAGGCCGATGTTCTTCTACCCATGAGCCGAGTTATGGGCAATGTTGATGTCGCCGCAGGTCAGGAAGAGGAGCCCGTGCAACCCGGTGGTGGTCCTGTGTTGGCGGGACCTCGCATCGCGTTCTACGGCAATGTGGATCCGGCCCAATTCCCGCCCATCGCTGAGGAAAGTCGTGACGCCAGGTCTGCGGTAGGCGTCAAGACACCGCAAGAAAGATTGATGTACCCGTTGTGTTAGCCACGAAATCCAGATTTCTAGAGACGACAACTCAATGAAATGAACACAACTTCGCATCCCGTCAGTATGCCCAAGAGCGATCACTGCACGCGCGTGGTACCAAGAACGTTCCGCTACTGTGGCCATATTCAGAACCTCGGGTGATCTCACCAAGCGGTTGCTGATCCTGTTCGCTCTACAATCTCGCTAGCAGCGGATTGCTGCCGGGCGAGCCTCGCATCTCGAGGTTGGTCACAAGAACCACATGATGAGGCAATGGTACGATCAATCCGATGGAGACCATATAGAGCTTGACCACTGACAAGACAGCGGAATTCTATACGCTTAAAACCAGTGAGATGTCCTTTAACAATCGTCTTGAACATCTGGTCATCGATATTAATAAGGCCGAGATCCATAATAAGATCGCATTAAAAGACAGCAAAGACAATGCGAGTGTCTACCTTGCCGTCGCCGACCATTTATTCGCATTCATCGTCCAGCAGCTCGGAAAGGCCGGCTTCTTGACACAGAGGACGACACATTCTGGCGCATCGAGATCGAGAAGCTATTCGGCAACAGTCGTACTTTGGCCTAGGAGTCTAAATCACGACATCCTTGCCCAGACAAACGAAGAGCCGAATCTTCAGCGCCTGCCATTTCCTCGGCCAGGAAACAGTGTAGAGCATCATGGTGCGCTTTCACAACAGGATGTTTGAGCCGGTCTAGCGGCGCGAATCCAAACCTCGTCCAGATCAACCACAGCCGAGGCCGTCGGCCAGCCGTACATCACGCTGCGATCGCCACCTGCGCGCCGCCTCTAGGGAGCTGCCCGCGCGGAGCGAGTCGCATAATTGGACTACAAACAGGACGGCGCCGATCATGCCTTCTGTGACTTTTAGCAATGGGTCTTCTCCCATGGTGTCGCCAGTGTGTACTGACTCGAAGGGGCCGAGAACTATGGAACTGGCTGTCATTGCGATTTTACTGCAGCAAGGCCAGCTTGGAGTTTAGAGATTGAGGATCCCCTCCAGGGCATAATGTCATTTTTAACAAGTTATGGCTCAAGGTCTTAAATGGCTAGAAGCTTGTAAGGCCCCGTATTGAGCCAGAGGTATCATTTACAGGGTATGAGACAGGGTAGTGATTGTAAACATATTAAATGGTATCGAAGAGACTCTGAAGAAACTCGTTTATTTCAATGAAAGAATAAACTGGGGTACCATGAATAGAATGCCTCAAATACTAGATCTCTTCAAATCCATCGCGATTGGCGTGGGCGGGCTCGAGTCACGCCGAGGGAAACGAGCGCGCTAGAGAGCATAAGCAACTGAGATGATATGAAGGAACGGATGAACTCACCGAAACTTCTAAGGCCTGAATTCGCTGCTCCAATAGTGCAAATTGAGCCTTGTTTTGCTTTGTTGTCTCTCGAAGCTGTTTTGAGAAGGTTACGCAACAACGCTGCCAGAATATATTCGATTCAATAGCACGTTGAAGATGCTCCTCAGGCGTCTCGGGGCGCCATGGCCCATAAGGGCGCCAAGGTCCATATCCAGGGATGGTATGGCTTGGGACATGCTTGTCCCAGCATGTCGCCGCACTTGCTGGGGGGGTGGATTCTGGGCTGCTTGATCCCTCTGATGGCTGCCCCGGAGGTGTACAGGTAGCTGATTGGGTGCCAAGAGAAATTGGATCCACGTGGGGAGAAGGAAGGAGCAGAACCGGAATAGGATCCGATGTATCATGGGGCTTGATGCGTGGAGTTTGGTCAGCTTTCACGGAAGACCCCAGTTCTGGTTGGAAATCAACTTCCAAAGACAGAGGTGGGCAGTCAAGGGGTAGCTGGGGCAAGGACATGACGAGTTTGGTGTAGTCTTGAGTCTGATCTGCGTTCAGGGAGGGTATTATCTTCATTAAATAATTGTTCCTTCATTCCTGACATCTATGGCTTGGATCTTCAAGGGAAGTGGCGAAGTGACCACCAAGCGCTTACTCGCTGATGTGACTTTCGAGCTAAGCGCTGCATCCCTGTGGATGTGGCAACCATAACCAAGCTGTCGGGTCAGCCCATGCAGCTAGAAAGCGGGGGTTTCAGAGTATCAAGCGAATGGCATTCTTATCTACCTAAGCCCCGCCAGCTTCCACATCGCACACACAATGGCACTCTCAGGAAGCCAGACGCTGTCCGCCACATTCCCGGCTCAGAGAGATGGCCAAGGGTGCTCCACAGCCATTCTTCTCGGGCACCTCAAAGGCCTAATGTGAGCCCTTGCTCATTTCACTGGGCAGCCAGACCAAAGGACCTAGACCTCAGCAACCGGCAGATGCCAATGCCCAGCTCGAGCTCATCAGTAACAATCCGTGCTCAGCAGCAGAATATGCGGATGCCCTTCAGTTCCGATCGCAGTGCACCTCTGCGCTTAACCGTTTCCTCGGCGCCACGGGTACGGCCATCTTGCTTGACATTCACTGAGAGGCACGATGAGCATCACAATTACGCAAGACTCTGATGAAATTTCTGATCTTATCCCCATAGTTAGTTAGTACATAGATGACTCCTGAAGTTGATTTTATCTTGTCTTAGGACTACCTCCCCTCCTACACAGCTTCACTGGACAACGAGGTTCCATCAATAATGCTGTAGTCCTCAGGCTCTGCCCACGCTTCCGTATCTTCCTCATGAGGGCTTTTCTCTGCTGAAGGGGAGGTGCCCGAGGGAGTGCATGATGTTTGAGGCGTCCTTACTCGAGCAGGGACCTAGTATTGCTCAGCATCGGTTTCTTCCGAGGTTTTTCATGTAAACATACCAAGTGGTTAAGTGTCAGGTTCAGTCTCCCATTTTCTCGCTTCAGCAGGTCAACCCGTGTCTCTAGCTGGGTGAGGTTGATATTCATCACACCAAGTTGTGCGCTCTGCAAATCACAGAGACGTTCAAACTCGGCGGATCGTGTCTGCATCTGCATGAGAGCATCACGGGTGTGTTGATGGCTAGCGATCTCAAAGTTTAAGAGGATCGAGAGTGTCAACACTCGGTCCTCCAAGATCTTGATATCTCTATCGGTTGAGGTAGCAAGAGACATAACTCAAGTTCTTGTGGTGCTGAAAGGGAAAAATGCGGGAATGTACTGAGCAGTTGAAATCACTCATCTGAAAGAAAATTAGATTTCCCTGAGATACCTTTTCACCATTTATGAACTTATCTGGTCACCGATCGTACTTCCAAAGTGCGGGCGTGTGCAGGTGTGGTGTGGTGGGTGTGTTGGCTAGAACAGAAAACCTAGCGTGGATGTTGGTCAGCGTTGCTTCCTCAGTCTAAGCCTGTGATTGGTCTATGAAACCTTTGGCGGTGCTCATACCCTCCTTTTCACAGGCCAGGACCAAGTTGCCATTCAATTCTGCGGCCTCAGAATAGCATCACTATCTTCAGCCGTACTTGGCAATGTCTTCTCGCCCCTGGTCAGGGGTGAGAAAGTGAAGCTGCTTGTTGGTCCCTCTGCTTATGGCCTAGACTAAAGCTTCTGAATGCAGTTGTCACATTTCACACAACATCAAGCGGGATTGAACCAATTGAGTCCAACATCATAAGCCACTGCCCCGTCACGAGTCCATGTTCGTAGCTTCACACATATTAATGACAGACGATAGAAATGTAGGCTAACAAAAGATCATGCAATTATTGATCGGGGTATGGAAAAGGTCACTTTAGCTAGCTGGTTGACTTCTTAGTAAGTGTGAAAAGCACATTTTGTAAATCATCCTCAATCGCTCGTAAACTCGGATTTCGACTCCTAGCAGTGAAGGGGTCATTAGAAGAGTTCATGATGTAATAATGGAAAGGTCAAGTCAGATGACCCCGCTTCTATGCGAGTGCTTTCATATTGGGCATAGAGCTGCAAGCTAAGAAAACCAAGAGGGTGTGGAGTGTGAGCGGTAAACGAAACATGGAGAACCAACATGCATTTTAGGAGCCGATCTATTCCTAGACGAAGTGCTCTGTTTTTGGGACAGTTTGCACCTTGATGCATATAAATTGTGATCATGACGACTGACGCCTATCTCATTCAACCAAGACACCCATATCCTCCTGGCCCCGTTCAAACCCCCAAGATCCTCTTCACTTTGTTCCAACCTATCTCAGCCAGCTAGGACGCCCCATATCCTCAGACTTTATTCAAACTCTGAGATTCTTTTCGCTTCGTTCCAGTTTTCTCCCCTCAGCATGTCAGTTAGCTGCTTTATTACGAGCCACGGACAGGCCCTGCCGGGCATGACTGTCGAGCTCAGAAAAGACGGTTCGCAGACTGTCTTTAGTTCTCAGACCGATTTTCGAGGTCGTACTGGCCGATGGTCTTCGCCAGGCAACAAATCGCCCATTCTCTTCAACATTAATGGGCTTATCTGGAGCCTCACTCTCTATACAGAGTCGAGAGTCAGTCCTTCAGTCGAACCTATCGATCGAGAGTACGGAAAAGTCTGTATTTCATTCTATATTCATAATGACAGAGCATACCAATTCAACCTGGATTTGAGTGACGATATCTGTCGACTCCATCACCACTCCAGTCCATTAACGCCAGGCCCAGCAAGATCACCCATCAATGGTGGCTGGCCCTCTACCAGTTGTGGTCCAGAGGAGCTGACAAGCCCTAGCATTCATCCTCCAACCACTACCCCTATCGCACCGATACGACCCTGCCTCCCTTCACTTCGCAAGGAATGTGGTGCTTGGCCACAATCGACGGTGGTGGAAGTGATCCAAACGGGCAAATCTCCATCCTTGCCAACTCGAGTTGCATACCCACCTCCCCTTCCATCTGCCCAGCTGGCTGTCAGTCATCTGCTCAATAGTCAGCCAGAGACAGAGTCTTTCCCTGATGATCGCAAGTGCAAGAATGCAATACTGGAGGAATCCCCTAGAAAGCGTCGTTGTGCGTTGCGGAAGTCACTTCGCATCCAGACAAACTTGGATGCTGAATGAAGGACTCTCGATTGTGTTTATTCGCCAACCTTTCAATCAAGCTATGCGTCGATGCTATTCCTCAGATTTTCTATCATTATGTTCAAAAGTCGACATGGTTCTCAGGTCCACCACACAAGTCTGTAAATAGTTCACTCCAAATGAAAGTTATGTTCCACATCAAACACTAGGCTTTGAGAGCTGCTTGTGTTTCGGTTCTCTGGAGAACCGAAATGCATATCCTTGTAACCCCGCTCTTAAAGTGATCAAGGGCTAGCTCTCTACCCGATAATATCAAAGCCATCAGTGAAGACCTATTGCAGTTTAGCGTAAAGCTCCACTTGAGAACAGAATAACTTACCTCTCCTCTCTGGCATGCATTAAAGTAGATGAGCTCAGCAAGTAAGTAAAAGATCACCGAGTTTGTCGATTGATACAAGAAGATCCCGGGTATTGCTGCAATAGGTAAAGCAGCCAGACGGAATCTAATACTTCGATGTATCTTTGAACTTGGACTGAAACCTAGCGGTAGTTCTAGGGCTAACATGAACAAACCGCCCAACAAGTTTAAGCTCTGAAGGATCGGAACTGGTGCAACTAATACATCCAAGGTGGCAGTAGAAAAGTCCCAAAAGATTTTCGGCCAAAAAAGGCCATGCAAGGCGGCCAAGATTTGATCTAAATATTAGCTAGTGCAAGATGTGGAGGATCGCATCTACCTACAGCCTGCGCTGCTCATGGCGATCAGTCGAGCTAGATCGGTCCTAGACAAGTTTCCCATCTGAGTCGCCTCTTAATCTCTCAACAAAAGTATTCAAATGTGGACAAGTTTATACAGCTAGGATAAGATAATATAGAATCTACTTGTCTCTGTTGAAAAGGCAGGGTCATAGGCTAAAACTGGATGATGATCTGACAAAATTTGAAACGAGACACAATGGTAGTTCTTGGACCAAGGATGGGCTGACAGCCGGGCTTCAGACTAACATCCTCAGCCAGATCCAAGCTCTTAGTCACAGTGTACCAGGCAGCTAACTTAGACGCGCTCCCAGCACAGCAAGAGCCAGCATTCTGGCCACACCATGCCAGTATCCAGGCCTCTGGCCACACCATGCCAGCATCCAGGCCTCTGGCCACACCATGCCAGCATCCAGGCCTCTGGCCACACCATGCCAGCATCCAGGCCTCTGGCCACACCATGCCAGCATCCAGGCCTCTGGCCACACCATGCCAGCATCCAGGCCTC